GTATGAATTTTATGATTATTTTCTTAATTTCCTCCACATATTGCCGCCAGAGGACAGCAGTTTAAGCTTTAAAGGCATGTAAAACTTTCATGTGTTCGAATGCAGCTTGTGAAAAATTTTGTAATATTTTTCTATTTCAAATTAAATACATCAAAAATATATTTCAATACAATTTTATTTATTTAAATATTTGGCTGAAAATATTCAATTTTTAATTATTTTGCAATTTTAATTTTTTTTTCCAGATAAAAAGTAAACATAAATATTTAAATATTTGATTGAGACCATTAAGATTCTTCAAAATCAGCTAGTGACTTTCCTCTTGGATTTTTTCTATGATTCAGTGCAATCACAGAGCTTATTTCGGGGATTCCACTGAAAGAAGACAGAACGCAAAAACTAATATTTGCAGACGAAATTGAGGCGTGAGTCATTGGGAGAAAAATAGACAGAAATCGATGTATTCTAAATTGTCCATTTATTTGAAATGTGTACAGGAAATCCACGCAAATGTCTCAATAAGACGGCGAAGTAGATGTTATCTCTTGAGAGGTGGACGATGGAAGTGTTACAATATCAACTGAAGTTGATGGACGATTTCTGTGAACACATTTTCCTCTTCTATAGACTCGATGCTTGCTGATGCACAATTTCACTGGCGGCACCCAAAGAATCTCCAGATTTGGATGCAATACTGAAAAACCTGCACTATTAACCCTCTATGGAAGTTTAATTGAATTCTTCAGCACTCATTCTAACCGTTTTGGGTCAATTTTATTTTTCCCACCGGAAGCAAAGTTCTCATAGTTGTAGAATTTCCCGAAGAGCTTTTATCCTTAATGACAGGATGAGCTGAAGTTGTGACAATCACCAGAAGAGCCACAATAAGATCGACTTTGACCATTTTGACACCCATTCCAGTGTGAATGCTGCGAAAAACCTTCAAAGACTGCTTTCCTAAATTCAGATGCTTGCATTTAAAGGCTTTGATTAGCCTTTGGAATTCTTGGAAAATATATATTTTCTAAGAAATATTTGATAAAAAGAATTTTTTTTGCACATCTCAGAAATTTTGACAACAAATCCATCAAGTATTGAAAGAAATTACGGTGAATCATTGGTAGACAAGTTCGTTTTCATGACTAATCTTCTGATTGATTGAAAGAAATTGCAATCACTGACTCGTGCATTGAGACGAGAAAGTATCGCAACACTAGAAAAGGCGCGCAATCATAAAAATTACAGCGCCACAATAGAATTGATTCTCGAGCATTTTTCCACGAAGTGCGTCTAATCTTGCGGATGCTGCGTGGCGAGACGAAGAACACGATAAACAATGTTGTTTGTTTCCGAAAGAAAAAGGCAGAGGGTGAAGTGTATTTATTAAAATAATTACGAAATATTGCGACATGGAGACAAATTAAATAACTTTGCGACACCTTCCTCGGGCGTCGAGACGCTGATTGGGATCGCACATGGTTGGCGCTTGGAAGAGTCTTCGGACGCCGATTTCGGGGATGCTTGAGCTGTTGTCGGAAGTTTCTGTGGCCGATGCGATGGGTGTGCTTCCGTTGAAGTAGATGACTCGCGTCTCCGTGAACTGCACTTGGGCGATGAGAGACACCCAGAGGAGGACGGCCAGGGTCCACCAGAGCTTCTCAACACGACGTTTCACTGCCATGATTATGAGTTTATTTACAAAACTTCCACTGAGCACGATAATACTTTGTTGATTGGATTTTTTGCACTCCACACTTCGCATTCAGCTCAACTTTTGAGCGTTATCTGAGCGGAACGATAGAGGAGAGACTCGGTCGGACGTCGAGATGTTTCTCGCCCATTTGATAATGTACACAAGGCGTCATGGGTGTGTTTGTGAACGGGTGAATTCCATATAAGATATCAATTGCTTTCCCACGTAAGTGCGCCTAATTGCCGGACGGCTAGACTTTTCTCCTGCACCGTCCGCGCGAGTCGAGCAGCTGGCCAGGCGGACATCCCTTCACCGGCGCCACGAGGATGCTTCCCTCCTGGATCGTGTTCATGGTGTTCATCGGCTCGGCCTGTCGCTTGTAGAACAGCACGCGCGACTCCGCGATCACAAGGAGCGCGAGGAAGAGCAGGAAAATCGAATGAAATTTCATGTCTGGAAAGCTCACGAGCGCGTCACTCTCAGTTATTTGCAAGAAGCTCACTGATTTTGATGTGAAACTCGCTCGCCGTCAGCGTCGATTTGCGTATCGAGTGGACAGAAAGCTGGAATCCCCGCGGAATGCCCACTGATAAGGCGCCCTTATCGCGGGTTCAACTTCAACACCACACAGAGTGGAAATATCGCGAACCGCGGATGATCACAGCATTCGCGACTGCCGATGCTGAAACACTTTATAAGACGAAAAGTAGCTCTGTGATGAATTTGTGTGGCCTTCAAAGCTCATCAGCAATTGTGTCGTAATAGGAAAGATGAAATATTAAATCATTTCTCAGAACTGGTCAAATTTATCAACACCCAAAGTTGATGCACATCTAGATCGTGATTCTGATCACTGCCAAAAGAATGAAAAATTTAGGTAAAGTACTTCAGAATTGTTTATTACTCAAGCCACTGATGATAACAGATTTGCATATTTACTTATGCTACATCTGCATTTTCACTCTTACAGAAGCTGATAGCATTTTATGATCTCCCTTTGCCTTATCTCAGCACATAAAATGCTTTATAGACTTTCTAAAAATAATTTCTCACACATTCGCAGTGAATCTTGTCCACTTTTTCAGCCCTGCTTTGCGTCATTTCAACACTTAAGGCCACCAACTGAAGCTGCTTTCTGTCGTTGTGAACTCAGCTGGCTCCTCATCATCGTAACTTTCATCCTCATAGATCTCGTCATTTTCCTCCTCCTCCTCATCCTTGTCGTCTTCCTTATCTTCATCGAAATTGTCTTCAACATTCTCATTTAAATCCGTAAATTCATACTCATTATCGTCATTCTTAGCTTCTAAGTCGTCTGGCTTCGCTGGAGCAATTGGAACTGTCGTCGAAGGTTCCGTGGTATTCCAAGCAGTTGTCGTTGGTTCTTCTGTGGTTGTTGTCGTTGTTGTGGGTTCTGTGCTTGTTGTTGTTGTGGGTTCTTCAGTTGCCGTTGTAGAATCAAAATCTACATCCCACCACGGCGCTTCCGTTGTTGCCGTTGTGTCTTCAGCGTCTGGAATGTGAGCTTCTTCTGTCGTCTGAGGCTGCCAAGGCACAAGATTTCCATTAGGATTAACATTTGCATACGGATTGGGTTTAATTGTTGTTAGTCTAACCGTTTCTGTGCCCGCAGACGACTGAGTAGTTGTGACATTTGGTGGCGGATAAGACGGCACCGGATAAGACGGTGTCGTTTGCTCGTTTGGTTTCTTGCCAGGTTCCGCGTCTCGTGCCAGAAACGCATTGATAAACCGCTCTGAATATCCAAACATCGGCGGTCGTTGGTATGTGTTGAACACTTCGTACACCTCCTCGATTTTCTTCACGTGCGGCCTATTGGGCGGCACAACGCGAACATATTTCTTGTAAATCACACGCGACTGTGACAGAGTCACAAAGCCCAGGAGAGCAAGGAAGAGCAGCAGATTAGGACGCGCCATGGGTTCGTATTCAACTGAAATGCTTTCTGGAGATGAGCTGACGATTTTTGCAAAACTGCCCCGATATTTTGGTCAAAAAGTGGTTGAGAAAAAAAATTATTGATAACCCCAAAGACTAAGAGGTCAATAACACGCACATTCTGTATACATAATGCTCTGAGAATTCTCTTCCTCGTGGTAAATGTTGAAGATTCATGACATAAAGGCTACGCAAATACACACATAAATACACTGTAATCATTTGAGAGTACCTCATTTCCATAATGAGGTTTGTGTAACCAAATTTGACTTTATACACTGTAACATTTTGAATTGTTACGCAAGAACAAAAAGATTCACTCGATTTTATTGACAATTAATCGACACAATTATTTAAGATATGCATAAATTACATCCTTCAAGACATTTCCTCCCTCGCAGGTTGACTGAATCGATAATTGCGTGCAACTAGACACTCAAACGCTAATCCCTGGCAATTTGCTGCGCTGGTGAGAGAAGGTAATTCAAGGAGTCCTTTCAATTAAGTCATACTTCTCCTCATTAGTTCACTGCCAGTGTCGTGTAGTTGTATTCAATTTGTAATTCAATACTTGTACAGTTTTCTTGATAGAGCGAATCACATAAATACACCTGCAAAATCCCATCTGTTGGTAATTATATTCGTGAGAATTCTATTGATGTTCCAGAAAAACTGTCTGAATGAACATTTTCCACAAATTCACTCGCACTTATGATGATTTTCAAGGTATTCGAGAGAGTAAAGTCAATGGAGAATTCCACTTCCGCTTCTGGAGATTTGCAAATCTCATTCCAAATGCATATGACTAACTCTATTGAGTTAAATTCGACGGTTGCCTCGAAAACTATTGAAAGCATAAAATGATATTTTCTCATTTTCCATGAAATTCGCTGTTATATTCAATTAAATTAATAATATTTTGATCAATTTGGTTGCAGATCTTTATATTTCTCCTTTAATTCTATCAAGACGATTTTTGATAGTTTTCATAATCATGATTTTTGTGTTGGACACAAGTATGAATTTTTCTGAAAACCTTGAACTCTAAGCAGCTATCAAAGCGAGCGATCAATACGAGCGAAAATCCCCGTTTTCTCAATGAATGAACAACAGAGCGCGCTTTGGACAAAAAGCTCATAACGAATTCGGTATGATTTTCGAATTATCAGCTCATTACAGAGCTTTTGTTGATTTCCAGAGAAAGCCCATCACTCGACCAAAACGCCTAAAATACACAACACGAGGAAATGTATTTCCATCTACTCATCCGACAGCAAATTGCGGTGTTTGACATTGGAACCACATTCAACACTCATGCAAATTTAATTCACTTTCGTGTAAAGCATCGTGATTCGTGTTGCAAAGTCCCCACTTTTCACGTAAAAGAAAACTCGTTTCGTAACACTAAAGCTTCAAACTCACGATTTATTATTGTTGTAATGTAGAAAACAATTTTTGAGAATTATGCATTGACAGAATATTAGCATCACAAAGGACTTTAGGAGGATTGGAATTAGCTGATCTTCCTGCAGCGTCCGTTGCGGTCCTTCTTCTCTCCGTCCGGGCAGAAGGATGGCGCATCGAAGAGCGACCGATCGTCCAGCGAGATGTTGGCAGGAGTTGTCGATGCGATCACAGTGTCGGGAAATCTCTCGTCTGTCTCATTGATGAACGCGCGCACGTCAATTTCCCACACGAGGCGCTCGTCAACAGTGCTCGTGGGGATGGTCAGAGGGACCTCCGAAGGATAGGGCGCCATTGGCGTCTTCGGTGTCGGGAATATCTCGGTGACATTGGCTGGAACTGCCACTACAGGCACTTCTGTCGCCGATCCAGGAGTCAATTTGCCCTTCACATAATTATATCCACTCGTGACGCCGTCCTTGATCTTCTTCGCGCCGTGAACAATTCCGCACTTGATGTTCTCGAAGAATCCCGACACGCCCGACGCCTCATCGCGCTCCTCACTACTGTCGTGATCGTGATGGTGATCGTGATCGTCGTCAGGAATGTAGTGCGCCTTCACAATCGAGATCACAACGCTGAAGGTGATCACGATCAGAAGCAATCTTTTGCTGATCATGCTCTCTAACTTCTCAATAACTTCTCACTAAAGAATCTCGCGAAGTCTCACTGGCAGTCTCGATTATCTCGTCGCAGTATTTCTGATTACACGCACGATCGCAGGATCGAAAGTTCATCGGCAAGCCAGAGTCACTGTTGATACTCCACTCAGCGCCTCACTGAGACTGACTCGGTCGCAATTGCTCACTTTATGCTTTGGCCTCACTGACAATTTTTCACAGTCTCAGCTGGCAAACCTGTTATTGGATTCACATTGATGATACAAAGAGAATTTCAGATATTCCCGCCATGTTCAGGCAGCATGACAGCATGAATTCCCAGCAATTTTCCACTACTTCCTTCCAAGCATCACGCAACCGCGACGCGATAATCCCTCCAATAAGGAATCTCACACCCTTCCAGAGTTGCTGGGAAAACCCCAATCGCGATAGAGATTATTGCACTTGTCGCAATCGACGCTGTCGTCAACCTCAGGGCCGCATTGCGAAGGCAATGCAAATACATTTCTCTCTCTCTTTCCATGTCTTGCGATTCCGTGAAATATCGAAATTCCGTGTGTCTTTACGAGGTTCACGCGGTAAAAAGCGGAGAGACTAATTGGTTGAGTGCTTTTTCGAGATGCCGCTTCATTTTCCCGCATGACTCACTCGAGAATCCACACAATTGATTTAAAAATCAGATTAAAATGTGCATTAATTGAGAATTAGTCAGAGTCAATTTAGTGTCTGTGGAAATTTCGCAGCACGAGATTTACGTTTTTTGTTACTCCGCATGACTCAAAATTAGGCTCAATTGTTTGCTTCGTTTCATGTTTGCAGAGCACTTTTGTGACCACTAATTGACCATTGCGGAAGAGACGCAAAATAGAGTAAAAATTTCTTGCTTGTCCATTTTTCAACTCATGTAAATGCTGAACAAAGACAAGAGCGGCTCATATCGATGCTCAAGGGTATGAAATTGATAGCTGGAAAATCTGGAATGAATGGCAAGTCAATTGATGTTTAATTATCAAATTTAATCAGTTCATCGGCCAGTTTATTGAATATCCGCAATAAATGTGAAGTGCTTAAGTGGGCGAAAAATTTTATTTTTAATCAAGAACACTTCGACGGGCGAATCGAAAACTCTGAAGGGTTAAAATCGTCATTTTTTAGGACAGCGAGTTGTAAATTTGGAGTTAACATGCTGCTAAATTTGCCAAATTTACCTCAAGACTCTAAAAACACGTTCTAATCGGTTTTTAAAGTGTTAATATTGCTCTGTAATCATTATTTTGTTAATGTTTCAATTCATTTTATTAGTAATCATTGGAATTTATGACTGAAATATGTCAAAATTATTAGAAAAACTGGAAATATTAGTTTTTAAAGTCGATTTTTAATAGTTATCGAGTGTATTTTATCCAATCAAGTCCTAAAACCCATTTTTCCATGCTTTACTTGCACTTTCTTTTAAAGTTCCCAGTTGAACAAGTAACAAAATTATGCCAAATATTGTCATAGAAAATCAATGAAAATCTAAAATTAGAATGTTAATAAAAATACGCGAAAATTCTGCGTAATTTATAACTGTGCAATTTCAATTAATACTTTTCAACTCTGTTATGTCACCTCAATTGCACTCTGTAAATTATTCGTGATCGGCTTGAGGGCGTCTTGGGGCGATATAAACAGAGTTTTCATACTTGTATGATATTTGCATGACTGAAAAACCATAACGTTTTTTTCTGTGCTTCTCCTAGAGACAATCGTGCCACACAAAGTGGCACTAAATAACCATTTGTATCTGCCATATTTCATATCTTGGCCGCAAAGAGCAACAGTCGCAGCGAAGGTGTTTGACTTGCCGCTGAAGATCTGCGATGGCGCAGGGAAATCCCGCGGTGGTGCAATTTCAGAGAGCGACAGTGATATTGTGCTACTTAGTTTAAAAGTAAATTTAATATCTTCCACAAATACCGCAATATTGCTGATGAAAACTCACGCGACGTCTCTCCAAATGATTATTCCCTGTGTTTGTGTTTGTCGTGGAAATTGAATGAAGGACTTGCTTGAGGAGACGAAGGAGGAATTAGTTTCCACATCATGGTGAAACTTTTCCCGAAGACACTGGCGGTGAGACCATCTTTCAGGCACTTTCCAACCGAAAAGGGCTCGCCGGATGGGATGGAAAAACCCAATTTCTCTCTCTCTCTCTGCAGACTTCTCTCGATTGGGAGGCGCACGTGAAAACCCCCCGTCGAGTGGAGAGAAAAATGATCAGAATGATATTGGGAATCGTACAAGAGAAACAAATCTATTGTTTGTGTCGTGGAAAAGTTTTATAATTTCACTCCATGCCTTCAGGTCTGACGAGCAAGTGGAGCTCCTCTCCTCGGCCACATTGCCCAGATAATTGTCCGAAAGTTTCAGCGGGTGATACGGCAAAACAGAGTCAAGCTGCAGAGCACGAGGCGCAGGATGACCCCAATTAGGGGGTGAGCTCACCCTCCTCACCCCGGCCAGTGGCCAGTGCTGGACGGAATTGAACTTTTCCCAGGCCAGAGCCAAGCAAATCAAGCACATTCATTGATCGGCTCAGTTTGCAGCCCTTCTGGCCCGCAGAGCACCGGTGCCATTAAATACACTCGCCCTCAAGTGTTTTTGGGGCTTGCGAAGCTGTAAAATGAAAATAATTAGTGGCTCGAAAGTTTCACCGCAACTTCCAGTGTTTTCACACATTTCCTCCTCATTTGCGAGAAAAATTGGAAATTGCAGTAATTCGGCTAAAACACCCAGATTGGACGGCTTTAGCGTCCGGTCAACATGTGTGTGTGATAATTGAGGTGATAAGAAAATATGGCTAATTACAGTAATGCGCGTTTGTTTAAATTTGGCGCAAAAGTTATTAAAATTTTACCACAAAGCGCTATTGATGATGGGGAATCCTTTCGGAAAAATAACAACGCATTTTCCCATTTGTAATGTTGCATATTTGTATGCATCAATGCGTAGAATTTTGATTTGAATTCTCTAATTAGGAGTTGCTGGAAATGATCAAATTGTTTTCAACCTTTAAACACAATGCGAAATATAATTGCTTTTTGATTATATAAAATAGCCATATCAGAATCTAGCTAAAATACAGATGATTATTCAATAATAATTTCCCTTCTCACACGTCAAGTACAACTCAACGTGTAATTGCACAGTGAAAAGGAATCGAAATATATGATCTTATGCACAAATTGAGAGGCAAATCATAATTCGTGGGCTTTAATTATTTAATTATACATTCTACTTTCAAGATTAAATGCTCATTCGTGATTTATTCAGTCATTTTACCAGCAAAAAAGCTCATTAGGATTGGCGGTCAGTGCAAGGATTCAAGTGTTTTTCATTTTTTCACAAGTTTTTTTTCATTGAAAATGAGTGTGTGGAGTTATTTTAACATCCATTGAATGGGCAAAACTCTGAATTATCCCCAGTTAAAGCTTCCACGGGTCTTCTGCTGAAAAGGCCACCTGAGGCAATTCGTAAGCAATATCGAATGACAAGTTGAGGTAATAAATAAATGGCATAATTGAACAAATTAATTTCATATTGAGGAAAAGCGCCCAGCAGGAGGAAAACTTTGTAATATCAAAACTTTTGCATTTTGACATGCGAAAGGAAGTTTTTGGCGGAAAATTGGCGAGAAAATAAATGCGCACGAGAGAAAATTTGTTGATTTAATAAAAAGGAAAATTATACGGCCAACGACCAAAATATGCACTCGACAATTTTATTTGTTCTCTAAAACGAGGAGTATAAAATGCAAGCCGAAGCGAAGAGAGTGCCATATGTGCTTTTTGCTAAAGTTTTACACAGAATTTTCTGACTCGAAAATGGCTCTTTGCAAGAGGGTTTATAAATAAAGTGAGTAATAAATCGATAATTTGTAATATGTAGTTTTTACGGCTTTTTTCTTAAAATAATTTAAATGTTTCCTAATTTGCTCCAATTGCATGATTTTTGCAGAGGCAATTTGGGCATCTTTTGCAAAATTAGTAGCACACCTCTGCAGAAGCAGAAACAGAGAAATAAAAGCGAGAATTATGAGTGAAAAATTATTGTGAAAATTTCATTGAAACAGATGGCTAAAATAACATTCAGCCGTATTGAGTGCTCTTTCATGTTGAATTTGTTGTCCAAAGTTTTGCCAGGAGAGATTCTCGTCGCATTTCTAATTTCGCCGCATCGAAACTTTCGCCGAGCTGGAGACTTTTCCACCCCCGCCCCACAACACCCACCCCGAAGCCGCCCCCCCCCGGGAGGGAGCGAAAGATTGTGTCTCCGGGCGAGTCTCAGTGGAACTATCGTCTTGGCTTATATTGACTTTTATTGTGCTGCTGTGACCCAACTTCTCACCACCGCCACATCACGCCCTTGCGCCGAGGTGATGAAGAAGTGTGCAATAGGCCAATCGTCTCCCCGGAGGGAGGATGCCATTGTTGCCGAGGGTGGCTGTCGAATAATCAAAACATACGAGTATGAAAAGGAATTTCAAAAATTCCCTACTCGGACGCCGGGCATAAAGTTGGGAGAAAAATGTGCGAAAGTGGGTGAGACATTTGGTCATGATTTCTTATTTGGCACTGTTGGGGTTGAGAATAAACCGAGGGATTTTCATTATGGCACCCACTGCTGTCCGCCAGCCATTGTCCACTGGGAAGCACTCGACCCACAGGAATGCCCTCCCGTGCAGCCACATCCCGAGATACACTCAGAGCAAAGAGCCCGGCAAATTGAAAGTAATAATATTGGAGAGCTTAACGGGCTTTCCAATCTCTCTCGACAGCTGAAGTCGAAACTGCACGGCGAATGTGCTCAGAACGAGAGCTTCATGCAAACAACCGAGGGGAAGACAATATGTGCTAAAACTGTACACCACTTCCAGACACTTCTACCAGATTTTGTGCAGAAATCCTTAATTTACCACTATAGAATCCAGGTTTTTCCGTCTCAAGAGGTTAAATCTCTTCAAATGCTTAGATTTTAGATTACAAGAAATGATCTTATTGATCCTGGATTTATTCATGAACAATTTCCGTCTTGATTTTCTAGTTTTGTCTACAGAAAATGCTTAGAAAAATTCTGATCAAATTATTAGGTTATGAATCCGGCTTCAGAAACTCTTTTTAGACTTATTTTAATCCTTTTAAATCAGAATATGAGTCCAATACAGCGAATATCCCAATATTTCTACTAGAAATTGACGTTGAATTAGTCACTTCAATCAGTTATTCAATCACAAAAATTCGTATTAAATCAACCACATAACCTACAAAAGCAACAAAATTGATTTAATAAATGCCTAAATTTGCTGAAACAGATGCTTTTAAATATCTTACCACTTCTGCAAAAACTGTACACCACTTCCGATCGTAATATCTACCCCTTGAAATCAACATAATAGACAAAATTCCAATTTCGCTCTCCTGAAAAATTCAAGCCAACTGGCAGAGGATAAATTATGGTAGACTTTTATTCAGGTGGGGAAGAAATGTTTACATTATATTCCTGTCCCTCTAATCAGCTTTTCTCCACACTAATCAGTCGATTTTCCTGAGTGCAGCTCGGGAAGAGACACAGGAGATCTCATGGAAGATGTTTGTGTAGAAGTCTGGGCGTAAATCAAATGAGAAAAGCGCTTTTTCCCCCCATCTTTTCCCAACTCAAACAATTTCGCCGTTTATCTCTCCACCCCCTCGTGCCCACCTCACCAATCTCCAAACATTGAAATTACGTTAGCAGAAGCAACGAGTCGATCCGACGCTGCACGTCTCTCGCCGTCGAAATATGGGAGACATTTAATGAATTTCTCCCACAAGCACTCCAAGTCCAGTGACCACGGTGGCTAAGGAAACGACCATCCAGCGCATTTAATTCTGAGTTCAAACTTTATTTACACCTGTTTCTCTTCTGTGGCTCAAAAACGCCACTCCCCGGAGACATTCTCGCCCTGCAGAGTCGCCAGAATGTCTCTCTGTGGGGGTTGAAAGTGTGAGGTGGTTGCAGGAATATTTTCTATGAGGTACAAAATGTCTAAATTTAATCCTACGAGCACAGTGATATTTGCTGTTAATTAATATGTATTGAGCCTTTTATCACAGAGAAATTACAACCTCATAGTGTGTACATAGTGTGTGGCATTTGCGCTTATTAACCCTAACATTACAATTACAGTATCCCCCATCGAAAAACTATGCAATTTACACACTCACGATTCTCTCTCTCGAATTAATGCAACATGAGATGCTGCTACACATCCAGCATTGGCAATTGGGTGTTGGCATTCCAGCCAGATCACTGACTATCAATTATGTTTGTGAATCGAAAATCGCCCCAACCAATATTCTCATGTGTTCGTGAACGTTCTTACGGGAGAGTGGGAGGGAATATAATAAATTAATTTATGTAATGCTAAACGCAAACTAATAAATATGGCTAATTTATCGAATTATCTGCCGGCAGGTTGTACACAAATGGAGCCAGAGAGTTGCCGAGCTGCACTTTGTACTGCTGAATTGTTCGCTTTGATTCCTGCAAGAGACATTTTCAGTTCAATTGAGATTTAGTGCGATATTGCAGTATAATTTGGATCACCTCTTGGGCATCCAGCAACTCCAGCTGGTAGACTCGCTGCAGACCGCGGAAATTGCGGCCCAGAATCCTGCCGAATTCCCTTCGAGACAGCTTTGTTCTCTCCGTGGTGGTTGTCGTTGTGGCATTTGGATCACTCTGAGGCTCCTGCACGGCGATTACGGGCTGAAAATAATTGGAATTTGTCACACTTTCCTCCAGAAACACCAGCTAAAATCACACACCTTTTTCGTGGCTGTGTCGGAGAAACTGTTCTTCAGGACGTCGTAAATGCGCGCCAACGTGTAAGACGCATCGGTTTTCTGAGCCTGATGGAGCTGATGAATGGTGAAAATTGACTGGAAGAAGCCAAGTATGGATCGGGGCCGTCTAATCTTGGCTGCGCCTGAACTTTCTTCGCCATTATCCGTTAATTGGCTCGTTACTACGCTCACTATCAGCAACAGTCCCAGCGCCCACTTCATCATTTTCTCCTCGTTTGCCCGTCGCTGAACTCCAATTTGCACAGTCTGTCTAATTTGTCTGTGGGAAAAGAGAGAGACGCATTGTTGCGGGGCGATGAGACAAAGAGTGAGATAATGGCACGGTAATTTGGTCATTCAAGTGTCTCGGCAGGTCGAGATGGAGTCGCGATGCGTGAAGTTCCCATCGTCACGATCAATCGTCACCGTTTTTCGCTGTCAATGGTATTCATATCACGGTCATATCACCGCTGCACGACAACGCACTTATGCAATGCCACAAGAGGGCTCTCAATTAACCTCCATTTCCACTCCTGTCGCCCCAATGCGAGGGCAAGGGAGAGATAATTGGGTCAGAAGTGGTGTACAGATCAGTAGAAGTTTCAGGAAGCGGAAGTGCTTCAGTTTTTGCAATATTTGATTCATAGTTTTGATCCTAGTCGCTATTTCTTAAGAATATGCAATGCTAATTATAGGATTATAATCAAGAAAACTACGAAAAAGTGCTATTTTCGCGGAAGAAAATCAGAATATTGTACGAAAACGAGAGTTTTAAAGTTGTCATTTAGATTTCAGTCAGTTTTCAGTTAATTTTCAGTTAATTTTCGATTAATTTTCAGTTATATTTCAGGTAATTTTCAGTTAATTTACATTTAATTTTCAGTCAGCTTTCAGACAGTTTTCAGTTAATTTTCAGGCTATTGTAAATCAATTCTTATCCAAGTATTCATTTTGACATATATTTGTCAGTTAGAATTCGGTTAGATTCCAGTAAGTTGATTCCAGTCTTGTCAGTTCTGGAAAGTGTTAAGAATTTTTCACAAAAATTGTAAAAGTGCCACGAAGCGGTGTACAGATTCAAGCCACATTGTCTTCCCCTTGCGCGAGGGTGAAATTCACGACACTTTTGCCAGTGCTGATCGACTGCAATGCCTGCGCTTCGACCTTCGCGGTCACTTGGCAGAAGTCGTTTCAGCTCTCTTCCAAGGCCGCGCATTTCATCCGCATTGACTCAGCCATCAATTTCTGAAATCGATTCACACACTTCTCTCGCCACAGTGAATTATGCAATGGCAATTTCATCTGCACTTTTTGCCGTTCAACCCAATAACTTCTCTGACCATTTCTTCTTGCTCAAATATTCCATTTCGGGAGCGTGTTTCATGGTGGTTTTTTTGCGGTGTGAGCTCATCCACCAGTTATTAGGAAACTTCTTTCGCAAGAATCATCCAACGGAGATTTTCTAATAAATGAATTTAGTGCTTGGGATTTTCCTGCACAATTTTTGTATACAAAATATCACTCAGACTCAGTTTGAAATGAGCATTAGAGAGCTTATGCAAATCTTCTGTGGTTTCTACATAAGAAAACAAGGTCTCATTTGTCAAGATTTGTATTTTGACAATGCACCACTTCAGAAACGACAACTTTTGTAAATCCAAGGTGAATTACGGCTCTCGGTTGATCCTTGCGATTTCGTGTGTTTACCTTTCAATCAAAATCCTTTCATTCACTTTACTAAATTGATTGCCCGTCATGTCAACATGCAATTTTCGGATTATATTTTTTTCCGCTTCAGAATGCTTTCCTTGAGCCAATTTAAGTTCTCAAGTGACGAAATGCGGCTATTAATTACAGTATGCAGACACTTGGGCTCAATTTGGCACAGCTGAAAAATGAATTGGGTCTCCGAGAGCCATAAATAATTTTTTGGACAATCACCATTAAGACGATAGTCGGCAAAAAATCGCCCGTAATCGACCGCAACTGACCGAAAGTGAAAGCTCCCCAGCATTGTGTGCTCTGCAGAGTGTAATAAGCAAACTATGTGTTCAATGAGGTATTATGTCACCCACAAATTTGATTAATACATCTTTTCATCTCATTAGCGTGTCCCACTCGTTAAATTATTATCAATTGAATTAGCGGAGAAATGCGGCCGAGTGACCCAAAGACGCGAATGGCGGTGGGGGAATTGTTTACCTCTCGTGCGTCAACTTTCCACACAACATGCGATGGTTTGTTTTATTTACATTTTCGGACGATTCCCAGCGAACACATTAAGCTGAGAATTTCATCATGCTCAAAGATCTGCTCGAAAGAGCGCTTGTTACAGGTCAAAATACTAACATTACTCGCGATGTCGCATGCGAGTTTTCTTAGAGTTAAGAAATTTTCATGACATTATGTACTCTTAGGCCTCTTATTGATTGAAATGCAGAGAAAAATGCTTTCATCTGCTCAATATTGAGCAAGAAATGTTCGAAAGTGAAGAAAACATAACTCAAATTGTGGCGATGAATCTGTTCAATATTGTTAGTTCCTCCATCGTCCGCCACAATCGTTGCTCGATTATGAGCACTTTGGCTCAGCAGTAAATCAGCTGAAAAACATGCTGATTTTAGGTCAGTGTGTTCGCTGAGTTAATTTCAATGGAACACCATAAATACTGTAATCCGTGCTAAAGATTGCGTTGGCTAATAAACTTCAGGTACATTTGAAACACATAAAGCACTCCATAAGGTCGCGGTATTTTCGCGGGAAACGTCTCATTTCAATATTAGCTGTAATCAATGCAAATTACCTGTCAACAACCCATCTTTGTGCACGAATATACGCTTGTCAATCCCGCATTTTCACGGCTGTTCAAATCCGACACGCAAGACACTCGCTTAATTAAGCAATGTGGTGCAATCGTGCTAAGTATTATTTAATAAAGTCCCTCGGTCACTTCTTATGTGACTTCTCACCTCCTCCGCGAGGTGCTAATTTCACAGCAATTTGCTCAGCAAAATTAGACTTGAAAGACTCTGCGGTTGCCTGCAATCGATGCAGATGGTTTCTCATGATCTTCGCGGCCTCTTGGGTCACCTCTAGTCTAGAGAGACGATGTGCAATCTCGCGATGGAGTTTCTCTCTGTGACATTTCCATCAGCGTTGCTGCAAGATTATTTAGCATTCTCTCTATTGCTCATGATGATGAGAATTGATGGCGAAAAAGCTCATATCTCATCGTGTGTGTGTTTTTTTTTCATCCAATTTCACGACATTTCCTCATAAACGGTGATCACACACATCTTACAGTAACGCACCTTTTTTCGGGTTGATTTTCGCGCTCGCGCGCGCGCTTTTTTCCCCGCGAAGGTGCTTCAAGGTTTTATTTGTCCCGATGAAGTAACTTTTTCTTCAATTTCTCACACCAACCGCACTCAAAGTAAAGTTCGATTAGGTCAAAAGTGGAGACGAAGCGCGGACTTTTCTTGTAAATTGTTTGCACGATGAAATATTTGCTTTTGTCTCCACAAGATTAGCGTCTCTCTCCCCCGGCAAGAGGTGCAATTTTCTCGCGAAGAAGCACTTCGGATTCATCTATTCACGATTGTCTCCTGCCGGCATATTTCTCGATTATGCAACACGCGAGGTATTTTGTGGTTTTTGTCTCTTCTTGCCTCTTACGAATTATCATTGAGCCACGATTATGAAATCTCCATAAACAAGTGCTTCGATATGCATCGAGTTTAACTAAATGAGCTGCAATATTTACCTACGAGTTTGCAAGTTTGCACACGTGAGCTGAGATGATGGAGACGGAAAGATCGCTGCGGGTTTATTCAATTTTGTCATCAAAATTATGTATCTCGTCTGGGCGAGACGAAATGTCTCACGAGATTTATGGAAAAATACATAAATTTATGTGGCACATCTTGATCACTTTGTTCCACGGTGGTAAACATAGCCACTTATTAAAGCCAACTTAGTTGCAACGCCTCGCATTTTCTTGATCAAGCAGAAAAAAATTTCAAAATTTAAGAGGTTTCTTTTCTAGGTCAACAAGTTCTTCGCTCTAACCACAAAACTTTCTTTACACAACTTATCTCTTACTCATATTTTACCTTTATATTATTGCAAAACTATTTCCAAATTCACTAATCGCGTAAGTATTTTTTTTTTTGCAACACACGAAGAAATTGTTCTAATTCTCCACAATCCATTGCACTTTGGCTAGCATCCAAGCAAATAATTAACTACAAACTGACATTTTCCCGGCTGCAGAATACTTTATACGTAATGCAAAATGCATGCAATATTTTACAGGGGGAAAAAAATTATTTAGAGAAATTGCAAATGTGATGCAATGGAAGACTTGCGTGTATCGGACAAAAGATCATTTTCACGGGAGCTTTCATCGTCAATTGATTGCCCTGACGGTGATGCTTTTGAAGGGAAAAGTCAAGGTTTGCGCGTGGGAGATTTTTACTGGAGATTTCCATTTGATCTTGACTTCACCTCAACATATCAGCGCCGCGAGAGGGTGTTTTCCCGATGGTTTCATTGAGATTTCGGACGATTGATTGACGTACGGCAATTAGGCAGAGAGCAATGCGAACATGTAAATGGGGAGCCTTATTGGATTTATATGAAAATGCTCCGTTCATAATGCAAACAAACACTTAGCATTAGCCGAGCTGCAGAAGCCAATGGTCAGATATGTTGCATAATGCTCGTGTACTGAGTGGCAGTCCGGAGCACTTCTGACTCTCGTGGCTTTGTTATTATGTGGCGGAATGCTTTAATTGGAATTGGAGCGAAGACGGAATAAAATTTGGTGTGTCTTAACATCCACCGAAAGAGGACAAAAAAATTGCCAACGATTTTCAATCCATCAGCCTTCACTTTTATCTCCACAGAGACACTTTCGCGCACCATTTTACCACCGATAATAACACAATGACTTACGAATTTCTCGGAAAATGGATTGTCTTCCGACCCCGTTAAGTAACAACTTCACTTATGATGATTTCCACGACACTTTTTGCACCACAAAATTGTCCCCATTCTTCCACAATGATGCAATCACGGATGAACAGCAGCGGCAAGGATTCTCTAGTCCTCAGAGGTTTCCACTGCGAGCGTAAACACTTTTCCACGAGCTTTTCAGTGTGAAGGAAAGATTTTGAGCGGCACAATGGCAGAAAATCGAACTAACTGGCTCGTGGTGCAGACCGAAAGTGTTTACGGTGCGACGGCAACAGGTATTGCCAGCAAATCGAGGCGTTTTTGAAAGGCGGTCTGTGTGAGTGTTCCAAGTGCGATAAGTACAACATCTTTTACGTAAGCTGCAGCAGAAAACCTGCCTATCAATTGCATCCCCACTTTGGGGGCTTCGCCATGTGCTTCACGACGTCACGCCAAGGCAAAAGCGTCATCGATTGTCATCTTAGGAAGGGCAAAATAGTGCACTGAAAAGTGGCAAAATAATGCGACTGACCACAAAGGAATTTATAACAATTATCAACATAAAAAGCGTCTGGTATAAACTTGAAAATAGGCTAAAATCATCACTTGTTTGCTTCACGACACGAAAATGTAATTATTCGACACGCACGTATTTTCGGCACTTTAAGCGACCTTCAAGGCTCGCAGGTTATTTTTATCAAATTCGTCTGGATACAATAGTTGACTCAGTTTACATTTTCAGCGTCTTTGTGATCAAAAATTATCTGCATTCAGTTACATAAGTGACTAATTCGCTTCTGTTTCATGAATGAATGAATAACTAATGACATTCGGAAATATGTGCATATAATATCTTTCCAAATACATAAATTTTCAATTGGATTTAAGGGAAAATCAACAAATCAATGCTTGAACCGCACGTGGTCTTCCTAATCTTCATATTTCGCTGCAAATTCGTGTAAAGATCTCCTCTCACGTAATTTAATTACATTTTCTATTGATGTACAATATGTACAACTCGGAACATTTCATGTATAAATCAACACAGCGTGAAATGTTTTTTGTTAAAAATTGAATATTTTTCACAGCGGATCTATTTTGCTTGGCCAAAACTGTTTTGTCTGGTTTCTTTAGTCATTTTCTAGTAATTTTCAGGAAGTGCAACATGGAGTAAAAGTTTATGAATCAGAAAATGTGGTGAGATTCATGGAATGCAAAATATTCTTTTGATGATAATAAAGTTCTATTTAAGACGTCGCACACTGAGTTTATGCTTTCAGTTCTCAGTGCAACAAGCAGAGTTGCGAGTTTGATAAAAAGCTATGAAGCTAAATTGGATTATTGCCTTGCTTTTGATCGTTGGTGTAATTATTTTAAATATTGACGGCAAATCTATCACACGCAGGTGTGTTCATAATTAATTTTTTTACAATATATCCTAGATAATTTTGATTTTCTCATCTTCCAGTGCCAAGAATTCAAATCACTATATGATGAATGCGCCTTGTCCGTTCGGACAAAGAAGATTTCGCCGGACATGCCGCACAATTATTTAATAAATATGTGAATATCGCTGGAAAAAAAGCTTCATTAAATTCCCAAATATACCATTTTACTCTCTCCAATTTTACGTCATGGTTTGCCAGCTCTAGCCTAGAGCGGAACTCACACATGCGAAGAGTGTGTGAAAAGCCCGAACGATTGAGTAAACTTTCCATCTCTCTACAGTACAAAACATCAATTTTATTTTACTTCACAATCAGCAGCACACATTTGAGGGACAATTAACTAGTGGGACACTTGATGACTTCATAAAGAGGTAGTGGAAAGGCCAAAAAACGTGTCTCTTTTTCGGGAATCTTGCGCAACAGATGAGACTAAATAAACTCCGAATATAAACGACTAAATGCATAAATAAATTATTGGATGCTATTGAGGTCAATTTGCAGGCAAAACTGGTTGCGAATGAGAGTGAGAGTGAAACATTTTCTTGACCTTCGGGGCTTTTTGCAAATTGTGAGCGCGAAATCAGAAATTCCACTCGCCCAGTCCAGTCAACCCGTTGCAGTTTGTATGATGGCCGAGGCAAAAGCTGCGCCGTCGTCTCGACTATGTGCTTCCGGTCAGTACGAGAGTGCCGTTAGGTGGCGGTAGTGGTACGCCTTTCACCACAAGAGCTTTTCCCACCAGCGGCCTGAACAAGTCAACGAACACGGAAAAGCGTTTCGCTGAGTTCTGCAAAAAAGCCCAAAAGCACGCAATTTGAAGCGAGAAAAGGTGGTGAATTTGCCGTTTAAAAAGTAACTGATCTCTTCCTCACCATTATAAAATCTCCCGCCGCTTTGGAGACACTTCTGATTGTGCTCAGAGAGCTGGCGAAGGATTCACTGGGAATTTCCAGGGCTGTCTTGTGGCGATCGAGCTGCGCCACGTCGCCATTGTCGGCCTTTCCTTTGGCCAGTTTTCCTGAGCTTCCGCTGGCCTGCAAGAACAAGAGAAAATCACCACTTTAGCCACTGTTCTTGCGGAAAATCTCCCAAGACACACGTGCGATTAGATGGGAAGCTGTTGTGGGAAATGTTAGGCTCATTGTTAATAAGATGAAATATATGGTTTTCTTTGGGAGAGGAGATTCGTCTTTCCGCCCACGAGATGGATCGCTTGCGATGAGTTATTTGGGTGTTTCAGTTTGTGAATTTCGCCATTTTTAAAACAACAACCACTCGTGGATTACTCTTCAGCAATGAGGTAACCACTCGGATTGGATTTGGTCACTCTTGAGGCGGCGACCTTGTCACGTTCCATCTGACTAAATCTCTTTTTCGACAGCACAAGCGAGACACTGAAGGTGCATTAAAAGACCATTTGAGACAGCTTTTTTTCTTACATCAATTTAATACAATATTCTTTTCCACACTCAATTATATATATCAAAGAGAAAGAGTTAATGAAATCTTATTTACAAAGACATTTCTCCATTACAGATAATGAGCTATCATGAGGGGACTAAATGAGTGGTATTTGTGGCTCCGTAAATGGCATGTTGCAGGTGAAATTTGTGCAGTTTTTGGGGGCGATATGATTTCGATGCTCTTTTCTTGTGTCTTCACCTGCCCCTCTTACAGAGTATTTTATTGCTTCTGAATATCATCTAAAATGGCAAAAGCATACACTATCATCATCGGCTGGTGACTCTTCGATGGACTATGTCGCAAGGGTAAATTTCTTTTACACATCTCGTTCAAGAGGTCGATTTCTTTAGCGTCAATTTCCTAATGCTGGGCAAAATCCTACACTTTGTCTCTCTGGGTGATGATAAAATATCAAATAAAAGCTTCACAGCCACAATCGCATGTTGTCTCCTTTGCACTGTGAATTCCTCCCTTCCTCCGCCCTTAAATGCTCGGGATAAATAGGATGGTGCGATGCGGGGTATTTACAAGGATGCCGGGGTCCAGGGTGACGGCCTGATGATGGGATGTGGCGTGCGGGATTACTCTATTTGCGCTCGTCATCGGTGTCCTCGCCCAGCTCGTCGCCGCCAGTCTGGCCGCCGCCAGAGGATGAGGACAGAATGGGTCCGGAGAAGCGCAGCAGAGACGTGAGGATGCCACCGAATCCAGAGCCGCCGCCCGAGGCGTCTCCGGCATCGCCGCCGGCCGTCGCGAAGCCAGTGCCAGAGCCGCCGAGGAAGGATCCGCTCAGGCTGCCGAACTTGCTCGTGATGGCCTGAATCTTGGGCGTGATCACGGCCGAGATGAGGCTCTGCAGGCTGTTAATCTGTGGCGGTGGCTCGATGCCGTACTGCTTGTTCTTGGCAACATTCGTTTGATCCAGTACATCGATAAAGCGCGTTTTCGAATCAATTAGCGAATCAATTTTCTATGGACATTAGTATAGGAAAAGACAGGTTAAGGCTAATACGGCACAGTGTCGTGGTGTGAAAATGATAAATCTCCTCTGCCAAGAGACTATGAATAATTCAGTGTGCTGATCACATTATTTCTTTGACTCAGTGTGCTTGAGGTTAGTTACACAAGAACTTTCTTATACTCACGCTGAAAACTAATCCAAGGAGGGCGTTTTTCGTGCCAAAAACTGCATCGGGCAATTTTCTCTTCTCCCGTTCCAATTGGCCGTTGTCTTCCTGCAAATGTGGAGGGAAAAACAGAGTCGTGGAAAGGTACTCTTCAGTGAGGTCACAGAACGGCATGACCATTGAAAATTGCTAATCATCCGTTCAGTGTTTAGTCTCTCTTTGGGATTGTAAACAAATTGGATGAAGCTTAGAGGTAAAAAATGCCCTTACGTAACTGCATAGCTATGTTCAAACAATCAATAATCACGGCAAAGAGGCAAGTGGAAGGCCACATGACAGATCGAGTGTCTTAATCTGAAAGCGAAAGTCCCCACGGAGAGAGATTCTACACAGGGTGCAAAAACGGAGCCATCGAGAGATTAATTAGACGGGGCTTTAGTGAAAAATTGTTCCATTGAACATGATCGCAATATCGCGATCTCCGTTTTTAGCGCTGTGAGATAAAAAAGACCCTCAACAACCGATACAAAAGATACACAAGAGATTGACTGTTGCTAAATTTAATAATGACCGGTGATGGAATAGAGCAAACTTTCACTATCTGCGGTTTTTAGGCGGCTGATCGCGTGAAGTGTGCCAGTTTATCGGCGCTCTGGCAGATGAACATGCAGATGATTTTGACACCAACAGGCTTTTGTGCAACCGTGACCCGATCGGGCGGATTTTTCGGACTTGAGTTTGCACAGACGCTTTTCAGCCACAACGCGCAATAATGTATAATAATGGAAGATGCGCGATCATCTCGGGAGATCATCATCATCTAATGACGATGCTTCGGACGATCACGACATGGCAATTTTGCAAATGTGCGCAATGAAAGCTTTCACGGCGGATCTGTATGCGATTTGTGGTATTTAGAAGCCCGGGATTGCATAATATCTTTCTGGCACGCATCTAAATGGCCGTTATTCATGTATTGGAACTATAACTCGATAACATGTGCTATTGAGTCATTATTGGCAAATAGTCGCCCTGCAATTTCTTCAACTGTTGCGCGCGCGCGTGGCCAAAATCAGAACACAGATCATGTCAGATCACTTGTGCAAGAACTCACCACTTGATTGATGGGATCCAGGTGATCGTCGAGATCGTCGGCGCGCTTCACGCGCATCGCGGGCGAAGCCACACTTTGCTGCACTGCCAGCGTGATCAGGAAGGCCACAATTAATCCACTCTTGGTCCACATTGTGATGAAGATTGGCTGCAATGGAGAGAACAGAGAGAATTCACGATAAATTTGCAATGAAGAGCCCACGAAAAGACTGCAACACTCGAGTATTGTGAGAAACGATGTTCACACTTTTGTCTGGGCGCGAGGGACGCGTGATAGAAGTGCGGGTGGAAGTTGTCGAGGAAGAACGTGGACACTGTGCTGAAGATCACAACGCTGCCACACGAATGGAGGTTTTGAGTGGCTCCAAGAAGTAGTCGCGGGAGCATTCACGAGCGGAATGACCGCAATCGAAAGTTGTAAAGTTTGCGCGCGCTATTGCTCGGCGGCTTTGCCCTCTTCTTCTACCTCCCAAATGAGAAACTCGCGCGCTGGATGAAAATTACACCAACAGTCACAATCGGTGTATTAAATCAACTTTGTGTATTGTATTGTATTTCCATCTTTTTTTTTGCACCACCTCCTCTTCCCTCACCCGAGAAAATGGGGAGTTTGCAAACTATGGGTATTACCGAATGAATGAAAAATGCAAGTGAACCGCTCAATTCCGCGCCAGAAGCTCAATTGCAGGTGAGAACGCCCGTGTGGCCGCTGAGGACTCGCCGCGGTGGAAATGTGTGGTGATGGTGGAAAATACCACAAGAAGGTGACGCGAGTCGCACAAGATCAGCTCTCGACAGCAAATGAACCACTATCATATAAGATTGTTGGTATTTCTATAGTCAAAGCGCCCAGAAACTGGGTCAGCTGATTTCAATTAAATCAGCCACGCGGCATTTCCCCCCAAACCGCCTCCCAGCAGAACCCCATCCACCATTAGGATGATATAAAATAGCCACCACTCCGTGGCAAACTTCCCCTCCTCGCGAATCATCGTCATTTAATAGATCTTGCGAGATTCATCGTCAATTTTTCGTGGAGTCTTGCACCAAACATCCTCAATATGTTTTTAAGTGAGGCCAAGAAAAAAACGGTCGTTCAACGTGATAATTGTTCTTGTCTCTTGCAACAGAGTTGAACCACAAAAACTGACAGTCTTTTAATTCTGTGCGGATTAGTGGGACAATAAATAAATAAAATATTGCACACTAAACTGGCTTTTCGTGCGTTCTTTTGCAACAAGTGCGGTTTTGTCTCACTTTTGTAGGCCCAAAAAGTAGTTTCTTTGCGGAAAATGTTTTATATCAAAAATAATAATAAAATAAAAGATTAATTGTTCAGATAGTGAAGGTCAATAAATCAATGTAAAATCTTGCCAACTAACTTCCAAAAATGCGTGATTTTTTTCCTTATTTTAATACATGTTAAATAGCTTTTAATCGGATTAGCACGGCTTTTGTAAATATAATGCAAAACTAAGCCGATTTTCATGAGATCAACTTGAAATGTTTGGAAAATATTCCCTTAAAAGTGGCCAAAGAATTTTTTAATTGCCCAATTGGAGTACTTAAACTCCCTCATTATTTTTTTTTATTTGCAACACATGTTTAAATAGTAATAATTAGAAATCGCGCATCAATTAAAAAATAACCCAACATCGTTAAGCTATGGATGTAAATTAGCGAACTTGTTGCAAGAGGCAAATCTCAATTTTCTGCTCTTTGGGCTTTGACATCGTGAATGTCTTTCTTTTGCGCTCCGCACAGAAAAAAAGCCAACAACAAAAGCACCACCCCTGATCTTCTGTTGTGTTTTAAAATGCGCAATGCGAGCCGCATAAGGTACACAAAATAATTAATATTAATGTCATACAGACATGCAACAATTGAAGAAAGAGCTGGTAAGTCGGACAATTCAAACAATTAAGCATTTATTTGAGGAAGTGAAAGAGATAGCGGTATGAGCACGTTTTCCATTATACAATTTTGCATGGAATTTCCCTCTACTTGCGCACGCGTTTTTCATCTTCTAGAGCTTTCAACTGAAGCGTCTTTCTCGGCGCTTTTTTTTATTGCGCCCTCGCGCTTTTGCCTTTTTTTTTCTTCTTTACTTCACTCTCCTTTTCGATATGCATTTTGACATGACATGTCGCGCTTTTACTTCGCCTTGACCTCCTTGTATTTCGTTCACTCTCATAACTGGTTCAGCGACAAAACTCGCTGGGAGTCTTAAGGAGGCAAATCACTGGGTAAATGTCTGCCTCTTCTGCACACTCGAGGGGCCACTTAGCACTCCGACTATGATTGCTAATGCAGTGAAGGTGCACAAAAAGAGGTGCCAAGCATATGATGAGGCAGATGACCCACCATTGGAAGGTGCAATTGAGCCGTGCTGTTGCGAAATCTAACATTTTCCAGTGGGAATGCCGCATGAGACACCACAAAATTGTGCAACACTGCTCAAAGGCGACTGAAAATCTTTCACTAATTACTTATTTTGCTCTCATACATGCGCAAGTAGTGCAATTATGACGGGGTCGGGTGTCACAGGGGTGCCAGAGCGGCAAATCGCCGAGAATGCGGCGGAAAAAGAGGAGGAAAAGCTGCTCAAACCGGTGCAGAATTGATAAACTCTCGAAGCTTTACTCCCAGCTGTGAGAAATACCCTAAAAACTCTCCAAGGGCAGGTAATTTTGTGGAAAATAATTTAAATAATCAGCGAGTTGCACAATCGCGAGGTGTTCTTTATTGAATTTAAGGCGTAAATGTGCTGAATCACATGAATTATTTTTTTGCCAAAGAAGTAAGGCAGTGAAGTTTTGCAGAAATGTAAATGCAACTTTCAGTAATATTCATGAAATAAATCAAAATACAGTTTTGCACAATATCATTCATAAAGTAGGTAACAAAAGTGTAATTTCTTCGGTAACACTTCAATCTGAAGAAAGTAAATGTTACTGACCTCAGTGTTTTTTTAAGTAGACTTGTTGTCATATCAACTGCAGAAACAACACTGGGTTGTTTCCAAAGACTTTCAGCGTTATCGTGTAACTTTGTAATCACTATTCAATTCTAAACTACTTGCAACAATTAGAATCTCACATCAATTAAGACTTTATTAGAAATAATCATAACTATGGCAATGTGTAACTTTATAGAACAACCAGATACTGTGCATATGCAAATGACTATTGTTCCAGTGGAAACATAAAAGTGAAAAACTCATACATTGTGCAAATCACATTGAAAATCATGTAAAGAAACATGGTCATGATGAATTAATTTCAAAAGAAAACGGTAACCTAGTCAAGACGCACGGTCACCTGGCGTCTCCACTGCTCAGCAACCAGGCGCCCCCACATTGTCAACTCTCGAGGATTTTACTAACCACACACCATTGACATTATTACTGTTATTAAACCGCTTTGGATGACTTTATGTAATTGTTTGTGAAGATGACTCGCGACGTGGAATATGAGAGAGCTTTTTGTCACTTTTCATATGCACTCATAGTGTGGCGTCCTCAATTTAAGGTATACGAGAAAAACAGAGAGAGACCAGAATTCTATGCAATTCAGCGACCAGCGATACAATTGTGAAAAGTTTCAATGGAAAAACCTTGGCGCACAAGACATTTAATGTTTGTGACACCTTCCAAAGTGATCCATAACAGTAAAAGAAGCAATTGATGGTTTTACTGAGTGCAATTAAGGCCCAAATGGCTGAATAATTCGCGGTGAATTTGTCATGATCTCGCGAATTAGTGCAATTCGTCACGTTTAGTGAGCCATTAGTCACTTTGAGGGGTGTTTAGGTGAGAAATTGAAATGCTACTTAAGTAATGAGTGTCCTGACGTAAATTTCATTGCAACTAAAAATCAATTTGAGCAAAATTCACGTTTAAATCACAGTCAGAAGCATTAATTAATTGCCGGCATATTAAGAGATTTTCCCTGTCATTTGCCCTCGAGTACTGAGCAAGACATCAATTTTAATAGATTTGTGAATTTTGCACATAACGCAGTGAGTGGCTTTCCTTGAACTGAAGCTTTCACTGGGGGAGAACATTCTCCTCCAGAAAACCACTCTTTGTGCCCACTTTGCGCTCTTTTTGCTCTCTTGCTCGCCAAATCGGGTTTTTCTGCACACTTTTCACTTCTGCAGAGGTGGTTTTTCCTCTCGAGAAGCTGAAGAAAAAACCACCAAACGAGTTGCAGGCGATTTTCTGCGCTCACACCCAAATCAACTCGACGATTTTTACTTTTTGAACGCCAAGTTAATTGGTGAAATGGTGTCAGTGGAGTAAAACATGCGACTTGCGACTTTCAGTCGCGAGAAACGCTGATTGAAGAGACACAGTAAAAAGTTTCGAGCATTTTTCCTTGCACTGTCTTGGATTATGAGTGATACTCACAGCGGAATTGATGGATATGGAGGGAATTTCAAGGATTTTCGCACTAAATGTTCTGCAGAGTCTCGTTATATTTTTTTTCACCTGCACATAAAACGAAATAGCACTTGGAATTTCTCAATGTATCACATATTTTCCTTCTTCAGCGCCAACACTTTTACGGCCGCCGGTTTGAAAGGCACCAAGGCGAGGAAAACGACAGGAGAAACACAAGAGATGGTCGAATATTGCACGTTTGATTATTATTGATTTTTTTTCCTTTTGAACACAAAAATATTTGATAGCACACTAATAATTGCTAACAAGTCACAAATGAAGGAATTTTGCAATCACCGGAATTTTTTGCCGCCGCGGCGAATGTTTACCGTAAAAATCCGCGCTGCGCTCAAAGATGTGACACCAACCTCTTTGATGGCAGAGGCAAAAGTGACGACAGGTTATTAAACGCAAACATCGTGTGATAAATTTTCCAAAAGAGAAATTCCAATTGGCGGAGAAATGGTGAAATGGGCTGTTTCGCAAGTGACCTCAAATGCATCATGAAAGTGTAATACTTGAAGCCCAAACAGCTGATCTTCTGTGCTTTCAGCGAAGAAAGTATCACAAAGTGTTTTTCTTCCACTGTTGATCGTTAAAAGCTTCACTGTCGAAGAAGACCCACATTTCCTCTTAAGTTTCATCATGAAACTCTGGGCAAAAACCCCGTTCAATTTGCACCGAAAAAAAAGTAACGCTCTTTTATGTAATTTTATAGCGTCATTCGCAATTTTATTGCAATTCTTGGTCACCAGATACATTAGTTATATACAATTTCTCCTCTAATTTTAACACCCAGAGCGGTGTGTGCATGAAAAAAGCCCGCTGATATTAGATAATCACGGAAATTAGATGGTTAAATTAGTGCAGAATGAGAAAAAAGTAAGAGATTTCAGGAGATTTTTTTGCCTAAACCTCTGATCTTACGTTGATTAATCACACGATCGCAACGTGGCGAGATCATTTACAAACCAATTTTTGTCACTCTCGACCCAGGAAAATTCCCCGGCAGTCTTGTGTGATCCTCAGCAGTCTGATCGTGAAGACAATTATGAGAAACACACTAATTTAACCATCACCGGCACTCACGATACGTTTCCCGATCTCTGGCCAGTCTTTTTCGAGCGCCGAAGAGACGTCTTACCCATCGAATGAAAGTGAATTTTAATGACGTCTTGCCTTGACTTTCACTTGTGTAAACGCCATATGTGGTTGGAATTGTTGTTATTTAATTTGTCCATTCCGCAAAAAAAGGTGAATATGTACAGGAATCTATGTAAATTGTTACTTAAACTTCATCGAACTTTGTGTACAATTGGCCGAAAAGCATCCACTTTCAATTTCACTGGCATTTGGCGACGCAGCATCATCGCGATCCGGAAGACGAGGCGGCTGATGAACTGCCCGATAAGTCGGCGACACCTTGAGATGAGCTGCCAGAGGAGCCCAGAGAGGCATTCAAGATGAAACTCGTGATGCCGCCAACAACGGATGACACGATATTTGAGATGAAGCCGAAGATGCCAGCACTTCCTGCCTGAAAGCATTCGTTAGTCTGGGAAGAAAGTCTCCATTTATCAGTCATGCTCACATTGTTGCTGTCTTCCTTCTCCTCTTCAGTCGCTTCGCCTCTTCTCTTGCCCTCCTTGAAGCCCTTGAAGAAGTTTTGCAGGAAGAGAGTGGGATTGGGCGGACCCTCCTCATTGTCAGGATCCTATTATCAGTTTACAGATTTAAACAATCATCACAGTTACATCACTACAAGAGGAGAATCCAATTTTGGCTGAAACACTCTCTGGGGAACAATTAATAAGCTAAAGTAATTGAGCAATATTTTATCGACACACTGAAGATTTCTTAATCATCTCAGATTTCAAATTAAACTTTTCGCCAGACACTGAAAACAATCGTGGTATTTTAAACAGAAGATAAATTATACATTCCACACTTTTTTATGATTAAAATATTCTTTCCAAGGACTTTCAAGTTCATTACCTCAAGAATCGGGTTATAAGAATTCGTAGAACACAGTGAAACTTGTTTTTAACGGACACATTTTATGGATAAACAACCTATAAAGGTCGTATATTAAAGACATTTCTAAACATTCCCCTTCTCCAGTGATCATTGGATATAATAATAAAAATTTAGAATTTGAAAACATAACAAGGAATGTTATATCAAGTTTTCATCGATGAACTTCTCAGATTAAAAAGTTGAACAACCAGAAACTCGTGAAAGAATCTTATCTGACATGATAGCTCCGCCCTCTTTCATGCCCCGCCCATTTAATCAGTAAGTGAACATTTGTAAAATCAACCAACATTTTCTTTCAGTGCCTCTCAATTCTGTCCTCCAAAAAGGTGTGAAATTATGGAAAATCGCAATCCAATGTCCGAGCGGAGAGTGAAAGAGACTGTTCCAGCCAGAATTGGAGCCTCGAGTGGAAATACTGTAGCCGCACGTGGAAAACTACTTGGTGGAAAATTGTACTCTAGGAATGTGCGATGAGGCAACAATTGGTAACCCTCTTGGCATTAATTTGAATACCCCCAGAGGTAATGGCTATCGCTAACGATCTATTATACTCTACAATGGGACTCAATGCTGCTTTTTTCCAGGTTATTCACTCTCCCATTTTATCAATTCGCAAATAAAACTACATTCCTCGTCGTTTGGGGTTAATTCCAGGTACAAAATATTGCACTAACCCATGCTGTATATGAGAAAATTGAGCGCGCAATGCGAGAGATTACGTCTGAATGAGGCTCTCGAGGTGGTAATTAATGGATTTGAATAAACAAAACGGGCGTTTGAAACAGTTCCAAGGCTGCATATTCGTGGCCTTTTTTCACTTCTTCATAATCTAACAGTTTTTTTTTCCTTCAGCCATTTGTTTTCCAATCTTGCAACAGGCACTTTCTCAACACTTATTACTTTGTCTCATTGGCTTGATTCGGGGTATTATCTAAAAACTTCTTGGATGTTACGAGCGATGAATTTTTGCTCTCTTGTCAAGCTTTTTATCCACCGCACCTCCAAAACTTCACATGCTTTTCTCAAGTGAGAGATATTCAAGTGATAAATCGGGCATTCACAGATGATGGAGATTGATGGGAAGGTGAGGAAAAAGTGCGTTAAATCATCTCTTTCTCCATGGGATCTATTTGGATATTATCGTGATTATTAGCCCCCAATATTGATCGAATATATGTGATGCAATTTCGCGTATTCATGTTACTCATTTTTACATTTTCTCATTGCGGCGACTCTGGCGTTGCGCAATTTATCAATCTAAAGCGCCATAGCTTGTTGATCAACCACTTTATTATCATCCGATCAATGGGGTGTTCCTGCAATCTTTCAAAACCATCGTTCGCCTCGTGCCCGGGTTTTTTTCTGCCAACACTGTCCACTCTTGCACTTTCTTCCATCTTCTCTTCCACCGCTCAATTGTAATGGAATTGTTAGTTCATACTGAGCCACATTCAGCCTCGTGCCATCAATTAGCAAATCATGCGATACGATCTAATGAAAAGTGTTATTACTGAAGCCAGTCAACCGAAATGTGTCCACTTTTGTCCACCTCCTCAAGTCTGGTTCTACAACTACTCGTGATTTCTTGCACTCTCACTCGCCAGAGCGAGACCAGTGACATATGCGTTTCAAGCCTATTGAATAATGTGGTTCTCATGTGTAGAAATTTCACTCATTTACCAGACTCAAGCCCGCAAGAAGAGCTCCTAAGAAATTCCCGAAAAACTGTCCGTTGAGATCCTAGAAGTGTTTTCATACAGAAATCATTAAAAATGCAGTGAAAGTGGCAACTTTTTGAACGCTTTAAGTGGAAAAATTGATGAGAAATCTCTGCATATTTACCGCAGCTCCTCCGCCAGAGAAACCATCGATGGCGGTTACAACATAACCAGCAAGGACTTTCCCGAAGTTATCATCTCCCTGAGAACGTCACAATATCAGAAATTGCCAAGGATTAATGATTTTGACCAAGGAAATCTCACCCCAAGAAGTCCAGCGAGAAGAGAAGTTCCTGAACTCAACAAAGACGGAATATCCAATCCACCGGGCTGCAAAGAAATTCAATAAAGAAACCATGAAATCACCTGCAAATTTGCCAAAAATGAACATCAAAAAGCGACATTTCAATTTTTCTCAAATTTATGGTTGTATCTATTTATATCAGGCATTCACTGTTGCATAAATTTAATGATCTAGAGTGGATGCTTTCGAAAATTGTTTCATGATTTCCCATGAAATTTGTGAATGCTTTTTCAATTGACGCGAATTAGGCAATTAAGCCAGCAAGAAGGAGTGATATAATCTTACCCCAAACAGATTCGTCACGACGCCCGTGAGCGCGCCCAGGAGCGCCCCAACGTCCGAGCCCTCCTCGCCGCCGCTCAGGGAGGCAATGATGCCCACGAGCCCGCCCGGGCGATCCTCGTCCGTCTCCTCCTCGGACAGCTGGAGTCCGCTGCTGCTGTCGCTGGTGTTGTCGATGGCGTTCGACGACTCCTCGGACGTCTTGTCGTCCTGGCGCCGGGATCGCTCAATGTAGGGCGCGACAAAGTCCGGCGACTGCGTGAAATCCGTGAGGGCGTTGACTGTGAAAAAGACAGGTGGGTGTGAAATGGGCACATACGACACGAAAGTGCCCGCGTATGGACCTTGAGCCGAAACTGGCCGCTCATTTGGCGCTTTGGTACTTTTCCTCTCCTCCTTTTTCACTTCAGACTTCGCGACAGCTTTCGGCTGCTGGGCTTTCAGGTACTTCATCGTCTGCCTGCCCTTCTCCACCAATATCTTATGCATCATATTGATGTGCGTGTCTACTTGAGCCTTCAGAGCTTTCGTCTGCTGCGTGGCGTTTCCACTGAAGATGTCTTTGGAGGGCAAAGGGTAAGGCTGCAAGTTGCGAACGCTGTTCTGAAGAGCCCTTCGATAGTCATCGACTGACGAATTGGTCTTGGCGAGATCGAGAGCCGTGGAAAGCATAGCAATTGCCCTGCGATCTCTCGTCATGAACTTCTCAATCTGCTTGATCTTCTGCAAATTGCCTTCTGCACTCGTCGAGGGCGCTTTTGCATAGAAATCCTGAGCCATTTTCTGCAGTTGTTTCTCCATGTTCTCCTCGGCTTTCAAGGCACCATTTAGAATGCTGATAGTCGCTATCAGCCGAAGGTCCTTAGGTGATTTCTGAGAAAAGAATACAATCATTACGCAATTTTCAACACTGAGAAAAAATTGAGCAAAATTTAGTTCATTTTCAACTTGATTTTAAGCAAAAAATAAAGCTTAAACTCGACCTATAATTAGTTTCAGCTTGACAAAGGAGCACAGAAGAGAAGAATAACTTCCAGTAATTTTCCTCCTTAAAACTAGCCTTGTTTTGAAATCATTATGAAAATTCCTTGTTTTTAGTCTACGAGTGCAGAGAAATCATCTTATTAACTTATCACCTTATGTTAAAAGGACCTGAAATTAACATATTATTTCTCTGAGTGCATGATCACTAAATTACAACACAATAGCTTTAAAATCACCACTGATTTATGTATCTTTTTGTTAAAAATCCAATTATTGAAAACACGTAAAATGTTGCGACACTGCATTTAATCCACGCTGAGTATCTTACCCTCATTTTCTCGTATGTGAGCAGTGTGGGTGGCTTCTTGGAGGCTGGCAAGGCTTTTACACTCGCGATTGCACAGAGAAGAACCACAAAAACCACACCTCTTTGCATTTTGTCACCAGGTAGGCTGATAAGTTTCGGAGGAACGAATCTGAGGTCTCTTAATGCATATCACGGAAATATCGTCCAAAAGCCACGGCCAAAAAGACAGTCAATCAAATGACAAACACTCACTGAAGAAGTGACTCGTTTGTCATTCTGATTTATATCGAGGAAGTGGAGAAGCTCTAGTTAGGGGAAATGACAAGAAAGCAGTGGGAAAAGGAAGACAGTATGATGACATTCTCGGACGACAGCTGGAGTGGTCATTATCAGGGTGGGTGAGGTATTTGTACCATCGAGTAGATCGTCAATGAAACATTGCATTAACTCGCCCACGCACGTTACATCAAGAGACGTACAAGAGTTGAGCCTCTCTGGCCATTTGGCCAGCCAGGCGGAAAGGAATCTTACATTGCTTCGCAGCGAGGAAGTGATCACAAACAACATTGCATTGGAGGCATTTGGAGGGAATGCGGAGCGAAGCTCTTCCACCCATTCCGAAAAGTGTATCGACACACGGCGCGCCGTTTTGGGTTTACCCACCGAAAGTCCGGGAGATTTTGCAAGATCAATTGACAAACACTTGACAGAGGCAATAATCAGCATCAACTGGCCGGCTGGGCATTTTTTCCGCTCATTTAAATTGCGATATGTCCACACGGCAATATTTTCGCAAAAATAATTGTGCCGAAATGCAACACACGAGGGGATTTTTCGGCGAAAAATTACACTTTCTGCTCAGTTGGAGTTTCTCAATCAGAAGGTCAAACCCCTCGAGAGAGTGGATAAAGTGCACCTCGTCGAGACAGAATAAAAGAATAAAAAGTACCCAGAATTCGACTGGAGAGCAAGAGAGAGAAAAGAGAGCAAAAAATAATATTTCTCAGTTGGTCAATATTGGCAAATTGTTGGAAATTTTAGCAGCAAGAAACCTTATTCACTCGATTCGTGCGCGATAAATTGCTTTCGAAGGAGTGTGATTTGAGCTGAAGCAAGTAATCAATACTGATGAAAATTTGCATGGACGATGTAAGATATAAGATGAAATCTAGTTCAATAGAGCACACATTGTCAGACACACTCAAAATGATAATTGCGCACTATGAATTATCTTTTGAGATCGCAGCCTTTTGCTCCCGATTCAGCGAGAATTCTTGCATTTTCAACTCAATTCTCCGACTTTTTGCCACTGAACTTCTCAAGTTAGACATAAAATTGAATTATTCAATCTGTCCAGCAATTAATTACGACGCATTGAGTGGCAAAAAATGATCCAGATGCTACAAGAAGATACAAAATCGGAGTCTCAAATCAGTTCTTTCGTAGTTGAAAGTCTCAATGTGTGGAAAATATTGCCAGGAAACATTTCTCTAATTTATTATTCTGCAAAGAATCCCAAGAATTGCTCATAATTTAACCTATAATTCCGGCAAAATGCATTATTTGCTTCTTTTCCTCACAATTTTCATTAAGTCAAAAACCTCGACAAGCATAATGTATTATAATACATTCACATACTTCCATTTCAGGCAATCATTTATAAAAGTGAATCAAAACAAGGCAAAAGTTAATTATTAATTTTTTTAATTTAACATATTCTTTGATGCCCTATTGCACACGTTATGTAATGCCAAACCTATCGTGATAATGATTTGTATTTTAACACTCGCACTTGTTGTTTCCACATCGATAGCATCTGCTTTGTTTGGTTCAACATTAGGTTACCGGGTAATTACTCATTATTTTCCGAGAAGTCCAAGCAATTTTCTGACGAACAAGAAAATTTTACATCTTCGCCATTTGCAGAGATTTATGATGATAGACAATACGGAAAAAATCCCATAGCATTTGTAACTGTTTTTCTTATTGCATAAACAATCACTTTTATCGCTTCGACATGTGTCAAGCGATAATTCCTGTGTCTTAATTGAATTTGCTACAAATAGAGCAATTTGCGCCGCCATTCTTCTCTCTGGAATTCAATAGAGCTTGCTCTAATTGAGAGCATAATACAATTCGATTGATCAACGCCTGAACCGCATATTATTTGTCTCTTCCGGGGGGAAAACACAATTCCATTGAGATGCATCTCTGGGCTGCATTGCGCCAAATCCAAGGTTGCACACCGTGAGAAATTCCTACAATTTGTTCCCATGATGTGCCTCAATCACCGCGGATTGCCAAGCATCAGAGGAACAAGGTGTTCGCTAAAGATCGCCACTTATCTTCGAGTATTGGCAGCGGCTGAAAGTGCGGCAAAGCGCGTGAGCAACACACTTGGCGGCGATTGTATTCGCATCCACGGTACAAATTGTGGGCTGGAGATGCGAGAGAAGTGTATCATTACAGCAGATGAGGTGTCTCAAGGGATTTCCCAAGAGGTAGACGTCTCTCATAAACAGAGGGAATTTATTGTTGTGCCTAAACAACAGCAATCATATCGACCCAGTTGAATAACTCGACTGGCAATAGTGCAGTAGCATTTATTGCATTAAAATGCGCACGAAGGTACAGTGTTTTGTGTCTCAGACAATTCATTGTGGGGTATTATGGGTGAGACGTTGCGTAATTTCGCATGGAAATTGCGTTCAATCATACATATATATCTTTCCCTCCTCAGCTGCAGTCATTTTCCCATTCGCGCGCTCTTTGTCAAATATGAGGCAAATTGTGTGTCTTTTATTAAATCCAGTAAATTAATAAAACTGGCGAAATGATATTCAACTTTTCCATCATACAACTCAATCTGCTGCTCAGAAGTAATATACAAGCGCGATCTTTTGTTCGCGCTTTTCCAAGGGGGAGATAAAATGGTCAGAAGTGATGTACAGATAAGAAGAAGCTTTAGGAAGTGGAAGTTTTTCAATTTCTGCAATTAATTTGGGAAATGTTAAGTATTTATCACACAAATTTTGTGCAGATTTCAGCCATCTTATCTCCTCCTTGCATTTTTCGCCACTTTTACCATTCTCTTGCCCAAGACTTCCCCATATCAATAAAATGAGCCAACTTTATTGGATTTTGAGAATGTTTCTGCTCTGAAATTTCCCTCTCATTGTCACGAGAGTCTTTCTCAATACTCTTTTTCTGTCTGGCTTAAGCAGATTTTTGGGGTCATTTGGGTGTAGAAGACTTGATGGCATAGAAAAAACTGTCTCCGGCCGTTTCTGCGTGGTGACATCTTATTTCACAAGCCACTCAAAGAAACAGGTGTCTCTGGAAATTGCTAATTAGCTGAAGAATTATACACTTGGGAGTAATTAAGTCTTTTCACGGAGAATTAGATGGTGACACAGGTGAATTTTCTCATTAATAACACACCGCTTGAGTCAGTAATATCAGAAAACACAAACGTGAATTCTTACATTTCATATTCAACACATTTTCTTGCCATATTTCAAAAATTATCTACGATATAGATTATCTAATTGCACGTAATGAAAGGATCATTCCATAGAGAGAAATAATTTCTTTAAGCGCTCAATTTTGGCGAAAGTAAACACCATAAATAATAAATCGTGCTCAAATGTGCTTTAGTTTTGCATAAAAAGCATTCCTCAAACAATCTTCATTTTTTCGCAAGGCAGCACAAGTCACTTTTAATCTCAGAAATGTGGCGGTATAATTTGGAAGTAATTTGCATCGTCAGAACTTCTTTCTCTTCGTGAGTGAAAGTTTATGGTGGATGAACAAAAAGAAGTTCGCGCCCAGTGTTGTAATTAATAGCTAAATGAAAAGTCATTGTCAAAATTACCCGCATTACTGGTCGCTTCTTGGAAATGATATTCCACCTGTTGCCCAACATTCTTGGCGATTTCTGCAATTTGTTGGATGAATATTGTGGCATAATTTAGCAGGGGTCAGAGACTCATCGATACCGTGGTCACTTGCCATTTCACAGAAGGCACATTGTGTGGCAAAATGTCTCGTTAGTTAGTACATATTGACGCCTCTTTTGTCATCGCTGATTATGATAATTACAGCTGTTATATTTAATAAGCTCGCCACACATGCATTGACTTGGCACTAATGGGAAATGACAAAACCCACGTGAAAATGGCAAAAGCTCACAGAACCTCGCACTGGCACGTAATCGAAAGTGAGAATCTTCGTGTGCGGATTGCATACAATTGCATAGATAGAGATTGCAAGAGAAGAGACACCTCTGAGTGATCTCTCTGTGTGTGGAATTAAACGTGCTTCGCTGGTGAGACGGCGAAGAATCACTCGAGATTAATCAGTCTATAGGGAAGACAATGAGCAGCATATATACATGCCTTTCACTGTCTAAGAATATAATTGTATAATTTGCAATTGTATAATTTCACCGCATTTGTTTACATGGCACTTGAGAGGTGTTTTGGCGCTCATGTCTCAAGAGATTGATCTCTGACACATTACAGCACACGCTTAATTTCTCCCATAATCTCCGTGGCCCATCTCTTCTCCTCTAGCATAGCATAAACATTTTTCGTAATTGTGTTTATGCCAACAATTGCACTCCATCTCATAATGAGGCTCGATTTTACCAACGATCCGCCAGATAATATTCTCTATCTCCATTGTAAATCATCTGCGCGGCAATCATGTGCAGTCTTCATCGTGATGAATTGTCCAGAAAATTAATTTCATACCAATCTTCCAGGAAAGACCACCGAAAAAGAGGCAATAAACAAGTGGGAAAAATCTCACAGAGAGAAAAAAAGAAAATGCGGAAGGCAGAAATGAGAAAGAGATCACTTTTGATACTGCAATTTTGAGTGATATATTAAGAAATCATGATATTTCATAATTATTTTCACTTTCCTTAGAGAGATTAAAGTCACGCTTTTAAGGCCAAAGAGTTCAAAAAAATTCTCAATGGTAGAACTAATTACAAAGACTAATTAGACGAATGTGAAAATCGATAATCATTGAAAAGAAAAACTGCAACTGGTTCTATGAAAATTGCCTCGATTGTATCTCCGGGATGATCAGAAAATTGAAGGAAACCCCCACAAATGAACCATTACGGCGGCGTTTAACAAAACTCTTCCAATTACGCACATTTTGCAACGATTATCAATTGATGAATAACTGCGTGATTGCAACTGAATATTCCGCAGAAATAAAAGCTGTGAAAATGTGACGAAAAAGTAAAATTATTACCTTTTCGCACCTCAACATTTTTCAAATATCTCCCATTGCACAAAGTGAGATTTCTGCTCTTTAAAATATCTATCATTAAGCGTAAATTTGTAATGAAGTGTGATAAAATTGGCAGGAAGTCCTCTGAATACCAAAGCAAAAAAGTTGCGTAAATATTTAAGAATATAATATATGATTAATGTACATAAATAGAAGCTTCACATAAAAGTATAATGGCAATATCTTACCTTCAGAATTCCTTCAGGTTTTGTGCATTCATCATTAACTTTGGAAAAGTGATTCTTAAAACAAAAAGTCTTTGGGTGATTTCTTTAGCAAAATAGAGGTCAATTTTCAATATAACTTTTTTATAGACTTCTCAAATCAAAGATCGAGTACTTGAAGCCTTGTCAGAATTCTCTGCATATCGGGAAGCTCGCGAGAGCTTTGCATCCATGAGAAGCTCGGCGGGAGGAGATTTATCTCCGCGTGATGCTTTACACTGTGAGAAAGCATTGCCCAAAACACACTCCGTGTTGGTCGTAAAATCTGTTGGCGTGACAGTTGATGTGGAAAATGTGGTAAAATTGACAGTGTTTGATGTGAAATTGGGCAAAATCGGCAAATTCACACGTATATCGGGTGCCAATAGTGCGCCCCACCCCACGAGGGAAGCAGTGAGCTTCGCACTACATAAGCTACGCAAAGTTCTCCTCCTCCTTTTGTCGACTGGCGCACCGCAAAACCGCCAAAGCTTAAGTCACTCGCGCGCCGATTGAGCCATTCCACGATTGAGTGCTGAAGCGAACACATCGCGGCTGCTTGAGATACATCAGGAGGAGAGAGAGAGGTTCACTTGATAGGAGAGTGTGGAGGAAGAGAAACAGCCAAGTGTCCAAAGTCATCATCTTGCATGTCTGTTGGGGCTGAAAGTGAAAAGTATCAGTGATTTTTCCAATCTCGCGAGTGCTCTGTGATTACCCATCGTACTCTGCACGTTTGCTAAATGCGGAAATTTGAGCACTGAGAGAGAGAGACACTTGATTGGGAATTAACGCTCAGTGAATTGCCAAGAGAGACGGAATTGAAGACAAAGTGAAATTGTGCATCAAGGCATCAAGGAAAAGCTCGACAGAGAGAGGAAAAATTGTGTGATCGCGTGTGCTCTCTTCTTCTTCATCTAATTTATTATAGTTCTTTCCCTTCGCTCTTCTCTCTTTTATTGTAAATAGGATATGTAAGTTATGCCCAAAGCCATACATGAGCACACAACTGTGACTCCACTGTGAATAAAGTCTCTCCGTATGTGCAATTTCGTGATGCATTTGCGTCAAAACACCTTCGATCTCTCGCCTCTTTCTGGCTACACAAATTCCGTTGCGAAAATCAATTTAATTATGAATTCAGCGAAAGTCTGCACACCAACACCGCACCAGAGATACTAACATTCTCACTCAATCTTGCATAACGCTAATTTGTTCGATTACCAAATTTTTTTTCCTCTCCTCAACTAAGTAGCGTTATACTAAGAATTTACATATGAGACGGTTGCGTAAAGGTGGTATTTTCTAATAGCCGCTCTCGCGCGGCTCAGTGTGCCCGATATTGGTCCGAAAATGCGCCCAAGAGAGGCACAGCAATATTTACCATACACACATGCCATAATTGCATATTTTATATCAAATGTTGGGTTCAGAGCACGCACTTTGCTCAAGCCGAACCGGAGTCAGTGGACGTGAGGCAGCAAGTGTGCCAACTCTGCGCCATCGGAGCCACGATGCCAATATACGATACAAGGTGGACAAGATCAATTGTTGTGTCCTTAAGACATTTGATACTGGGCCAATCTTGAGCATGAATATCATTTTAAGTTCACGACAAACGCGTCATGTGGGCAATCTTTGACCAATTGCCACATCTGTGAGTTCTTCATATTGTGCCCAAAAGCACATATCGTCGTCCAAGAAGTCACGAGAGTGGCGACTGTAAAAAATGCATTCACTTTTCCACTCAACTTTATCTGCTGGTGCACATGTTTCTTGCATTTAGAAACTGTCTGTTGCGCAATCCAACCGGTCGCATTAATAATTTTTATTCTGGACATTTGTTTGCCTTTTTTCCGATTGCTGCCAACATGCAAAACTATCGCGAAATTTATGCATTTCACCGTCACTCAAAAGCATCCACTCAATTTCCCGTCATTTCCCAACGACTGGCGCACAATGTAATGGCAAAATTGGAATATAATTTGACTGATTAAGCTGTGCGGGGAGAAACGCTCATTTCAAAGCCATGTCCTTCGCTGGGCCACAAAGAATTTCACCTCTTATCGAACAGCCAGGAAGTTGTAGTTGTGTGCTCACGAGCCATTAAAGTCATCATGAGAAATTGATACATAATCCAATGATAATTTCTATTATACATTCTTATAGTTGAAACCAAAATGAAGCAATTAGTAGTATTAGTGTGTGTACTGGTCGTAGTTGCAGCACTTCCTGTTCCAGAGGAGCCCAAAACATCACTAGACCTTCTGCAAATTCCACTACAGAATGGCAAGGTGAGTTCATTTTATTTTTACAACTTATCCAACTCCCCGTCGAAGTGTGGCGCTTTTCAAAAATGAGGCAAGAAATTTCGAATAATAAATAAAATTACTTTTCAATTAACGCGCTACGCCAGCAATAAAGCATTCGGGATTGCAAGTTTGCAACGGTAATTAGATTGAAAGTAAAGCGGTTCCATGAAAAGTTGTACCCAAAGTGATAGATTGGAACCAGTCAAAATAAACCAGTTTCATTCCCTGTACAAAACATTGTACATGAGATTTATTATGTTATATCTTTGGTTCACTTGACCCGAATTTGACGTTAAAAATCTTTATAGATCTTGAGCAAAAATATGAGCTAATCAGTTTTGCAATGCCAAAATGTCAAATTAAATGCTATTACACTGAAAAATGTTATCACTTCTCTTGAATTTATGGATGTTTCTTGTGCTATCTTTGTCGCTCAAGGTCGCGAATACTCGCGTGTGCATTCAAATGACAATATTTGAATATATTGCGCTGAGGTAACGGCGAATTTCAACGGTGGATCAATTAGGGAAAATTCTATGAAGAAATATTGCATTATTCAACAAAATTCACGCGATATTCTCGGAATTCGCACTCATTTCTCCAATAAGGCAATACTTCAGGTGGAATTCTTGGGCGATTACCCAAAATTCGCGAGAAGACCTCAATTATTTTGCGTCAAGATCAAAACCATCGCGAATCACAATGAATGCCAAGCACTGTTTTCGCCCCCCAAAAAACATCTGCATTTATCAAGCTCATTGCTATTTTTGCCGCGAAATTGTGCAAAGAGCGCCCAATGTGAGCGAAAAACTCACTTGACAAATCAACCTTTTCAATGTTACGATGCGAATCTCACGGTCCGGATGAGTCGCATGAGAGAATGACGCTCGCCTTGACATCAGTGCGTCAGGTTCGTCGCTTCGCGCGCATTGATGTCTTTTGTCATGATTGTTGTCATTTGCATGGGAAATCATCTGGGAGGGCGGCTGCAATCCGTCCGTGGCGGTGATTGTGCAATGGGTATTTCGGAAATATTAATTTTAATTTCATTGCTATGGATTTCCTGTTTTTGCCACGCACCGTGTGACCAAAATTAATTTCGAATTCAGCAAATTTATCAGGCACGAGTTGGGAATATGGAGACAGTCGTTAGCATATTTGACTCGCATACAAAAGATAGTGTGTAGGCGATGGTGTCTCCTTATTTGCATATCTTTGTCAAACATCCAGCCGAGGCATGTTTTGGACGCGAGATGCTGAGGCACATTTTTCCGCGAAGATGAAATTGATGAAACTCAATTTATGTGGCCTCAAATTTCGCTTTCTGTATCTCGCTTCCGAATCACTGACGTCAGGCGCATGGATAAAAAAAAACGCATATCCAACTCACATAACTCGCGCTGTGGATGGTAAAATAACTCCGCATGATGAAGTAACAGCGCCAAAGTATACCATCGAGTCACGTGACGGCGTAAATACTTTCTCTCGGAACTTTCTTTACGCGCCAATTCGTTCCGAGGCATCGGCGCGCGTGTGTGTGTGCTGCGCGATGTTTACTTTGGATGTTTTGGCAAAGACATAAGAAAACAAGTACGTCAACAGAAGATTAAACACACGATACGCGTCCGTGTAGTCAGCGTGATGTATTCACCTTACGAGACACCTCATATAACCGCCCATGAAAGAGTGAAAAGAATGCGCTCACCTGGGTATAAATGGGAAATTAATCGGTCTTTGGAACAATTCATTGGAGAGGTGAAAAACGCAGAATTAATTGATATTGGTATGCGCGTCAGGGAGCACATTTAAACAATTCATTTTTGCCTCTCTGTCAATAGACTTGTGGCTTTTCTGCGTACTCCTTGTTGGACAATTGGATTGTGTGGTTTTACCTGCAATTTTTTTACGTGCACGCTTTGCCAGCATGACGAATGCTATTTAAATGGGCAGAAAGACAGGGAATGGCGGTAAAAGTGAGACGAAAGAATAAAAAGTGTGGGGAAATTGACATTTACACTATTTCATGTGCTTTTATTCGAAAATTCTTCGATCTCGTCTACTTTTGCTCATGAACTTTTTCAAAAATTCAGACGCCAATTCATGGCACACAAATCAGCTGCACTCGTGATGTCACTCCAATTGCCGCCCCCTGTAAGTCAATCTATTCATTGCAGTCGCTCTGGAGGCAAATTTTTTCACTGCCCAAAATTCCCGCGAAGTGAAAGGCCACGGCGATACTTGATCTGCATGTAGGAAAAAGCGGCGTGAACATGATCATTTTTCCACAAAAGAGATTTATGAACTTTCATGGGTCTTTTTTCTCCCTCGCTCTTTCACTTCTTTCACCGTGATGCGGCGCCCGATCTTGGGCAGACACACGGTGTACCTTGAGTGGCATCTCCACACCGAAGAACATGCATAATCGATTACGAAAGCTCTTGAACTTTTTTTCTCGCTCACGGTGAGGAGAGTGGAAAAAAGCGCGCGCGCGCTGCACTAAATGAGTATCTCAGGCTCAAGAGCGATGAAGACATCGGAATTATGACAGTGTGCTTAATTGATAAAACTTTCCATTTCATCGCAGAGCACTAAAATGCGATCAATTTTTTTTTCAATTTGCAGGAACTCGACATTTTGTCACTCACAGACGAGAATGGTAAATTGAGCGAGAGGAATAAGAGAACAATTGATATTCTGCGGCAACTCTTCCCCACCATTTCGCAGGTAAGGATTTCACAAGAATAAAGTAAATTTAGAGTATTTTTTTTCTCCACCATGCGAAATTTCGCAAAAGAAAAGGGTATGGAAAAATATACCCAACTAATTCAATTAGACACTATATAGGAAAAATTGCAATATTTCTTCGCCTCTTTCAATACTTAATGAAGCATTCGTCCAAACACTTTCTATTCTCGCTAGACAAACTTGAGGTGTTTCACACACATAAACTCCGCGTTTCCTTTCCATATCACTCTCAGCTCTTTTACATGCTTCGCCATGGCGAAGGACGCAGCTCTAACGATGGATTTGCGTGGACTTTTTCTTCACTCTTGCCAACAATTTTGCCATACTTAATTGACATGATGTACTTTTCTTGCCTCTTTTTTTCCTTTACTCACTCACAGCCAACTTCCATCAATTGAGACCAAATCTGTGTGTGGCATTTGGCCTTCCGATCTCACACCTCTTTGCCTCCCTCCAATCTCCTCCATCGTCTTTATGGACTCCTGTTCATTTCCCAATATGAGACATAAAATTGCCGATACTACATTTCCTCGCGAGCGCGCTGAAGCAACAGACATTCAGCGAGTTGTTCACCCCTCAAGAGAGTCCAAAGGAAATCGAAAGTTGCTGAGTGAGCCAAGATTGGGCATTTGCAGCATCATTTAGTGCTTGGAATTGAGGCCAAAAAGTGTTAAAAGACGCACACCAAATGACTCTCGAGGGGGGAAAAAGACAGTTTTTCGGAGAAGAGGCTTAAACTTTTGCAATTGAGACATGCGGACAAAAAACAAAAATCACAGCCTAGGAGTACATTTCTTGGTAGATCACGCACCAGACCATCAATTGTCGCTCTTTATTGCGTTTTTGGCTGAAAAATGTTGCTTTTGTACCACAATGTTTGCACCACAATTAGCAGACTGTCCGCATAGCGTGTGTATAACTCACCTTCAAGATCGTGTTGGGAAATCTGCCACTCAGAAGGAGGGAAATTATTTTTTAGAAATATCATACTGGAAAAATTGTCATTAGCAATTTGACTTTGTTTCGCGATTTGGGCCATTATGTGCTCAATGGTGTGCCAAAAACTGGCAAATGAGCATTTTCCCCAATGCGACTGTTTTTCATGCAACAGCACACAATATTATACTATGACTTTTGTGGCTGGCTAAACGGCTGCAATAATGTCTCAAAGAGAAAGTCTGGTGCTACACCACTCTCCTGTTTTAAATCACCACTCTTTAGCACATAAAGTGCTGGCAATATTTTATATTGTGTGATAAATTTTGTAACTTTTTGTCTACTTTTCCCGGTGAGGAAGTGCGCTGAAAGTAAGAGTGTTTTGTCAAGAGACATTGACTTTCCTCCAATACAATTATAGGCTATTTATACCTCTTATAAGATCTGAGATGGAAAGATCAAGATCGCGATGATCATTTCTCTCTCCTGTAAATATTGTATAAACTGCCTGAACACTTTCTAGGTAAGGATTCTTTTGTCAGAGCTCTAGGTGACCTGATCGATTTTGGCTCCTTTTCGACAACAACTCTATTATCTTTGCATGCAGCTTTGCCCTCAGGATTGTCTGGTCCTCTCGTGCCTCTGATCGCTCCTCTTCTCTGTTCTCTAGCCTAAGCTCGAAGCTCATCTTCGTCCACTATAACACTTTCGCCTGAACCATCTCTAAACCGAAAACTCACGCTAACTCCATAGGCAAAACCAGAAGGATGAGTCAATAAAGTGAGGTTGTATAAAACTTCATGTGCAATTGTAGATAATCGAGCAGAAGATCCAGATGATCCTGCCGGTCTTGATCCGTACAGTGGGGCCACTCCTGCTGCGCGGCGGACTGGGCGGTAGTTCCGGCGGGGGCACCGCTCAGACGGGCAATGGTGACGATGATGACGTCGAGACGAACGCGGGCGACCGCAAGGTTAGCGTGTCGCTGCCTGTCTTCGAGCCTGGCTCAGACGACGACGACGAGGACGATGACTTTGTGGACAACAGCGCCAAGCCCACGAGCGCCTCGTCCACCATTGAGCCAGAGAAGACCATCAGTCTGCGCACGAGAATCGATGGGGTGGAGGCGGGCGGCGATGAGGACCCCACGGCGGAGCCCGTCGCCGAGACCGCCGCGGCGACGGTCACAACCAAGTCCGATAATCAAAATTTGGTACGATAAGACGTGGCAAATTCGCGCTTTATGCTTCCACCCATTCCATCGACTTCTTTTGCATATGGCCTCGCAGTATCAAATTGCTCAATGTGCCAACATTATTTTCTCAAATTCACGCATTAACATTTATATATATATATATATACTTTTCTTTCAAGAGAATTTCGAAAAGAAATATGTGATTCATCCAGCAAAACGACGGGCAATATTATAGCTGTGTGTTTCACTTTGCAATCACCGCAATTTTCAGCTGATTTTTTTCGGGACACTGAGTGAAACCTTTTCCGCAGTCCGTTTCAACGAAATTTGCCACGGTCTTCAGGTTCATGTGTTTTATTTTATTGTTGTCTGGTGATGCTTATAAAATTGCAATTTAATCTGTTTAGTTGAAACTGTATTGTGTACTTCGGGCGATAGCGCTGTATTATCATTTTTGTAATTTTTGTTATTGTATCTGTTGTAATGATCATTCGTTGCTGTTGTGAACATTATCTGTTTTTATTAGCAATATATACTCTGTAGTGTATCACGCTTAAATATTTGTCTTTCTCTCTGGCCTGACCTCGGAGAAGCACTCTCTGGGGTTCATCGATGCAGCCACACTCGTTATTAACTTCCTGCATCCATTTATTGTCGTTGCACCACTAGTTTTAGGTAGAGATTGTCTTTCGCCCAGCCATTCGTCGACTTATATAGTTTTTAACACCTCTCTCGCTCTCTTGTTAATCGTTCTCGACAGAAACCAACTCACACACATGATAAACATTTCTGCACAACATGTGCAATGATTAATTTCCACCTCGATCATCATAATAGAATGATTTAGAGATTGCGATCCTCTATCCTGTCTTAGCTCGATCACTCTCTCTTTCACTGTCTCTGGTATTGTCTTGGAATTAAACCTCCAGTCAAAGTATGCCTCATCGTAATTGTATTACTAGTGATTTTCACTGTCTCTCCTCCACTTTACATCTCTGTCTCTCTCTCTCTCCACCTCTAGCAAATTGCATCGTTTCAGCTTCAAATCGCGATCGATGGCGAAGTGCTGATAATTGGAAGGTGAACAGAGTGTCGAAAATAGCAACTTCAGCACTTCTCCACTCGATCCCAGCCATGGCTAAAAGACTCTCATTGCTGCACAACCATTCCTTCAGTAGTTACTAACATGTGGATCATTTCCATTTGTCTCACTCTCCATCCAGGCCGCGGGCAAAGATGCCGATAACTCATTGGACGCGAATGCGATCAATGAACAATTGGAGACGATAAGGGTGGTGCGCGAGGCTGTGGCCGCGGCCGCGGCCAAGGATCGTCTGGAGACCACTCAGCAGGAGGAGCAGGGAGTGCGAAATCTCGAGGCGACGGGCGACCAGAGCCCGGCCGAGTCGCAAGCTCCGGCCGTCGATGATCTCTCCCTGGACAACGAGGCGGACGACGAGAACAGAAACAAGAGGTTGCTCCAGATCCCTAAAACACCCCCAAATTGCACATCCTTTAATGCCATTTGCTTGTCTCGCCCTCGCAGGTTCCTTCCGTTCGGCTTCAGCAGCTCTTCTGGCGGAAGTGGTGGCACAGCAGGCTCAGGAAACTTCCTTTTCGACATTATCCGTGTAAGTTAACAAGATGGGTTGTGATGATTGTTCAGGCGCACATTCAATGGCGCAGAGAGTGAAGCCTCCTCTTTGCGACTTCTTTGTGAATCTTGACCTCTTCTTGCTGGATGTTTGTACCCAAAGATAAAATTGTATATATGAATGTGCGTTTGAAGATAATCTTCAGGAGACTCGAAAGCTCTCAGCTTGAGGACCTTTGAAAGCATTGCGCAAGTGAAGAAGCTATAAATGTGGCACTTGAAGAGCTTCTCAATTAACAATGCACAGCCTCAGCGGCGCATGTCCAAAGAGAATGTGTGACTTAGCAGAAAAGTTAGCCTGAGCGTTTAATACAATCTGTCCCCATCACGTGTGCATGTAGCAAACAGCAGATCGTGCTGCCCGTGCTGCTGGAACCGTTTACCGGGTAGTTGCTGGAACTGAATCACTCGGTGTCAACATATCCGCCTCTCACAAAGCGACTGTGCCCCTAACAGACGGGACATCAAGTATTGGACAGAGTCCTTCGGTAAACTATTAACTTCCATCAACACAAAAACTCTCCAAGTTTGTTTGACCATTACCCCCGCCTAACCATGTTTTTCTCTGGCCTGTCTGGGTATCGATCTAACCATCATCACTGCCCGAAGTGAGGACAGCCAATGCTTACCATTGGCATTCATCTGTAATTGGGACTCTCAAAATCATGCCCGCAACTCGAAGCTTCTAACACCAAAAAGATACCCTCGCAAAAACTAATGCATTTGCTATTGAATTTTTTTTTTGGCTTTTACTTTCCTAACAGTGTGTTTTTATTTTATATCTCTATCAAATCTAACCTCTGTGGGATGTTGATGTGCCACCCTATCCTTGCAGCTTCCCCAGCTTATGCAGCCCAACAACCTCCCCCACCCTCAGCCCCGGTAGCTCACTTGCTGCCGTCCTGATCATCCCCTGAGAAAAGTGCTTGAAATTTGTAAAATATAGCGGCAATTTTCCAAACAAGAAAAAGTGATGATTTCCAATTCAATCTAGCGCTACTCCTCTCACTTTGTCTTTGAGATGAGAATCATCTGTCAGAGTGTCTCTTGGTCTCTACTCTTTCACACGCATATCATGTCACGATTTTCAAGAATCTCTCTATAAATATACCTTTAATCCTGAGATCATCATTAATCACATAACTTTGCTACTTCTCTCTGCATTCCACTTGAAATTATGCTACAATCGCTTGTTTTTTGGGAGGGGAAGAAAAACTTTCAAGCACTCTTCCATATGTCCTTCATCCATGACAGAATCAACACACAAACATTGTACCTCCGCTGGTTCTCCAAAGAAGAAGAAAAAAGAAATCATATATTGGTCAGATGAACAGCAAAAACATGCCTAAAAGCCCTCAAACCTCATTGAAAGTCATCGATTAACACAGATTAACATCTCATGCGGTGTGTGGATGTGGATTATTTGGATTTGGACAGTAAAAGAACGACATAATGACAGACGATTACCAGAATATAAAGTTTTTTTTTTGCCTTTCATTTTATGAGAGTTGAACGCAAATCTTTTCACGATATGTTGTTTTTTGATTGGTTTTTCTTTGCGACAGTTTTGAGTGTTTCTCTTTCCAACACAGCAGCACAAGCCGCCCTGATTTGATGCACTTTGTCATGATCTTCTGTGTGAATACCTTCCCTTATTCTCAGATTTCTCAGATAGAGTCGTAAGAATTCTTCTGACTGGTCTGTCCTCCATTTCTCTCTCTCTCTCTCACTCTCTCTCCAAAAGACCGTCATTCGGATCGGTGAATCCTCCCTCTGTTTTTATCCGTCTTGATCTCAACACATTGTTCCGTGTACAGACCAGAGAGCTGACCGGAAGGGTGTCGTCTGAGCCGCGCACTGACCATCTGGCTTGTCTCTTGCAGCTCTTCGCCGGCAGCTCAGGCACTCAGTCCCAGGACGAAAGCGCCAACGCGGCCGATGGCGCGGCTGTCGGCGGTGATGGATACACCGAAGGCATTCCTGGACCAGTCACTCGACTCTTTGTGCTTGGCAACCGAGGACTCTCCAATCTCATTCAAGATTTAATTTTGGTAAGTGGCTCAAGAGCACAGCAGAATGTACCAATTTTCAATCGCGCGCGGCTCTTTTTTTTACGACAGAGAGAGCGCAAGCGATCTTTTGAAATGCGCGCACTGCAATAAGTTCGTTTTTAATGCCTTTTTGTCCGTTATGAAATCCACCTGCGAAACCATGACCAATATCTTATAGAAATGTGTCTTTTTGCCCCCGAAAAAGCCCACCTTGAAGAAGATGTCTTTCTGGAGAGGGTCACAAAAGCTCAGGCTCGTGTGCAATCAATCACTCTGATTTCATTGATTGATTGCGCTTGAGTCTGAAGCTGAGCAGGTGCAAAAATTGATTAGATTACTCTTAATATTAACCTTCAATCCGGAAACATTGCTTGTACAGTACTATTACCATATTTCCTACATTCTTCACACAATAATTGGAAATTGTGAGAATGAGAGAATATCATGCAATTTATTCAGAAGACGCACAGTCAGAATAAATTAATTAAAAATTGAATTGTATTCAAAATTGCGTTTGCCCGATAAATGTAGACTTTATAAAGGAGGATTCAAAAGTTTTCGTGTAGCTATGCAAAAACTTTTCTTAGGCAATAATTAATACATTTAATTGCAAATCGTATAGTATAGCATTTGAATTCCAAAACAAATATAATGAGTGTGTGAAGTTGATTTTTATCCGGATCTCTTAAAATAAGAGATACCATTTTGATCACCGAATTCACGATTATTATTATTATTTCTCTCTCTTTTGCAGCGCATCGCTCGGACTAGTGAGCGACTCGTGAACTTCAAGGCACGACTCATAACTTCCCTTATCTAAGAAGGACTCTCCTGAGCTCATCGCATTCGCCCAAGCGCCCAAATGACTCTGCTGTCTGGAAATACTCAGCCACATTCTGCTCATCCTCCGGAGCTTCTTTCCTCATCTTCGCTTTTGCCTCTTGTTTCCTGCACGCTCTCTGCCTCGAAGCCTCTTTCTCTGTAGCGCTTTATTTATGAGAAGCTCTAACACGTTGATAAAAGGAATTTTTTGGTGGTTGGTCAACCATTTATGTGGCTATTCTTGGTACATTTCTCTCGTAATATTTATTCTCTCCGAATGCATAGTTAAATTGTCTCTATTCATAGTCTCTAATCCATTGTCATCTTTGGAGTGAAATCAGTAGAAGATCTTTCCTTTCCTCTTCTCTGTCTCTGCACTGTATCTGTAGCATTTTTTTTGTGTATGTTTATGTAGCCAACTTACCTCTGTTCAATTTTGACTGTGGTAATTTATAGTGTTTTGATTTTCTCCTCGACTTTATCTCACCCGAAAACTGCCGCCCGAAGTCAAATCATTCGCAGACGATTTTACAATACTCAAAAAGGAAAATTTCAATGAATGGTGAAACTGAAGAAAAAACACTGTTTCACGAAATTCTCTTGTGGAAAATTCTCTGCAAAGTCTCTGAAAAAAAAAGAAAAAGCACCACTTTTTACAAATCCAACATTTGAAAACTATAATAATTCATGAAAGATCAAAAGTCATTGTATGTAAATAGATTGAAAGGTATAAAGAAAAAAAAACTACAAATAGATAATAGAAGAAATGTGTAAATATTACATGCCTAATGTAACAAAAACATGGATAATTCTCTAAAAGAAAAAAAAAATGAAGCGATAAAGTAAATTCAACAAAAGTAAATTTGTGATTGTCTCAATGTACGAGTATATTATAAGTCTTTTTTTTATATAATTTAATATTGCCCGTTTTCTGGTTGTATAAAAAGTTTTTTTTTATGAATTGGGAGTCTTTGTCAAAATAAAAATAAATTCTTAGTGTGAAGGCTTTTTTGCCATAGACAAGGTTGTAATTTATAGCAATTCCAAGCATCATATCCATGCGACTGCGCTGTTCCAAATGGAAAAAAGAAGTGAGGACAAAAGTGTGTTTTGTAATCATTTGAAAATATCACAATGTATTAATTCTTATCACAAACATTGAGAAGACGAACAAAAAGCTAATGTGTAAATAAAACAGAATATATTCCTTGTATGTGAGCGAAAAATTATGCTGCTTGTCTTTTGCCCAAATTTCTCCATGGCGACACTTTCACTTCTCATTCGTTCGTCGTTGTTCAACAAAGATCTTTGGTAGGTAAAAAAAAAATATTACAAAATTCCAGTAAAAAGTTATGAAAATCTCCGAATAGTCACAATTTTCTATCAATTTCCCTCAAAACTACACAGTAAAGTAAATTTTACACAAAAAAACCCTCTCATATAACACTTTCAGCGACAGTTACAGTTCAAATTTCCCACCATTTCGCACAGTAGAACAGTTTTCGCGCAGTTCAGCGACTGTCGCTGAAATCTGACAGTTCAGGAATGTGTGAGAATTTTGCCCAAAACAATAATAATAGTGCACAATTTGCAGTGATATCGCGCTTTTCCGCCCAGGATGAGTAATTTCCCAGAGTGTCTTCAGCACCAGTAGTCGATATGGCAGACAATGGGGCGGGAATCCCCTCGGGTTCACGCGTTCACACGCGCTGTGACCACACAAAGCTGCTCTCCGACGTCCGGGATGCGATTCTGGGTGGATTTCAGCGTCACGGGGAGATCGTCAGCGAGATGGAGAGATTTCCGCGGCTGCTGCAGGCCATGGAGGCCATCCTGGTGCACGGGATGAGGATCTCCAAGCCAGATGTGAGTTGGGTGGCGGCTGAAGTGCATCTGACCCAATTCCCACTGATTTGGGCCAGATTCCTAAGCTGCCCGAAGAGATGTGTGGCGTTCTTATCAGAAGCTAAACAGTCAGCATGTTTTTCGAGCTCAGAGTCAACAATGGATCTCTTTATCTAGACACTCTCACTCACAGTTTTCTCCGGAATTGAGAGAGTTTGTCCTTGTCTTTCCCCATACCGTTAATCAGTGGATTATTCCTCTCTCCCAAGCTCTCAGTGCTCCAGAAGAGAGATACTGAGTGACGCTGCTTTCGGCTCTTTCAGGGATCGCCGGATCTGTGGCGCTTCATCGAGGCCCTGAGCTGGTTGAATCCCTCCATGGCAGTGTCAGTCGCGCACACGAGCAACCTCTCGCCAGTTCACATCCCGCACTCGCGCATCAAGTCCAACCGGGCGCTCGCGTGGCTGTACGAGTGCCTCAAGGGCCACACGTTGTCCGTGAAACTCTCCTGGCTGCTGTCGGACTTCGAGCACCTCAGCAATTGCTACGAAGCCACGGCGTTTCTGCGCTCGGAGAAGTTCGCCAGAGGTCTGTTCCTGTGCCTAGAGGCTGTGGAGAGTGGCCACATTGACGCCATCGAGGCCATCGATCCGAGTCTCCTCGTGGACGGCGCCACAAGTCATCGCAGATCCAGCTCTCACCCCGAATTCCCCTCCAAGATGGGCAACAAACCCTCCCTGAAGGTCAACTACGACAGTCCTGAGGACTTCGACACCGCCGAGGCCACTGAGGAGCCCGTCGCCAGGCCAAAGACCGTTCGGACGCGCAAGAAGTCCAAGAAGTCGCGCCAGAGAAAGTCCCGCAAGTCCAGGCTCAAGGCCAGCAGCAGCTTGCCCAACATTGCGGCACTGGAAAGAGAGCCGCGGGCGCGCAGCATGACCATCACGCAGCCCATCTCCATTCCCTACAAACCCGTGCGACTCACGGCGGAGTCTCTGGAGCAGAACGCCCAGAAGATCGTGCCTTCCTTCAGCTACAAGACGTCTAGAGACGCGGGATCGGACTGTGGAGGCTCAGCGTCCAGAATACTGGAGAAATCCACTCCCACAGACTTGATGCCCATTCAGCTGGTGAAGTGTGACGACATAAAGATCCACTTTGACAAGAGATTCACGCCAAAGACGCCAGCTTCCGCAAGCGATGCCAGTCCAGCGGTTCAGGTGAGGTTTTTGCCCCCAAGAAACGCTTGTTCTTGAACATACGGAAATGTGTTCACGGCTTTCACTTGGTATTGAAATGAGAATTTGATGTGTGTGGCAGTGAGTTAGCAAATATTTGCCGACAAACTCATGCAGTTCCGATGAAGTCAAGTCACTTCGATAAGAGAAGCTAATCAATATTGTGTTTCTTACTGCTTCCGCAGGTTCCCGAAGTCCCTGAAGCGAGTTCATCTTCAGTTAATACTCCAACGCAGAGGAATCTCTTCTCCGTTCTGACCACAAAGAAGTCACTCTATCCCTATTTGGATGTGACGCTGGAGAAGGGCGAGAGCAGTGGCAGCAATGGAACGCCTTTCCAGTCAAATCTCTATGCGTCACCGTCTCCGGGTGACTTTATGAATAACTTTATTCCACTGCCAGGCGAGAAGATCCGCAATCGCTATCGCAAGACGTCTCTGCTCGAGGGACTGAGTTCGAGTCCACTGGGAATAACGCCCACGACGAGTCGCACTGAGCAAGGCTCGAGGCAGCCGACAAGAGGCCAGAGTCTGGCGTCGTACCTGCAATCGGCGCAGTTTTCGCAGACAAACTCAGATCTTGAGCGGGAGAATGCGCACTTCAGTGTCTCGGATGCCATGATTGCGGCCATTGAGCAGCTCAAGTGGACGAAGATTGAGAAGGACGAGAGCCGCGTGGGGGAGAAGATGCGAAGTGTGAGGGTGAGATCGAGACTGAAGAGATGGGATGGCGAGGCGAATGGCCGAGTGGCGGGCACGAGTTCCAGTCCGGACAATGCGTGCTCGTCCACGGAGAGTTCCGAAGTGTCCTTAGAGAATCTCAGTATCTTCAATGAGTCCAACTCGTCGGACGACATGAGGCTGTCGGAATCGTCCCAGAACACCAATGATCACGTGGCGTACGCGGAGTGGGGCGAGAACACGCTGGAAGCGCTATCGGCGGAAGGAGTGGCGCTGAGTCTAATCTCGAAGTTCAGTGACAAACAACTGCCGCGCGCCTCTGAGCTGCTCTGGATGAGTCCGGACAACGAGCCAATGTCCCCGCAGACGCCCGGAGTGGCGCACAACAGCCTCAATGGCGGTCACACGGACAGATTCCGCATGAATTCTGTCCTGCGCGGCACCAAGGATTGGGCTCCGCCGCGAGCGCAGATCATCTTCACGCGACACGCGTCGCCGAATCGCAAGGAGCTGATCACGCAGCAGAACTTCCGCTGTGCCGGCTGTGGGATGCGCGTGGCCAAGGCGTACGCGCACAAGCTCCGCTACTGTGCCTACATTGGGAAGTATCACTGCACTGGGTGTCACAGGAATCAGATCTCCGCCATTCCGGCGCGCGTTCTCGAGCGCTGGGACTTCTCCTGTCACCCCGTGTCGGTGTTCTCGTACAGACTCCTCGACCAGATCTGGTCGTTTCCGCTCTTTCGCATCCCAGATCTCAATCCGCAGCTGTACGAGAAGGTGAGGATGCTGAATCTGGCGCGTCTGAAGCGTAGCCAACTGAAGTTCATCGAGGATTTCATACGCTCCTGTCGCTTCGCCATGCAAGTGCAGAAGCTGTTCGAGAACATCCCCAATCATCTCACGATGGACATCGATGTGTGGTCGATGATGGACTTGGTGGCGGTGAAGAATGGATCGTTCAAGAGGGACGTTTCGCTCTTCATCGAGAAGTGCGAGGAGCACATTTTGAGCTGTGAGGTGAGTTGAACTTCCCGGAACTATTTTCAAGAAAACTCATTTCTTGGTTCACGAACATATCGTTTTACTGAGTGTGACTTGCTGTCTTGCAGCTGTGCACGGCCAGAGGATTCTTCTGTGAGCTGTGCACGAAGAAAAGCGTGATATTCCCGTGGCAGCCAAATATTCGACGGTGCGGCGAGTGCGGCACGTGCGTCCATGACAATTGCTGGCGGGGAGAGTGTCCCAAGTGCAGGCGACTGAAGCAGCGGCGACGCGGTGAGGGCACAAAGAGCACTTCCGGCTAGAGGAGCAGATAAGTTAATTTATTTTCGCTAACAAGAGGCCACAAAACAAGTCCTTTTACCAACACCTCTCACAGACCTTTCCTCGGGAGAGAGATAGTGCAATTATATTTTGATGACGGAGCAAAGTAGTTTCTTGGTGATTTATCATTCATTGACTTTGACCTATTCCTGTTCTTTTGGCCAAACTGGTGCGCACACAATGAGCGGCACGTGTTGCAGTCGGCAGACAGGTTTTTGCCATACTTTTGCGAATGGGGAATTGGAGGAAGGCGATAATTTTCCGCATAATTTGCGAAATAGGAATGTTATGGCGTATTGGGAAATGATTCTCTCCGTTTCTCGCAAAAAAGACAAAAAAATATGATAAAAACACATTCTTATCGCAGCAAAAAATCAATATTTCGTAAGCTCGTGTCATTCAAAAGTCTCTGAATAATGTGGCCATGTTTTGATCTCTTCGTAGAGCATTTTTCCAGGACTCTCCGTTGGGATGCACTGACAATGGCCGAAGAGCTTGTAATCTGGCGCAATGTAGCCCTCTCTGACGCCTCTGAAAGTCCAAATAATTAACCATAAAGAGAGTGCAAATGTTGTGTAAACAGTCAAACTCACTTCTCGATCAAGAGCTTGCAGACGTCCAGGCTGACTTTCGGCGGAAGGGTTTTCATGAAGCAGCCCACGAAGCTGATTCCCAGACCTTTTCTGTTGTATCCAAATGTATGCGCGCCCACGCGATTCCAGCCGCGTCCCTCGTACACATTTCCATCGCCGCCGATCAGGAAATTGTAGCCAATATCGTCCCAGCCGCGGGACTCAATGTGAAAGCTCTGCACGATGCGCACCAAGTACACCATTTCAGCCTGATTGTAGCCGCTCTCCGTTGCAGTGTGAGCTGTTGTGGGCGGAAGAGAGGAGAAATCAATGGTCAGGAGTGAGATGGAGAAGATGTTTGTGGTGTTGACAGACCGATAATTACATAGGGAAAGGGTTCAGTGACGATTGTTGGTGGTTCTAGCGGTGGTTGAGCCAACCAAGAGCGCCTATCGACAATCCTAGGCTCAGTATTTGGAAGGCGTTGCTCTGGAAAATGAACAGATTTGAGTTTTCTCGAGACAATGACAAAAATACAGACAAGAATTTCCAAAAACTCAGTCATTCTCTCATTAACATTTGACATTTCTACAAAGGAAAACCATAAAATATCTAAAAAAGAGTTCGAAAATTAAGGATGAGAAACGCAATGACCGAATTTATTATTGTTCCATTCTACCCCGCTCTCCCCTACACCATATTTTCCTCTGTTTTTGGATCAAAGTAACTTCACGTGGTGAAGGTGTGTTCGGTACAGTTTCCAAGGAAATTTGGGACGGGAAATTATATAGAATTTCTATATAAATCATTCAATATTCATTTCAGATTCTCCTTCTCAAAGTTGATAATAAAATAAACAGAAATGGTTTAAAAAAATATAGTCTAGAAGAGACCTCATTTTCCCAAGTGATTATGAAGTAAAGAATTTATGCATGAAAGTCATGTTCTACTAGTATTTACCAGTTTAAAGTGAAAAAAGTGAAAATCTTTCAAAGTGATATGACAAACAAATCAATAAGCACGATTTGAATTTATCGAGAAAGCTTGTAAGCTTATTAATTTGATCAACATGCCAGAGCAATTGAATATTGAGAGTGAGTGCTAATTGCTCAACCCGGCTGAATAATATCTAATGATTCTTATCGAAATTAGGCAGAAAAAATGGCACAAGCCATAAAAATTAGCACCTGAATGCTAATCAAATCCGTCTTTCTAAGCCATTCAACTCACGTTTGTTGCCAATATAGCAATCTGGATTCTTCGTCTCGACCTTCTCCTCGCTCTCTGCCGGGTTTCGCCTCTCGCGGCTGTGACTCCCGATGTCTGTGGTGATGTGAATGGGTCCCGTGACGTAGGTGATGTTCCCAATGTGAACCTTGCTGGAGTTCTCAATCTGGATCTTGTCGAATGTCTGGATGTTGCTGTCGCCCTTGAAGATGTGCTGCAGAATCTCCGTCTGACTCACTTGCACGGGCTTCTCGCCGTCCAACGTGACGATCTTGTGGCTGCCCGCGATGAGAGTCGCCTCGGCGGTGTCCAGACTCACGGATGTCCCGAAGCGCGTTGCCATTTCGGACAGTGCGTCACTCTCCGTCACGGAAGACGTGTAAATTGTGCTCTCGTCCGCGACGGATGATTGGCCAGCGCACGAGGAAGCGTCGAAGTCGTTCTCTTCCACCCACTTTGTGGTGAATTTCAACTTTTCATCGCCTATTTTGAGAATTTCACGGACATTCACTCAACTTTTTTGGAGGCCGCGAGCGGAGATAAAGCGAAACTTCCCTACCTGATTCCACATTGCTGTTCTCCTCCTTCTCTTCTGCTGGTAAATCCAACCTCTTGCTCTGCTCCTTCTTCTCGCAATTCTCTAGCAGATTACTACTGTCCATTGTCGCACGTTCAATGATACTGAATTGAGAGCAAATGGCGAAAAATAGCTGCGCTCCGTGCCGATGAGAGAGAAATTTATCAAGCTGACTCACGAAAGTGTTCTTATCGGCCCTCGAAGGCGAGCATTCAGATAAAACAAATATTGTCAGCGCGCTGACAGACATCGAATAGTGAATATTTGAGCGTTGCCAAACTGAATAAAAGTTTGTGCTTTCCGGTTCTTCATTGCGTCTTATTTTGCACACTTTCGGCATTTTTTCGTGCAGATATTTAGTGAAACAGCAGACAAGTTAATTTGATATTTGGTAATTTATTTGATAGAACAGGCATAAATATTCTACAGCAATATAATCATCGTCCCTTTTGTGGGTCAATCTTCATCAACAACCAAGATCAAGATGTATTTTACAAGCGGGAGAGAATCTTCTCGGGAATTTTCACTTGAAACTCCACTAAAGTCTCTCCCAATGTGAACAAGTGCGTGATATTTAATAGAAATTCTACTTAATAGAGAACTAAATCAATAATATTCCGACTCACAGTGAAATCCTCCTCGAGATTCGCAATTTAGCAGACGCGACACTAACAGCGAAGATCGCTTATATTAATTTAATTTAATTGTAAGGTCACTAAATTAAGGTAATATTATTATATTATAATGTGACTAATGCAGTTTATAGTTATATATGCTCTTGAATTTTCTCTCAGGTAATACTGATAAAATACGGCACCCTATGAATTAATTCTCTATCAATTCCTATCACTTCTCTAATGATCTGGGATTGCAGTGCACATGAGCACTCGCGTGACTTCGCCTTTTGGTTCATCCTCTCACACCGTCTACAAGTGTGTCACAATGATGTCCTCCTCGAGCTCATCGTGCTCGTCGTCCGTCTCGGAGATTTCTGGCACGACTGGCGGAATGGGGGTGGGATTCTTGGCCTGCTCCTCCAGCTTCCGCAGGCGCTTCTCCTTGCGGTAGTGCCTGATCTCCACCACCATCCACCCGAGCACGCCCAGCACGAGCACGGCGAAGAGCACGTAGAGCTTCATGCGGGCGCAGAGGGTGGTAGAGTAGGCGTAGGCAATCACGAAGCCAGCAGACTCCCAGAGGCGGTAGTTGGAGAAGGCAGCTTCCTTATTTCTCCTGAACAGAGCACCATAAATTCCTAGCGAGAAGAGATGCAATGTTGCATTATTGAGCACTTGAAATACATTTCAAGGCAACAAGTAATTTTTTTTTCATTTCCATCGCGCCGAAGAGTTTCTCTTTGGCTTCAACGAGAGACAATTTGGGCGTTAACTCTTTTAAACTGTCTTAAAATAGGATTGATCTGGTTTAAACCGGAGCGGAGATAGATTTGTTTTGGAATCTAAAATGAAGATTGAGTTCAAGATCGCATAATAAACGTTCTTATTAGTAAAGCAACTTGAAGACTAAAGATAGGCAAGATCACTGCCAAATTTGATTTATGCGAAAGCACTTGAATTTTCCAACAGACGATCTTCAGTTTTCTGAAAGTATTTTCCATCATGTGATTCATTTTCACTCAGACTTCGTCTAGGGAATTTAATGACTTTTCCATGGAAGTCGTAAAAAAGTATGTGCAGTCGCTGAAGTTGCAGTTTTTTGTCTAATTAGTGATTTTATCACTACAACAAAACAAATAGCCATAATGACGAGAAGAAATACTGTTTCAGGATGAGTCAAAAGCAGAGTTGCAAGATCTCCACGCTATTTTCATAAACACTGCTTTTACGTTTATTCACTGATTAAAATCATGACGTATGGAAAATGCTTTCAAAACTTTAAATCTCCGCATCCAAATTAAGATTACGTATGCGATATTATTATTATTTAAAAAAAAAACTCCCATCCAAATCGCTTTATGTTGAGTTATTCATTTTGTTTCGCAGTCTGACGAAATATTTTGATATAAAATAAAAAAAAAAACATCGTACATATCAAATGAGGGTGAATTTCTGCATAAATGCGCGCATACATTTCGGGTATTGACGGAATTGAAGCCAAAAATAAAATTTTTCAATTCGGAAAACACACAATTTCAAAGTCAAACAACTTTCTGGACGCAATAATCAAAGTCATAATATCTGTGTCAGATTTATATGGATGGGAAGTTGGTGAGGAAGATGTCGATAAATTTCACACTTTATTTCACCACACAACACAATATCAAACATGTTGAGAAAGTCCTTGAGGAATTCTCTATGATAAAACTTCCGAATGGCGAATTCACAAGTCATTAGAGATTGTTTGTAAAACACTGCAAAAATCAGTTCCTCGATGATTCAATTTGCCAATTGAATACATAATGAAAACAAACATCAATCAGCGCGAAGAACTACCGGGGAGTTTGGTAAAATATGAATTTTCACATAACGATCGTTTTAGTAATGCAAATTGGTCGTTTAAAGCAAAAACCCACACACAAATAAGAAAGGATAGCGTCGACTGGTGGGCATTAAATATTCAATTGTTCATGCAAATTTAAACATTTCTTTATCTCCCCATGATCAATCGTGAAGCCCTAATCCATAATCTCTGTATAAATTGGATCTTCACGGTGAGATCGATTATCGCGCGTGAATTTCAATTGAGATCAAAATATTTTCACAATTATCATAGATTTGCTCGATTTGCAATGGAAAAAATCCCCTATTTGGGTTACTCACCATTGATCTGTGTCTGCCACACGGCATCTCCCACGCCCCAGAGTCCGGCGAGCGTGAAGAAGACGAGCAGGTGATCGGGATGCGGCCGCCAGAAGAGCTTCACGATGATAATGGCACCATGGGTGATGATACCGAGGATGATAATGGGTATCCTGCCGATGTACTTCATCACTGATCCGAAGATGATTGAGCAAATGGCATTGACCACACCGAAGCAGATCATCACGTAGCCAATCTGGTGGATGCCAATTGCGCAGGAGACATAGGCCTGAAGAGAGCAAAAAGGCATAATTACGCAATGTAGAATGTGAAGAAGTGTTTTCGAAGCTCCGCCCTCTTCTATGCCCCGCCCATGTTAAACTTTCAACCACTAATTAGTCCTCGTCCAACCCTTAATTTCAACTTTCGTTTCTAATCAACTGTTCCACATTCCACTCTTTACTTCTCATGGATTTAGTAATATCGCAAAGCACTGCTATATTGAAGCGAAGCGAATTCATGAGTTAATGTAGAGTTTGTGGCAAGTAAGAAGCCCCGCGAAGAAATCCTGCTAGAACTGGTTGTCCCAGTACAAAACTCTATAATGAATTGAAATAGTTTTTCCTACTGCAGAGGATAGTTACATTTTATGATTAATGGTCTGACGAGGTGTGTTTTTATGCGCTGTGCAAAAAGACGGCACTTTTTGAGGGCTTGCAAATAAATTTTCCATTCATGTTTCAAGTAATGCGTAATTTTGCGCATTTTTTCAAGCTAAAAATGAATACTTGTGCCGGAAATTGAATAAGAAAAAAGCTTACCTGTGTAAAGTCAGCGCCAATGAAGGCCTGCTCCATGCCGATGAAGACTGTGATGGGGATGAGGAGCTGCTGGTTGGGCTTGCGCAGCTGATTGAAGGTGGCGGCCAGGAGTTGCATAACCGAGATTTCCTGGGCTGAGATGGAGCCGCGACGCTTCTCACCATATCGCGAGAGCGGGTCCAGGAACAGGGCGATGATGATCACGGCGGCCACGATGCAGCTCAGGTAGATTGCGGAGATCTCGAAGATCTCCGACTCCGGCGGCCGCTCGAGGTTGGTGTTGTCAGCCGTGGCGACGACACAGAAATTGGCGCCGCACGTCTCGAGACTGGCCTCGCTGTAGGTGTGATTCACGTCACCGCCGCCGCCGCCGTGGGCACCGCTGGAGAGGACGAGACTGGAGATGAGATTGCCCCAGAGCTCGGCCGTTTGCCAGGCGAGGAAGAAGAAGCCGAAGAAGCGCACGATGATGGCCTCGACGGACTGATCCGTGAGCTTGGCGTAGACCTGTCCCACCTGCGTGAGGTAGGTCGCCTTGGAGGCCCACATGGGCGCCGCGCCCAGGCCCAGCAGGATGCCCGCCGGCACGAGGGTGTAGAAGCGCGGGAAGAACTGGGAGCCGATGTAGGGCGCGTAGCAGAGCATGCTGAGGCACAGGGTCCACTTGACGGTGAGTCGTCGGATCACGAGGGTGGGTATGAAGATGCAGGACACCACAATGGCGGCGTAGATGGCGCTCAGGGACACAGTGCCCAGGCCATCCTTGGCGTTGATGGACGACTGAAGGTTGGCCGTGCCCTGGAACGCCGTGAATTGCACCATGAAGGCGAAGGAGATGGTCGTGATGTTCTTCAGGATGCGCCAAGTCTCACTCCGCGACAGCTTCACCTTCTCTCTCATGGACGCCGTGTCCTCGCCACGGTGTGCCGGCGGCTTGACGGGACTGTCTTTGTCCACATCGTAGGCTCCGCCGAAAGTCATTTTTCCGTCGGTGGTGTCTCGTCGTCGTATCTATGATGTCCAAGAGCGGAGTTATTTCTCCAGTCTGAAAGCCAAGAAGCATTTGATTAGAGCGCCTGCTCGAATCACACATCGCAGCTTAATTCAATTTCAAGCGATTTTCATGCTAATAAGTGGCAGGGGATGTTTTCTTATGTCAGGAATATTGCGTCACGTTTTCTTGATCACGTTTGAAATATTCATAAGAAGATTCCGCCATAAACTTCTTTTATTTTATGGGTTTTTTACACCACATCAAGCGATGATGTTTTCATTATTTTATTCGCCAATTTTTCTTCTCTCTCTTTCGCGCTAATGATGCTTCACAGTGAATATTGCACTCGAAAAAATACATTGGGAATTTCCATAAATTTGAATAAGAATAAAGAACACTGGTTTTTTAACTAAAATTTGCATAAATTTGGCCAATGCGCAGAATAACACTATTGAACCAGATAATTCTTGACACAAGTGGATTAAATTAATGTCCCAAAACTTTCCATGATTATCCTTTAAGACCCGAATAATAAAGACTGGATCAGCATTTCGGTAATTCCCCTGGTGGTTTTTAAGATATTAAAAACATTTTGTGGTTTTTACCACAATTTAAGAACTTGTTGCTTAATCTTTTGAATCTCACTTGTGTTACTCACTGAATTTCGGACAAACAAATTGTGTACATTTTAAATCATTTTCTGGCGCTTCTCGTAAACCAAAAAAAAACAAACCGCTCAACAAGGAAACTCTGCGAATTCAAGATAAATGATGCGTGAAAAACTGTAACAAATTTGGTGATATTTTGAGTGTAAAACACACTTCTCTGGAGGTGTATTTTGTGTTTTACTTTTAATTGGACTGGCGGGCGAAAAAAGACAATTAACATGAGGATGGAAAAAAAGCACATCGCATATGTTTCTAATAAATGGCAAAAATAAATTTTTCTCAGTCAATTAAGACTATCAACAAGTGTTTTTCTTCAGTTGCTCAAAGTGGCACAAATTGAGCAATTTCATCTTTTCATTTAATTACACATGTGGATTTCTAGTGCTGAGAAGAAACGATTTTGGCGAAATTGTGCCAATTGCTCACAATTATTTATCAACTGCTCAGGGTTGAGATATTTGCACGCGGTGATAATCTGGATTTTTTCACACTGACTCGCTTTGCACTGGTAGAACTTTAAGGTTAAGACGATTAGGGTTAATTCGCTTCTTTATTCACAATAGAGACTTCTCGACAGAAATTGTGATATTATTATGTGGAGGAAAGCAGTTGAAAGGCTTGTAAAAAGAATAATTTTTTTTTCATTTTAAATTTATATCAGTCTTTTTGACCAGAAAAAGATTTTAAAGGTCACTTAAGAGGAACATGTTCTCAACTTTAATACGACCATAATCTATGCAAACAAGCCAAAGAAATTAATAAACAAATCAGTTGTTTGGAATTAAAAGGCACTTGACAAAAGAATAAACGGAAAACTAGGCCAGAAAAATCATCTAAGCAATGTTTTCCCTGTTATATTTGTCAATCTAGAGAAAACACTGGGCAATTTTTCCCCATGAAATCTAGCTTTGAGATCTTCGTGAAAAATCATTGTTTACAAAATTATCCCATCCCTGCAGCATGAATAGACATAAAGCTCAAAAGAGCAGCTTTTGATTGTGAATTTTCCTGCAGAATTTCTCAGAAAATGTGACTCTCACGTTTCTCTCTCTCACTCCATTCAAGCTATTTTCATTGCCAACAATGGTAATTAGACAGTCGGAAAGTTCTCTAAAATAGACAATAATGAGGCAATGATTCTATAGTGGAAAAATTGAAGAGGTTCAATGCCTCACAGGTGAGGTAAAAAAAAGCATAGAGAACATCATATTGGGCCACAACTGTCCCAGTATTTTCTGATACATTGTAAACTCTCCGGTGTTTGCTGTTCTGCCAAAATGTGTGCCCTCTGTTTCTGCTCGCGATCTGCGTTTTAAAATATAAACATTTACATCTTGGATATGGTTGGCAAACGGCGGAATATGGATAAAACGAGATAATTCCCATTGTGTCCGGCACAAGCTGACACCTTTTTCTTCACAATTCCTGCCAAGATATTGGCAAAACAGACGCACCTGAGCTCACAGGGAATGTTAAATATTGGGGAATTCACGCACAACTTTCGAAAAGCGTTTGTCTGCCAAGGTTCGGGATTATCCAGTGTGATCTAGACTGTGCACAAATGCACACACATTTACACGGAAAATTCCGTCACAGTGAATCCAAATATCTGGCACGCAAAGACAGGTAGGTTTATCCACTTCTCTTCCCTGGGCAATAAATAACGCACGAGGGAAGACACTTTTATGAGGATTAGGGTAACATACACACACTGTTTGCCAACCATGTGACGACGGCAAATGACATGGACAAATTGCGAGAAAACAACCATGAGATGCCGAGGATCCTTCTTGCGAAACAGACAACTCTCATGACGCGCGAAACCTTCGCAGAACAAACACACGCCACGTTCACCCACATTTCTCCTGATGATGGGTACGAAATTGAGGGTTTCCCGGCGGCGGAAAAGCGCACAGTCATTGTTGAATTTTCTCCAACGCGTGTGTGTCTTCTTGAACTTGAATTGCGCACAGCACACTGTTTATGCCCTCCAAAATTAATCCCATTTGATTTACATCTCATTTACCTCCTAGCGGATGAGGAGATTTGAAATTTATACCGATGATAAGCTGTTGGTCACATTCTCCAGCATTGCTGGGTAACAGTGTCTATGGCGACAATATCAGAGTGGAAAGTGAAGAATTTGCAAAATACATTGCAAAAATTTACAATCTCTCCACCGCGAAAACACTTCTGACACGATCGCCTAAGCCTTTCGCACTGATCTGAGGATGATCTCTCGTGAAATATTGCACCTGATTTCTGTGTAGAAATTCTCAACCACAACACAGAAATATTTGTGTGAAAATATTTACGTTTTTGTGCTCTGTTAGAATTTATTTTGCATTCTTGATCAAGCACTGAAATCAAGACTTCAATTGATCTTCGCATATTTTCACGAGTCATAAATCGATGGTGTGGTATTGAAAGTTCAACAAAATTGCAAGTTAATACCTTACAATTGTTTTTATTTCTGCATCATATTGTAACACTTTCATGATGCAATTCGAGATCATGTGGATTAACATAAAGAGAATGGCGCTGACTTCTTGTCAGACTGGCGCAGAAGATCTGTGATCATCTGCCAAGATCATCCTGCACAGACGTGTGAAAAACACCTGCTAATCTAATCTCTGGTGATGCATCGCGTCAAGGGTGAAAAATAGTCCTTCAAGAACGCTTGCAACACTAAAATTTACTGTGATCTTACATAATTATTCATGAGATCGTCTTTGAAGATCACCTTTTGTCAATCTTGACCGCGCGATGAATTGCAATGATCCAGTGAAAGGATAAACTACAGTTTAGCGCAAGGGGGAGATAATATAGCCAGAAGTGGTGTACAACTCATCGAGAATTATTAGAAAGTGTTCAAAGCTTACAATCTTCCAATCCTGAGTGCTTCTTTTACTGCCAAGTTATCCCGATTTTTTGGATTCCTTTTGATTTTTACGTAGAAACAAACGTAATAATGCTTTTCTAGGTTATGTAATGAATCACGGAGAGATTTAACGAAATAATTCGCATTCTAGCACATCAATTCTTATGCTCATGTCAGAGATATCGCTAATTATTAGCAATATTTAGCATTTGCATGCAATAAACACTGTAATTCAGGACGTTTGATGCCGAAAACCACAGAAAATTGTGTTGAGGTCGAACATAACCTCAAAAATAATGATTTGGATTTTTAAAATGTTGATTTACTTAACTTTCTGGACAATTCAAACTCTGAATCAACAATTTTGAGTTCATTATGTCGTATGGAAACCAAATAGATTTATTGTAATTTGCGAATTAGTCTGTAAACATTCTAACAATTGTAAATTCGGAAGTTTAGCCGAAAAATCAGTCGAAAATCACTTGAAAGCGTGAATTCGAAGGAAAATTTTTTCTCCCTACAATCACGCAATTTTCATCCACAATCCATGTCTGGACTTAATGCAAAATTTATTACCCTATCATGATTATGTCTAATTATCTTGTAAAAATAAATAATTATATTCTCTCAAGTGCATATCGCGACACAATACACTATCTGCCAATGTGTGGACAGAGGGAGAGATCGGTGAGAGACAAAGGGTGATCAGAGACGGGAAAAAAGTGTCGTGAAGAAGCGACCAGAGAATCAATGTGATCAAGTGTTGAGGAGACAATGTCGCGATCGCATATCAACATTCGATCATTTCCATCATCAGCTGCCCGGGACTATGCAATTATGATTTCCGGTATTATGCGTCCCAATCCACGTGACGCATGTCTCGTTACAGTATTTTCGCTAATTTTTCAATTGCGCTCCGCGACGGCGCGCGGGCGAAGCGGCGGCGAGCGCGGAAAAGTATCGCAATAATATAATAGTGAATAAAAAAAAAATGTATTCATTCTTTCTAACAACCACGAATGGGTATTCTTCTCATTGACTGGCAGATCGTAAAAATTGCCGTGTTTTATGGTTGTTTTGAGCGCGGGACAGATATGAAAAGCGTCACAGCGCGCGGGGAATTGGATGAGAATGATGTATGACCGATCACACACGGGCATTATTGTCGGAAATGCCACGGATGTCCGTCTCAGGGGGCTGATCCTGACCAGCATCTCGCGCTCCAGCTCAAGTGTGTTGTGACACGATCTTGGCACGGGCGCGCTATGGAAGGCATTGGGCCGCAAAGAATGCGCGCTCGGTGATTGCCAAGGAGGCACGCAATAGTGCTTCACTGCTGATCAATCTACCTTCAGCTAGCATGAACTGGATGGAGGCAGTTGCAGAGTGAAATTACTGGATACCATCAAAAATATTGTTGGAGAATGTTATTTGCATATTGTATTGGGAATTAAAGAGACTCCACATGTATTTTTTCGCTCAGCCAACAAAGCAGATCCATCAATTAGCTCGGCAAGATCGTTTGGTGGCCCCACGAAAATTCAAATCCATTTGCATTTGGCGCAAGAAGTGTGCAAAAAGCCACCAATGTGGCGCCTCTGTGGCCACAAATAGAAAGAGAGAGAGATCATCACTTGAATGGAGAAAAATGCCCATAGAGATTTTCCAGCGTTTGCCACTTTTCCACAGCATCACAAGGTGGGGAGAGAAGATATAATGAGGCATGATTTGCCATTCGTCTATCGATCGCGTACTATAATTTCGCGATCACGCAATGTTCTCTTTATGATAACCGAGATTCTCTCTCTTCCGAAGATCACACAATACAATTGTGATTTTTGCAAATGATATCATTTTCCCTCAATTCAGCAATTTTACAGCAAACATCGCGCTATTATTTGCGCGGGAAAACTCACGAGCCGCGATATCTCGCATCCAGCTTCCCGCGAGGGATAATTGCCAATTCGTGAAAGCTCTCTATTATCTCGGGGTGCGGAGAAAATTCCACACCCTTTTCTTTCTCTCTCTCTCTCTCTCTCTCTCTTTCCCTCTGTCTCGCAGTGAGACATGAAAATCTATTGCACAATCACACCAAATTGTTCAATGAAATTTTTCAGTGTTCGCACTTGTTGAGAAGATGGAAAAATTTTTGCATGTACGACTTTTTTTGTTGTCCAATAATACACCTTGATATTTTTGCTGGTGAAAGACACACACAAGAGTCTTGGGGGGAGGGGAGAAAAACCATGCATTCGCAGAGTCGCACGAGTTGATGGGTGAAAAAAAAAGTGGCCATTCTCGTGAAGCTCACGAAAAGAGCCCAAAATGAAAAACTCACCGAAAAGAGTCGAGGATCGTGAACAGATCACACGGAAAACTGCCTTTGATCGCTTGATGGCCACGGATTTTGCATTTACATCAAAATTCAGGCCCCGAAATTCGCTATCACCAATGCAAGTGTCTTACTGCACACGATCGTCACGCATTTACCAGCGAAAATGTCGCTAAAATTCAGCTACATCAAGATAGAATCTCTCAGCGGAAAATGTAGATATCGCGAAGATGTTGTATTAATTCACCGCAAGGCACAAGGGATGAGCACAAGAAACTCTTCTTCGCAATTAGATTTCAAGTCCGGTTCGTTAGAGATCTGAGAGGCAACTGAAAAGTTGAAAATTCTCCACAGGTTTTCAGTTTGTGGGACTTTTTCACCGTCTCACCCAGGTAGGAAATGTACATTTACATCGTCACTCGCTGGCGCGCGTGAGTGTGAGTGCGATTGTGCCATTATTATTTTATACACACTACCCAGAAGCATAATGATATATCGAGAGAGTGAGAGACAGCGAGCCAAGGGTGAGGATGAGCCGTAAAATAATTTAGTTTCGGCCTCCCTCCCACGGCGAGGGGGGCTATTTTCGGCCGCACACCGCGAGTTGGGTCATCGAGCAGAAATATCCTTCGCAGTAAAGTTCATTGCCTAGGTTGGTGGTGTGGTCAATAGGGCAGTTATTTTATTGCACGAAATCAATAAGGTACACACATCCCACGATATGAAATAATTAAATTGGGCACTTCTTCGCGCCACCCCTTCGGCGGGCGGCCAACAAACCGCCTCTCTCTGCGCTCTCTCGCACTATATGGTGGAGAAAAAACCTTCAATCCACATTTGGATGTACATATACAGTGGCTTAAATTTTTTATCATCTCACTTTTGGCTCCGCATTTATTGTTGGGACAAAAACTCCACCGCGCAGAGTTGATGACACTCTTGTCCAGTCAACAGCACTAGATCACAGATGAGGATTGCACACTCGTGCCAATATAAAGCTCAAGTAGCCAGCGAAAAAGGCGATCGCGCACAATTTGGCAGAATCAATTGGCGAATTATTCAGTTGACTATTGAAAAGTCCAGGCGATAATGTTAATTGCGTGAGAACTCCTGGACGTGACAAGAGTTTCTTATGGGATTCGCGACACGACAGCCATCCAATGATGCTCATTTGAGAGACGACAACACAACTGATTTGCAGAAAATTTGCAACTTGCCAAGGCTCAACTTTCATCACTGGATTTCGGAGGTGTGAAAGTTGCTTTATCGCCATAGTGAAGAAGTTTCCAGTGTTGTGTTTAATCAGTCAATTAGAGAATGGATCCAGCTAATTGCTCGCTAATCTGGAGAACGAGCCTCTCTTGTACACACACCGCAAGTATTATAGTTTCGTCTCAGGTAAAACTTTTTGATGGCATTTTGGGAACTCCTATTGAGTCACTAGGTAAATGAGACCAATGGAATTTTACCAATTTTATGCAAGAATGGTAAACAAATAGAGAGAGAGAAACACATGAGAAGAGAGGTTAAATAACACAGAACTTTGCTGACTTATGATTACTACGAAAGGCTGCTTTGCATTTCAGATTCAGCCGATTCGCCGAAGAGTCAGATGGAAGATTTATCAGCGGCGAGAGTCCATCTCTCCGCCAGACGACCTTCGGATCTATGTCAAAGGTAATTTCGCATTCAAATCACCATTCTTGGGTATTTTGAATGCAAAATCGAATACCTTTATCTCGTTGCAGGTCAAACCACGCGTCATGGCACAATACTGACCTTCTTCAACGCAAAAACAGTGGAAAATACCTTCTTTTCACCGTTATTGAGTGAGAAAAAAGGCTCGACATTTTCGACAAATCGCCATTTTTGTGTGCACAAATATTGCGTGAGAGTTTTACGATTAAACAAACATCAACTAAACCTCTTTGAAGGATGTTTTAATTGATTTTGAAGCACTTTGAGATGGAGTGCAATATTTTAGCTCTGAATTTGATTTGAATGTTGCAATTTTTGAAGGGATATTTGTGGAAGTTGCATCAGAGTGCAATTGCGGTAATTTCAGAGACGCGAAGTGTACGTAAGAGAAGACAATCTTTACCAGATCTTTTGATGCAACTGCACAGCTCATTTGAGCCGGATTCTTGACCATCCATTGATAAACAGTTAAGTGAATAGAACATGTTATCGATCATTTACTAATCAAGATTATTCAATTACTGCAATTACCAAATTAAATTGGTTTTTCTTCCACCTCTTGAAAAACTCTGTTGAAACCCACTCGAGCCACTCTTTGTCTGGTTTTTCAATCGAATCTAAAATTGAATTAACACTTTCAGAGTGGTCGTGTTCAATTTTCATTATCTCCTTTCCTTTTGTCTTTAAGAGAACACTTTATCAAATAAGTGCGAGCTTCTGAGTCAGAAGAATCTTTCATTGAGTTTGTGACACTTTTTCACTCAATATTTAATTAAGTGAGTCACCGGCGAACTTCCTGGCCTTCAGTCAAGTCGCGAGACTTGCGAGAAAGCGCGATCTTTTCACCCATAAGTCATCAATGAGCTGCACCGACACGAATCTCCAATCTGTCATCTAGAGGCGCCGCAACTCTGCGGCTCGTGTGCACGAGGAGGCAAAGGAGAGGCTCGAAAGACACGGCTTACTAAAGTGGCATGTGCCATCGTGCCATCAAGAGTCTTTTTTGGGCCGATAAAAATTAAATATTTGATCACTGATCGCGATTCTGGAGGCGACGGGCGTACGAGGAGGGGATCAGAGGCGGCCCGAAGCTCAGCCTCATGATGGATGGCTGTGCAATTTTCCTCAATGCCTTTCCCAACTGCGAGAAAATGTGTGTCTGTTTGCACTAGAAATGCGAACGGCGTCGCGACTGCACGGCCAAGATTTGCGCTGAGCTCTGTGGGAAGGTTGGCGCTAAATCCTCCACGCCAGCCTTCTCGGGGGCTCACAAGCTGTCACATGAGCCGCCGCCCCAAATTGCAGCGTCTTCACAGACGCCAAGAAAGATCCTTGGTCCTCTCTCGCGGCGCCGGATTGTTCCCGCTGAAACCAGTAACGGATGACCTTTGGCTGGCTCATGGATGGAAGAAGAAAATAACGTGAGAGAGGCGGTTTTTCAGCGCTCACATGGATGGCAAAGATGCTCACCTCACGAGGCTGCTCGTCAGATAATCAACCTGCCAGCGCGTTTAATCCTCATCTTCCCGCCAACCAAATATTTAATTCATCTCCGTGGCACCGCGTGCTCTCAATTATTTGTCGCAATTTGCGCAAATTCAGCCTTCGGGGAAGATTCCTGGGCACCATGATTGGTCCACCGTGCATTTTCTCATCCATAAACAGTCATATCATCGATTTTAAGGCACTTTTGTCATGTGTTTTTCGCACACGGCGCCGTGTTTCATTGACTCCTCTCTTGGCCATGGATATGTGATTGGAATTAATGTTGGCATGCCGAAGGTTTATTTATGTGCAAAAATAACTCAAAGAAATAGAGACATTTGGTATTTTTAGTATTTTTCCTCATGTAAAAAATGTCACTCAACCATGTGATGTGAGCCGTTGCAGTTCAAAACATCGCGAAGACTGGCCGTATAACAGTTTTATGCGGTGCATTTAAAATTTAAAAGTCCGCGCTCAGACTGGGCGAAATTTCACTGAGCGTCGCTCATTTATACGAGTTTTGTCACTTGATTTTCTGAGGTGCCCTGAGAAGTTTTCTCTGTGCGTTTTCCTCGTTTTTTCCCGTGAAATTCCAATTATTGCAAGATGGTTGCGTGGCGACAGGCTGGTCTTACGTGAGTATTCCTGCAGGACTGTGAGAAAAATGGGGAAATTGTTCATATCGGCGCGTTATTGTGACCATTACATAATCGCTCTGGAAGCAGAGAAAAATCACATTTTCACACGTTTACCTGTACAATTGCTCACTAATTCATGTATATTCTCACCAATCAATCATCAATCGCCAATATTCTACGCATTTCTTGGTGAAAATCGCAAAAGTTTCATGGAAACAACAACCACTGACGACATAACCTCATTTCAGGTACATCAACTACTCCAACATCGCCGCCCGGACTCTGCGAAGGGCTCTGAAACCCGAATTTCGGGCTGATGCCGTTAAGCGGGATGAGTCTCACATCAAGTTCACCCCATGGGCAAATGGAAAGCCGATAAGTGAGTATCAAAATCCCTTAAATAGTTGTCATAATATCGAATTTGGTGTGTCCGGGAGTCCGGATAGCCAAGATTTGTGAGAATTTTCAAGCGAATCTCAATTTCACCCATTCCAGCTGAGAAGTAGAGAGATGGTGAGCGAGAGATGCTCTCTCTGTAAGTCAATAAAGTGTTTTTGGTGTGCTTCTTATGATGAAATACAATTTTGTCTAGCATGAAGCATTCGAATTCTAATTGGTTTATCTTCTCTGCGGAAAACCAGAGAAGCAAAATTTGAAATTTTTGTTGCTATTCATGACTAAACTGTGTTCAATTTGCTTTGAACATTCTACTCCTCTTCACTAATTATTCCCCCGTTCGTTCTTTTCATTGATTTGAAGAGAGTTTTGAGTTGTTTTCCTTATCCATATTTATTTGCACCATTAAGTGATTATAAAGATTGCTAATACAGGCCTTATCTTTGCAGAGACCACCACCACGGAATCCTCATCCTAATCTGAGCCCGTGAAGCGAGTCATTTTGGAATTATGTTAGAGGAATAAATTAAAAGATGTGAGATGTAACCACAGCACCGATTTTTTTAACATTTACGCTGTCTTCGGAAGGCCAGCGGCATCCAGAAGTGATTCACTGCTGGGCAGGATTTGGGGTCCATCTCCCACTCGCGTGTGAATGATGTACTTCAGGAGATTCTGTCCGACGCTCTCCAGACGCATCTCCGATGCCAGAGCTTCTGGAACGGGCTCTTCGACCACCGGAACGCCCTTGACGTAGTCCGGCGTGGCGTCGCGATCGTTGGGAAAGGCTCTCTTGATGAGATTAAGCACTTGCGGCACGTCCTGGCGCATCAGATAGAAGCACGCATTGGGACCGGCATCGAAAGTGTAGGCAATCCTTGTCTTTCCGGACGCCGCGTTGAAGCGATGCACCAAATCGATGATGGCGTGCGAGACGTCGTTCAGATAGACACAGGGAGGGAATGTGTCAAGAGCGACGGCGTGGAATTGATTGCTGTCCTTCATTGTGATTTCAGCAAAGGTCTCGAAATCCCTTTCCTGGATAGCTTTCCTCATCTTCTCCACCCTTTCGGGAACGATTTGCATCGCCCGGTGGTGAATTAGAGTCGATGTCTTCACAGAGCGCTCCATTCCGCCGGTAGAACTGACCTTCTTGCGGTTGTCACTCACCACCAGGATGAGGATCTCCATGTCAGGCCAGTGAGTGCTCGGAGCTAACTGAACAGCCAAAGAATCTGAGCCATTCGGCAGTTTTCCCGCTTGCCACTGGACAAAACCCCCATAAACACTCCTGCAGGCGCTTCCGCTGCCAACTCTGGCTATGGAGGACAGTTCTATCTTGTCCTGGAGCCCATACAAGGTGGCCAGAGTGTACACGAGACACGCATAGCCGGCAGCACTGGATGCCAATCCGGCTGCCGTGGGAAAGTTGTTCTCTGAGCAAATATGCAAATTCCAGGAATAAACATCACCTTTGATGCCACATTTCTCCACCTCCTGCCGAACTGTTGAGCGAAAACACAAAGAACATGTGTTAATGGGGCCATAAACAAGTCATTTCGTGAAAAATGGGCCTCACATTGCTGCAAAACATTGATGATTCGAGGTGAGTCAAAGGTCTGCTCCTGTCCGTTCAGCCATAATCTATTTTTAGAGAATTCCGGCGACGCTACAATGGTAGTTTTTGCATACATCTCACTCAAGGTTACGCTGATAGAGTCATTGATGGGGAGGAGGAGTTGTTCATCTCGCTTTCCCCCTGGAAGTGCCAAAAAAGCGCCCCAAATTGAGGAAAGTAGGTTAGCCGAAATACCCTCGGAAAATCACCATAAGAAACTCACAGTATTTGATGACAGCGATGTTAACAGGTGCGGTACAAGTTGCGGAAGCCATTATTGGGGCCATATCACTGAAGAAAGTGGAGAAAATGGACTAAATACTCATCCAAACACCACGTATACAAAACTCATAAAAATCTGAACACAGCAATGACCGCAATGACATTAATCTTTGTCAACTTTCCGTCGCGAGCGCTCCTCTGCGGTTGATACAAGAAGCACGGTCGCCATTGTCGCTGAGTTTTGCAAGCTGTCAGTGGATGTTCCAGCTTCTCCAGACGTGCGTGAAAAAAGGCATTTTCCCATAGAAATAGTGCATTTTCCGTGCTGAAAGCAATGTAAATCAGTTATTGAACACCTCGCGTGAGAATTGACAGTATTATTTGGGCTGCGTGATCAGTATTTGAGGCTAAAATCGATGTGATGTGGTGTGAGTGACATTTTCGTGTTTTTTGCGTATCAGGCGAAAATCGTGATAAAGAATGGGTATTTTGGAGTCGGAAGCGTATGGGGACTACTATTACGACATTTTCATCAGCAATTTCACCAAGTGAGTAGCAAAAGTGGATAAATTCGGGGTGTTTCCAATGCTCAAAGTGCAGAATGCTGAAGTTCCCTCTACCGGCTGAGTTTTGGCGCCGGTTTTGGGGCATTTTCGCTCCCGGAAAGAGCATTTTCCGAAGTTTTTCACTCGCCTTGACACACTTTTCTGTCTAAGGAGACTGTCATACTTGATTGCTATTAGGATTTTCATTGCGCAACTCAGCGAAATTGTGCGAAGGAATCTGAGCGACAAATTTTCCCGCCTAACCTCAAATGCCGTGCGGTGAACCTTGACCTTCCGCAATGTTGTTTACCCCAAACAGCTGATGAGACCGGCGTGTTTTGCTAATATATTTCACGTGTGTGTTTTTCCGCAGAAAAGCGTCATCGGACAAGGGATTTCGGACACGTGGGCGGGTGAGTGAGAAGAAGGATGGACAGAAGCATGTTGTTCCGGGATCGCTGCTCAGCACTTATCGGATGGAATTGGAGCCCAATTCGTCCAAATTCGCCGTATTCTCTCTCATTCGGGCGGCTGTGTTGGAAGTGGAGGCGAAGTACGCTCTAATTTACGGGGGATTTCCACGGAGATCGCTGGGAAAGTCAACTTGCTGTGTGCATTGCTCCACATTGTGTAAGTGTCTTGTTTTGCAGAACACAGAGTCAGTTTCTCTAGAATCTCTCTCTATTCCTCTTCCAGCAGACAATGACAGTGATGACAGCGATGAGTCCGAGGAGACAACGCAGCGGGAAATCGTGCAGAAAGTTCCTCAAATTGTGGGCGCAGGTCTGAAGAGTCTGTTTGAATTGATCGCCGAGGCGAGAAACATCCATCCACGTCTCTGCACGCGAGCCTTAAAGGCTCTTCTGGACATCATCCAGGGCCAGAATCCCGAGAGCTTCAAGTCAGAGCCTGGAGAGATGATCAATCAGCTCTTTGACCTTCTTCTTGATCTGGCCACGCTGTACGAGAGTTCCTCGATAGGCGACCAATGTGACGTTAACAATTGGTCTGCCATCGGCTGCTCAGCTCTCCTGGGACTGTGTGTAGCCCGCGGAGACACTGGGAAGATCCTGAGAGCCCTCACAGCGATGCTAATGTCACCGCCGCAACTCTCGTCGCAATACATCGCCTTTCCGCTTGTGCTGAACACTCTGCAGCGGAGCGTCATCGCTGTGGCGCTTAACAGACCGACGAAGCCTGATTTCCTGCGAAATGGAATCCCGAACAATTGCTTGTTGGATCAGTTTTCGCTGGCAAATCAGCTTCCAGCAACTTATGCCTTCAATTTGCAACCCTCCATTGCGTCCGATGGGAGATTTATCTACATTCTCTTGGGCAGGAGTCTGTTGAAGATCGGCACAGGCTTCAATGGCACACTCAAAGGGTATCTCTATGCGGTGAACAATGAATTTGGGAAGGAGACGAACGGGTGGATTGGATATGCAAGAAGTACTCTCTACTATCGGCGCTTGTCCAAGAGGAATTTCGACAATGTACTGATTGTGGACACTGAAAAGCTGGCAGTTGTGGAGTCTGTGCATCTCTCAGTTGGTCAGGGCAAGGATATTCAAAGTATTCTCTTCTCAGACGGAGAATCACTCAATGTTTTGTGCACCACAAAGGATGATAGTTTGATTGTGAAACAAATTTTGCCTCCAATCGCTGGAACGGTGTTTGATTTGCCACTGAAGCTTGCCAGAAAGACATTCAGGACATTGGGATATGCAGCCTTTGAGGATGAGGTGTTGAATCAGAATCAAATCCAAAAGATTCAATCCTCATACAATCCTTTTGAGCCCAAACTCACCAATGATGTGGAGGTGTTGAGTGTGTGCTGCGGAAAGGAGTTTGGATTGGTGAGAACACCAACGGGAAAGGTGTATTACTATGGCAAGGCTTCATCTTTGGGACTGAAGAGTGTTGGGAAGAGTCCGACTCTTCGATTGACTGAGTTGATTGTGTCGAAATCGGAAAATATTGTCCACATTGCTGTGGGACATGATGGAGTTCATGCTATTCTTGTCACTGACGATGGATTTGTGTATTTCACCGGAACAGCGAGGAGAGGTGAGGATGGAGACTCCTCGAAGAATCGTCGACAGCCAAAGGCGGTGAAACCCAAGAAGATTGGGAAAGTGGAAGTGACAAGTGTGGTTTATGCGTCGTGCAACAATGGAACTTCTGCCTTTGTCACGAAGAGTGGAAAACTGGTGATGTATGGTAAGGATACGGCGCACTGTGACGCTTCGGGATTCGTCACGACTCTGGCAGATCAGCACATTGTAAAGGTGGCTCTGGGTAAGGCTCACTGTGCCGCCTTGAATGCCAAAGGACAACTCTTCACCTTTGGCCTGAACAACAAAGGCCAGTGCGGAAGGGTGTTCGTGAAGGAGAAGGACACTTCCCTCATGGAGACGTCTGAGGCCAAAAGTGTTGAGACTCCTGCCGTGGGAAAGACCGAATTGGCTCCCATTTGCGATGCTGACGATCACACACTCACTCTGGGTCAATGCAGAGTATGCACAATCTGTCGCGAGTGCACTGGCTATAACACATCGTGCGTGGTGATGCAGAGGATCCCGCAGGAGCAGAGGATTCCCGGAGCTGATTGCGACTGTGGTCACGGCTGTGCTGGATGCTCAAAGTGTGCCGCTTGCAATGGGTGCATCAATCAGCAAGAGAGTGAGAGTGTGTCAGAAGCAACTGTCCAGCGGGACACCACGTCGTCGTCGGCGTCGAGAGTGAAGTACAGAGGTCCAGTGCTGCGGAAGAAGGAGAAGAAGTACGCCGAGGAGGCCAATATTGGATCTGATGCTGAGAGAGATCAGCCGAGAGTGGCTCCTCTGCCACCGGCCAGAGTCACTCTGCCGTCCACAAGTCCTGTGATTCAGATCTCTTGTGGACTTCATCACACTGTGGCGCTCACGATGGCTGGCGAGGTGTTTACATTCGGCAGCAATCAGTATGGACAGCTGGGAACGGGAGATTTGCAGCCTGCTTCTGGTCCGGCTCAAGTGAAAGTGTCAGGAACGGTGACACATGTCGCCGCAGGATCAAATCACACTATTCTCATGACACACAAGGGAGTCGTGTACACATTCGGGAACTACCAGAAGGGACAACTTGGACGCTTTCCCAATGAGTTTCAACAGAGAGATGATCCGTTGATGGCGAAGTTTGAGTCCAAGAATGATCAGCCGACGGCTTCTGAGATGCTGCAGCAGCGCCAGAAGTTCCTGTGGAACTGTATTCCAGGTCCTGTGATGGGAATTGGACCGAACTTTGGCAAGAGAGCCACGTGGATCAGTGCCAGTGGTGATCAGACATTCATTAAGATTGACGAAAGTCTGGTCACGGGATCGATGTTGGCCAAGTTGAATATTGTGGCGGACAAGAACACGATGCTTCTCATTCCAAATGTTCCTCTGTCCTTTGATTGCCTCACGATAAATCGTCAGGATGGGACTTGCTCAACACACAGTCGAAATCAGATGGATTTCACGAAGATTATCCAGTCGCATCAAGCGACGATAGAGCAAATGGCATCTGACAAGTGCAATCAGAACACAGAAGTGCCCAAAGATGCGAGTAAACAGATGTCACAGAGTATTCACGAGGCGAGGAATCAACTGTTTGACTTCCAGGATTGCCTGCAAGGCGGAAAGAGTGGGAAGAATCCTCACAAATCGATGGAAATTCAGCCACAATTGGCCTTCACACTGGAGTCAAGTTATGGGAATTTGTGGGCTTTTGATGCCATCGCGAAGAAGATGTACTGCTACAATGTGATTTCCAGTGAAATGGTGAATTCGTCTGTTGATCACAGTTCAGATTTGAGAGCTATTTTGTCATCTCATCTCGCATTGCCGTCAAAAATGGATGTTGCCATAACACGAAGTCAAGCTTCACTGAATCTTCTCGCATGTTTGGACATTTTGACATCCTCATCGGACAACATTCCGCACTGTTTTGAGACGGTTGTTGAGCAATCCATGAACTCCGCCAAGGAATCCGCGGGAAATGACTTCCAGTCTGTGGTGAGATTTGAGAATTACGGCGGCGGATGGGGATATTCTGGTCACAGTGTGGAAGCTATTCGTTTCATGGCCGACACGGACATTCTGATCGGAGGATTTGGGATCTTTGGCGGCCGTGGCGAGTACACGTGCAAGCTTAAGGTGTACGATCTGGGATCTGAGGGCGGTGGCTATGAAAAGGACGGAGTTTTGATTGCCGAAACTGACGACACGCCCTTCGAATGTCCCGCCAGGAGTCGATACAACATGCTCCTGACAAAACCCATCACAGCTTCGGCTGGAAATTGGTTTCTGGTGTGGAGTAGAATCTCTGGACCCTCGTCAGATTGCGGATCGTGTGGTCAGGCGAATGTGACAACGGATGATCAAGTTGTGTTCACATTTAAATCTTCGAAGAAGGCCAATAATGGCACAGATGTCAATTCTGGGCAAATCCCGTCGATTCTCTACAAAGTGGTGAACAGGGAGTCAAAGCAGATCACTGATCATTTTGATATTGAGCCCATTCACAAGATCTCCAAGATGTTTGCCAATTCTGTGACGAAGGAGTGCTTTGACAGCTTGGTGTCGCTCCTCAACTGGGCCTGGGGAACATTCAAGATGTCTCTGGGAGAGCTGAAGGATCGACGAAGATATCTGCACGTTCACTCATGCCTTGAGCGATTGGTGTATGTCAACAAATCCTGTCTCAGGCTCCTCAGGAAGTACACCAATGAAGTGTATCCAGTGGTGACTGTTGACAAAGGTGAGAAGAAGAGTAAATTCTGGGGAGAGTCCAAGGAGGAGATCAGCAAGAGGAAATCCACCAGTTTGACGGTGAACAAAGGCGCCTCCACGTCCAAGATGACAACAATTTCCACAAAGATCTTCAGCTTGAGCACTGCCACTGTGGAGACTTCCACGCCGACGGCGGCAAAGAAGCCTAATTCGGAGAATCTCCTCCTGGCCGAGTGCATTGGAGAGGTTCGTGCGCTGCTTATGCAAATTCTCTGCGATGATATTCAGCTGGAGGCGGAAAGTGAGGCTTCTGAGATGCTGACAAATATCCTGGATGAGTGTCATGTGACATTTGTCAGCTGCTTCAATGCCTTCTATCCGACATCAACACTGAAGTGGAATTGTCTGTGTGATCAACTTGCTCAGATGGACAGAGGAGTTCTGCATTCGCGTCTGTTGAGTGCTATTCTCGCAGGACTCTGCAGTCCCAATGTTCAGTTGCGAAAGACCTTTTCTCTCCTCACACCCAATCGCGAGCGAATCTCTCTCGTGAGTCCCAGTGACAACTCTGGACTGCCCATGCTCACGTCCATGGAGAATCACTCGTATCCGGTGCTCGTGGAGCAGATGATCTACAGGACGCAGCAGGAGAAGAGTGATTTCCATGCCAACACGTGGACATTCAAGGATGTTCTCATGAAGCTGTTGAACATCATTTCCAAGCCAATCAGATCGAAGATTGAGAACATTTACCACAGTCGTTGTGGCAATTTTCTGAACATTGATATGGCGAGGAACACTAATCAGGGCTTAATCGACAATTGCTGTCATCTTCTTGCTCGAGTCTTGGCGGAGATTGTCTACGAAAGTTGCACTTTTGATGTGAGTTTTCTTCTGTCTTGAATTTCAATGACATGTTACTAAGATTCACTTGTTGTTTTTGCAGTTCGATGTGGCCCTATTGCCATCAAAGAGTCTCCAATCAACTGGCTCGAGGTATACAAGAACTGATTCCAGCAGAACATGGAATACGGGCAATTTTGGTCCAGACGCGATTGCTTTCTCTGTGGATAAAGCGGGGATTGCTATTGCGGGAGCAGTGATTTACTCTGGTTCAGGAAGCTATGAGTATCAGCTGGAGCTTCTGCATGACACAATGGATTCCAAGCTGCAATTCCAGAATCGCTGGGAGACTCTTGAGTCCACATCAGGAACGTATGATCAGGATGTTGTGCAGAATGACATGGTGGAGTTGAAATTTGATCGTCCAGTGCAGATAAAGGAGCACGGACGCTATGCCATTAGATTATGCTCTCAGGGATCGCGAACCTGTTCCGGAGATGCTGGAGTGACATCCTTGAGAGGTCCTTGTGGAGCAACATTCACCTTCTTTCCCTGTGATCTGAGCTTCAATGGCACAACGCCAATCAGAGGACAAATTCCCAGTCTTCTCTACTACAGTTCTCCGCTGAGGAATGAGAATCACACTGGGAAGATCATCAATGAGATGCACGCTCGAGACACAGTGTTGCAAATTGCATCGGATATCACGAAGAAGTGTGCTGAATTGTTGATTTTGGCACGAAATACAGCCGCAATGACAGTGTCTCCGAGTGAAAAGAGTCCCAATTCGTCAAACAACACCCAAACAATTGATTCTGAGCATAATATCACGCCTATTGAGGAGCACATGGACATAGCGTGGAGTAATAATTCCTATCACAACACTTCGACGAGTTTCTCAGAGAGCAACATGTCCACAGCGAGGGATTTGACGAAGAAAATTGAGTCCTTCTCAAAGGGCATCATTGAGACGTTGAAGTTTGAGAAACGTGCAACAAATCCTTTTGAGTTTGAAATTGAAATTGGCGCTACTGAGATTAATCCGAAGGATTTGCTGGAGGAGAATGATTTGAATGACAGAAATGTGAAGAATGGCAAGTTTGCGAAGATGAATGGAAATAACAGAATAATTGGCAATGATGACGATATCAGAAACTATCTCAATGAAGTGGCGGGAAATCGTGATGGTGACGAAGACTTCTCACAGATGAGCACTTCGGGGATTTTGGAGTTGTTTGGCTTGAGGGATGCCAGTATGTTTCACACTCTCTTGCCACTGGTCTTTGCCCACATTGGACCTCTGGTGAACACCGATCCGAGGAGTTGTGTGCAGATTTTGAGTCTGATTAGAGATATTTTGCCTCATGTGGCGGCGCTGAATCAACTTCATGCCAGCAAGGATGCCGATGAGCAGCAGGGAGAGAATGTGGATGTACGGAACAGGAATCAGGAGAGTCTCGACGGGCCGCTGATGGATTTGTGCACCACCAGCAAGCACTACTGCACAGTTGAGAGTGATCATCCGTACAAGAGTGCAATGATTAGCAGCTACAAGGTGGAATTCCCTCCGAATGTTCACTGGTTCTCCATTGAGTTCGATCCTCAGAGTGGCACCGCTCAGCCCGAGGACAGTTTGCTGCTCTCAATTCCTCAGGCGCGCCTGATCGCATCTCATGAGCGCACTGGACATCAGTGTGAGGAGAGTATAAACAGTAGGAAGAGTGTGGATGTCATCGCCAGCTATTCATCTGTGAATGACGACAATGCATGGAATATGTTTAATCAGCGCTCCTCAGACGATGAAAATTGGATTGTGGTGAAGAAATTCAACACGTAAGCAATCTCCCATTTTGCCAAGTCTCTTTGTCTAACTCGGTCATATTGACGACTCTATCAATATTTGTGTTTTTATTCGAGAACCTCTTTTAACACTATCACATGCTGATAAATATACTCGATTGAGTTTGAGGGATTAATGACAGAGATAAGTTCAATTTCCAGAAACTTACAAACTCAACCGCTAAAGTTGAATGATTAAGTATGTTAATTAAGGGCGAATTTGAATCATTTCTCAAGCACGAAGATATATTTACGTTGCGATGAATAAGATGAACTATTTTAAGATTCTTGTGCTTCCTCAAAACTTCAATAGCTTTATGGCTCAAGTGATTTATTTCACACGCTCGAAAAAAAATCACATTAGAAATCTTATCTCAATGATTCTTGGAAATTTATGCCGTATACTAACTTTTTTGTGTGTAAACAATGTCTTTCAGGCCGTCGCAGTGGAATCAAAATTCAATAATACTTCCTGGAAATTGTCTTCAGCTCTCGCTGGAAACTGCCACGAATTATCTGCACGATCAGCAAGCCAATCGGTATGGATTCAAGTGTCAGATTGTTGGCTATGAGAATCCGTCGATGGAGAAGTTTTCCAATTCGTGTCTCATTCGACTGGAGCACGAATTGGCTTACCTGGGCGGAATGTGCAGTGCAAATCTGATGAAGAAGGATCTTGTGCTGCCGGGAGATAAGTGTGAGGATTTGTCGCCGATCAGTGAGACTCTGAAGAATCATGCAAGTCTCCTGGGCAAAGGATTCGCCTTGCCAGACTCAATGTTGACCATCAATCAAGCGCTTGATTCACATCTGCCGATTGGGTGAGTTGATTTGTTTTCTCTTTGTCTATTCTAGTTTCTATTTATTTTTCCTTTAGGAACATTGAATCACAATTGACTTAGCATTTTAAGAAATCACCTCAAAACTAGTCACTCTGTTTTGTATATAACTCATAAATTAATGTTGGCAATGTTGCTATAAGATAAGAAATTTCTACAGTTCAGTCTTCAAGAGTCCATGATTTTCAATTTGCATGACAATTTGTGTTTCACGGTATGTTTTACCCTCTGGCTTGATTATATCCAATTTCCTTGCCTTTCTTCTGCGCCACCAAACACACAGAATTATTATGAGGATGAACAGCAGCAGGAGAATGAAGAGTCCAACGCCTAGGATGATGTACCAGAAGTAGGATGTTTCTATGCAGAAATTCTCAATGATGTGGGCAAATGAGTGAAAATCTTCTTGTCGACTGAACTCGACATTCTTATCGATCATGTAGTCACGGAGTCTGAAGAAGGTTTCACTGGAGAATTGATTGAAGAACTCATTGTCCTGAATCTGAATGATTTGCTCACAAGTTATAGGAGTCATATACTGATTTCTGGTGTAAATCAGTCTAAACTCTGGGGCGAACACAAGTGGTTCAGGTCCATCGGGCGTGTCCAGATTGTTGCGGGAGAAATCGAGGAACATTGGCTCCGTGAGACGCCTCAGAACTTCTCTCTCAATCACTATTGAAGTGAATGCTCGCGGTTGAACGAGAGTCATATTGTTCTCGGTTATCATTGGCATCTGTCTGACTGACATAATGAAACTTTCTCCACTCAATCCGCCAAATTTGTTCCGGAAAATACTAGCGAGATTGACAACTGAAAAAAGGACAGAGAAAACATTAGAAGAAAGAGAAAAATATGACAATAATATTGATTTTTACCTCTAAAGTCAAAAGCTCTCGAGTGAATCCGGGATAAGAAGGTGTTTTCTGAAATGAGCAAGGCTTGATTTACGTCGATATCGTAGAAACTGCGCGAGGACAATTGTCCATTCACTGTCGTGTTGGTGATTTGGAATTGGCCACAAGTGAACTTCTTAAATGCTTGATGCTCTATTCGACTGATGAATGTGTTCCAGATGGCGAAGCTCTCAAGTGAATGTCTTATTCCTGTCACAGCGAATGAATTGATGTGTCCAATGCGGCATCGGTCGAAGGATATCCCAAGGATGAATCCATTGATGGCGTACGAAGGGATCTGCTCGATGATGACATTGGTGAAGGACAGTGAAACTCTCAATTGAAGCGATGCTCGTGCAAAAGACAGAGAATTCTCGTCCAGCACGAGATGCTCGATGTTGATGAAGGCGACCTGAGTGAGGATGTCGAGGGTGTCGAAGGTGCCATTCAATACCCTAACGAATTTGCAGTTGCTCACTGTTACATGAGCAATGCTTCCCATCATTCGCGGCAGCACAGCCTCCTGTATAGAGCAATGGAAGTTGTTGAAGTTTTGTGCAAATATTTACCGTGTGTTGGCACCGCGTTTGCTAACAGACTTACCTCATTGCGAAATCCACAGTCACATATTCGACCCCTATCGCGATGGATGCAATGAACTTGCGGTGGTGCAGACTGAAAGATATCGGTCTCTTGATCATCATTGTCGTCAATTGATCCGTGATTCACAGCCTGTGGCCCAATTAACTCCACATCTTCATTACTAATGTAGTCATTTTCATTAATTTTCTCAACATATTCACTGTATTCTCGACTGTAGTCGACATTGTGAGCACTTGTCACTAGCAATTCACTCGCGAAAAGCAGGAGAAATATTATGTATCCTCTCTGGAGTCCTTTTGTCATCTTTACACGCACTTCACTTGGGTTTTTGCTGATGAAGTACAATTGCCAATTTAGCCGGAGAATAACTCACAATTCGTCGTCTCTACGCTAGACTTTCAATATGATCTAATTGTGTGAAAACTCATGAGTAAGATAAGTGTGAAAAAATTGCGTTTATCAGGTAGGAAGGCGTTTTTTTTCGTGGCTCTCTTTCACAGAAAAAGATAAGATAGCAAATCGAACACACGGTTCACGTTTGTATTCTGTGAAATTTTATCACGGCGATTTTTTTGTCATGAGTAATTGTCAGAACAGAGTGTTCAAAAAGTTTCCTGTCCTCAAAAATCAAACTCTAAAACTGTATAATTGAATTCACTAGCTCTCAAAGAGCGACTAAACAGTGTGGCGTGCCGAAAAAAGATGGTCAGGTGGAAAAAGAGTAGAGGCGTATTATTTACCTAATTGAAATTAATACACAATTGGATTTTGTGTAATGTCGAATGACGAAATGTCTGTTGACTGCTTGGATTACGCTGACAAATAAGGTGGACATTTGGCCTTTTTTTACGTGTTACCCATGAAGCTCTAATTCTTGCTGAATTAGCGATCTTCACATGATACCGAGAGGTCGAGAGTATTATTGACATGTTAAGTACGTTCAATTGTCGGGTGATTAAGAAAAATGTAGTTCAGCACAGCATTAAATTTGACGCTTCCTCTCTATCTTGAGAAACTCAGGCGTTGTACGTCGTAGGAAAATGATTATTTACAATTGAAGACACCTCTTTTCTATTGACATTACACGCGCATTTGGAAATTTTCTTTCTGTTAAAATGCACTGAAGAGTAGAAGAGACACAAAAGCCGCATTATTTGGCTATTAAGTTATCCATTGAATGTGGCGGGGAAAAGTCTGCGTGTATGAATTGTGGCCTTTCAATTGCACTCCTAATGACTTGAGTGTCAACAGAAAGTGTTAAAAAACTCACTGTTACACATCATTATCACGAGTTATAATGAAATTTTGTCCTTGGTTGTGTTTCTTTTCTCGCACTTCTTAAAAAAAAAAATATATGAATGATAAAGAGGATGTAGAAAAAATTTCCTTGCATCAATACTGTGAAATATTGTCTATTTTTCTGTATGAAAACCACTGAAAAGTTTCCTCTTGAGTGTTTTTCATTCTTCTTCTGAGGAGGAGGAGAAAAAGGAGACCACGTGTGAGTGAGTTATTACTCCACTGTAAAATAAATCTCATGACTTCACTGATATTTTTATCGTGTCGGAAGAAGTGTAATGCAATCCATAAATGATCACTTTGTGTATTTAAAGTCACTCTTTAATTGATTACCAGTGTCGAAAATATTTATAAATATACACTCGATGAGAATGCCGATGATCGACAGCATCCTTCCCCGATGAAATCTCCACAATCACTGAATTTTCATGGCAGTGTGAAGTGAAATGAGAGTCTCTCTCCCTCTCTCTGTTGGGTTGAATCGCATGCGATCGCGAGTAATTTTCCTCGAGCACTTGAATAATATCGATGTGGTGGTGTTGCGCAATTTACAGATGCTCAAACATAACACGCGGAGCGTATGTATGGTTGTTTTGCCATCTCTCAGCGAATAGTTGGAAGTATTTTATGTTGTATTAGAGAGGAAACATTTGAGGAGATTTCGATCGCGTGCAATCAATCGTAACGAACATGATGTTTTATATGCTTCAATTTCAATTTTTATTAGTTATTGTTATCGATTTAACCCATTATATAAATCAATATAATTAATATCACGTAGTATAAAATTCTTATCGTATAAGTGTTGGAAGATGCAAGACAACTAGAATCTGTCCATATATATAAACTAACAATGTTTCTTTTAGTCTTTTTGCTCAGCAACATCTATGATACACACATGTTGATCACTATCGCGATCTTATGCATCGGCATAATCAATGACATCGTCCATTTTCACGGTGATATCGCTGCCACCTGAGTGGTCAGATGACGCAGAGTCCTTCTTGTGCAGTCCAAAAGCACCTGCTGCACGATCCCTGCCTGTTGATCCATCCTGGCCCGTTGACTGTCCCTTCGGCGCTGGAATGGTGTACTTTGGTATCGTGCGATTGGATCGTGGTGATCGAGTGATGTGGAAATTGGGATTGTTGGCGAATTCATTGGCCAATCGTTGAACTTTGCCCTGCGTGACACTCGGCGGTGTTGCTGCTGACGATGATGGCGTGGATTGGGATAGCACATCAGGCAAATTTGGCGCTCCTGCTGGCTGTGACACGTTCGTCACTCCAATCGCATAGGGACTGATGAGCTTTCGTGGAGGTTCTGGGTGAACAAATACTGAATTAGAATAAATATTGAGGCAGTTTCAAGGCAAATCCGCTAGCTAATTGACGCAGCAGATGGTTACGGTGATAAAGACAAACTCCCAGGCTTAGAAAAGATCCCCAATCAAAATTGTGTTAAAATTAGCAAGAATGTGAAAATAGCAAAACCATCATTCGCAACACTTTCTCACACACCTTCTATTGTAAATATTTACTGTGAATCATTTTGAATAATTCGCGCGTGGGGGAGCAAATCTAGAGAGAGTGGTACAATCTTGAGAATTCTTCACATTCTATCATGAGAAATTGCTTGTGATATGAGACGAGAGTTCCTTGCTTACCTTTAGGACTGACCACTGGCTCTGTGTAGAGGCCAGACTCGGTGTTTCTATCTACAGGAAGTGCGTACTCGTTGTTAAGTAGTGGCTGTTGAACACTCTGTGGCTCGGCGTAGATGTGATTGAGATCGAGTTGTGTGTTTCGATCGTCAACGTCGTTGCTGCCAATGAGATTTGGCTCAGCATAGACGGGATCGTTTTGATTATTGTCCTTCGGTGCAAGATGTTTATACAGAATGTCCGTGAAGGCGACAAAATCCTCTCCGGAGTTTTCACACTTGCTAAGCGTTCCCACAATCTCACCAATTGTCAGCACCTTTTCGCTCTCTGTCAGGCTTCCGTTGAACAACTTTTGGGTATTGTTATAGACTTGATCGTACTTCTCGGCAGGATACTTGAGTTTCATCTTATCCAGTGTCTGATTGATAATAATTTGATCTTCTGGTGTGAAAATTCTCGTATTTCTCGGCACTCTTTCGACACTGTGGTGCGAATGTTCAGGCGTTGCTGTGATTAATCCTGCTCTGTCAGTGCGATTTCCTCTCTTGCGCACCACAACAATCACAATTCCAATCAGGAGGAGAAGGATAATGAGACACACCACTCCGGTTGTGATCCAGTAGACTAAATTATTGCGTCCGCTGTCCTTTCCAAAATCACCCGGTTTGATAAAGTTCCCATTCATCTTTGGGTCCTTCTGCGTTTCCATGCAGTCCAGAACCTTCGAATCACTGCACACTTCGCGATAGTAAGTAGTGAGCTTCGTGAGATTTGCGTTGAAGCAGGGTTTCAGCAAGTCACCAGTGCTGCAGTAAATCTCATCTGTCATTTTTTGGAAACTTGACACGTCCAGTAAACTGAGCCACTTTTTGCCACATTCGCAGGTTTTCTGGAACAACACAGATTTCACAATGCAGTCTTGAGGTAGACGAAGAGATCCTCCATCAGCATTTGTTATAGAGTTCATTTCGAACTTGCATATCCTTCTCTTCATGAGCTCTTCAATATCCATGGCGCCGAAGTGGCCAAAGGAGTTGTTATTGACCTCTAATTTGTCAAATTGTGAAATTTTGAGCCAATGCTTTTCCGCTTTTTCAATCTTATTGAACGAAATGCTAGCTTGGGCAGCAAAAGCACTTATTCCTCGCTCTGCAATTGTCTTTATCCTATTCCGTTCGATGATAATAACTTGGCAACCACAATTAGCAATGGCTTCTCTATGAATTGTCGTTATATTGCAGTCTACAATTCTCATTTGACTGCACAATACTCTCTGTGGAAATGCTTCTCGTTGGATTTTATCAATTCTTGTATTCTCGAAGTCAATTGACATGGATTCTGTGATGCCAAATGCATTGGAGACTATTTCGTTGATGACTGAATTGACTATTCGAAGTTCCTTGATCATTCCTCCAACACTCTCAAGACGATCAATAAAGCTGTTTGTGATTGTCACAGTCGATCGATCCCCAGCAATTCGAGCGTGAGGATTCATTTTGAGATGTCCAATATTATCAAAGACGGCATTAAAGCTTGTCTGGCTCAAAGCTCCATCGTAAACTATGACTTCTCGGCAGTTTGTGAAGTTTATTTTATTTTCGTCTGCAAGAAAAATGATCAGTTAGATTTTATTGTGATATTTTCTTCATTTCCTAACTCACCATGGAATGTTCCGTTTTTCAGGACAACCGTGTGACAATTAATTATATTAATTTCCAACATAGAGCCATTATTCTCTTGTAGAGCATTTTCCATAAATTCCACATGAGCTTCTGACTCCTTTGTCCCATTTATAAGGATTCTGTTGATGTGATTCTGCTGGAAGAAGTCACGATGAATGTGTAGTCGTGTGTTTTTGGCCAAGTGCATTGTCAATGACCACGCTTCCTTCGGAATATGGTATTTATGGTTGAAGTCGTATTGCTGCAATTAAGTAGATAAAAAAAATCAACAATTAAACACATTCATCAATGAAAGAAAATGCTTCAAACTTTTGGGTGCATTCCAAATGAGCGAGCGCGGAGGGAAGTGTAAACAATGGTGAATGATGTGTGTTCAATATGTGGGCGGAGAGGCCAAGAATCACAGTTGGAAAAACACACAGAAGCATGGAAAGAGTATTTTCAGCATTTTTTCCCCCCTCAATAATGTGTATGGGTTGAATATTGTATGAAATACAATACAATTCGCTACTCCTTCTCTAATTGACTAACAAGCAACAGCTAATCTTCACCACATTATTGGTCAATCCTTGACACCCACACATGTTGCGTCTGTCCCAAGTGGATGAGACTGTTTGCCTTTGAACAAAGAGAGTCATTTTCTAATGATCGACCGTGCTAATTGTATGACAAATCTGACATTTTTATTTTTATAATCAACTCCAGCTACCACGAGAGAGTTGTGTTGCCATTGGCAGACGTGGCAAAAGTGTGAAAATCACTTTATTGCCGTGGTTGTAATGTAAAGCATGTATTTTTGTATCTGAGATGGCTAATGAGATGATCTTTTCAATTAAATCTAATGGCCAATAAAACTGGCACTTTGTCGCTATAACTGATATGTGAAATTTCGGTGGGTTGTTTTTTCAGCGTGCAAACATTAGTAAAGCAAATAATACGCTAATGTCATGAGAAAAGTTAAATGTTTTTGAGCGACGTCAAAGGAGGATTTTAGAATGAATTTGACAGGCATTTTAGGGGAAAAAAATCATTATAAAACCACAAGTTTTCGAACAACCTGAATTTCAGAGAAGTTTCAGTGCGTAAAATTGCCGCGTATGATTGAATTTTGGTTACCTCCCAAAGCAACAAAACAATTTGAAAGAGTCGGAACTCTTCAAAAAGTCTCAATTGCAAAATGATGTGGGGTGGAAAACTTCATTGTCTAGTATAGATTGTTTTCAATGCTTGTATCAAACATTGTACGGGTATAAATAGGAGATAATTGAATAATTTGATCGTTCACCGAGTTCACAATTGGATCCAATTCATTGGTTGGGTCTGTCGCTCTCGCTCTTGATACATATACATATATATAGTCTCTTTGAATGCCATCGAGAAAGAGCCTTCCTGTTGAGCATGAAAACTGTGTCTGACTAATTCAGATGGAATTGACTGAATTTGCTTAGTCCAGAGAGGGGGTGAAGTGTAATAGAAATCAAGTTCAAAACCATATTAATATTCCCAAATGAGAGTGAGAGAGATGCAGTGAAAGGAGATGTAATTCAATACCACTGAAAGGGTCGAATTAATCAGTGAAAGAAGTGGTTCGATATGGAGGTTCACAAATTCATTAGAAGAGAGAGGAAAGGAATATTTTTAGAAGAGATTGATTTGGAATTTCCTTCTGCTCCGTCTCGACACTGCTATAGACAAAAGGCTTTATTGTATATTCACTCTTCAGTTCCGTGTCTCATCAGTTGATACGTTTTTGGGATGCCCTGCTCTATATCTCGGTTGTGCTTGAGGAATGAGACAGAAAAACGACCCACATGCATTTATTTTCTGTACGTTTAGTGCTCGTGAGACGAATAAATAGCTTAAGGAAACCTCTGAAAGCGATAAGATAAATGTCGAATGGGAGAGAAACTGACAAAGAAAGTGATAAGGCAGCAACTATTGAAAGGGAATATTCAGTATTTGAGCATATTTGGATGCGCATAAGAGGGAAAAATGTCTGAGAAATACCATAATATGTCTCCCTTTTCTCTGGGTCATTAGAGAATTAATTGTTTTATTTGATTAACACAGAGAGAATGTCTTGTCCTCCCGACAGATAAGCTGGAAATTACTGTGAAAATGACGATAACATCCAAGATGTTGTCAATCAATTTGATTCACATCTGAAGTGAATCATCCGCCAGTAATAAATATTTCAAGAAGCCGGGCAAAAATAGCGAAAATAGCAATAAACATTACTTCATCTCTCGGGTGATTTATCTCCTCTCTTATTCCCCAATGTTATAATATTCCACCAGAGTTTTTCCACTCGGAGCGCACTCAAAAGTGTTTATTCACATAACATGAAGGAATTGCTTATGATTGCTCCACTTAGAATAATAAATGATGTGTAAATTTCAATTCCTTGCCTGTGTGAAAATATATTGAGTAGGTACTGTAAATGATTTTTGCTCTTTGATCTTCATCTTGCTAGAGAATTTTAACACAGAAATCGGTGCCACTTCGTGTATTGAAGTTCATTGTCATATTTCTTGTACACCTAAATTGATCGACTTTGACCTTTTGTCATTCGACAATTGAGTGACCACAGAGAAAAAGGGGTATTTTTAGTAATTTTTCGAGGAGTTTTGGGTGTAATTTTGGGAATAGATAACTTTTATCTTATCACAGCACCATTTTATTGCAGTATCGACGTTTGCGAAAATTTGTATTCAGACTTGCGAAATAAGTTGCGAATGCAAAGATAAAAAAAGCCTTAAATCTAGACATTTTTCTATCCAAAACCCATTTTTCTATCTACTTTTTATCGATCAACGAACTTTAAGTGATAATTTCCGCAACTGTTTTCAGTGTGTTTGTGTGATTGGGCTCGATTGAAACAATAAATGTCCATTGGGAAATCGATTGGACGTGGTGTTTAAGCGGGGAAAGTGACACTCACCCTGCCTTGAAGTTCGCATGTCACATCCATGAGCGTTTGTTTTGTGCACGTACACCCTTTCTCATTGCACAAATTGATTGGTGTTGCGCTATGCCGAATGTCTCGGCGCTGGAGTGAATGTCGTGACGAATGTGGCATTGCAGAATTCCGCGCATCATCATCCACTGCACTTGTGATCTTCCACACACGACGTCGGGGCGACGCTCCAAGTGGAGCACTTCCGGTGGCTGAAGTTCGGGTATCTGATGATGAGAATCTCTCATCATGTGTGGCTGATTTGATGATCCTCTCGTCATGTTGCGGCTCATTTGAATAAATTAAGTTGCTCCACAGAGATTTTGGAAATGGCTCTGTATGTGAAATTATCACATTTCCCTGGTGATTCACTGATCTATTTCTGACAAAGGGGGTCCGAGTGGCGAAGTCGTCCTCATGTTTTGCTGTGCACAGCGATAGTGCAATAAGGCACAATGCGAACAAGAGCAGATTTGCTGATGTCGCTCCCGGGAATTGGTGCATTTTTTTCATTATTCATTTGGGCGTTGCTGAGGAAGAGTGTTTTGACTGTTTTTTTCTTGTTTTTTTGGAAAATAGACACACAGAATTATGATCAGTTCAAAGAATATCACACACTTTTTAACACCACATAGAATATATTATTTGAAGAGTGCGCCGGAGAAAGAGAAAGAAAGAGAGAAATTCCACTGTATTTAAGGTTTTTGCTTTTACAGTTTCTTATTTCCACGTCTCAGCTCTTCTTTTCTTCTTTCACTTCTTATGGGATGTCTTGGGCGGTGTGTGTGTCTGTTTTTTTTTCTCTCTCCTTAATTCTGTGTGCAGGCAATTAAAGAAATAAAATAAATTGTGTGCACCACAACAAATTAAACACACGATACTTAGGATGTGTTTGCCTGTGTGGTTCTATTCTGTTATATAAAAATTCTTTTTGCCGTGGAAAAAGGGAGCAATGATCTTGTGATATTTCTCTCAAATGTATCTTTTCTCTCACACTGGAGAAATATTGTGTCTTCTCTTTGACTAAATATGTCTGAGAAACATGTTTGACATCCTGTTTGCTTTTACATTTTTAGAATTCTCACTGTATTTTCCATCAGATTCTTCACTTTTTTATCGGAACAACGAGAGAGAATCCACTTTTCACTTGTCCCTACTAATCACTCTGTGTGTATTGAATTACGTTATGAGTGATTGTTGACTCATTTGTCTCAAAATTTGTCGTGATCTTCGCTCCAGAGATCAATCGTTGGCTTTTAAAATTAGTATTTGATGTCGTGCGGCGCAGTGTTTCTTGTGATTTTCTCACAAAATCATCACTAAAGTATTTCTATTTGTTTGCCAAACGGACATATTAAGACTTCAATGCCATTTCACTTTCAATATATTTCTCAGTTTAAGAAGCTTTTCCTCTGTCGCACAAGTGTATCTATTTTAATCACATACTTCGACTCTTAATCACACATCTCGCGAATATTAATAGTGTTTTTTTGCACGCACTTCTATGTCACTCTATGACACATTCTGATTTCATGCGAAAAGTGTGTCGCACGTTAAATGGATAAAAGTTTTATCATTCGGGTTTCCGTGGAAAAAAATTGATAAATCAACAGTATTCGCACAGTCTTCCTGATGTTCTTGAAATTCTCACTGTGCCTCACCAGCGGCGATTTTTTCTGTCACACTGTTGCCTTCAGCGGAGAAACGATTCTCATCAAACACTGTACACAAAGAACGTCTCGATGGAGCTTTAGAACTTGATACGTGTGTTATATGAGACAGTTTGGAGGGGGTTTTATTGCTCTTGCACGTCGTGTTGATAGCGCTTCCTCACTTCCACCGAACACCCCAAATTGTTCGTGATTTTTCAGAAGATCACACACTTCGATGGGGGTAAAATTTATGCTGAGACTGATGATCACTTTACAGCGAATTGGTCTGCGCGCTGCGAGAGTTGATCACAAACTGGCTCTCTTGTGTTTGCCTGTGTTAATCAATTCAAGAGCGCGACTACTCGGCTTGAATGTAAAAAGTCGTCACAGAAGCTTTTCCACTTGTAGACGAACACACTGAAAAAGTGAAGAAAATATAAATCAGTTGATAAGCATAAAACTAACATATGGAGACGAATATTTTCAAAGATTGTGCAATTCTGCAGAGAATGTCACTCTATCTCTTGTGTTTGGGGCACAAAGGACAGTTGGGGAAACCCAATGAGATGAGTTAATGCGCCCATTTCGAGGCATAATTAACATTAAAAGAATTGGGTATGGAAATGGTACAGATTTTGTGTTCAAACATCACCTCAGAACAACTTCAATGAGTCACTTTTTGAATGAGCATTCAGCCTCGACAGCCGACTGATAGGACTGTCAATCTCAAATTAGTAAAAGTGTGTAAGTGTGTGTGTGGAGAAATTATTTTGAGGAAATGAGCCTAGCGTGTGAATAGAATAAAATTATCCGCTAAACGAGTTGAGGAATTAATTGTAGAATCAAGACATGTTTTTCGACTATAAGGAATTCTTTCACTCCTCTCTCACTCTTTCCACTCTCTTCTTTCGGTCACTTCATACTCTCCTTGACTAATTTGGAGCCTCGTGTGTTCTGCCGACAGCATTTGTTGCATGCCTTTAAACAGATATCCCGTCAATTTTCGAAGAATTCGACAGTGAGTTTCGTGGCAGGTGTAAAGAATTTAATTACAATAATCAATGGCAAAATTGTGCCGGCCTCGCGATGAGCAAACCAGTGACACATGCCGTGTGTTTAGCATGCTTTTTCGCTTCAGGAGAAATTCATTTATCATTATCGGCCACGGTGCGATGGCTTTTTGCGCGTCCGAAGAAAGACTCTTGGTTTGAGGATCCATTTCACAGGGGCGGGGGGGGGAGGGAAGAAAAGAAGTTACTTTAACCATTGTTTGCGTCCATCGTGAAAAGGAGAAGAGGAAGAGTATTTTGTGAAATACATTTCGTCTTGCTTTTATGGGTGGAAAAGCAGAGGAGCAAAAAAAAGAGAGTTATTTTGTGTGTGAAGAAAGACTTATTTATAGACGCATTTTTATTGCACTTGCAAGTACACAGAGATGGAGAGAGTCTAGAATTGCAAATAGTTGTACATCTCATTTGAGGACTGTATTTCCACTTATGATATTTCTTTTTCTCCACTTTTTTCCTCCAATGATTCACACGCCATATTCGCTCTGTCACTTTGCCCAAATGTAGAAACTGTGACATGAAGGCATGCACTTGAGATGGTGTTTTAATTGCAGCACAAGCTCAGTGATTGAGGGAAAAAGAGGAGAATTGACATTATTTGCAGGTGAATTAATCTTGAAAATTAATTCATGAGAAGCACGCAATGTGAAATTTATGCATGTCTCACAAAGGAGAGCCTTTTTAGGCGGGGAATTTGATCGAGAAATATAATGATAGAGGGAGAGAAAAACACTGTGGGTCAACCAGGATGTCCCCATGGCAATTTCAGATAGAGACGACACAGGTGAATTTGCATAATGCCCGTCAAGTTGCAATAGAGAGAGAGACGGGCCTTTTTTTCGTTAATGATCCACTTCTTTTCGCTCTTATTTCTATATACATACATAATGTACAGTATTTTGATGAGGGAAGACAAACTTGTTATTTCATCGACTTTTAGGAAATTCAGTTCCCCAACATGTGATCTCATCTAACAATATTTTCCACAATATAATGCTGTGTGTATGTTTTTTTCCTCGTTCCCACTCTCGGTAAAGTACAATTATATTGCGATTACATCAAGTGATGCTATACACAATTTACCATTTAACATGAAAAGAATGGGAGAGGCTCGAGAATGATGCTTTTTCGGGTGTTTGTTGGGTGGAAAAATATATGCGCCCGAGCTGGAGATCGACAAATTTCATGATCTCCTCTCGCTCGGTTCTCTCTCTCCTCAGGAATAATTGTCTGGAGCGGATGTTAAAAATGAGTCTCACACTGTGAGCGCTTCTGTGGTGTCTCTCAATCTAATTGTACCGCCATTCAGTAAAGTGGAAATAAAATTAAATAGTGAGTGAGACAGAGCAAAAAAAAGAGTGCGGAGTGTAATTGCTTCTATCACTATTACAGAGTGTAGAATTCCTGTTTACTCACAGTGCATAATTCTGTTTAATTAAAAATATCTCAACTTTTCTACAATGCTTAAATTTTTTTTACGTTTTGAAACCTAATGATGTGAGAGATGTGAGGAAAAAGTGCGGAGGGATAATTCAATTACAGTTAATTTCCACCTTGTTTTTAATTGTGACTTCTCTTTCGCCTCCTCCCAACACTCTGTGTATGTGAAGTAGCGGAATGAAAAAGGTGTTGGGATTTGGTTGTACAGAAAGAAGAGAGAGAAAAATGACTTACTTGCTGTGTACTACACTTGTAGCCTTGCTGTATTGTGATAATCATTATATTGTGTGTCGAAGAATATGCTGCTTTATATTATTCAGAGACACAGCTAGCGAGCGGAGAGGTGAAGAAAAAACTCCAATATTAAAATATTCCGCGTGAATATAGTCGAAGAGGAGGAGGAGGGGGGAAAATCACAATTCTCCAGCGAGTAAATTGCTGTTTCACAGTAAGGTGTTGCTGTGCTGTTGCTGGTTTTTATGCAATATATCGCGATAGATAATTAGCTGATTTATTCACAAGATTTTCACTCTCATTAGCTTTCCGTCTTCACAAAACCACTTCTTCGCGTCTCCGCCTAGGAGATCTCACTTGTGCACAAGTGTTGAGCCCCGAGATCACTGATCAACGCCCTTGTTTGCTCTCCGAGATACACTAGGGAACTGACGCTGAGAGGGAAAAGACAGAATTGGTGTGCTTGTGACTTGTTGATGGTGTGCATTGCTGGAGAGGAGATTGTTTCTCACTGGTTGTGCAGAAAAATCGAGTAAAAAATAGGTTTTCTCTACAAAAATCCTATCCCACTTCTGACACCAGTGTTTGCGGATCAAGAAATCATTTAAATTTAGGCGATTTTTAAAGATATTTTCTACCCGACTTCACGACTTGCTGCCTGACAATTTTCTACGCGACTTTTATGATCACTGCGACAGTGTGTCTCACTCTTGTACAACATAAATGTACGATGCAGTGAAATAGCAACGGAGCACAGAAGCAAAGAGAGTAGCAAATGTGAATTGAATAAAAATAAATCCATTCACTCTCGGTCTTTTTCACGAGTATGAGAGAATTTTAAAAGTGAGAGGGTGTAACCCGTTCTCTTTCTAACGCACACACTTGATCTCAGTTGGAAAAAAAACTCCTTCTGTGCCCACCAGCGAGTCTTGATCGTCAAATGAATGAGAAGAAGGAGGGCAGAGACACAAGAAGGGCTAATGCAATGTATTGTGGTTTTTCTGAAAAAAGTGGAATCAATCGTAAAACCCATGCAGAGATTCAATGCATCGATAAGATGCAGCATAAAAGGATGCGGAGATAAAGAAATTTCATAGATGAAATTGAAGTTATTCGTCTCACAAAAGGACGTGCAGAGAAAATTAAATAGTAAAACTGATGGTTTGACTAGAAAAAAAACTCCCCCGAATTGTATTGTTTTGTGTGTTATTCCTGGGAATTTGGACAGGGACACGGAAGATGTTGTGAAAAGGGAGAAAAGGCAGAAAGAGTGATGAGAAATTTCTTGGTTTTCGAACAAATTTGTACCATCTCTCGTGTTCTTATATGTATTTCTATTTCTCTCACTCTTCTCTCCTTATTTATTGCTATGACCGTCCCTAAAGTTTCTCAAGTGATCATATGTGGTTTCACCCAGAGAGAGAGACTCTTTTTTTCACGGTCTCACACACACACAGAAGCAGTTCCAGATGAGATGAAGACTGTGGAATGAGTGAAAATCAAGAAAATTGATCGTACAGAGCAGGAACACGTCTAAACAGGTTGTTGCTTCAATAGAGCAGACTGTATAATAAATTGGCATTATCATTTGTAAGATAAGAGACATGATGATGATGCAAACTGGTGGAGTCAGTTAAAATTGCAAAGACACTCTGCAGACAAAACAGAGGGAAGAATGTCGATTGGGCAGGAAATCAAACGGGGATTTTTTTTATTTCAATCATCCTGTGTATTTATAGAGGAAAACAATGCGAAATTCAATATTGACTTAATCAATTATTTTTTCACCATTGCAGAAGTCACTCGAATGAGCGTCAATTCCTCAAAGACTTTGTTACCTGCGCTCCTGGATCGTCAGGAGCCAGATTGGCTGCTTGGCTCCAACCGGAACCTCGTCTGGACACGAACAAGTGCGAATTGAAGGCGATTGCGGAGCCAATTCACTATGGATGGCCAACACAATTGACCGTGGTGACACGCGATCAATATGGTGATCTTGTCCTCGTGGCGGATTTGCGTGTGGAGATCACAGCAATTCCAGTGGAGGCGACAGGTAATGGGAGCAGGAAGATGCGTCGAATGTCTTTTCTCACATCCAGCGATTTGGCACCGCCACCCAAAGTGCCCTATGAACCCACCATGAAGGACAGGATGTGCTACAAGGCGATCACTTTCATGAAGGCCTATGAGGAGTATTCCTTTGAAGAGCTGCGATTTGTGAATCCCATTCAGACGAGAATTGTTGAAACACTCACGGCAAAGGATATGGAAGATGGAACATTTGGTGTGGCTTGGACGCCGAATTCTGTGGGAAATTTCTGTCTGACAGTGACTATTGATGGAATTCCGCTGGAGAACATCACGAGAGTTGAGGTGAAGGAGGCTGGAATTCCTCCGCCACCGTCCAATATTAAGAGGGTTGAGCCACCGAATAAATTGCGGAGATTCCGCACGAAGAACTCTGCTGGTCTGCGGATTCGTGCTCATCCTACACTGCAGTCTGAGCAAGTGGGAACAATCAAGATGGACGGCATAATCTCCTTCATTGACGAGGTGGAGAATGACGATGGTGTGTGGGTGAGACTGAGCACAGAGTCCATCAGGCAGCATTGCACAAATGCCTGGTATCCAACGGAGGCGTGGTGTCTGCAGTACAATCAGCATCTGGGGAAGATGCTTCTGCATCCGGTGGTGGAGCCCACGACGACCAAGTGTGTTTTGGAGAGGATCAGGAAGAACAGCACCTCAGATGTGGAATCATTCGATCCAGAAGCCATTCCAGAGCCTCAGCCGAAGCTGAAGATTAACTCGCCCAACAAGAAGGGCTTCGAATTTTTCAGCTCAAACAAATTCACGCCTCCACTAACGAGTGATTTGCCTCCGGCGAGTGGAAGTCCTTTCGTATTCCAGTCAAAGGCTGCCAAGACAAAGTGTGAGGGCGCAGCATCTTTTGCTGCTGGAGAAGCCTCAACTTCCAGAGAGGATTCGCCGCGCCAGGGCTGCGGAAATTTGTCTCAGAGCCCCAATCAAGGGACAAACATTGGATCGACCATTGCAGGTGTGGTGGGGGGAGGAGCGAGCAAGCTTCAGGCTCTCAGCAAGTGGTTCAAGGGCGACAGCGTTGAGGGTAAGGATTTCACGCGGAGAAAGTCGGATTTTCATGAATTCGCCTCGGTTTCCGTGCGTGACATTGTGAAGGCCATTGGAGGACAGGATTCGGGGAAGAGTAATGGCAATGGAGTGACACCACCATGTGGCAGTCGCTCTTCGAGTCCCGTGGCCATTCCGCAGTTGAAGCAGGCGGATCAGAGTCACGTGAGAGTGCAAAATGTCGAGGAATTCTCCAGCGGGAGTCCAGATGAAAGTGGTGGAAAATTCCCTGCTGACGTGCAGGACTTTTCAACGCCACTGTATGCAGGAAATTTTGCAATTGGATCCAATGCGCCAGTGTCACATGAGGGATCATCGCCAAAGAGAAGCCCCAGAAGGTCGAGGAATAGGAAATTATCACCAGGCATACGTGAGTAGATAATATTTTCCCATTTTACCTTATCATTATTATTATTGCGCTATAAATTTGGCAAGTGAGCGAATTGTAGATAAAAGAGTTTGCAAATATGCTTATCTTAGTTGGGGGAATATCGATTTTTGAAGTTCTAGTTTGAATGTAATATTATTCACTAATCAATCTCTTTTGTACTTACTTGCAGAACAATTAAGCGTCACTGATAGAGACAGTTCAATTAGTCAGACAACGTCCAGCAATGATAAGTCAATCAGCTCTGGCGAGGCAACAGAGACGGAATTTCCTATTAGAAGTAATGTGCCGAAAAAGGCTCTTCCGCCGGCACTGGCGGAGAGCTTGAGGGCGGTTTTTGCGGCATTTCTCTGGCACGAAGGCATTGTTCATGATGCCATGGCGTGTGCGTCCTTCCTGAAGTTCCATCCAACATTGTCCAAGCAAGGTGCCGTTGTGGTGACCAGAGGAGAGGCGAAGGATGCTTCGCTGACGAAGGAGCAAAAGGCCCAACAGAGACACTCTGTGGAAGTGGCAAATGCGGGGAATTACTTAAATATTCGTCCGTCGACTTTAGAGGCTCTGGCCAAGTCGGGAAACTCATCCGTGCACAATCGTCGTCGTGGGGAGAAGTGTAAATTGCATTCATTGCCGGAGATTGTCACAGTACTGCCTCCTGCTCTGAGATGTCTGGTGTATTTGTGGGAGCAACTGTGCCTGAACTGTGTCCAGTTGGTGCAGAGCAATGCTCTGTCATCCTTCTCTGATCAACCGGCCAAAGACAGTCCTCCCAATCGATCAGCTCGTGATATCTTCGGGGAGTTTAACTGTGAATCACGCAAAGGGAGGAAAAAGAAGAAGGACGAGGGAAGCTACTGCGAGATGTGTGAAATCTTCCTGCCCATTCCAGTGACATACCACATGCGCATTGTCCATCCGGGCTGTGGGAAATCGGCGAATGGCAAGGGTTACAACTCTGTGGGAACCTATTGCAAGGGATGGGCGGGAAATTGTGGCGATGGCGGCAAGGGAGCCACAAGTTGGTACTTACTGTGTGAGAAGTGTCGCGACAAAAATCTCCCAGGACAGAAGAACATCAATCTCAACTGCTCTCCACAATCTGCGGGGAATAAGCTTGAGAACTTGTTTGGCCTAAAAACGTCCCTCATTGTTAATTCGGATATTTATACGATGATGAAGGAGAATGCGCTATTTCTGCTCGAGCTCTCGTCCAATGGCATCGGCAGTGTGACGGCAGATCAAAAGCGATCACCACAGCAGATCCCAATCATGACAGAGGATCAGGTCAATCAATTGACCAGCGATATGAGCAAGCCTGGCACCAGTAGAGGCGACGCTGGGCGGGAGAGTTTCAATCAGAAGATGATGCACAGGCTGAGTGGCATCAGAACGTCGCCGAGAGATGGAAAACTGGTGGCAAATCAAGCTCGAGCGGGACATGGAGTCTCAGGCTGTCTCTCGCCAGAACTACTGTGGCCGGCGCCTGAGATATTCTCCTGCCTCGAATCTCTGGGAGCATCGCTGAGCGAGGACATTCTGTACAACATGTTCGAGTACAACTCTGGGGAAAATGGATGCGATAGGGTGAGTTGTGCATATTTTATTTGAACAATTCCCAAGGGGTTTGTCATTATAAAGGTGACGTACATAAATATCTGATATGATTTTAAAACAGTGTGCTTTTAATTTATTTACTTGCACTGAGAAGTACCATCAATAAGTTGTACATGGTTTGGATGCACTGCAATGAAATTGATAATTTTAAGAAAATGTAGTCATTTTGTGGGAAAATTTTATATATATACTGAAAGTAATGTCCTGAAACTGAGGGTAAGCCTTGACAATGCTGACGGTTCTGGAACGTTTTGAATCCACTGGAAAATGTTAACGAACATTCTTTGTTTGCGTGGAGGTAAAAGAAACCATTTTGTCGCGTACACTTTTCTTTCAACTCTCTCTAATATCAACACATAAATTCCTCCGAAAACACAAAGGTTGAAAATTTGCCAGGCAAACAGCAAAATCACCATAATACCGAAGATCCAAAGGTTTTGAATTACAACTAATAGTGCCAAAGTAATGCACATCATGCTTGAACTTATGATTACGTATGAATGTAAACCAAAAGTGTCATCCAAAGTTGCCATATATCTGAAATTCATATTACAAATTTAGGAATTGTTCTTCATTGAATTGGGTAATGATTTGATACTTACTGTGTGTGAATCTGTTGCATTTTCACAAATTCCAGTATAAGTGAATTAGTTTTAAGATCATCCAAAATTTCGAATTCCAAATGTTCTGTGAGATCTTCACTGGCAATAGCGATAGTTTGTAATTGTCCATAAGCCATCATCATTGAAATCAAGTATGAATAGTCACTGGCAAAGAAACCGTATGAGCCATATATTCCCAGAATAAAATAGACAACAGCGTTCGTTACAAATCCCACATCACTTTCGTAGTCTAAAATTGGTAGGACTGCTTGAAGTGGGATAGATTTTGAGCCAGTCCACAAAGCAATAGCAAAACTTATTGACATAAAACCTACTACACAGCAAAAGTAAAAGCGGAAAATGTAAGGTCTGCACAAATTACACCAGTGAATGTATTTTTCAAAAAATCGATACACCCTTGGATTCTTCTCATTCTGACCAATAAAGTTTGAAGCCAAATTTACTACCTTGAAAAAATTATCTCTTTGAGCTAAGAGCAAATAAAATTTAGCAAAGCCTTGAATACCAAATCCAGTGCAGAGTATAGGCAAAGCCATATTCTGCAAACTGTCTGAGAAACGATAGATTGACGTTACACTCATGGTCACTTGAATGAATAACAAAAATATTGAGATGTTTGTTCGCCAATTTGGTGGAGCGTCTGGACCTGTTTCCATTATATTGCCACCGATAAAGTAAAGACTGTCAGACAATTTAATAAATAGATCGTGAAGTAAAACTGACAGACTCTTCTTCGCCATGTTGATAGAGTTGCTTTCGGCGGTAAACTGAAGAAAGTAATCTACCTTCGACTTTTTAGCTTGCCAACCTTGAGAAATACTTCATTGACTTCGGAATAAGAAGAAAAAAAGGCATTCGTGACTTAGTTTAATTAGAATCATGAATATTTCAACATGTTTTATGCTACAGAAGTAGTTTTCTTACGTGTTAATTTCTTCCTTCGACACTACGACGATGCTGAAAGTGGCGTAAAAGTTTTAAAATTCCATGCAACATTTTCGAACTTGGCTTCCATAGTACGTCAATCAGTTGCATTTAACAATATCATCAAGAAGTTGTACATGGCCTTGATGCACTGGAAATAAGTTTAATTTTATTGATTGCGTCTTTCTATAGAATATGAAATTAACTAGAAATAATTACATTTACGAAGGTGTCGAAGTTGAGAGGAATTCTTGATAATGCTGACGGTTCTGGAACGTTTTGTATCCACTGGAAAATGCATACGAAAAGTCTTTGTTTACGTCGAGGTAAAAGATACCATTTTGTCTCGTTAATTTTCCTTTCAACTCTCTCCAATATCAAGACATAAATTCCTCCGACGACACAGAGAGTGAAAATCTGCCAGACAAACAACAAAATCACTATGATTCCATAAAACCAAAGGTCCTGAATAACGACAAAGAGAGCCAAAGCAATGCAAATCATGCTTGAAGTTATGATTACGTATGAATGCAAACCAAAACTATCATCCAAAGTTGCCATATATCTGAAAAACGTATTAAAAGTTTAATGAAATCGGATTTTTGTAGGTGGAAAGCTTATTATTTAATTGTGCACTAACACTGTATGACTCTGTTGCATTCTCACGATATCCACTATAAGTGAATTAGTTTTAAGATCATCAGGATTTCCGAGTTCCAAGTGGTTCGTGAGATCTTCACAGGTGATTGCGATTGTTTGTAACTGTCCATAAGCCATCACCATTGAGATTAAGTATCCATAGTCACTGGCAAAGAAGCTGTATGAACCGTATATTCCAAGAATAATATAGATTACAGAGTTCGTTACAAATCCCACATCACTTTCGTAGTCTAAAATTGGTAGAACAGCTTGAAGAGGAATAAATTTCGTTCGTGTCCACAAAGCAATAGCTAAACTTAGTAGAAAGAATCCTTCCACACAGCAGAAGTAGAAGCGAAAAATGTAAGGTCTGCACAAATTGCACCAGTGAATGTATCTTTCAAAGCATTGAGACACTCTTGGATTGTGTTCACAGTTAGAAATGAAATTGAAAAACAAATTTAATACCTCGAGAATATTATCTTTTTGAGCTAAAAGCAAATAAATTTTAGTAAAGGCTTGAACACCAAATCCAGTGCAGAGTATTGGCAAAGCCATATTCTGCAAACTGTCTGAGAAACGATGGATTGATGTTACACTCATCACCATTTGAACTGTTGCTACCAATATTGAAATATACGTTCGCCGATTTGGTGGAGCGTCAGGACCTTTTTCCATTATATTGCCACCAACGAAGTAAAGACTGTCGGAGAGTTTAGTAATCAAATCTTGGAATGAAGAAGCATGTCTCTTCCCCGCCATGTTAATGAGTCAAACGTCTGCCAAGAACTGAAGAAAGAAATCTTCTAGAAAGTCTTGATTTACAAGTTATAATGTGATATTCGGAGCTAAAAAAAACTGATAAAAAATTGAAGAGGTTTCGTGTTTGCAATTGTAATAAGTTTCTGAATACTTCATTTGCTAGTTTGCATGTGAAATAGAAATACAACTGAAAAATTCATAAGAAAATATTCATTGTACTCAAGTTTGCTTAATGACAAACCCCTTCAAAATTCAACATTTTAAATCTCTCACAACAATGGTTTCACTATACAAATTGAATAAATCATTTGACCTCTCAATTGAAAATATTCATGATTAGCGTGGAAACTTCACAAGTGCATTTTTGCATGATTTCAGCCTCTCTCGGACATCTCGTTTGACTCAATCGACCAGACGGGAACTGATATTCTCGGTCAGCTCAACACATCGTCCAATATGAAGTTCCACCGGAGCTTCTCAATGGGTCAGGGATGGAATGGGCAGTCACGCAATTACAGCAAGTTCTACGGTGGTCAGAATCAAGAGGCGTCCAGCAATCAAGTTGATGCGGGATCGCGTGTCATTCTGCGTCGGCGGAATAACTCAACATGCGACAGTGGTGAATGAATGCATGCCATAGATTGCATTTTCATTGACTAACACGTGTGGGTTTTTGCAGATGCCGGCTCCCTCCTGCTGTGCTATCCGTCCAATAATCTGCGGAAGTTGGTGCCTGAGGAGTTCATTGGGTCGTCGTGTGTGGTGCAAACGGCTGCAGCTCCACCTCAGGCGGCGGATGAGCTTGAGGGCAACACTAATGTTAATGCTGAGCAGGCGGGCATGACGTCCAGCGGTGGGAAGAAGAAGGATGGCTCTGTGGCGACGTGTCTCATGTCCAGGCCAGTGATGGCGTTCATTCTGAAGCAGCATGATCTGCTGAAGCTGCGATTTGCCATGAAGAGAAGCCTCAGAGTGGCCACGTGCAGAATATACTCTCTGCAGGCACTCAATTGGCTCATGAGGACTGTGACGCAGACGATTTGTCTGCACGATCTCATGTGGTGGTTCGTGACATCTTTGACGCCGGTGGCTGAGGAGAGAGTGGAGCCTGACGGAGAGATTGCACTGGAGCATCCCGTCTCGACGACACAATTGAGTGGTCATGTGTCCTCTGTTCTCACACAGAGTCTCCACGCGTTCCTGCAAACCGTGGCGGACTTGACGCTTCTGCTTCCTGCCGGATCATCACTGCAGAGGACAGCCATTCAGTGCTTCGGGATACGCTTTCGGCAGGCAGATCATCAGTTTCTGCACAGGTCTCGAGTTTTTGGGAATATCTCGAAGATTCTGTCGCGATCTGACGAGCAGAATGAAAATATGGTTCTGTCCTCGACGATTGCGCTGCAAGAGTCCAACTACAATTTGCAAAATAGTAGCACCAAGATTTCCAGTCTCATGGATTTGCAGGGCATGTTTGAGCTGACTGTGTCGTCGCGACAGGCAATGGTGGGCGCGCTGATAGACAACTCCACGGAGACGTTCTGGGAGAGTGATGAGGAGGACAGGAACAAGTCCAAGATCATAGATATCTCCATGAGCAGGCTGAATTATGTGTGCAGGCAGATTTTTGTGCACATTGACAACAGTCGAGACATTGGGAATAAAGTGCAGAACATCATGTTCTATGCTGGACAATCTCTGGGCGACACCAATCTGCTGAAGAGTGTGGACATTGAGGGTGTGACGAATCAGGGCACGTGGATCACAGCCACAGTGAAGGATGAGTGCTCAACACACTTCAGACTTGTGCTTAGTGGTCAGGATCCCACGCTGAGAGTGAGGAGTATTCGTTTGATGGGATATCCACTGCTGGAGGACAAACTCCTCTTGCTGAAGCACAATCTCAAGCTGACAAACTCCCTGCAGATTCAGCACAGAAACTGCGAGGCGGAAACACTGAGAGTGTTTAGACTCATTACGGGACAAGTGTTTGGGAAGTTGATTCTGGGCGAACAGCAGCAAGATTATCCGAGTGAGAACTACTCAGCGGCCGTGATGGAGTCCAGTGGAGCCAGTATGCAGGCGGATTCGCTGGATATGCGCGAGCACATGGTGGGAATTCTCTTCAGTCGCAGCAAATTGTCACATCTGCAGAAGCAGGTGATTGTCCACATTGTGCATGCCATTCGGAAGGAGGCGCAGCGCTCCAAGGAAGAGTGGGAAGCGGTGAATGCTGTGGCGCAGATTGATGGGAAGAGCGATGTGAGCAGTGAGAATTCTCGTCCGCCAGACACGTACTGCTTCGAGATGCTGAGCATGGTTCTGGCACTGTCCGGCAGCACTGTGGGCAGATCCTATCTCTCCCATCAGTATGGCTTGCTGAAGGATCTGCTTACGCTCCTGCACACAGGTAGCGATCGTGTGCAGCGTCAAGTGACGGCTCTGCTGCGTCGCATGCTGCCGGAAATCTCACCGGACAGCCTCGGAGATTTGCTCAACATCACCAAAATGCCACCCACAGACTTTAGTATTGTTAATCAGAGCGGTGGGGATTTCGATATGAAGCGTCTGGGGATTATTGACATCTTCCTGGCGGTGGTGGCGAAGTCACTGCAGCTGCAGGTGAAGGTGAAGAGCACAACGGTAATCAGTGGCGCTCCGGGAGCGAATAAGAGTCCGCCAGTGGTGAGATTGTCTCACTGTATTGACTTCAATGTGCACAATCTGAAGGCGTCGCTGGAGAGGAAAGATGAGTTCATTGATTTCGGCGACAGCAGTTGGGAGGAGGGCGATCAGTCGGCCATTGAGGAGGTGCACGAGCTGGAGGACGACAGTCAGAAGTATGAAGTGAAGCGGAGACCCAAAGAAGATGCTCGGAATTTGAATCAGCGATGGTTTCTCAAAGGATCAATTTCGGTGAAGCAAGCGGAGAATATTATCAATCTCATCAGGGATATGGCGAGTGTAAGTTTAGAGTGATATTTGTAAGATTTAGGGATCACTTGCTGATGGATTTTGTGTGTCTTTGCAGGGAAAACTCACAGAGAAGTGGTCTCTGGTCACGAAGGCGGCCATTGCTGAGTCGATCCTCAATCTTACGCGTCTGGATGAGGTGTTTAGATCTCCTGAGAATTGCATCAAGACAGCCACACTCTGGCTGGCTCTGGCGAGTCTCTGTGTCCTGGACACTGACCATGTAGAGCGTCTCTCATCTGGACAGTGGTCAAAGACGTCCGAAAGCCGACCATTGTGCTCCAATCACGATGACGGCGTGACCCCGGCAGTGATTCAGTGTGACGCCTGTGGCAGTCTCTGCTGCGATTGCGACAGATTTCTCCATCTCAACCGCCGGACGCGATCTCACCATCGAACGGTGTGCAAGGAGGAGGAGGAGGCGATCCGTGTGGAGCTGCACGAGAGCTGTGGACGCACGAAACTCTTCTGGCTGCTCGCCCTGGCGGACTACAAGACACTGAAGGCGATGGTGGAGTTCCGCGACGGCAGCAATACCATCATCTCAGGGCCTCTGGTGGCTGTGGGACGGTGTCGCTTCTGCGGCGTCACGGGGAACTCGGGTCTGCTGGCTGTGGGAAATGTGTGTGCCGATGCGCAGTGTCAGGAGTACGCGGCTGTGGCGTGTGCCAAGATCCGACCGTGTGGCCATGCGTGTGGCGGAGTTGCTGGGGAGGCAAAGTGTCTGCCGTGTTTGCAGCATCTGTGCGCCTCGCGGGAGAATGACCAGACGGAATCGACGCCACGACTGACTCAGGATGCCGATGATATGTGCATGATTTGCTTCACAGAAGCGCTTTCCTATGCGCCAGCCATCCAGCTGGATTGTGGCCATGTGTTCCACTTCCACTGCTGCAAGGCTGTGCTGACGCGTCGCTGGACAGGACCGAGGATCAGCTTTGGCTTCTCACAGTGTCCGATCTGCAAGGGTGACATACAGCACACGCTGCTCGTGGAAATCCTAGAGCCCATCAATGCGCTGAAGGACGACGTGAAGAGGAAGGCGATCATGAGATTGGAGTATGAGGGAATCGAGAGCATGTCAGCGGACAGAGATCTCACGACGTACGCAATGGACAGATACGCCTACTATGTGTGCTACAAATGCCAAAAGGTGAGCAATTGCAAGGCCAAGTGATGAAATCCTTCTCTCAATTGTAATAAATCTTCCCCTTTCAGGCATATTATGGGGGCGAGGCGCGCTGTGACGCCGAGATTGGTGACAATTACGATCCACAGGAGCTCGTCTGTGGCGGCTGCAGTGACATCGCGAGGGCGCAAATGTGTCCGAAGCACGGCACGGACTTTCTGGAGTACAAATGCCGCTACTGCTGCTCCGTGGCGGTGTTCTTCTGCTTCGGCACCACTCACTTCTGCGACACGTGTCACGATGACTTCCAGCGTCTCACCAACATCCCGAAGAACAAACTGCCGCGCTGTCCGGCCGGACCCAAGGCCAAGCAACTCCTGGGCGAGGACTGTCCGCTGCACATCGTCCATCCCGCCACCGGGGAGGAGTTCGCCCTGGGCTGTGGCATTTGCCGCAACGCGCAGACCTTCTAGAGAGAGGCTTTTTAGATTTTCCTTAGATCGTATTGAGTAGATGCTATTGTATATGTTTTGTGTCACACTTTAGATTTACAATCAGAGTTTCTTAGCAAATGCACATCCTTAAGTCCTTTTAGATACTCGAAAGAAATGCACTCCGATTTTACACCGTCTTTGGATTATTCTCACTGTGGTATTTTAATAGAATCTGCGTCAAAGTGAACTTTGGAGATTGTTTTCAAATATAGAGAAAACAGCCATTCATAGAAACGTTAATGTATTATTAAAAAAAGGTATTGAAATAAATGTAAATGTAAAATTGTTAGCTTGAACATTAATATCAATGGAGATAATTGCAAAAACTGCGCGTTTGCAATACTGTCTTCATTTATGATTCTTCTAACAACTTGAATGATATTTTTCATCAGCATTTAGCATTTCCTAAATGTATAATATGATTTTTCTGTTTCAAACTTGCTCGGAAACAAAAATTAAATTCAACAATCTTTTTGGTTGGCCGAGACACAAACCGCAATTCGGCTGCGGCGTTTGGCGGAGTTTCCCGAGTTTCTAATGTAGACAGTTACAATTCAAAATTAGCAAATGGTATAAAATTTTCTGGACACCTTCACTCCATCTGGCGAGTAATTACAATTTTCAGGCGCTTTTTCCTCTGGATTCCTCTATTATAAAATTCAAGACACAGGTGCGAACAAGGGCTCTCCTGCGAGTCCTTGGAGAATGTTTAGAGCCGCCACCGCAGCCATATCACTCCGGGATTGTACGGTGGCGGAGCCAAAGTGTGGGATTATGACTGGAAAAGTGAGGTTATTAAAGGCATCATTAGTAAATCAATAAGTCTCTTCCTTACAGCAATTCGGGAGTTTAAGGAGTGGATGATCAGCTGGCAGAGGCTCTGGAGTAGTCACATCGAGTGCCGCTCCGAAGATTTGGTTGTTCTTGAGAGCCTCGAAGAGAGCTTCCTGATCAACAATATCTCCTCTGGCCACGTTCACCAGAATCCCAGTGGGCTTCATCATGGCCAGGGCATCTCTATTGATGAGATGCTTTGTCTCTGGCGTGAGAGGACATGTGATGAAGACGTAATCGCTCTCCCGGAGAAGATCTTCAAACGAGACAAAAGCAACTGGTAGATTTGCAGCCTCCGGCTTCGGCTTGCGGCCTGTGTACAGATATTTCCCGACGCGGAATCCTTGCAGGCGCTCTATGATGGCCCGGCCAATACCTCCGAGGCCGATTATGCCTACTGTGGAGCCCTTGATGTCTCTTCCAAGCATCCATTGGGGTCTTCTTTCCCACTCTGAAGCGGCAATCTTGAGCTGGCCCTCGTGGAAGCGACGTCCCGCTGCTATGGCCAGGCCCACTGCCACATCAGCCACAGCATCATTCAGGACCGTCGGAGTGTAGCCGAGCGGGATCTTGCGCTTCTTCACTTCCTGGACGTCAACGTAATCAATGCCGGCTGACATTGTGGAGATGACTTTCAATCGTGGCCCTGCCGCATCGAGAGCCTCTGCATTGAGCTTCTCATGATTCGCCCAGAGAATCCCATCGACGTCTTTCGACAGCCTCAGGACTTCCTCGCGGCTTGGCTGTGGCAGTCCTTCTGTGAGGATCACGTCGCATCTGAAATGGGATTCGAAGGTTATCCTTTGTTTGCAGCTGCGAACTTACAGATGCTACTTTTGCCGCAGAATGTCCAGTCCCGCCTGAGGAATCTCACAGTGCGTCACCAGCACTTTTGGACGCCACTCAGAGGATAACTTGGGCAGATCTTTCAGTGCTCTGGCCAGCATAGTCACTTCGTCACTGACAATCGCTCGCTTTGGAGCAGGTTATAGAGAGACTGCGTTTCTTCAGGCCTCTTGAAGTGACACTCGAGAGATAATGTCTGACGCCTTTCCCCTGGCAATTCTAGACAATTTTCTCACAAAGCCGGCGAGTGAAAGCTGCGATAAGATCGATTCGCACATCCAAATCGCCCATCGCGAAGAGGCGAAAGACCGTGGCTCATTTGCTTCGAATGCGGGTGCAGTTTCGGAAAGTGAAGTTCCTCAATTGGCTCTTATTTGAAGAATTCCTCTCAATTTATGCCGCAATCATTACAAGAAGAAATTTCTCTAGGTTCTGCCAATAAAATTCTACCCACGTTTTTCTTTAGTTAACTTCTGAAATGTCGGTAAGTTATTGAACTTATCGATACGAATTGCGTGTAATTTTCTCTTAGACTATCGCTTTCAACAGCATTTTTTCCCTTGATTGTTCCTCTAAAATTGTGAAAAAGATTGATAAGCATCAATAAAATTGTCAATAACTTCAAAGCGAAAATATCCATGTGGGATAACGCACTAAGAATACACTCGTTTAAACTTTATGTGAAATTACAGAACACTGTAACATTACCTTATAATTTTCATTGAATACACGTATTTAAAATATTAACTAAAAAATTATAATGGGCAAAAATGTATGAAAATGTGACTAAGATGTTTCCTAATTCAGCTAAAAGGCCGTTCGCGCAGTTCCACTCTGAAACTTTCCCATTTATTTAAAATTACCCTCATCATTGCCACTTGCACTTTGTTGTGCAATATATTGTCTCGTGCATATTTAAAAATTGAGGTCTCCTATTGAAGTATGAATATTGACTCTTATTCTGACGAATCATCTCGAAAATTTGTCTGACCGGAAATTGCTGGTAATAATAATTCAGAACTGATCCGTGTTGCAAAGTATAGTGTTTATCCAGCCTTTTCGCAATATAATCATCTGTGTTGATACAAAAAAAAACACATGTAAGGTGTTGCTTGTGGACAAAAAGCCGCTCATTCATGCAAATTGCTGAGAATTGGAAGAGCAAATTTTGATAAAGTGAAAAAAGTAACTCTTCTTTTCAACCCAGGGTGACAAAAGCGAATGTCTGGGAAGGTTTGCGTTGTGAGGTGAAGATGAGTGGTGCGGATTGTTTTGGCTGCTGAGCATTTTCTGTCTGTGTAACACGGGGAGATCCTAAAAGAGATCAATTGTTCGGATTGGAGAGGCGAGAAAAAATGAGCATGAAATTTAAGGCTTTGCCTCTATGCTAGGCAATGTGTTGACAACAGCTGAACTGAAAATATCTCGTAAGTTGAGAGTGAGGCGGGATATAAATTATGTAATGAGAGACATTTTTCCATCTAACATTTCATTGTTTTCTTGGGGAAGGGGGAGGAGGAGGAGGGCGGGGGTTTCTTCTCACAATTTCTGTGGATGATTGCATGTGAATTTTATGTCTCGCTCCGTGAAGATTCTCCCCACTTTCATTGCGGGTTAATGCTCCATTTTCATCGTGGAGTTCCATAATTAAATTTTATTTATTTCCACCCCGTCGCCAAAGTCAGTTTCTTCTCTTGCTCATCAATTTGCGATATTGGGCCGCGTTGCGTGGGAAGACAAATCTATCGATCGACCTGTTTTAGCTCCCTTTCGCCTGTTTTAGGGCTCGATATTGTGCGCGCGTGTGTGTGTGCATGAATTTAGGACAGCGCGAGCAAATATTGTGCGAAGAAATCACGATAGATGGCCAACGATTGATTATTTATTGGTAATTTATTTGACCGGAAAATAGTTGGGTGTGTTTGATGAATGTGAAAATGCGCGAAGAAGTGTGTGTCAAATTTCCCGGAGCACTGTGGGTGGTGGGAGAGTTAAATGGGCAGGAAAACTTTGTGCGTAAGATCAATGCCAGAGCCATGGCCAGAAGGTGAGTCAGAAGATAGAACAAGGGCCTTTTGTTAGTTGAACGAAACGCACTGAAGAATAAGAATAATTTGCTAATTGATTCGGAATTGATGCAGAAATTGATTATTAACACTTGAATTGTGTCTGCGTTTCTTCTTATTTCATTGCTTGTGTCTTGCAATTGCCGCTGGCTTATCAGTGTTCACTTCATTTGGCAAAAAACCGGTAAAGATTTAAATGATTGATTTATTTGTCCAGAGAAATTTCCCAGCAAAGCACAAAAATTACAAAAAAGTAGGTATTTTAGCTGAAAAAGTTCTAAGATGTCTGAATTCAGATTCTTGCTGTCTGGGAATAAAAACGTCTTACAAACGTACTTTTTTCATTGTGATGATCGCCTCTTTTGCCAATGCCACTGAAATTTTTGTAAATTACCGAAGAAATTAATCTAACAATTTAATGAGACAATTGCAGAGTGTAAAACTCAAAGTCTTATTGTCGCTTCAAAGAACCTATTCTAGCGCTCTCAGTCTGATTCTCTGTTCGGGAAAAATTCCCTCGAATCTCGCGTCACGCCGCAGTGACTTCAATGCGATTGTTTATGGCGCTCTCAGTGGCGGAAAATGCGATGAGAGAGAGAGTGAGAATGTGGAACACCCTGTTGCTCCCACCAAACACGCGCGCAACTTTTTCACTCTAGCGCGCGCTTTGCATGGCCTGAGACAGGTTTGGCGCGGCCAAGTAAATTTCAGTTACTGTTTGGATACCAATTGTGCTGGACAGAGTTTCTCAGTCTGTTTGGATTTTCTTCCCTGTTCAACCCCACCCATTGTTGAGTTTGTGGCTGGTTTTGGCGAATCACTCTCCCCGATATTTGTGGCTTGGGTGTATCAATTTACGTGGAAGTTAGTGCTTTTTTCCCTTCGATTTCCGTGTTGTTATTTCTGTGCTGTCTGCTCGTGGAATATTACTTTCATTTGCCAATCGATTGTCTTCAGATTGAGGCTTCGCTGGAGGGAGAGAGCGTCACTTGATCTGAACCTTTGTCCAGTGGAGTTTTTGGGCCAGAACAGCCTAAAAGACAACTGCCAGAGAAGCGAAAGAAAAAGGGGGACCAAGAGAGAGAGAGAGAGTTGAAAAGGAGACCATAAAATAAGAACATGGCAAAGTACGGATTCGTGTTTTTGGTGGTTCTCGTTGTGGCCCTCAATGGAGGTGAGTTAGAAGACAAAACCTCTTTTTTTTTTAATGCTTTTGGACGATATTTTGCGCGCCCTAAATTTTTGCTCACACAGAGAGAATTCCATCACACGCAACATTTCCATATTTATTATTTTCTTTGGCGCGAACTCTTTTGTGAGTTTTCCCTCGCTCTAATGTCTCTTGGAGTTTTATTATAAACACAGTGTTTTTTTTTTGGTGATCTCTCTGTGGAAAAATTTGGTAGAGACATTCGATGACGTCGTGGGTGTTTCATCATCGGCTGTATGTAAATTTATGTTGTGCTTCTGGATGATGCGATCGTCTGTAGAGTTAATTTTAGAGCGGATAGTTTGCAAAATGAGAAATACATTGTGTGACATGGATAAGTTCGGGACTGCCACAATCATCGGTTTAAAATAGTTGTGGAGGTGAAATGCGCTCATCGAAATAGCTTAGAATTCCAACCTGTTTCACATGTACATTGTTTGACAAACAACTTTATAATCTGCATTTGAAATGGACTTTTTTCCAAAGGCTTTATCTTCTCTATTCTGGGCAATAATGTGCAATTGAAAAACTGTTAATGTTTGTAGTGTGGATTCCAACAAGTATGTTCTGCTGATAGACAAACACTGTAAACATTGAGCAGAGGAGAGTTTATTATTACTTGTACGCATTTACTGTGAATGCAAAGCAGCTGATTAACTTGAAAGACATGAAGAAAATGTGGCACTTCAGTAATGTCACTGGACTTTTGATAACCTTTCGTGAAATCACTCGAACTCAACTCATTAAGCCTATTAGGGCACATTGTCACCTTATTAATGGTGCGGACGAAAGGAGACTAATTGGACAGGAACATCACCCTTTCAATTGGGCGGTCATTAATATTCCTTTCCTACTACAAATCTGAACACACCCTCAAATATTTGATTACACGCGGGCTTTTGGAAGGCCAGCAAGATGTTACACAAGGGCGATGACTCGAGCCCATGACCGAAAGTAGAGGTTTGTTCTGGGAGAAAAGCATTTTCGGCAGTGGCGAGAAGTTTCTGTAGGTGTGAGTGGCGATTTCCACTTGGTTTTTTAATATTCAAATGATCGAGAAACATGATATCATCAATGATGACAATGAATATATTATGAATAGTCCGCCATAGGTTGAGGATTGCGTAACATTTCGAGCCTGAGAATTGGTTAATTTGAGTGGAAAACATTTTTTTCAAGATATTCATGTTTTTCTCACTTTAGCAAATTGACCGTGACCCTTCTATTTGGGTGCGAATTTCAGCGAGAAATTTTGTGGAAATTTCCTTTTGCCCAAGACGATCAAGTTGAAGCTCGAAATATGACCCAAATTATGCACTCGAGAGTGCGTTGAGACTTTCACAAATTCTTTCACACGTTTCACCAGTGATCTCGAGGCATATTATGGAGATTTCCATGGATGATTTCTGGTTCCTAGAGACATTTGCTGATATAGTTGGTGTAATTGTTGTTGCTAAATTTTGCCGTTGAATGGTGAGAATTGCAAGCAAGCAAGGAAAGAGTGGTTTACGAATGAAACTGTTATGAGAGAATGCTGGACAGCATGCTAAATAATAACACTCCTCGATGGTGACTTGAAAATTGCGATGTGTGTCTCTTGAAAGCGAAACTTCACATCGGCCAGAGAGCACCTTTCTCGGGCGTCTTATGTATATAATGTATAAGACGAGTAGATTGACTATCAACTTCTTGGTCTGAGAAAACCCGTTTCGCTCGAGAGATTCAACTTTGGACGCTTTTTAGGCTGGTCATTTGTGGCCATGTATAAAGAGTGAAAATACAGATGTGAAGTGTGAATGAGTTAGTGGAAAATTTTATCCAGCGCTAAAACTATTACAAGCCCAATGTTATGTCTCGGGAGATGATGAAAAGCGCACTTTGAGCTGAAGGTATTGAAGACCACTCCCATCACGATTTATTTTGTGTCGCTCGAGAGACACATTTGACGACCAAATGAATCACAATAGTATGATTAGTGTACGTACAGAGCTAAATATGCTCTTCTGCGATCAAGATCGCGATGCAAGAGCAAGTTTACATGAGAGTAAAGTGTTGGATCAACAGTGTATTTTTCATTCGGGGGAGAACACAATTGGAATGGGAATTACGTAAGATGGATGATTTGATGGCCAAATAAGCTTGTGTGTTGAATATAAATTATATAAAATAATAATTACACATTTGATGGTCTCAACGGCGCAATTTTACAAGATTCCCATTAGAATTCTGTGTGAGTGTTGTTACATTTGGCATAGTGTTGTCTTTTCTCGCGCACCAAAGCGTGGCTAAGCTATCGATAAATAAAATATTTCCTCGATATAGGTCACACATGATTGTTTCTCTTAATGCTCCATCACTCTCTCTCTATTGCGCTTTTCAGTCGCATGAAGAAAAGACTATTTTACAGTGTGGAATTTTACTCTCTTTCGATATACATCTTAGTCGCAATTTCTCACACAATTTGCTGAAAAACAATAGTTTTATTAAGCTCTCCTCTACCACAATATATCACACAGTCGCACATGTTTTACCCAGCAACCTTCGCTATATCACTTAGATTAAAGCGAATCGTACACGGTGGCTGCAATAAAAGAAACAGAACACTTTGTAATAATGGGTGAATTACTTCTTAGCCTTGAACTCAGATAATGACCAAATATTGTGAAGTTATGAGAATCCGGGAACATGGGAATGTTTAATTAACACTTTGGAGGAGGCTTTAGAGACTGAATCAACACTAAAAAGGGAATAACAAGTCTACGTTAAGGTCAATTTTTGCATTCAAGTGGTGCAAAAATACACTATAATTTCTAAGAGGAAAACCATAATAGAGATAAGGAATATTCCTAGAAATCCACTTTGAGCTCAAGTTTAAGCTGAAACATTGCTTGTGGATGACTACAAGATTTACAGTGATAAATACACAGTCAGAGCAATTTTTTCTTCGTCATATAAATTTTATAATTATTTGTCATCAAAGATCATTAAATATTATACATTTCAATTCTCTATCGTAAGAAATAAAACCCCATTTTTAAGTCCATAATTTTTTCAGTATTTGATACACTTGAAATTTTGGTTGTTTTCAACGCAACGCTTCAATTTCTCTCGAGGATTTCCATCAAAAGTGTTGATCTATGACTGTTTCGCTTCAATTACTCATCTCGGGTGTATCAAATTGCACATACAGAGTGACCTTCCCCTTGAGATTACAAACCCTCGCGGATATTTTGTCTTGTACCACAACCACTGTTGGAGACCATAAAAGTTTATCTCCACCTTCAATTTGTGTCACACTTAAACTAAAGTAAAGCCTTCTGTTGCAATTTTAATGGTCTGCTAATTGCTCAATTCTTTTGTGTAGCTCAAGAGTGATCTCTTGGGTTGAAAGATGGTACGTGAGTAAGATTTTTGGACATGATTAAGCTTGTAAATGGTCAATAGACCACAGTTGAGTGAAATTTACTAGATGTTTTCCTTTTATTGTTGCGAAAACATGCTTGAACACACTCTTGAGAGCTTTTGACTCATTTAACTGAAACATGCAATGTAATGAGATAATTCAAGGTTGAAAATGAGTGATAATCCTCCTCTACTTTTTTTCAGTCATAAAAATATAATGAAAACTGTTGCTGATTCAATGTGAATAGTGTTCTCAGGAAAACTGCATCATCCAGTAATAGACGTTATTATCTAACACTCATCATGGTGGAAGTATGGCTTTTTTTCTCTCGCTCTATTTTTATGCTTCCCTCCCTCTACGGGTGGGAGTTTTTCTCCTTGGGTTTCCGTGTTGAATCACAATTGGGATGCGATGATGTTGAAGTGTGCGCAGAGAGGGAAGAAGTCGTATTTAATTGTAGAGTCTTAATAGTGGGGATTTTCTCAGAAAACACTGTCTCCGTGTGATCGCGTTGCTTATGATAAACGGGCCGAAGCAGCTGGTGAAAGAGACTTCAAAAGACGAAAATAGGCCTACCATCATTCAATCTTTCGGCGAGAGTTTCGCGGCCAGAAAACGCGTGTAATATCAACGAAAGATTCCACACTTTGTGTAATTAACTTTTCCTCTTTGCTGCAGTGACACAGATAAATAATATTGAATAGGAACACGCAATTCCGAGTGAATTTCCGTGTTTGGGGTGGAAAATTTCATCACTCGTCATCTGGACACGGTTTATTTTGTGGTTGTACGCAATCTACGCACTATGAAAACTGTCTGTTTGCATGCTGTTACATCATATTCCATCTAATGTGACTTTTTAGCGTATTTTGCGCCCAAGAGACCTCTCTTGTGGTGTATGACAAAGCGACAAAATACCATTGTTCGTGTACAGAGTTCTTCTTCCTCCCGAAAAAAAGCACAAATTTGTCCGTACAATGCAAATATGATGACAGAGACCTTCAATGGTTGAGGACAAGAAAATATGATTAGTTAATGGGGAACTTTTAAAAACGCATTTTCCATGTAAAGTTGCAAAAATTTCCATAAATATTGACACGAGAATGCTGAGCATGGAAAAAGTATCCTCTAAATAAATGGTCAATTGAGTGAGAAAACATACAATAAAGCTTAAATGGAAGGTCATAATTAAGAGATAATTGAAAAATTAGAATTTCATATTTAACAATTGGCCTAATTGCTTCTCAAATGCAGTTGTGAATTGAGGTAAAAGAGCCACGGTTTGTAATCAATTTAGAATCACTCATAGTCGCATTTTATCTAACACGCCTTTTTTACTTGATTTTTGCACACTATTTCGTGCTAAGCACAAAATCAAAACAATGGTTTTGTGGTTTGAGAGAATAACGAGGCGAGAAAATGAATACAAACACAAAGAAGTATGGTGTTGAAAAAATCCGTCATTTGTGAAGTTTTTCTATACAGGAATTTACAATGTGACTTCATGGGATGATAGTGAAGGTGGTGGATTAAGTTTTGTGGAGTGGCCACAAGGCAGAATTGAATGATTTTCCTAGTCATATAGGCCTCACATCTGCGTGGATAAATTTGTCAGTGTTTAAGAATAGAATATTTAATGGATTCAAAGTCAACGGTGGAAATTCAAGTCAGATTGATTATATCTTCGCAATTCACAGAGTAAATTTGTGTTCCATTGAAGCTGGTTTTAGAAATGAAAATGGGTCAAATTTGGAGTCAAAACATCAAACAGAGTCTCACAAAGTGATAAATATTTATCTATATTGCGTGTGTTTTGAAGATGTGTCTTTGGCGAATTTTTGTGCTTTTCCTTCCTTGACTCTAGGGCACTTTTTGCATAGTTGTGATCTGTAATAAAATAGCAATAAATCATGACATGAAAATTGTTCTGTGCACTTCAGCATTTAACTAAACGCGCGCGCGCGCATTTCTCATGGAAAATGTGAGGCTTTGCTGTGCTTTTCAGTACGATCTCTTATGGCTATTGCTGCGATTACATCATCGCGCGCTGCTTTTTTTATTGTTGTTCAAACCAGTTTCCATTCTGTTTTGTGTTCGATGTACACTTTTAGAGGTTTTTGTTGTTATTTTCACGAGTGTCTGTCTGCGAAGCGCTTATGAAATGTGTATTTTGTCCGTCAGTCGAGGATGATCGCGGAGAAATGTGTTGAGGAAACGGAGTTAGCGCTTTTATTCACCTGGGAAAGTGTTTTGTGTGTGAAATCAGAGGGTGGAATTTTTCTCTCTTTGTTTGTGGGTGTCTTTTCGAGGGTCGCATGGAAACATTTCACCCCCCGAAATTATTACTTTCTGGGTCAATGACATGGTTTTCCTAATTGGATTTCCCCCTTTTTTCTCCCTTTCAGCTGCTGCCCTGCGGTGTTGGCGATGCAGTTCCGACGCCACGAATGCCGCCTTCTGCGGAGATCCTTTCGATCCCAGCATCCTGACTGAACAGCAGAGGCGCTGGAGTTACGTGGACTGCTCCTTCCCACCCAGTCAACTGAATCCCTACAGCTCCACACAGTCGCGTCCTGTGTGCAAGAAAATGAAGCAGAAAAGTAAGTGTACACAAATTGCCAAGTCAAACACTTAGGCACTTAATTGCACTGCAATTTCAATCAAAGCCCATCTGGGGAGGAATTTTTATTGACAACCTTATTATCTCAAATCACGTCACGAGCAGTTCTGCGCTTGCACAATGTTCCCTTGTGTCACTGGAAGTGTGCTAATTTCACCCGTGGATGTTAATTTGTCAGACAAGAGTGATAGTAAAATTGCGGGGGGTGCAATAGAATTAGTGGATTATCCAGCAAGTTAGAGAATGGAATAGAAGACTTGAAGGTGAATCAAAAAGTATGACTCAGAGAACATTATGATTGCTTTCCAATGCTCTAAATACAATTTTTCGGCCATCTGCATTACTGCATTGATAATCGTGTAAGAATAACATTGTGACAATTTTTCTATGTAATTTCTCATGATCAATTTTATCCGTTCTGAAACGCTTTGTATCTTCGCTTGAAACATTTAATGCGTTTCAATTTTGCAATACAATTTGCGCGATCATTTTTTTTATTTGATTGGACGTTTGCAATGAATTATATGGCGTGTAAGTAATTCGCATTTTCAAGTGTCTCTCAGTGATGTGTGTATAGAATATGAGACAGAGATGTGACTAGAAAACAACTATTAAGTAATTGACTGGATGCCACTGAAGATGTTCAGTGGAATTAGTCAGGCAGTGGCTTAAGTGATGAATGCGTTTCATTACCAACTTTTTACCCGCATGAATACAATTGAAGAAAAGAAAATACTCTTTCTCTCTCCCTCTCTCTCTCTCGCTGGAGAGGAAAGTGCAATCGACTGTTGATTTGCTGAGCATGTGAAGGCTCACAACATGTTTTCATTTGACACAGAAATCACTCCTGTGCAAATGGGTCTCCAATTCGACACACACAACTAATAATTTAATTGATTGCGCAAATAAGCTATCGTGTTATCTAATTAGCACTCTGTACTTGGGCTGGTATGGAAAACTATCGGCAGAGGCTCGCTTGGGGATTGAATTAGAATTGCTAATTTATTGCACGCACACACTCGTAGAGTTCTTGCGTCTTTTCTCCCTCTCGATGTGGAGTCTTTTTTTTCGCTTGGTCTATTCATGGGGTGACCATAATTGAATTGGAATTGTGGACTGTGAGATGCGATAATCTAATGAAGTGTGAATCAACTTAATTGATGATTAGTCAGATGGTTGGTGAAAAACAAACCATATTCTTGACTCTTTCACTTCACTATGAGTCTCAAAATTCCTCCATCCCACGCACGCACTTGATCCCTGACCCAGAAACATCGGAGCATATAGGCAAATGTTGCCACTTCTCGTTTTTCATTTTACGACGAACACTGCGGTAATTCACCATCAATAGTGCTACGATAAGATCTTATGCCAGAAATATTTCCGAATCAACTTGAGGAAGCGCACAGTAATTAAATCATTTCCTCAAACTGAAGAATATTCATATTTTGACTTGGGATTTTTTGAAAAATCAGGGAAGAAAGAATGCCAAGCAAATAACTCATCATGGCCATGTTTTTACCATAAAAAAATAGTTATGAATCTATCAAGGCAAGGATTTCACACGCTTCAGAGAGAAATTCAATGAGATCGTTTGTTTGAGGGGAGCTTTGTGATAATTCAACATTAATTGAAGTAAAGCGGTGCTAAATATGTCTTTTCTTCGCTTCACAGTCTATGACAAGATCGTGGTGTCTCGCTCTTGCTTCTGGGAGGACATCAACACCCCGCCGGACACATGCATGAAGGCCACCACGCCGTCTTTCATCGAGACGGAGTTCTGCGAGACGTGCTCCCATGACGGATGCAACGGCGCCTCCCAGTACGGCCCCATCGCCCTCCTCGTGGCCATTCCCGCCGTCCTGGCCAAGGTGCTGGCCTGGTAGGGAGCGCGGGTGCTCCGTAGATTCTTCTCTGCTGCTGCGTGAATATGATTGTCTAACACGTCCTGGATGTTCTGTGCCGAGATGAGTGGTGGGAAAAGGCTCTCGCAAGACCACTGACAAGAGTGTGTGTACTTACCCAGGAATCAACAACGCCAATAGACCTCCGAATTACACCGAAATTGCCTTCGAAAGTTGAATAGAATGGAACATTGAGGCCTTTTCTTAGCTCTTTTCTCACTGGGAATCTCTCTTTATATATTTTTTGAAAAGCAAATCTTTCTATAATGTAAGCGATAAAGATGTCAGTGTGGAAAAGTATAATTTATTTGAGGATTCATGCAGATTTTTTTGTTAAGAATTTATATGTATGCATGTAAAACTTAGATGGTAGGACGACAGAGGAGCAAAACTTTATATAGAATCTCACAGTGTTTTTTTTTTTAAGATAACTTCATGAGAGGAATTCATTCCAGAACAGAGATCATAGGCAATGTCTATCTTTAGTAGAAAATATACTCCGCACAGTCGTTAAAACTGGATGGGAAAAGGTGCAAAATTTGTCGCTAAACACACTCATTTTATTCTTCTCAAACGCCTCTTCAATTGTCGATCTATCCGCAATGGTCGTTAGATTACGATTAAACACTAAAGGCATCATGTTACAGTGTAAAATTGATTGATTTGTAAATAAAACAGCGGAAAAGAAACAATGCTGCACTATTTAATATTCATGGCATCACTTGTGGAAGCGTTAGAGTTAGAAATAATTGAAAATATTATTTTCTAACTGTTCTACAGTCATTTTCAATTAACCTCTCGATTTTAAGGAGCAATGAAGTATGATTAATTCATAAAGTGTTGTGCAAAAGTATCAAATATCACAATGCAAACTTTATTGTGTCTTATGAGATTTCTCACGGAAAGTGCGAAAAAATCCCTTCATTGTTAGTGCCATATTTCACTCATTGAACCTGCAGACAAATCGGTGAGTCACCGAGGAGGAAATGTCCAATTACTCTCCTAAAGAATGAATGAAGCAAAGGGTTTGCCTTAATTCATCTTTCATTTCATTTGCATAACTTCTTTTCGTCAATCAATCCAATTATGCATACTCGGATGGCATTTATTTCCTCAATTTCTTCTAATTATGCCCTTTGTATGACCTTTCAAGCAACTCAATTGCTTCTCAGCAATTCTTTGACCAACTTTGCCTATCTATCTAATACAAAACATGATTATCTCTTCTATTATCACTACATTGGCTGAGTGAATTGAGCCTTTATTCGATCAGCCAAGTTTCTTCTATTTTAGTTGCAATTCGGAATTCTGCTAGTCTTATTCGCAATATCGCTTCTTCACTAAAGTGTCCAGTTTTGAGATCACCAATGAAGATCGGAATAATATCTTTGGTGGTTTTCTTCGTGGCTTGCAACGAAGGTACTGAGATTGCTTGTGAGCTTTTTGCAACTCCTTCACAATTCTCCTTCCTGATTTAAGCCACGGCTCTTCTCTGTTGGCGATGCAGTTCCAATTCCACCGATGGCGCCTTCTGTGACGATCCATTTGATTCCAGCAAACTTAGTGAACAGGAGAAGGGATATACTTACGTGTACTGTGGCTTTCCACCTGGTCACCAAAGCTCCACATCACGTCCAGTGTGCAGAAAAATGAAGCAAAGAAGTGAGAGATTCTCAAAATTACGAAATTCAATTTTTTACTAAATATCCTTATTTTCAAGTACTTGACAAAGTCGTGATAACCCGCTCTTGCTCCTTTGAGCGAAACAACGCATCGCCAGACTCATGTCAGAATTCTGAATCGCCTTCAACAATCCAAACGGAGTTCTGTGAGTCTTGCACCGGCGATGGTTGCAACGGCGCTTCGCAGTACGCTCCAATTGCCGCCTTCGTGACAATTGCTTACTTTTTGGCCAAGATACTTCCTTGGGTACTTTCGTGAAGGATTCTGTGATAAATACAAAGACTTTTTTGAGCAAAGAGTTGTTTTAATTCATTTCTCATTTGCATAATTTCATATTCGTCAATCAATCAAATTATGTGTACTCGGATGTCACTTTTTATTTCCTCTTTAAAAGATGCCCCTTTTATTACTCTTTGACCTCTTTCACATTATTTTTTAACAGTTCGCAGTTTAATTTTTTTCACTGATATTTGGCTGTACCTATATACAAAACATTGTTATCACGTCTATTATCACGAAATTGTCTACACGCGAATGTTTCGAGCAGTCAAGTTAATGTTACTTTAGTTTCAATTGGGACTTCTGCAAGTCTAAATCAAAGAGAGCTTTCTTTGTAAAACAGTCATCAGTTTTGAGCGTTTTGAAGCAAAATAAGCCAAGAATGAGGTTCAGAATAATTTGTCTAGTGGTTCTTATGGTCGTTTTCAACTCTTTCAACGAAGGTATTAAGGAAAAATCGTAGTTTTTATACCGCTTCTACAATTTCCACTGCTGTTTAGTTACTGCTCTTTTCTGTTGGCGATGCAGTACCGACTCCGCGAATAGCGCCTTCTGCGAAGATCCTTTCGATCCTAGCACTTTTAGTGAACAGCAGAGACTCTGGAGTTACGCGAATTGCTCCTATTCAGCCGGTTACTTGAGTTATTACGGCGACACACAGCCGAGTCCTGTGTGCAGGAAAATCGTACAGAAAGGTAAGGCTTTTTCAACTGCTCAATGAAGAATATTTTATAATGTTTCGTCATCCTCAAGTCTTCGACAGAGTCGTGATATCCCGTTCGTGTTTCTGGGAGGACACATTATTTAAAGCATGTAGTGATTCTAATCCTAAACCCTCGTACATCGAAACGGAATCTTGTGAATCTTGCACCAGCGATGGGTGCAACGGCGCTTCGCAGTACGCTCCAATTGCCTTTCTGATGATTATTCCCGTCATCCTGGCCAGGATGCTTCAGTGAATCTGACACTAATTGCGTAAATTTCAGAGATTGTATTAAAATCAATACTGAAACTTGAAATTATTCTCTAATTTTCCAACAAAATACTATTTATTCCATGAAATGCACAAAATTTTAAATAGATTTTTATCAGATGCACATTTTAAGAGAAAGTGTCCAAATTATCGCCTGCAGAGCGGCAAAATGTGAGCCAAGAAACTCACCACAAAGAGTGAAGAAATAATCATACTGCAGCGCCATCGTTCAGTCACCAGTTGAACGGTGTTTGGTGTGACCTCGAGTGTTTGCCGTGTCGATCGCTGCTGGCGGTGGTGTGACATTCGACAGGCAGCGCCATGACTTCAGTATTTCAGTGAAATTCCACGCGAGAAGACGCGAAAAAGAGTGTTCTGAAAAAGAGATTTTCTGTGAAAAATAATGGTACTCAGTGGTGTCTAGTGCTTGCTCTGAGTGGACAAGGGAATTTGCATGAGATTGAGCCAGTGTGGTGATCTGCCTGGTGACCGAGTGGGACTGTAAATTGGGAAGAAAGGCTGGCGGCGGACAACAATGGCTTTCCTCGCTCTCTCGTCTCTCCGCCCAAGGCTGACTTTTGTGGCGCTCCTGTGCACCCTCATCCTCGCCACTAATCCGAGCAGGAGCCAGGTGAGTCCCTGACCGGCCACTTGTGCGGCCCCCTCAGGCTGCGGGACAGCAACAGGCGAATGGGGCCAAAGCCTCTCGCGGGGCATTTGCGTCATCCGCAAGTCATTGATTTTCCACGCCAGACAGGCCAGACTGGAGCCTCCGTGGCGCGAATGGGTTTTCTCTGGGAATTTCCCGGAATTTCCCACCAGCACTGCAGCTGGCAAAGGACTGGAATGTGGACAAGTGACGGGGAATTCTTTTCAGCACACCGTATTTGTCTTTCCTGCCTCTCTTATAGGAATTCAAAATATTTCTTCGGCATATTCCGATAAGAAAAAATTGTTGGAAGTCTTCTTTTCGTCGAAGAAAAGTGAAATTTGGTATTAATTGATTTTCACTTACATTCCCTACATTATTAAATATGTCTTCACAGGGAGTTGCGATGATAGTTTATTTGAATTATTAAAATAACACGGCAAAAGCAGATTATAAACGCATGTAAAATATTTGTCAAATTCCCAAAGAACATGAATATTTTATTGCATTCCAATTTCAAAGTTTGATAAATTCCTCAGAAAATAGCCATGATTTAATTCATTATTCAAAAATGTGGATATTTTGTAAATTAGATAAACCTCCCTTGCGTCATGTAAAATAACCTTGATGGTTAGTTTCAAGTTCTCAAAGATAATGTTTATTATGAAACTTTTAAAATATTTATTAGCCATGCGACATGGATTATAAAAGGGCAAGTATTTTGTGATGCGTAAAAGAAGACTTGAACACAATTTGAATTGGAAATTTTATCACTCTTCTGTACAAAAATCACATTAAATCGAAGGTCAGACAGTTGATAAATCTGAGCAAACTGTCTTAGAGAGCATCTGGAAATTGTGAAAAATAATTAAAATTTTCAATTCTATTCTATCGATAAAAGTGCAAAAGTTATCAGGGGAGTTTTGTTATTATTACTACAAAAATTCCACAGCTTTCACTGTTTAGTATTGCGCAAAAAACGACAATTTCCATAATTCCTCATTTGCCATTCAAAATAATGCAAAATCGTATTGCTTCAAGATTTTTTTTTCTTCTCTCTCCACGGAAAAGTGTGACTCAGTGTCTTATCTCAAAAGTGGCTGAACTCAAGTAGATTTGTCGTACGACTTCTTTTGAGTAATTCAATTAAACTGTGGAGTTAAGCTTTTGAGGCAGACTTCTTGGAAGTCGCGGTGAAACTTACCCTTCAATCTGCAAGCTGATATGCTTTCTGGCTTGCTGATTATTGGTAACAGGTGTCTTTTCACATTATCTCTAACGACCTTTCGGGCAAATATAAAAACCTTAAAACATCGCCTCAAGGTTGATAGTTTTGTGTGAGATCTTATTTTAAAGTTTTTACTCCTGACTCGCGAGTGGTTTCAATCTTGTCGCCTGTGAGGCTTCTTGGGAACCGAACAGTGCTATAAGTCACATGATATTGATTAAGCATCTGAAGAATGTCTCACAATGCCCACATTATTTGTTGTTTTGTAATTGGCGCTTATGCTGGTGGGAATTTTATTCAAAAGAAAGCACTTTCCTTCTTCCTCCTGATAAATATTGCATTATCGAGCAGTGACTATTACGCATTTGACGAGCGGCGAGAAGTTGAACAGCTGAATTTCGCCACTTGCTGACGACGCGTGGGTTCTTGGGTGGTGTGAGACTTTTCCTATGTGCTGACATAGAAAAAGGAAATTCTGACCCGTGTGGAGAAAATCGATAAATGACTCACTCGTCGGCAGTTTTAATTGAATTGAAATTTTTCTTACTTCATGCCTTTGAATTCAGCGGGGAAATATATTCTCAGCACAGTTTGATGTCAGACTTGTGTTCCTGACAGGCATTTTATATGATCACGTATCTCTCTCTCTCTGCTTCTTCCATTGTTCGTGATGATAAGCCTCCCGAAATTGAGCCCGATGCATTCAAATGGAATTTATGACGGTCCATTGCAATCTTTGAAGTTAACCTTCCAGCGAATCGTGTGAAGTTTTCCATCGACTGCAGGAGACTTTTTGGCTGATTTAAATTTATGCAGATTATGATTTAGGGTTTTGCCAATGGTGTGATTTAGAATTTATCTCGTGCGTCTCACGCCCTTGGTCGTCTGCAATTCCGTCGACACGGAGAATTTTCAAGGTGAACCAATCGATGAACCCAAATCTCTGGCCATGCGTTTCCTCTCTTGTCTGCCTGTTTTTGGGGCCACCCATAAAAGCAAACACAAACGCACACACACTCACACATGGGGTGAATTTTCTCTCTATGTGATGAAAATTTAATGGGATATTATTAAAAATTTTCCTATGGACATCGGGTTACATTAATCGATCCTTCCCGCATGACGTCAAGGCACTCTGAGCGTGTTTTGGTCAGACAAAAGCCAAAGGATGGACGCACGAGGGTGTGTTTTTTTCACTTGTTGTCTCGGGCAGATGAGCATTGTGTGTATGAAAATCTCCATCCGATCTGATAATTGGCTGTTCTTTGACGCCTCTTAAATGAGAGCGAGTTACAAAATTAAACTCGGAGGTGGAGAGACGTCACTTTTCCTTGCACGCTCACGTAAGTGGGATGATAACAATGGGTCAATTAGAAAACACTTGATAAGTGACATGGAAATTCACTGAGAAATGATATGGAAATTCTCGGGAAAATACGATAAAAGGCTGGAAATGTTTGGTAAATTTCAGAGAAATGTATTATTCGATTAAAGATCAATATTTTTGTCAATTTTCTATGTTTTTGATAGGCAAGAATCAGGACAAAAGACTTCTTTTTTATTATGCAATATTTTACACGAAAATTTTGCCCTTGTCACATTTACTCAAACGTTTTTATGTTCAACATTACTTCACTCTATAAATGACTTTTGTCAAAATAGTTTTGATGTTGCACATATTAAATGAAGACGGATAAATCAATAGCATTCACATTATTATTATTATTTCTACGATGGACAATTAAACTTGACCACTTGAGGGACTTTCCGTGTTGGTCGATGAGCTGAAAGCAGCAGAAAAGTTAGTTGTTTCACCATGAAGTCTTGGAAGAGTCCAGTAGCGACATAAATTGAATTATTATTCAAGACAGGGATGGAGGGTCTTGTGCCAATTTCTCAAAGTCACACGTACGTGTGGATTTTCTCATTTCGAGAAATGTTCAATTAGTGCCTGTTTTGCTGTTAAGTTAATGGTAAAACTGCTGAGGGATTCGTTTTGGTATGTCAGCATGGGGAGGAATGTGGATGAAAAGGTCTTGATTATCGTATAATGAAGTGATTCCAATGGAAATCATAGTGAATATCTGGATAAATAAATACTTGGGGAGTTATTTTCATATTCAGTCTGGAAAATTCATGAACCGTGAAATCAGTTGAACACATAAAAAGTCGATTGATTGAATTTATTAGGCGTAAATCATTGAAGCAAAGCGGTAAAATATAAATATTTCCTTACGAAATATAGGTCTTCAGACGAAGTTTATAAAATCATATTGGAAAAGTTGTTTAAAATTTCAAATGAACATTCACATGTAATTTTGAGAGAAAGAGAGAAAATCAATTTTTGGCATATGTTTTGTGTTGAGTGAAATTTTTACCATTTTGACCTATAATTTTTCCTTCATTGCCATTAAATGTGTTTTCTCTTTTCGTTGTGTATTAGAACAGCATTATTTTCGCAAGAAAAAAAAGAGTAATTTTTACTTCCGCATTTGTCCAAGATGCGAAAGAGTGTGTTTTTCTGAGCAATTGCATTTAATCATTCGATTCATGTTTCGAGACTATGTTGGCCGAGATGCTGTTGGGTTTTGTGTGTGAGTGCGCAGAAAGGTCAGAAATAATATATTATGCCATGTACGATGGTTACTTCTACAGAATTTCGATTTCAAGATGACTCATGCATGGCAAAGGTTGCTCAAGACTGAGATTCTCGTGTCATTTGACACTGACTTATCATTTTGTGATGTGCCATAGTCAAGCAGAAATTCACAAGTACTTAATTATCCACTTTACAGGCTCTATTGACGACTTTTATTAGTGTCACGATTTCAGTACTTGGGTAATTTCTCAGTTTGTGGTTCTTAATTATTCTACACTTTTGTGGAAAACCATGTTAATGGACGCAATCTTGGAGACTGAGAAGGGTTCTGGTGAAGCCTTTTTCAGTCAAAATTCGCTCAAGACATCGCCAAATGTGAGACGAAGTGTGACTCAAAATCTTTATTACGTCACTTTGATTGATCCACGTGTGCTTATATTGGTTAAATGTCGATGTGTGCTGATGATTTTTGTATTGTTGTGTGAAGAAATTATATTTCGAACACCTTGAATGTGTAACAATTTGGAATTTAAGTGAACCTGTTGTAGCGAGAAATCGCATTTTGTGGTGGGGTTGCGAATGGGGAAAATGCTTCGCGTGTTTTGCAATGAAGCCGATTTTGCTGTGGAATGTGCATCTTGGCCTGAAATACAGTCGAATGTATGGAGTTTTTCTCTCAATCTTGTAATTAGCAATGATTACGGGTTTGGTTAAGAATTTAGCAGTAAAGAGATTCAATTTTAGACACCCGATAACTAGAAGAATAAATATATGATGTGTGTGTGTGTGTGTTTCAAGTCTGGGAAAAATACCGCACGATTTTTATGTGACTTTGCAAATTTTTTGAAGATAGTCATGTTTTGTCAAGAAAAGAACGTTTTACTAGTGGTAATATAATTTTTATTGTATGCTTAATTACTTGGGTAAATAAAGAGTGTATCATTGTGTTAATTTGAGAAGAAAAAAAAATTTCGTATCATGTGATGAATTGTTGCAAATGGATGAGAATAAGAAAATACTGTGATTTTGAAAAGAATTTCTGGCAGTTGTTTCAGAGCATTTTCATTGTTTCTTGTGAAAGAATTTATAATATGGCTAGGATCGAATGATTTCAGTAAACAACCACACAAATATTTGCATTGATCGATAAAGTTGTGAGTCACAAGATGATGATGATGTGAGACTTGTAAAACTAATTCACAATCTTGACTCACACATAGTGAGAAGGTGGCTGAATGTCTGTTGTTGTTGTTGTTCCACCTGTGTTGCTGTAGGAGGAAATTGCAATTGATGTATCGTGACTTGAGGAAGGCTCGCCTCTCTATAACAGAGAGAGGGTGTGATGGAATTGGAAAATGAGAGAGTGTGACTGGGAGAAGGTGAGGAAGAAGTATGAGATTGTATCCAAGGGTGGATTGAGGAATTGACTTTGAAAAATTGTGCGACGGCGCCCAGATTCAGGGTCATTCGGGCACAATCAAGGTTGAAAATTTTGTAGAAAATGTGTGCATTTATGAATTGTTAAGCAGCTTTGGCTTGCTTTTGATGGTCAAGCGATAGTGAAGAAGCTTCTCATTTCACATTGGTCTAACCATTGTGAAAATGATTTAACGACCATCTCAAGAATGACCGGAGTTTTTGTGGTTTTTTTTTCACAATTTGGATTAAAATAGATTGTCTTAGTGGAAGGGAAAAACATCGAAATTTTTCTCTTATTTCTGTGGGTGTGTTGCGTGAGCTTTCATTGCTAATCAACACAACAAATATCGCAGCGACGAGAGAGAGGGAGACAGAGAGAGCGGAAAATGAGTGAAAACTTCTTGGAATACACAAAACCCACAAAGTGTACATAGTTGGGGAGTTACATTTCGGCTTTCCTTGTAGGCTTTTCTGCCGACAAAATACACAAAAGCATAGACAAATCCAATGAACTCTTGCGCTACAGTAACACAAACAATAATTAAATTGCTATGTGTCAACAATGATATGGCTATTCTGATGATCTCACAGTACAGCGCATAGCCATAAAATGATTATTCCAATGCGTGGGAGATGTTTAATTGTTTACGATGAACAAGAGCGGATATTCAAAAAAAAAAGATGGATGGAATGCTTTTGGAAACCATATATTCCCTCAATCATCATCGATACTTGATTAAATGCGACGCATTCTTTTGGTTTGGTAAATATAGGTGATCATCGTATAGTTATTGTTTCGTGTGTGTTGTGCCTGACGATAGATTCAGCAAGAATGCTCGCAAGAAGTCAACAAAGTGCTTTTTACGTTGACACGCAATTTTTCAATTCACTCTGTTTTCCGCCTCGCATGAACTGAAGGGTATTTTCTTGTGATTCATGTTGGTGTATGTTGAATAATTGTCGTATGATTTCAATGTAAAAACACATCAGCATTGTGAGTTGTGTGCAGGAACATTTTCCTTTCGTTTAATTGAACATTACACGAGGACTTCAAATTGACCTCTGTGTCTTGTGTAGATTGAGCGATGACCTAAATATTAAGAAATCAGAGAGACTTGTGGACTGAAGCACTGCTTAAGAGAGAGAATAGTCAATGTCTTGGAAAAATTTACTTTGGGATTATTCTCAATGAAAGTAGGTTGTTTTTTATCAAAAACACACTATCTCGAATGGAAAGTAGCGGGAAATTTGGGCAAAATGTATTTTTCTCGGCAATGTCGACCTCAAGGTATGACTTGAAGTGTTGAAGGACCAGAAATTTCCGACAGTGTCAATAAAGCATCACAGTTCAGAAAGTGGTGGAGAGAAATTGACTGAAAAATTAATATAAATTAGAGAATGCTGGGTTATTTACTTGTGTTATTCGTTTATCGGTTTTAGCTGGGATTGAAGATGACCCGCACTCCCCTATAAAGCTTGGGAGAAATCTCAACGCCGTCCTTAGTTATCAACACGTGATATTCACTGCTTCTGTGTAGTGGATGACTTGGCAAGGAGCCCATTTGCTCTGTTGACAAAATTCTATTTGATCACTGCACGACGAGTTATTGTTAGACATTGGAGTTAAATATGGGGAAGTGGGCTACGGAAATTGAATAATCAAGTTTATTTTCTTCTAAATCACTCTAGGTGACTGCTCAGGAGACAAATTCGACGGGGCATTGCATTTGGTATGGTGTGTGCCATGAAGATAATATGACGCATCACAAGCAATACTGCCCGTATGATGGTCCGCCGAAGAAGTTGGACAGCAAGGGCCTGGAGTCGCTGGCCAAGTGGTGTGGTCACCTAATGCAAGACGAAGGAACCTCAACGTGCTGTGATGTAGATATGGTGAGTGCGTGATTGCGATGATATTGGGATTGAGTGCAGAGGCAAAACGTATAATGGGATAAATTAAATTAGCTGCCATTTAATACTGTACGATGGGAAATTGTCACGAGAAGAATGGTGGACATGAAAGTCAACTAAATTCAATTGGATGAGGTTAATAAAGGAAAATTGATTTGATTTGAGAACACGGCATCATGAGAAGACTTCTCAAGAAGCGCTCCGACATGAGAGTCTCTGTCTCTCATCCATAAATTTGCAAGTCGCGCGAGATTAAGTGCAACTTCCGTTTGTGTTTTGTACTTTTAGATTGATACACTCAACAAAAATGTGGAATTGGCTGCCAATTTCTTAAAGAGATGTCCGTCCTGTATGGCGAATCTGGTGAAGCATATGTGTGATTTTACGTGTAGCAGAACACAATCTGAATTCATGAATGTGATCAGCACGGAAAAAGGTGACAAAGGTAACATTCAGCTTGTATATTACTTTGTTCAATTGAATATTTCATGGAAATCTTCCTCTTTTGCTTGGAGTTTAAAGAAAAAAGAGGAAGAATATTGAGCACATATTGAAATTTCCCTTCAATAGAATCTCACAATGTTCACACAGCAGTGTATTGACATTCAATATACAGCCAGATCAAATATATAACACTTCCTCGCATCCCTTTTCTCATATTTCTGAAAGCACACAGCATTTGGTGGAAAATCCCCTTAGCTAAAAAGGTCAAGGAACTCAGACAGGGAGTGTGTTACTATGAGAAAATCCTGCTGTTAATGTATCTTTCGACTTTGAAATTGCATTCGTGACCTTTTCGCAAAACAGATGAAATCCTCGCTTTGAATCCTCAGCATTTGTGCCTGTGTGTATATAAAGTATAAAGTTTTCTGACTGGGAGTGGGAAAAGTTTTCAAACATCTCTAATTCATTCCTTTTGAATTAATTTCTGCTGATTTTGGGCTAATAGGGGTTTGTGAGGAGGTTTTCTCTTAGCTTTTATGAATGAAGGGTGAATTTATTATGAGGGCCGATGGTGAAAAGTATTTTGTTTTCGGGTGAGTTTAACGAGAAACACTTTAAAATTAGACTATCTCAGGTTATTCTTAATCTTTAGGAAGAATATGTGATGAAATCAATCCACTTTTCTAAACACAACAAATGATTGTGAGAGATTCATATAATATTATTTGCAAATTCTCCACAATTATTCTTTTTGTATCATCGACACATTCTAACGACTTGAACTGAAATATCAAATGATATGCTTTTTTTGCGCCAAAGCCATAATTTATTTATACTCACAATTACAAGAAGGCATTCATCATGATTCTCAACAATTTTCCACTTAATAATTTGCTCTTGTGTGCTTGATATGAAAATGTATGGGGTGAAGTACAAAAGTGAATTTTTCGGCAAAATTTTTGTATCTAATAATAGGTTTTATGTTGAGATATGCAGATTGAGGGTAAACATTATTTTTAGAGGGGAGTTGTTGGAAAAATTATTAATAGCTGAAAATAGGAGAGATGAGAGAATATTTTGGAGGCGCACATAGGAAAACATTCCGTCAAGATTGACCTTGCTGGGTGGAAAAATGTGTTCAATGTGGAAAACATTTGCTTTAGCCATAGCTGTTTTTTTTTCTTAATCTCTCTGCGTGGCGATAGGTTTTTTGTCTCGCCTTGATATTGGTCGAAATCGATACATCACATTGAGTGTGTGGCTCAAGTTGAGGAAATGAGCGGATAAGTGCAATTATTCTTACTGACTTTTTTTCTCTTCATTCTCTCTTTCGTTCACAGGGGAATACATAACAGAAATTGATCTTCACATAACAGAACAATATTTGAATGGCACCTACAGTTCCTGTTCACAAGTGAGTAATATTGATAAGATATTGCATTGTTTCGTGTTGAGTGTTCGTGTGTATGTATGTGGAAAATTTTCGTATGACTTATACGCGTGTCAACTTTGCAGGTTTCTGTTCCGTCGACGGGACAATTGGCGCTGGATTTGATGTGTGGCGAATATGGAGCATCGCGATGCAGTGCCAAGAAGTGGTTTCACTATATGGGCGATCAGGAGGGCAACAGCTATGTTCCCTTCCAGATCAACTACATTTCGCAGGCTGACAATCGAACGGTGAATGGATTCACACCACTCAATCCACTCATTGTGCCCTGCAATAGGCCATTGAATGACAAAACGCCGGCATGCTCGTGTGTAGATTGCGAGGATTCGTGCCCCAAACCACCACCGACCCCACCAAAGCCGGAGCCATTGAATGTCCTGGGATTGGATGCTTATGCCTTAGTTATGCTGATTGTCTTTGTCCTCGGGACGGGACTGTTTCTCATCGGCGTGTGTCTCTTCCCATCGCGACCAGGTAAGAAAGTGGCCAAAGCGTTGTGCTTGGGGAAGAGTTACAATAATGAGTTTATTTTTAGATAACACTAGACAGCGCTATTTTTATGATTTTCTCCGTGATAAGTGCAAATTGGCAATACAAGTTCAAAATATACTACACACATTTATTTACATACAGCGTTGTATATCTCTATAAAAGGGTAATAACATGCGCGAGATGCATAGAACAAAATATTAATCAAATGCGCGACTCTGTAATTGCGATGTGGAGTTATTATATCGTCTTTTCTTTTTTTCTTCTAATACAAATTAACTTCTCACATCACGTGTTTCTAGCGAGAAATCATCGCACTTCCCAACACAAGTGTAAAAAGTTCACAAAGGCAACATTTCTTATCAGAGATTTTCACTATCATAGAGAAATATGAACTCTTGAGTGAAACTATGAAATTAGACATGGTTTGATGAAGAGTCAATGATCGTGAATGCACATTTATTGCGATGAATGAGGGAATAAGAGAGTGAAAAGAAAAGACAGTTGAAGACAAGACGAATTGCTCCTGAAATGATGATGGTGAATTGTGTGGGTTGTTTCTGGAATCAATGAATGGACAAATTGTCCGTCAAATGTTGGAGTAAATTGCGAGATAGTGTGATAGACAAGTTAAATGACCTTTTGCTCTCGAGACACTTCAATTAATTGTTCAGATATACAGCGCGTGTGTCTTTTGGTAGACAACGATTCGCCGAGAATAGAATGAATTTTTTCGAACTCAACTGTCCTCCAATTCAATTTGGAAAGTTGCAAATATCCATGTCAATTTGCTTCTGTTCTAATCACAGGGTGGGAAAAGAGTGAACACAATATTGATGAGGAAAGTTATCGACTCTCGATTAATCAACCCAATAAATCTATACGGGTATTGTTAAGTTGACCCCAACGTCGATTTGCGTCAATGGGATGTCAATTCCTGCAAAGTAGATCACATGTTGACCTCATTTTTACCTTTTCCACCCGAAATCACTGACTCATCGAGTCATCAAATCGCCATCAAATAGATTTTGGTGTGTGGTTTTTGTTTGATATTCAAATGATAAACATTTTTATGCCGCGTGTAATCTTTACTATCGCAATGCTTAGGGAAAAGTAGTATTTTTTCATGGTTTGGGCTTTATTAAATAATTTCACCGAGTGTAATTACACTGGCGATTAAATGATAAGCGACACACTTGGTCAATTTTTATTGATAGTAGCTGAAAAAAAAAGAGTGAGGTGTAGAGAAACAGATGTTCAATAGAATTTTTTGCTTTGCGCTAAATTATAACGCTGATAAAGCGATCTCTTGATGACGAATACATTGTCGCCATCGAGTGATCTTTATAAGTCTTATCAGTCAATATTGCAAGTGTGTGAGGAATGTAGAACATGTTGACTTTCCTTGGAAAATTTGTCACTGTTTCTTGCGTCAACTGTTTCCACTTTAAAGTGACTTTCTCATTGTATTAATCAGCCAACAATTGAGTGATTGCGAGGCACGTAGAAATGTTGGATTAGTTTTTGTATAGAATCATATCGAATTTCCGACAGGTTAATCATTAAGTCATGAGCGCCAAAAGTGGTGGGAAAAATTGATTGAATTGTTGAGAGAAATTGGCACTATCAATACACACGCACATATGAGCTATCCAAACGAGGTTGAACACTTAACAATGACATTGCATTAAGAGCGTGTGTGTTTAATTGAAAAATAACTGAGATTTAACAATTTTCTCTGTCGTGTTTTCTAATACACAATAATCATAAGTCTATCGAATGAATCGCTGCACTATTGAGAGATAAGGAGTATTACTTAGCTTAGTCATCAACTTTCCTATTTCTTTGTAGTTGAATCTTTGAAACCTCTACTTAATTATATGTGTTTTTTCTGATTAAGCGTTAATTTGCTGACAAAATATATATTTACTGTTTCCGTGCAGTTTCTTATTACTAATCAATTAGATTTTCAATAAGTACAAAATTGTGTTAAATGAATGCAAAGACTAAAGAATAATTTTCCTATATTCAATGATCTCTATTTAGAGGGTGTGGTGTTGCGTGGTGAAGGCAGTTCTAGTGATCTACGTTCTAGTATTGGACGTCGTTTGGCTGGCGGACACTCAAGTGGTGAATTGGCGACTGATCGTGAAGATTCTCCCCTTCAATCTAAAAGATCGAGTATGTGTTTCCTCATAAGACCAAAAAAAACAAACCCTGTAACCGCATATAAACACAAAATTCTAATTGGTTTCTACTGTTCTAATTTATCTCTAAATTTGATCTTCATAGTTTAGCCAAAAAAAAATAGATCTTAGAGATTTTTGCATCTGTACAGAAACATAAAAAAAAACTGTTTAGACTAGTAAATGTCTGTGAATCAACTTCCTGTGAAAGTTCGTATGACAGGCTAATTTAGCTTTAAAATGAGCTTTAGATTAGGCGCAATCATGAATACAATCACTCATTATTTTGTCGTCATTATTACTAGATATCGTCTGTGCACAGAATTCGTTGGCATGGTACTGTCACTCATTCTCAATGATGGAGCACCAACTCATATTAGGGGAAAATATTGTGCAAATCAGTAGAGAATTTGTGTAAATTACACAAAGGAGGAATATTCATTAGAGCACTCATAGAACATATTCATCTCTCAGCACCTTCTTGTCGTTGTTGTATATTTGATGTTTTGTTGAGAGGAAATGCTTTTCCATTGCACCAATTTCAATGTGACAGTGTCACGAAAAAGGATTCCAGAGTCAGCACAGCAATACCACAGAACACAAATGGAAATTGTCCTTAGATTACCAACACGTGACCACAATTTACCTGCACATCTTCTACATATTCACAGCTAAACAGTGAAAGACGGAAACTCTCTACACCATCAATTTCTCAATCATTTGCATTCTCAGCAAGAAAAAAAACATTATTTATTCTCTGCTTCAGGGGCTTCTTTTGTAATATATATTTCGCGCTTTATGTACTCAAAATGTATACTTTTGAATGGATTTGTAGCAATGTTTTGCCATAGAAATTAGTCTGTAACCTTGCTTCTTCCCTCTCTAGGTGGCACGTGGGAAAACGAACAGGAGCTCCGTGTTCATCCGGCCACAGTGACCACATTTGGGGATGAGGAGTCGGGATATTTTGAGAAATTGGGCGCCAAGACGGAGAACTTCTTGGAAATGTTCTTCACAAAGTGGGGATACTTTTGTGCTTCGTATCCGTGGCTGATTCTCTTCCTTGGTTTCTGTTTTGTCGTCGCCATGGGACATGGCATTAAAATGCTCATCATCACAACGGATCCCGTGGAGTTGTGGGCATCGCCAACGTCACGTTCGCGAGTTGAGCGAGAATACTATGACAAGGAGTTCGAGCCATTCTATCGAATTGAGCAAGTGAGTTGATAATTTTCTAGCCACTGCGATAAATTCAATTGAGTAATGACATTTCGTTTGAAAATTTATCACTTTCTTGAAGTGGAAGTCATTGTCTAAGAGCGAGTATTGATTTTTCTTAACATGTGTGTTGTCTTTCTGCCTTTCAGATAATCATCAATGCGGCAAATCTCCCAAGTATTGTGCATAATACATCAAATGGACCAATAGAATTTGGTCCGGCGTTCAATAAGCAATTCCTGCTGGATGTGTTTGAGCTGCAAGAGTCCATAAAACAACTGGGAAAGGACAGTGGAGTGACACTTGACAAAATCTGCAATGCTCCGCTGAGTTCGGAATTTCGTGGTCCTGTTGTCACGTCGGATTGTGTGATTCAGTCACTCTGGGGATACTTTCAAGATGATATGGACACTTTTGAGTCGACTGACGATGACAATGGCTTTGAGATAAACTACCTGGATCACTTGACAAAGTGCTTTGGCAATGCCTACAATCCCGAGTGTTTGGCACCTTATGGCGGTCCAGTGGATCCTGCTATTGCTCTGGGTGGCTTCCTAAAGCCAGGAGAAGTGCTCTCAGGTCAACCACACTATGAGCGTGCCAACACGGTGATTCTCACGTTTGTGGTGAATAACTATCACAACAAATCCAGATTGCTGCCGGCTCTCGAGTGGGAGGAGAATTATGTGAAGTTTATGCAGGATTGGGTGAAGGGTAACAAGACGAACATGAATATTGCCTTCACGTCTGAGCGGTCCATTCAAGATGAACTGAAGCGTGAATCTCAGTCTGATGTGTCTACCATCCTCGTGTCCTACATCATCATGTTTGCGTATATTGCAATCTCTCTTGGGCATGTGGAGGAGTTCAGCAGAATTCTCATTGATAGCAAAATAACGCTCGGACTTGGCGGTGTGGTCATTGTCCTGGCGTCTGTGGTGTCATCTGTTGGCCTGTTTGGATTCATTGGCGTGCCAGCCACATTAATCATTGTAGAGGTGATTCCATTCCTAGTGCTGGCAGTTGGTGTGGATAATATCTTCATCATGGTGCAAACACACCAGCGCGATCCAAAGAAGCCCAATGAGACGAATGCTGAGCACATTGGCAGGACTCTGGGCAAAGTGGGACCGTCAATTCTGCTGACGTCCGTGAGTGAGAGTTGCTGCTTCTTCCTCGGCGGCCTCTCGGACATGCCAGCCGTGCGGGCGTTTGCTCTCTACGCCGGAATGGCGCTCCTCATTGACTTCCTCCTGCAAGTGACATGCTTCGTGAGTCTCCTCTCGCTGGACGCTGTGCGTCAGGCGGAGAATCGCTTTGACATCTTCTGCTTCGCGCGCGGAAAGAAGACCGACGCTCCAGCGAATGTTGAGGGTGTTCTGTACAAGTTCTTCAAAGTACTCTATGTGCCTTTCCTCATGCAACGCAAAGTGCGCATTGGTGTCATGATCATCTTCTTCGGATGGCTGTGCGCCAGTATTTCTGTAGCGCCGCACATTGACGTGGGACTGGATCAGGAGCTCTCAATGCCTGAGGACAGCTTTGTGCTGAACTACTTCAAATTCCTACAGCAGTACCTCAGCATTGGGCCGCCGATGTACTTTGTCCTCAAGGCTGGCCTCAATTTCTCAAGTACAACCCATCAAAATTTGATATGCGGTGGACAATTCTGCAACATTGACAGCATGTCTACGCAAATCTACATTGCCAGCAAGACACCGGAGACGTCGTACATCGCCAGGCCAGCGTCCAGTTGGCTTGATGACTACTTCGACTGGTCAGCGTCGCCGTCGTGCTGTCGATCCTTCCCCAACAATGGAAGCTTCTGTCCTCACTCATGTAAGTTCTGCATAGTCTCGCATAAAAGTTTAATGTCTCTTCGCGTCTCAAAGATGGCCATGAAGGTTTTATGACAAAACCGTGTGTTTTAGTTGATTGGAACTTGAAGAATTTATACACTGATTATATTGATTTTCTCTTTGTTCTCTGTATACTTCGGTATGTCGCTGTTGGTGATTTATAGAAATACACAGGCGGAGACTCTGTGGATAATTTGAAATTCAAATGCAAACAGAGAAAATATTTTCCTGCACTCAATAATTAATTAAAATATAATCATAATGCTCAGTCGAGACTAAAAATATCACTTGTGCACACGGGATATTATTCTTTGTGCTTCCATTTGGCGTTCATCCCACTTTCCATTTATAGCTCCTCTTTTAAATACGCATTTAAATTAAAAATAACATCAATATTTTTCACTGCCATTTCAGCATACGGTTGCCAATCATGCCAAATCGTCATGGATCCAGATCTGCATCGTCCCAATGCGACAGGTTTCAGCAAGTATTTGCCATTTTTCTTGCAAGACAATCCGGATGATGTGTGCGCCAAGGCGGGTCACGCGGCGTACGGCCACGCTGTGAATTATGCCTATAGCAAGCGATACAGGCAAACTCAGGTGGGCTCGTCGTACTTTATGGCGTACCACACGATCCTGAAGAGCTCCTCGGACTACTACGAAGCGATGCGAGTGGCTAGGAAGATCTCGCACAATATCACTTCGACAATTCATGCAAAGTTGCGACTTCAGGGCAAAGATGAGGCGTACATAGCGCAGATTGAGGTGTTCCCCTACTCAGTCTTCTATGTGTTCTACGAGCAGTACCTGACTATGTGGCCGGACACCCTGAAGAGCATGGGAATATCCGTGCTGGCCATCTTCATTGTCACTTTTCTGCTAATGGGCTTCGACATTCACTCATCCCTCATTGTGGTGATCACAATAACGATGATTGTCATCAACCTCGGCGGCCTTATGTACATGTGGAACATCTCACTGAACGCCGTGTCGCTGGTGAATCTTGTGATGGCAGTGGGAATTGCCGTGGAGTTCTGTTCGCATCTTGTGCACTGCTTCTCCGTATCGATGGAGCAGAATCGCGAGAGGAGAGCCGCCGATGCCTTAACCAAATTGGGCAGCTCAGTCTTCTCGGGCATCACACTCACGAAATTTGCGGGAATTCTGGTGTTGGCCTTCGCCAAGAGTCAAATATTCCAAGTGTTCTACTTCCGGATGTACTTGGGCATTGTGCTGTTTGGAGCTGCTCATGGACTCATCTTTCTGCCAGTTCTGCTGAGTTATGTTGGTGAGTTTCGTGGCGATGTGAATTTTACTATTTTAGAATCATTTTGGGGTCAGTTTGGCGACATTCGGACATGCTAATAAATCAATCGCACTGTGATTGTTCTGCGAAATGATGCACTCAATATATGGCTATAAGAGCACAAATGGGATAAAAAATACTGACAAATTTCATTCTTAGCAGTAGTGTCTTAACATTTTACTTAGATGATTTTATGCAGTTGAATTTGAAAAAGAAAACTAATTCGAAATTATTCTCTATCTTCTCTTTTATACTTCTATCATACCTACCAAAATCCTCGTAATGAAAAAAAAACACCCACACAAATATGCTCTCTAATATCCTTTGGCTTTGCGTGTGAAAATGAATATGCATTGATTATGTGGAAACGCAGGAGCGCCCATCAATAAAGTCAAATTGGCGGACTACAAGCGGCGAGTGTATCAGATTCAGGAGACATCGCTATCAACCGTAAGGAAATTTTATTAAATGGCACTCAATGTAGATTACACCAAAAAATCACAATGCTAAAAAAGAAAATGCCATGAATTGGATGGGGAAGAAATGCACGTTTTGAATGCCTGAAGAGGCGTGAAAAAAAAAGAATATCTGGGACATTAATTCATTTCATGAATTCATTCTTCATCACCATTGCTAATTGCGACGTTTTTCCCCATCTCTCTATTCTGACTCTTCTTTTAACTAATTCATATCCTAATCATTCAATATGCATGACGGAAATGTTAGGCTTCGTGCTCGACGGCAGATGGAATATATAGAGAAGAGTCTTTTGAGTTGCGCTTGCAAAAATCTGGCCGAGAGTAGTGAGTTTTCTTTTTCTTTTCTTACTTTATGTGCTCTCTCTCTCTCTACTAACGCTTAAAGGTCATGGTCACGTCATTTCATGTGGTGGAAGGAGTATTGTAGTCAAATATGTGCTCAATGTTGTTTAATCAAGAAGGACATTTTCAGTTGTCTCTATCAATTTGTTGTAAATATTTTCCGAAAAATTGATCAGCAATGTTTTCATCAGAAAAAAGGACATTTTCTCTCTTCTTGATTGATTGTCTTCAGTGTTTTAATGTTCAGACATTTGTTGATGAAAGCATGCGAGATCAGATTTTCCACTTTTCTTCACTAGACGAGAAAAATATCTCTCGCACTCAATTGCTCGATGTTTTTGTCTCGATTTTATATAGACACCGTTGACAATGAATGTGATTGAGTAACGCAAATCCTTTTCCATCTTCTCCATTCAGGCGTGATGTATAGAAAACGACGTTCCGACGTCACCACCGCCTCATCCGCCACCCCAAATCCAGGAACACCGACGCATTCTGTCTCGCCTCTTCTGTCATCGCATCCCACCTACGGATCTGTAAATTCCATCGATGAGCAACCAATTCCGGGCACCAGTGGCATCAACACGGTGTCCGGCAGTGCGAGTGTCCAGGACGCTGGCACGTACAGGCCCATCGACATCTCGTGAGGCGTTCATTTTCAGGGAGAATTTGTGAGCAAGACAAAATGAAATGAATCTGATTGTAGGGAAAATCACCTCGATTACTGATAGTTAATTTTTTTTGTTGTTGATGTGTTGTGGGCGTGATAGACAACATAACCAGTCAGGCAGAAGAGACATAGAAGCATAAACCAGTATTTTTTTCTATATTCATATACATAACTAAAAGGAGGATGATTATAAAAATTGATATACTTTCTAAGAGACATTGTGAAAAAAAAAAACAGAGAACAATCAGCCCAAAAATTGTATATTATCTGTATAAGAGCTGAAGAGAAAAGGAGTCTTGGAATTGGTAAACAAAAAATGGGTGTTGAAGAAAGAGATATTTTTCCTAATTAGACGATAAAATGCTGTTGTATAAAATGATAAAGAGAAAATTCATTGTAATCAAAGAAAAAATGTGAACTCAAAATGCCTAGAATTTCTTTTATATCGACTTTCTTGTACAGCAAAGGAACATTTTTAACAGTTAATGAAAAAAAAAATAGGAAGAATTGAAAAAAATGTAGGAAAAAGAAATTGTTAAATGTGTGGCAATTCCATGGATTTTTCGTACTTAGAAAATAGAACCTTGAAGCATTTCATGAGAATCACACGGGGTCAAATTGCATGAATGGAGAGTAATTGGCGCGTGGGCGGGGAATGAAAAGAATCACTCTCTGTGTTCTTTTTGTACTTAGACGACACACAATAACAGCAACGATACACTGAAAAGGAAGTAAAAGTGGATAACAATAGGTGATAAGAGTGGCTCTCAAGGGTATTTTTATGAGTTTTTCTTATACAATCACGAAATATAAGCCATAATCCAAATGTATTTTTCTCAAGTTGTACACACATTTCCATTCGCCGTCCTCCAGATGTTAAAACTTGTAACACTTGGACTGTCTGTAATAAACTATTAAAATATGGAGAGTAATATGTAAAATGCCTAGATAAAAAAAATCCATGGAAGCAGCGCAATAGAATATTTATCTAAAACACTGACTATGTTGTTCGTGTCAAATGCCAAGAATTTATTTCATTCTCTCTACCGTATAGAATAATAAGCACTGAATTGACTCTATAGCTTGCAATTTTCCTCTATACACACATATATATTGCATCAATTTTCGAGGGTGTTTCACTGTGATTTTCACAACAGAAAGTAATCGTATTATTTACTCACTATCAGGAAAATCTACGTGGACCATTATTTCATATATATATGAGAATGTATATAAATGAAAAAGAAAAAACAAAAGACCATGACTAAAAGAAGAAAAAAAAACAAGATCATTCGAAAAATCATCAGGAAATCAGTGTGAAACACCCTGAAAAGTTATCTGGCATTGCAAAAAGAAAGAAAAAAAACTGTTAGCAGAGATATTTAGTAATGTGATTCCATTTTATTAAATCGTTGTATTGCATTAGGGAAGAAGATAAAATATTTTTGTCTCATTTTGTTAATCACACAATTTGTGAACAAGTATTTTATTTAGGCTAGTTAGATTTGAGATATAGTTGTAAACTTTTGTTTAAGAAACTACAATGAAGTGAAGGTTGACTGAGTGCTTTTCTCTTAGCGCGAAATTAACCATCTCTAAATAGGAGAATATTGTTGTATTTTTTCCTGAGCGAAAAAAAGTCTAAATTTTATGAAGGGGTGAAATGAGGCTTTTTCTATAATTGCATATTTATTTCCTATTTCTCTCCAGTGTATTAAATGTAATTTTTGCATTGAGTCAGCGCCAAGTCAGTTAGTGGCCTTTCTTTCTCTAAATAACAGCATTACTAAGAAATCTTCGCGATGAAATTGTACTTTTACCTTTTTCTAAAAAAAAATGCTTAAAAGATGGAATAACCTGTAATTTTAAGAGCGAACAAGAGGCGCAAGAAAAGTGATAAGAATTACTAAATTTAGAGAAGAATGTATGAATGAGTTTTTTTGGGTTTTTTTTTGCTAAAAGGAAAAGGGTGAATTAGCATTTGATAATAAATGAAAAAGAAAAAGCTTACAAAGTCTGTCATGAGCTTACTAAATGGTGTAAACAAAGTAAAAAGTGGAAGAAAAGTGTGGGAAAGCAGATTTCAGAATACATGAAAATAAATGAATGTTTTCTTTTGTGCAACAAACAGAAAGGAGATAAATTTATCCACATTTGAATTTGTGTATTATAAAAGAAACATAATATTTAGGGTGGGTCAGAAAACTTGTACAGAAAGATTGATTTTTTTAATGTAAAAGAAAAGAAAAAGAAACAGTGAATAAAGAGTGTTCTTTTGAGAAAAATCGGTGTTGTGTGAAGATGAATGATGCGGTGAATTTCAGGAGTGGAGATTGGCTTGGGAAGGAGAATGTCTGACAAACCTGTTGCTGTGTGGCGGTGGTGAAAAATGCAATGTCTTGATATCAGTGGAAATTGGGAGAAAATCCATATTTTCTCATGGTTGCCATGAATCAATTTTCCATGGACGGCCGAACATCTTTATCGTGGAGCAAAATTGACCAAGAATTGTGTCAAATTTCTTTAGAGTTGAAGGCGAATTGATAATGATTCAGTGGAAACTTATGTATCCACAGGAAACTTAAGGACTTCGACGGGTTCCTCAAAAATTATAAAAGCGAGACTTGATAGTTTGCGTCGCATTTTTCGCTCTAAGCGGTATTAAAAGTCAATACAAAATATACAGGAAAAATGTGAAAAGTTGTGAAGACTTTCAAAAACCAACTTTTGGTACTTAATTGTCGTGAGTTCGTCTATCATCTCGCCATATTTCAGTTAATATTTCAATAACTAACCAAGGAAATCAACTGGAAGTTATAGAAAATAATTGGAATTGATCAATATTATCAATTTAATGAAAGATAACAGCGAGTTTAAGGGAGAATAAGGGAAATTACAAGGCGATCTCAAATCCCAACACTTCAAATCGCTCTACTGAAGAATGGCGTTTTTGAGTTTTGTCAGTTTTCGAGGCACCCGTCGACTGTCTCCTCAGGGGAAGACGGAAAAGGATCCCCGTGCCGATGGCAGATGGGAAGAGAGACCATGTTTCTTGCGAGGGATCCTTCTCAAGGGGCGTATAAATAAAAGACCACACATTTCTCAACCCATTTTATACAATTAATTTATTTCCTTTTTCCTTGTTCCATATTAAAGAGACACATCATCATAAGTTTCATTTTTTTCTAGATATTCTTTTGGACTTTTGGTATTACGAAACACGATTTTTCTGAACAATGTCTCATGTTTGCTCTCAAGTCGACATCCTTTCTATCTTTCTCTTTTTTTTGCCCTTAAACAGTAACCTTTAGCATTGTTCATTTTGCCTCTGCACTCGATATTTTTTTTTTTACTCTTTTCTTGTGTAACTTTAAATTAGAGGAATCGACAATGACACTTGACGAATGGAATCTTTGGAGTTGCGTGTGCAGGAAGGGTCACACATTTGGGGACACTCGGCAGAGGAATTTTCGTTGTTTACTTAAATGGCTAAAAGGAAATTTTCTCTATTTTCTTTGTGTCAACTACTCCACAAAGCGCGGGGCGGAAGGATATACAACGTGAACACCCAGAAACTGAACATGAATTTGATTGTGAGACTGTCCGCTGGAGAGACGAAGAAGAAGCCTAAAATGTCCGTGGAAGAGGGGGAAAAAACGACAATAAGCATTAAACTCCATCTTAACATTTACAATAAATTGATACGTTTCTCGACACTACATCTCATTTATAGGTTTTCACCGCTTTTACATTTATTTCCTTTTGATCTTTTAGAGTTGTTCATCAAATACACTTTAATCTATTCCTTTCTTTCTCTGTGATGTCAAAGTGTGGTTGTGTGGTAATATTGCAAAAAATGATCTTTCAGAGTTAATTGTTTTGCGTATTTCTTCAATTACAATTTTTTTTCACTTTAGTTTCATTCATCTAAAAAGTAGTAATAATAATAATGCAATAAAATAACTCGACAACAACATAAACATCAAACATAGAACATAATTATTATATTTTTATCTCATTTTTTTCATCATCTCTTTACATTTAACGTCAACATGTTGAAATATTTTTTGGTTTCTTAATATCTTGTTTCGGTTCTGGGAATCACATTTACCATTATACAATTAACATTTAATGTTATATTTATTGTAATCCTTTAATCATATCTCTTTTTTCTCCATTACCATTTAAAACTTAATCCTAACGACGTCGCCCCGATTCGATGGATGGTGTTTTTTACGCTTTTTTTTTCAAATCTTTTCTAGCTCAACATGACAAGGAGTCTCGTATCTGGAAAGAGAGGAAAATCCATGTATAGTTAGCGGAGTGTTAAAAGCTCAGCTGAACTTTTAAACCAATTAACTAATGTAAACTACGCATTTTGCAAATAAACTAGATTACAAAAAAAGGCATTGATAACGGAAAACTCGCTGAGTATATCCTGGAAAGTTTCAGCACTACACATTTTCCCTGATTACGATGCGGAAAGTACATTGTGGAAATCGTACCATCCGCTATCATACAACTTTTACTCATCATTAAAAGTTCTTTTTTTTTCTAAAGCAGAAAATGGGGCAAATTTGAAATTGTACGCTGAAAAATATGCTGATATTGAGATTTTTTTCTGCACAAAGGCTTTTTTTCCATGTGACTTTCCGCGAGTTATTTTGCTTTTTGTTCGTTAAATTAACATAATAGTGCTTATCTTTGAGCACACGAGCTTGAATCCTTGGAATTTTGGCCCCCAAAATATACATATTTACTCACTTTTTTGGTGATTTTTTTTTCTCGTCATTCAAGAAAGGTGAAACGCAAAGCTGATGAGGGAAAGACGTGGCGCCGGAGGTGTTTTCCCTATTTAGTTGCCGAGTGGGCCGAACAGGGTAACTCCGGGGTTCTTCTCGTCCAAATTGCCGAGGTAGTGGCTGTACAGCTCCTGGTATCTGGACAAGGTGAGGCCACCTCGTTTCCTATCATCATCCTGGCGGTGGAGAAAGTGAGAGAAAGAGAGCAACTTGAGATGCGTGGCAAATATAAATTAAATAGTCATAAATGTTGGCTGTCGGAGGTGAGAATAAATTTATGGGACAGGTGTCATACTATCCAAAGCGGAATACTTCGCGCTGCACTTTGTGGCCTCCTTTGCATGCGAAATTCCTCAAATTATAGTGTTTAGAGAGGGAACATCGCGGCTTCCCCGCGAAAAATCCCACCGCAGCTATGCACAATTCCGTGCCAAAAATATATTATTTATGAATATTTACTCTCTCGCGGACTATTGAGATATTCAAATGCCTACAATTCAGTCCAATGGCACGAGAAGGAGCTCAGCATCTTCCACACGAATTTCCTGCAATCTTGTATAAAATGCCAGTTAATTGAGCTGACGATGTATTTGGTGTGTGAATCTGAACATGATCTTTCACGCTTTGGACATAACATGTTGATGTGGCAAGGCTTAAATTAGGCTTTAAAGTTATCTTTTATTTGCAGTGGAAGTCTAGTTTACACGATTAAGTGATATTAATATTACTTATTCAATGAAATAGAGCGAAATATTAGAGAACACAACCAGAATTTAGACCAAAGCCTTGCTTAGACGGCTCATCTGCGACGATATCTTAAGGTTATCCAAAAAAAAGGCTGTGAAATTGTTCCCTGTGGACAATCGAACACGTTCACGGCAAATTCGCGTGAAGAACTGACCGTGAAAAGTGCGAAAATTGTGCACACAATTTGCCGTTTGCGCCATTTTTGCCAAAAAAAATTCGCTTAATTTCCACAAAGATCACCGAAAATCACACTTAAATAGTTAGAAGAGGCTCAAGTAAAGGGTCGTTTGAGATATTTCGCTTCATTTGGCGAAGAGAACATTAGCGGCAATACAGAGTCGTTCAACGACACGGAAAAAATGTGGCAATTTTTCGTAAAAATAGGGTAATTTCTCGTGAAATGTTTAACAGTTTTCGCATATTTCTCAGGGTGTCGTTCGATTGTCGCTGTATTTTTCAAAAATTATGGCAATTTTAGGATAATACTGTTCTTGTATGATATTGACATGTTTCGAAAAATCGTAGAAGATTTATTCAACTTCTCAATCAGCCATATTCAATTTATTCAGCAAAACCAAAGCCAAACTAGAGTGACTATTTATTGAATTTCTGTCCAATTTATGGGGTTGAAAGTCCCCTGTTTGCCCCTGTTTTTGCGACAATTTTACATTTAACGCATATGCGCATAAATCCTCTCATAAATTCACTTTACTGGGTGGAAATGTTAAATTTCCCTAACAGAATTTCCGCTTAAAAAAACTCTCCGTCCTTCACACATATCACTTTCCCTGGCAAACGTGTAAATTTATTTACAATGCCAATCAACCGGGGGGGAAACACACAAGACGCGTGTAACATCCTGATGGTATCCCTTTTAAGGACACACACACACATCCCTTCGTGCCACTCCGAGGTGCTCCTCAATGTGCAAAAGTACTCAATAAAGTTCTATCTTTCTCAAGCTACGCTCTGAAAATATTGAGTTGAATTTCGCTCAACTTTTCGCAGGGTAGAAAAAAAGGAGGGCAAAAGTGGGAGGCAAGAGAACTCTTGGGATTGTTTGTCATGGGAAATTCCTCTGAGACGTTTCCCCCATCTAGAAAACCTCTCCTAACTTTTCACGCCAACGGTTTCTGCGGGGGATATTTTTTTTGTGTGATATAATAATTGTATACAATATATTAGGAGTATTAAATTGGATGAACTTTGCTGCAACATCACACAAGATGTGTCTATAAATATGCACATGAGCTTCAAATGAAATTGTCTTCAGCTGTTGTCACTTGGCTGACACTTGTTGCAAAGTCGCCGAACTGAGTTTTCGCCCTGAAAAATCGTCACTCGAGAGCTGAAGAAATGCGCCCAGCGAGACAATGAGATCAGGGACAAATTCCTTGTCTAGTGCCATCAAAGAACTCCGCAACAAGTGCTTGAAGTCACCTCTCGAGCCTTCATCTGTGTCAACCGACGTTTCTTCCCACGCTAGAAAAATATTTTTCTCAAATATTCTCAGCAGAATTCAGAATTATATTGATTCGTCGCTGAAGGACCGGAAAAACCCACCCTCGAGATTTTAATTCCACACGAGCACGACAGTTCAGCGGCACGCAAGTATGAAAACACAACAATTTTATTGGACAATTTGCGAGAGCGACAATCCGTGAAGTAGTGTAAATTTCTCAGATTTTCATTTGGCAATATTTGATGAGGAACCCACAAACATTTCACGCCACGTTGACGCAAGAATGCAAAAACTCATCTTCTTGCAATGTTCCATCAAGGAATATTTTCAACTTTACACTGTTTGTGCATCTTTGGTCTATTTTAATAAATTGAAAAACTTATATTAATATTCCATGCTTGAGAAGTACTTTGATGTACTTTCAAGCGACTGAAAATGAAAATTCTCGAGAAAAACTAATTCGCAGTCGAGTTTGAAATGAATTTCCATAGACATGAGTTTCACATATTATTTGATCTTGTATTGAATTTATGCTTCTGGTACACCTTTTACCAGCAGCCATTCTCATTGCTCTAATGCAATTTATAGCATGCACAAATCCAGCTTGTTTGCCAATTTGTCAGCTCAATTTAATGGCTTTAATAGCAATTTAATACAACCATCAGCTGTTGTACTTCAGGCGTCATAAAATTAATTGCAATCGTTTCATCATTGTTCCGAAACTCACATCAAAATGTTGTTTCGAGAAATAAGAAACTATTTTTGAGCTGATTCTATAGATTAATGCCATTAATGTGTGTAAAAATGTCCATTTCTATGGTAATTACATCTTGAAATTTTACCACGACATCAGCGCGATAACTTCCAAAAAAAAGTGGAGAAAGAAATGCCATTAATTTTTTTTTCTGTTTCACCCCAACTCTTGGCATCTTAAAAAAGTAATTTATTTACTTCATAGGCACAATTTGTGGAGTCGTTCAGCATGAAAGCGGGGGCAAGAGGTGTTTTGGACTAGTATTTCTCTCCATTCTTCCTGTTCACCCCTTTTCGCCAGTGACCGAGGCAGTGGTTCCTTTTTCCGGATCTCTATTAAAGCCCACGTGCTTTCCTCCCAGAAGTAAAAGCTCGTTTCTCATAGTTTCTTATATAGGCCAACGAGAAGGAGTTTATTCTCCATGTAAATCAGATGTGAATTATTTATAGTTGAAATTGACGAAGACGCCGGGTAAATATGCGACTCGTTATGTTTCACGTAAGTTTATTGATTTCCACAGAAAAAAAACACAGGCATGAGAATTGCTCTCGAACGTGTACAGAGTTGATGTGAATGTAAGTCTCGGTGGAAAAATCCACCACAAGCGGAAGGGTGGCAAAGGTAATCTCTTCGTTTGCTCGCAGCACAAACTTTTACGTGTTCATTCCTCACGTGCCTAATGCCGAGCGATGATACTCTGCGGAACTCCGAAGAGTTTCATCCGACAATGAATATCATAGAGGGATTTGGCTCAACATGAATTATTTACCTCAAAATTCAATTAAATATTCCCTTTTATTAGTCATGAGCATGAAAAGGCATTTGCAGCATTCTTTACTCGCGCAAACACACTCACATTCCTGTGCGATGCTGGGATAAAAAATCTTGCTCGTGTTATTGAATAAATTTCACCAACACTTCCAACTTCTTTCCTGTCAATATTTCTCCCATTAAATAGCAATTTCACGGTTCAATTGGAAGGTCGCCCTGTGAGTCACAGTCAAATCCACCCCACGAGATATGGAAGTTCCGAAATGCTTTAACATTGACGTTAATTTTTAATTTGCACCGAATTTTGAGGTATAAATAAATTGAATTCTTGCTTTAAAGAGTCCCAGAAAAAGTGACACAACCAGGCGTCTCCACGGCGAAGAGCTTGAAAGCTCTGTTCGTTCTTATAAGTCAACTTGTTGCTACAAAATTTACTGCTCCACGAATGTTTGGAACAGTGAATAAGATATATGGCTGTCAGGAAGGGATTATTGAGTTTAACGCATATTTACTCACATTGAGTAGTCGGTTGAAAGCTTCATCAACAACCTTGAGATCGTCCACAGCGATTCTGGTGATGCAGTTGTAGCGATACTTATCCAGGTTGATAATGCCGTCAGAATTCAAGTCAATCATCTTGAAATTGACCTCAATGAAGGCTTTCATGGCCTGCGGAATGGATAAAGACAGTATTGTAGAATATATCTATTGAGATCGATGCCAAATGGAGGGCAATTTTCATCTATTTGTCTCTTGTCAAAAAAGACCCGGAAAGGAAAAGTTGGATGTCTTTGGGAAACTAATGGTAATTTTCGCTGGGTGTTCTTGGGTAAACAAAACCACCCCCGTGACTTGGTGGAAACTTTCTTGTGTGTCTGTGTGAGTGAGTGTATTTAATTTTGACTGAGTCTTTTGCCACGCTGTGAATAAATCATTTTGGAAAATACACGTTAATATAGAGAATTCATCCAGCTTGTGAGGCACACACATTTTCTACTCCCCTGCCCCGCAATTCTCGATGAGATTTCATGCGAGATTTCCTAAGATGAGAACATAAAGTATGAGGAGAATGGGACTGAGTGTGGGGACCTCATTTCAAACTGAGAATGACAACGAGAGGAGAGGCTTTAAATATATCACCTATGAGGAACATCCGGGAGAATAAATAGAGTGGATAAATTGCATTTTCTCGCCATGTCCTCCCCTCGGAATGCCGCACGAGCCGCCCCAAATGGAAAATATGATAGTCGACTCAATCACACACAATTGCCTGTGATAAACATCTCTTATGTTTCAATTTAACCTCTCTGCCTTGCCAATATTTTACGTTTCCCACCCTCGGATCTCCGGTTTCCATTTTCTCCACATACAATTCCCACCGGAAAAGCCAAAAGGGTATTAGGCAGGTCATTAAATGGGAAAAACAGTGGCTTATCGACTGCCATCAGGCATCACGGCCCTTCTAGCTGGATCATTAACATTGTGAAAATTTCATGAAAATCGTAATCACGCGAATGCATTCAGCAGAATATTCAATAGCAATAAAGATAATTGCTCTGTTCTCCGCACTAAATTCACGGAAATGACATATGATTTCCAATTCTTTTTCCCTGCGGAATTTGACGCTAATTAATAGTGGTGAACATTTTACAATAAATACCCTAAAATACCTAAAATCTAATATCCTGAGAATGACTTGTCGATTTGGCATTTGGCAAGAGATATTCAAATTCAACCTTGTGAAATCATATTTTCCGCATTTCATATTCATAGCAAGTGTAATTAAACGAAATTACTTGCTCGACTATAATATACCATGGAATGATCATATAATTGAAAGTCAGACGTTTCTAATTCTAGTAGTCAAGCCAGTGATTTACAATAATTTCAAATCACTGAAATGGGTGAAGATTTCTGACACTGAAAATTGAATATTTACCTAAACAAGGGAAGATTGATTTTCAATCCAACTTGATTGATGAGTGTTAAAGACAGAAAGTAATGTATGGTAGGGAAAATTCAATAGCATTTCAGGTAAATTGATGCCATTACTGGCGGCTCTTTAATCAAACTCATCTACGCCTCTAATTTCAAAAGTGCAATTCCGAGTAATCCAGAAAAACCTCACGACATCCCATCGACTGCAAATAAAATAATTACAACACTAAAAATTTCCCTCCACTCCGCGAGTCACATATTAAATGTCTTTTTTCCATCCTCGACTCTTCGTGTTTGTAGTTAATTAACGATTCAATAGCCACCCTTCATGTATAAACAAAAAGATCGCGCAGACAAATTTCACGTTGCCGGAAGCACAACAAAACAGGCGCCCATGTCCTGAAATTGTGATATTACATTGTTGGGTGGGATGGGCGTTGTTGAGAGGGTGGTTAACTATTAAAAATTAATCAGCGATTGTTTATCGATTTTTAGGTACACCAAATTCTCCACCCAACAAATGGATTCAGTGTTTCCCTTCTCTTGTGTGAACAAATTTAAAGATGAAATTACCAACAGTGGGAAACGACAAAGTGCTGTTGACATTCCAATCGCTCCGCAGAGCAGCATAATTATTTCCATATAACAAGACCAGAATGCAACATTTGTGTGCTGAATTTTTCATACGCAACAGTGGATCAGATCGTCAATTATTCAGCATTCACATTGTACGAAGGACCGATGAAATGCTGGTATAAATCAATTCACCTGAATGCTCGCGCCACAACTGATAAGATGTGTATTGGAATGGAAGGGAAGTGAAATTAGATTGTCGCTGATGAAGTTCATTCAAGTGACAAACATCAAAAGCACTTCAGAGAAGATGCTAATAAAATCTCTCACTCGGCATAATGCGCATAATTAAATACATTATATATGTACTTGCCAATGAAATACGGTTCTTCACATTAATTCACGTAATGGAAAATAACTATTTTCTGTCTCCATAATGAATTTTCAATTTCAACCATTTCCTCTTGCTGGCAAAACCTTTTTTTTGGTGGCAGTTGGAAAATTTATAGAGTGGAAAGTTGAGGATGTGAAGCATCATGGGGAATTTTTTTCAATTATTGACAGACACTGAGGAAGCATTCCGTCTTATTTTCTCATTCATTTAAGTCCCCTTTTAACAGAGGCATTTCACCATGAATTACCGCACTTCTTGACTTTTGGGTGAGGCAGGCGAAAAGTGTGCAAATGCGTGAGAAAGTGGGCATTTTATTGGATTGTCCTCTTTTTTCACCCTCACCACAAATCCCACTTTTCATTTATAATGATCATTCCACGACAGCCAAGGCCACTCCTAACATTTTCGCTCCCCTTCACTCAAAATCTTGAAGATTGTCCCCGCTCGAGGCGCTTTTCTTTCATCGCACGGACGCAATGAGGTGCACACAAAGGAATTCCTTGCTGGCAAGGGTGCGACAGAGAAAATTGGCCAGGATAATTGCTCAGAATTAGGTACGTACCTGTGGAAATCCATCGTAGGGCTTGCCTACGCATGTCTTCTTCACAGCACCTTTGAATTCTTCCGTGCTGATTTTGCCGTCCTGCGAAAAGGTCACACGGTGCAAAAAATTATGATGAATAATTCATTGATGTCGAGAGACCTCACCTTGTCATCGTCAGCCAATTCCGAGATTTCATCCCACAGACTCTTCATGATGTGTCGGTATTCCCCGAGGCGGTTGTCGGTGACGTTTCCCTTTCCCTCGATCACGGCGGCTCTCACTGCCATGCACTGGAAGTCGTTGTCGTCCAAGAAGCCATTGTTGTCGATATCTGGCAATTGGGAGGAAAACTTATGGCTCATCCGATACAAGAAATATCTCTCGCCCACAATCTTCAAATCCCCCTCATCCGCACGCTCTCATTCTTCCCCCTTTTTTATCCTCAAGCCAAATAAAAAATTCTCCACAATTCAACGAACAGACAATCCTTTGGGGAGACACTTTATTGTGTGTGATAGGGAAATCCATGCAAAATTAAGCAGAGTTCTTCGACATGGTTTACCATTCACCACAGGATTTTCGGGCATCAATGTTCCAGTTTTGAATGACCGAGACTTGCAAAAAATCCTAAATATAGCGCATCGACTCTCCATTTAAATATTTATTCATTATACTGAGACTTGAGTCTGTGCAATCAACAAAGATGCTGTTTTTCTTATCTAAAGCGAGAATTATTATTAAATAAATTGTTATACACTGACAAAGTATTTCTTCTTATCCGTTCAATGCGTAATTTCAGCTTTAAAGCAAGCTTGAAAGCTCTGTGGCAGAGAAAGAAAAGAGACAACGATGAAGGAATGAATAAGTTATGAAAAGAATAACTGGTGCAAACTTTGACGTTTCTCTCATTTACGATAGTTAGACAATTAATGTTTACGATTGCTCACATGAAGGGATATTTTTAGCAAGAATTGTGAGCTCTCATGAGAATTTACAATTTATTATAGAAATGAATACACTCCCTGTGAGAAATTTGTAGACAAACAAATTTCTTCCAGAAGAATTCACCGAAATGCTAAATATTCCAACTATAACACACAAAATTCGACACATGTTTGTGGACGAAGAAGAAAAATGTCAGGCAATTGCATAAATTTTTAACATTACAAATACATTTAATATTGGCGGAAGGAGACGCAGAACAGATGGTGCTGCACAATGTATCTCTCATATTGGAGAAATTGACAATTTTCCGAGCACTATTGTGGCGGAAAATTTCTGGCATAGTTGAGCGACCATATTTGCCATTTTCTCGGGATGGAATTATTGTGCTGTGGGAAAGGAGCACTCGAAAGAGTGGAAATCTCGGTATTGACACGACATTTGAGTGGGTCACAAATAAATGTGTGTGATGGAAGGGAAAGGGTGTGGCGGAGACGCAATAATGGAGACATTTGCACAATCATCGTGCGAATGATCGTGAATGAAGAGATTGAGAATGGCGAAAATTCGTTTTATGGAAATTATCCACTTGGATTCGTCCAAGAATTGATTTTCAGCTGTCACTTTCCAAACGGCTGTGTTGATGTGAAATTGGAAACTCATGTTGAGGCGTCGCTTTAATTGTGGCAAATAGGATTTCTATATGTATTGAGCGACTTTGAGGAGCGCAGAGAGGCTAAATTCGCCAAATTACACATACCTGAACTTACATTTATATTCTGCGTGCAGAAAAAAGTCAAAGTTCACGCTCCATTCGCATCATTAACGATAAGCACTCTACCATGTCTATTCGTCGTATGCAATATTTATTTAGCAATTCTTGGCGGGTCTCGTCCTTTTTCTCTCCCTCATTATAAATCTCCTGATGAATTAATCACTCACTGTGACATATTTCAATTGCTCAAAGAGCTATTTGGAATACGATAGACGCGCATCTTCACTTGCCAATTCTCCGTTCATGGCGTCGTCCAATCATGAGATAAATATTCACAACAATCAGTGGCGCAAGTTTGATTTCTGGGCTGAAAATTATTGGCTCACGAAGCGTCTTGGCGCTGTGGGAGACGTCATGATCTGCAGGGATCAATTTTCTGTCAGATTTGTATACTCAAGGAGCCGTGATGGATTGGAATTCCGATGCATAAATCTCAAAATTATCATCATTTGAGAGTGTTGGGCGACAATATGAATTACTGAGGCGTCACGAAGTGCATCTTGTAAGCAATTCCCAGGAGCAAATGCCATTTTGCGATTCTCCTCACGCGTGATTTAAGATTTAAATACCTTAACACGTCAGAGATGTAGAAATTTGATTAGGCCCCAAAATCGAAACACCTCGTGACAGTCTTTTTCCCTAGAAATGTGATCTGCCCAGTTGCCAACTCGCAATTTGTTCCCCTCAAACACGAAATCCACCAAACACACGACTTTGTCAGTGGTTTTGCTGACACAATTAATTAATGATTATTTTGTACGGCAATTTTGTGCAACCACACAACGTAAGAGTGCAATTTTATAAATACCCACAAGGCTCAGATGTGCAGGAATCGACCTTTGCGACGAGAGTCACACTTTCATATACATTCTGACCACCCCTGGGGGAGAAAAAGTTTTGTGCTGAGATTTTGGAAAGTGAAAAATTGGATAGGCACGCATTATCTCATGCTCTAACCCTCATGTGATTTTTCCGCTTCACTTAATTTGAGGATTAGGGTCGGATTATTTACCGAGAGGACGGCAAGCGCGATAAAAAGTACGGGAGAAAAGATAATTTCTTTGCTGGTGAACAAAAACTTTCCTAGCCGCATATCTCATTAAATTATGGAAATTAGCATTCACTTTCCACCCGCTTGCCACCTATTTTGCATCGAAAGTTTATCAGGGAAAATTAATAAAGAAGAAATTGACGATGAGGCGCGAGAAAGACGACAAAACGCCTCTCTCTTCTCAATCAACTTTTCAAATGTTGTGAAGCCGTCAGGCTAAGAGTAGAAGATTGAGGCATTGAAGTAACTTTTCCCTTGATAACTGTTCTTGTAGATTCACACCAGACGCTCCATCACTCAAATAATGGTCCACTTATGTGGGAAAATTGTGCTGATTTCGCAGAAGAAATCCACCCCACTTGATCTTCAAGTCTTAAAATCCCCGAGAGAAACTCTTCCGCACCCCCCAAAGAAGCACGATTGTGTGCCTATAAAAGCCTCCAAGTGGAATACTAAGAGGCTACTTGCCAAAGAGTGCGATATTGAATTATTTCATTTTATTTTCCCTTCGCGCCAAATGACTTAATTGAAGCAACTCTGAGAGTTGAGGAGGTGTTTTTTTGGGAGTGAACTAAAAGCCAACCAATTAAATTACCTCAGCTGAGGACATGAATAAAAATTTAATTACATCTTCAGCTGTAAACATTTCACTCTGGTGAGCAATTCCAGTCATCATCTGCGGGATTCTCTTGAGTAATGCGACTTTCCTTGATAAAACATTTGACATCCTGGCACATTTGCTCACGCATAAAAAGATTTAATTCTCCTCATTATTCCTGTGCATTAGTATCAAAACCATGAGATTACGTTTCATGTCAAGTACACTCAGCGAAAAAATGTCTTTCGCGATGAAAAATTCCTACCACTCAAATACCCTTCCACATTCCGATCATCCCTTGATAAGTGATAGTACAAATGTATACGAGCACATTGAAGCTGAGGAATTTCCCAATGAAATATTTAGAGAATGAAAATACCCATTTGAACTTCACTCATTATCCTTTTGGCAATGCCATCAATTTGCCAACGATTCAATATTGAGTGTTTTTCCCCGTCAACCAGACGAGCACAATCACACAATTTTCCCCTATTTTATGTATCTCAATTTGAGCTCTTTCATCCCCATTTTTTCCTCTGCCCCACCCATTCAAAGCCCACCCCCTGAGTGGGAAGAATGAGGAACCCGATGATAAGCTGGGTGAGGATGGGAAATTTGCGCCAGATCAACTGAACAAAGATAAACACTTTCGAGGGTGGGAAAAGCTCTCCGTTTTTTTTCGTGCGGTGGGTGGCAGAAAAAAAGTACGAAGAGAGCTTTTGAGATTAAATCAAATAATATAAATTACAGAGAAATTCGACACATTTGGATATTTTCTCACAAAACAGAGCGCGAGGGTGGGAAAAAATGGTAGGAATTATTTTTAGGGGCTTCTTCTGCCCGCTCCCGATGGAGGTGTTTCTGTTTGCACACATTCAATAAGGGATATACTGACATTATCTTTCCAGGCACACACACAAAACATCACCACAAGCTCACATCATTTTGCGGGGAGTCCTTTGTATATCGTCTAATGAAAATTTCCCTCCCCCATTGAATTGCTATGTGAAGGTGTGCTCTCGATACCCAAAATGTGATTTATCCACCATTTGATGGATTTATGATAAATTACAAGCATGAGATTTAAATTCTGCCACGACCGCACAGGGAAAAGTAACACTGTTGGACACATTCAATTATCTCTCCAATGCCTCCATTGGATTACTTGGATTTGATCAATACCGCTGAGAAAGGTGGCACTCTATTTAAAAGGTTCCAACTCATCCCAAATCTGCGGATTTATTTCCACAGTCACCCAATTAATTGCAGCTTCTGCTGTAGTTAGCATAATTCTCTACTCACCATACATGTATCGGACGACAAAATCCACTCGGTTATCCCATGAGTACGCCATTCTTGATTTTTTCTTTCTTCCTGACTAGGTTGCTGCTCCTAATTAAACAATGGAGAGGTGCTCCTAATTTAATACTGAACTTCCAGACGAGCAACACATCAAATATTCGTTGAAACGCGTGCGATTTTTTGCGGCCAGACGATGTCACCGAGAAGAGATAGAGAGAGAATAAAATTAATTTAATTGTTCTCGGCTATGACAGGCTGATATAGTAGTTTCTGGGGAGAAGTATGTCTCAGAGACTTGATTCGGAGAAAAGAAATTCAGAGACTGGGCTCGAAGTCACACAATCACTGGGGGATTTTTCACAGGAAAAATTATATCCACTGAAGCAATTCAGTGAATGATAAATAATCTCCACAATTCAGTATACCTTTTGAGATTGGGTGTAGAATTGAGTGATACTTTGCTCAATTGTGATTATAATTAGAATTTAGTGAGACAACAACCCATTCACATTTCACACTCAGGGAGCCCCGAACTGAATTGCTGACTCTGTTTCGAGGAGGACCGTCAGATCACGACTAACTGGCAATCATCAAGCGCGAAATGTAGCTGGCCGCTTCCAAGTCCCCAGGAAGTGTCCCGCTCGCCGTTTCTCGGCGTGGCGTCAACGAAAAGTGGGCTTTCGCCACTTGTTGCGTGTCACGAACGCATGAGCCACACAGCCGAGTTGGCGCACTCACATTCTCAAGAGTCTTCGGTGTGGCACCCACCATAAAACACCCGTGAGCAATTGTGCCAGAGACACGGGATGGTTTACACACAGATCTCTCAACGCCGACAACTCCCTCAGCTTTTTTCCTGTCCGCGCTAAGATTAGCCGCGCACGGGCTGCCGCCTTCCCTAAAACCCATCCAGCTAATGACCTGTTGATTTTCCACCCTCCGAAAGGAGACAATTTGCCCAAATTCACACACTAAAATTCACCTTCGCAACCCAAAATCACCCAACATCATCGATCACCAATTTTCACCGGTGTTTATTTTAATTCACCGAGTTTTCAGCACACCGAACAGCGCGTGAAATTTTTTCCTGAGCTCTGCTGAAGAGGCGCTGAAATTTTGGAGCGCAAAGAAAACACACATTTTAATGAATTCATATATAGAGAATCTATGGATGAGATATTATGCAAACTCTCTAATTGAATTCCTGAAAGAGCTGCGAACAAGTCCAAACCCACTGAATAAAACAATTATTGACTGCTATCACTATAGTTTCAGAGAAATATAAATTAAATTCATGGAAATTTTACCTTTGGAACAATTCATTCTATCTCATAGAAATTTTTGATTTGACGTTTGAATTGATAATTTCCAATTAATTTGTTAATTGCTTTTGTGTCAGAATCCAAAGAATCCCATCAAATTTTCAAAACCCTAAGCATAATTGTGAATAGAAAGCATTTAAATTACTGGCACAAATAGCTTAGGGAAAGTGTGGCGATATTTATCCGGATATCAAATTATTATTATTATTAGTAAATTATACAAGAATAATATGAAAATTCTTCATTCTCCCTCTGCTTTGGAGAGAAATTCTTATGCTAATGCAGTGAACGATAGAGAGATAGTTTCAATTTGCCCGGCTTCTCCCTATGCTGGAATACACTTGAAGCATTTGAGATTTTAAAGCTCCATTGAAATTTGGAAAAAATACCCACACATTGAGAAAATGTGATCCATTGTGTGGTTTGAGGAGAAATGTAAGGAAAGTCGTCGCTTTGACAAAAACTTTTTATGAGATATGACGAGAACGTGATCCAGAAAATTGAAGTGGAATTTGAGGAGTTGCCGTGAAAGGATCCATTTGGCTTGGGTGGATAAAAGACGGTTAAAGGAGTATGATTTCTTGTTTGTGCGGAGGAAGAGCAAATATCAAGCCATTATCAAACCATTTCAGCTCGCAATCTCGTGAGATTATATATTCAACCTGGATTCCTGATGAATTCTTTTCCTCACGGGAGTGAGGATAAGTGATGCACCTCCCGGGTTAAAAGTGTGTTACGGTGTTAAATTAAGCCGTGATGCATTGACAATGGATGTGTTTGCCGCTTTAATTAAACACGCGTTTGGACAGGGAATTGCCAATAAGACAGCGATACCCGCCGCGAGCAGAGCGATTTCCGCACAGCCTGAGACACCCCGGCCTGACCCAGATCGGGTGGGAAGTCGTCACCACTTCCGGGAGAGGTGTAAAAGGGCCAACACCACCACACCTCTGGGCTGCGAGAGTCAGGAAGACGTGTATCAGTTTTCGCTCTTGTCCGATGGCACAGAGTGTGTTTGTTTGTCTACGCCGGGGGTTTTTCTATTTTTAATTAGCAGCTACTTACAGTGCGCCCAAACGGTGTGCGTCTGCCCGATCGGATCCATTAATCTGCGACCGATGAGGATCTTCGCGACGACAAGCACTGAGATAAACACCATCATCCTTGCCTCATGTGTGCATAAATCAAAATCCATATCGCGGGCCATCTGGTCGCGAGGAGACTCGCTCTCCTCACTTTGCAAATAATAAAATTTGGATGCGCTGTGCACTTGAAAGAATAATTATATGCCAGCCACGCACCGCGAGTGTGAATGGGCGATGGTGCGGCGGGGAGGAAGCCCTCTTGCAAAAGAACATAGCCTCATGTCTCGCCAACATGATGCTATTTCTGCACTCGGCCATCACAATTAAGTTTTTCGGTCAACTAATTGACTGCTCAAATGCAATTTTTCATTGTGACCACTTCTGTTCAAGTTCAACTTAATTCTGCACCAAATTGACCCACTATGTAAGTTATGGCGAAAAAGAATTGCCCAGTCAATCACAATTGAATTAGACTGTGGAATTTGCACGGCACAGTGTCTGCAGATCATCCATTCTTGTCCATTTAAGCTGAGGCCTGAGTTATGGTCATTGGAGCATTCATTCGCATTCAGTGGAGTAATTGGAAAATTTCATTCACACTCAGCCAAAATTGAGCTTTAGTCAATCTTGTCTATATTTCACTGTTGAAACCTACACTTCAAAAGAACTTCAAACGGATCAACAGTGAATTGAGTGAATTGAATCTGCAATCCAAAAGCCAAATCTCGGCTCCAACCTGTAATTTATATGTATCAAGATTTGCGAATGGTGAATTTATTCAAACAGTACCTGTTGCGCCGGTCCATCGGACAACGGCCAGCGCTTAGAGGATTACTTCATGCACTGTTGAATTGACCTCTTCGGTGACAGTGAGCGATTTATTAAATAAATTATAACAGAATAGATCTTAAACAGAGGCTGAAATTATCCTGTCCACTGAATTGGTTCAGACATGCTCACACCCTTTGTTGTTGCCATGGCACAACGGGGCGAGGGGTGTGCGAGAATCTCTGCATTGGACATTGACTTTAATTGAATTAAAATCCGCACAGTGTGCATCACAGTTAAGGTATAATGTACGATGTTAAAAATACAAGAAGCGAACTAGCAAAGTATTATGTCAGCGTCGGATGATGTAGCCGAAATGGGTCAAAGCGTACACTATACTCTGCAAAACACCCGGAAGAGGGTTACTTAATTAGTAAGCTTCACCCAGGATGTAGCAATAAAGCTTCCATTAGCACTCATCACACCGATGCATCACGATATCGCCTTGCTCTCTCTCGAGAAAAATGAGTGTTCATCAGTTTTCGAGCATCTCTTGTGACAATTTTTTCAATTTTCCGATAATTTTTCAGATAAAACCACTCAGTTATGATTTATCTTCTTCATCAGGAGGTGAAAGCACGCGCTAAAATTGATTGAAGGCAAGGCATCATCAATAAAGTGATTGATAATTAATTTCACCCACGCTGCATTTCTAATAATTTTCCATCACTCCTACCCATTGTAAATAACCTTTATTTATGTAACTCCTTCATCCCATTTCCTAAGTAAATATTTTAGGTCGAACCTTAAGTAGAAATGAAAGACGATTTCCCACATTTTTGCCCATGAATTAATTCGTCCTTCCAGGAATTCCCAGATTTTATTTTTCCTATCCTACACAATATGAATATGATAAACTAATAATGTCTTATCATGTCAATGCCAAAGAATTCTCGCTGATGTAGCAATTTTGACTATTTGTATCACTCAAAAAAGAATGCTTTTTGATCTTATGCTTCAATAAAATCAGACGTTCTTTCAAACAGTGCCCGAGTTTTGAATTCTCTATCTAATTGTGTCACGCAAACACCTGTCCAATAGATGTTTATTTATACGATTTATACAGTGGTATCTCAAGAAGCTCTTCAAAAGCTCTACGACTAGTAAAAAGTTTCAAAAAGGCTATTTTAATGTGTCACTACAATATGTTTCATAATGAATACAAATTGTATTAATACACATGAAATTTCTAGAACAATAGACCTGATTTTAATGAAATTATTGTACAAAGTGCTGAGCAAGTGCAATATTTGAGGAAATTGACAATTAAATATGCATTTTATTGACATCCATGAATAAAATGTCGAAAGCAACACTATTAGAGAAATCGGTAAAAAACTCTTGTTTAATAAATTTATCGTTTCAACAGCAATTTGGTCGAAGTAATTTCGCAAATTTATGGTATCTAGATAAGCATTCAATTAAAAATTTGCAAGTAATTAAGAGAAAGAGTGCAGACGATGAATTTCAAGGACTTCTCGCGCAGAAGAGCGGCTTAAGTGTGAAGAATGGTAGAGTAATTGCATGAAATGATCTGAAAATAGCCCCCCAAATTTCGTGATGGGCGCTTGGCGGACAATAATTCAGCTGAAAATCGACGATATAATCTCTATTCTCCCTTTTGGCTCCCCCCAGAAACTGTCCCGTAAAAATAACACAGAAAGCCCGTCCCCATGAGAATTTCTCACACTGTCATCTCAGCGCATAAAGAAAGTGTGAAAATCCCTGGGAAATTCGTGCCACCATCCCTCATCGACTCGGGAGAGCATCAGGATTGACGTGAACAATGAAATGCGCGCATTGAGATAAGTGCCCGTTGGTGGGAACGCACAGCGCAATGGGTTATTGGGTGTGAGAAAAACGAAAAAGAAATTAATTGCGAAATTTTCTTCTCTCTCCCCGATTGCAATTGCAAGCCAATTCACGTGCACTCGCACGCACGCCGTGACCCGATGGCGCTGTCCCGCTCGCACGGTGAATAATCCCGAAAAATTGGCGGTTATTCAAACTATTAACCATTTGCACAGATTTAAAGTAACATACTCGCAATGCAGATTCCCTCATTTTTGCTAACAATAAAGAAATGGGACATTGAATTTAATTTATTCTTAGTTTTATTTCATTCCGCCTCTTCCCACTGACCACATTTCTTCAATCTCTCTTCGCCCGTCATTTCCGCGATGGTTCTCGCGCGCGCACACCCAAAAGGATCTCTGCATCACTCTCTGCACTCTTCCTCTTCCTGTCTGACGCTGCGAAAGGGATCGGATTTCCCTGTTGGCTCATAGAGTCGCGCGCGTAATGGAAAATATATACATTTCGAGACAATTTCCAAAGAACACGCTAAAACATCCTCAAAGTTGAAACACTATAGAAATTCCTCCTCATCGCAGGCTGTGACAGGCGAAGGGTCCTTTTTAATTATTCACGTGAGGCACACGTGAGCTGAAGGACGGAAGCCATTATATTGACACAGAAAAAAGTGTCTGAAGCTCGCAAAAATAACATCGAGAGAGCAATCAATTGCTGTCTCTCCCCAAAATTGAGTGTTGGACTCAATCTCGAAGCGCGAACCGCGAGCAGTGCCCCCAAAAACTCAGTCGAGACAATAGAGGAAATTCACAAAAGGCCCAAATCTATTATGCGCAAGATTTACGGTAAAAGCTGCGGCTAGACTGAAAAAGAGCACATCATGATTATGGGCAAATATTTAAACAAGTCCACAAGCCCCAAGAACGTGAGCGCCTCTGGGGAGAATTGCTTGATTTTTGGAGCTGAAGTGACGCGCCTGTTTCTCAAATTGGCGTCCTCATTTATGCGAAAATCCAATTACGACCGCACGGAGAGACAATGCTTTAAGGATTTTCTCATGCATATTCATAAATTCTGAGTCACATGTCACAATTATCAGATTCTACTGCTAATTTAATTTATTCTCCCCTAATTTGCCGGTCTCGTCATCTTTCGATTTCACGTGCCAACTTTCAACATTCTACCACTTTACTTGAGGAAATATTTGATGGCATTCGACAAGGTAAGTTCAAATTTAAATTCTCTCGCGAGCACTTTTCTTCATCGCGTGAATTCATCAATCTTTAACCCTTCCACGGAGACTGTGCACTTTATTTACAGACGATCCTAGATTCCCTAAAATCTGTAAAATAAGAATAAAGTTTATTTATTTATTGACTTTGACTGGCCGTCATAAGAACGAGTTTAAATTCTGGGAACCATTAATGGAACGTAACATTTGGTATGATTTCATTAGAGGTCAGAAAGAGTGCGCATGTACCTAGAATTTAATTGCAAGAAACTCTAAAGTTTGAATGCTTGTAGCATTTTTTGTCCACATCGCGATCACAGTTTTCCAAGAATCGAAATAAACAATTTAACGTTTAATTGGGTGATTTACATTACATTAAATGACAGTCGATTAAATTGTCTACACATTTGTTGGTGCACGGGTTTGTACTTAAACGTGCAATGTAATGAAGGTCAAGATTTTAATTTGATCACAAAAAGCAGAGAACCCCAGAAGTTCAAGGAAATGCATTGGGAAATGCTTAAGGGTTAACTGATAAAGTGCTCAAATTGCTCAGTTGTAGAATCGATAAAACAGTTCTGCGAAAAGTGAGGTTGCGTTGTCAGTCACCCCGTGTTTTGGAAGAATGCTGAAGACTCTCCAGAACATCCTTTTGCGGCGCTCCCAGTACTGCACAAGTGTCCAGAATGTACCAACAGCCTCTGACTTCGTGTCTGTGACCCGGACAGTGCGTGAGCCTCGTCAAGTGTGGGTGGAGAACTTCGACACGCCAGAAGCCAAGAAGCTGGAGATTCTAGAGCTGCATCCGCAGGTGTTTGCAGCTCAGCCCCGAATTGACATCATCCACCAGAATGTTGTGTGGCAGAAGAAGTACAGATTCGTGAGTTTTGCCCACACGAAGCAACGCTTTGAGATCCGCGGCGGCGGCAGAAAGCCGTGGCCACAGAAGGGCATGGGAAGAGCCCGGCACGGATCCATCAGATCAAATCTCTGGAGAGGCGGTGGCGTTGCTCATGGCCCACGCTCGCCCACCACACACTTCTACATGCTGCCCTTCTTCACACGAGTCCTGGGCCTCACGTCGACGCTGTCGGTGAAACTGGCGCAGGACGACTTGTTTGTGGTGGACAATCTCGATATTCCCGTGGATGATCCCAAGTTCCTCCAAGAAATGATCGACACGCGCCAGTGGGGACCGTCTGTGCTGATAGTGGATGAGTGAGTCCTGCTTTTGTGTGGTGTCCGGCAAACATTGAGATCTTCCTTGCTTTTCAGGAGCGACATCTTCCCCTACAACATCACAGCGGCCACAGAGCAGATCCCGCACGTGGTTATGATGCCGCTGTACGGACTGAACGTCTACTCCATGCTGAAGTATCACACCCTCGTCCTCACCAAGGACGCAGTCCAGAGGCTTCAGGAGCGCATACTTTACCAGTTCAATCGACCAGACGGCAAAGAACTTAGGAAGAAGTTCCGAGTGAGCCAGTGAACATAATTTAGCATCAACAGCAAGTACATTTAATGAAGTAGCTTCACGGAAAGACTGCATTTCAATGCCTCTGCGCCTGATCCCTGGCCAGTTTCTCCCTCACGTGCCATCTCAAGTCGAGGTGCTTGTTTTGTCCGGGAATGTTGTTCTTGAATTTGTCCCACTCGCGCTGATATTTGGAGTGCAGAGAAACGGGGTCACTCTTTGTCCTCTGTCGAGCGACTTTCGGGCGGATCCCTGGAAGAAATCAATTCTGTTACCAACTCTCCAGCTCCACACTGTTTACCATTGACCTGAATTCACTTACACATTTTGCTTGTCGTCGAAGTGACTGAGTCCGGACGCGATGGCTGAACGTTCTCACTCTGGACGTCGTCTTTCTTTTCCGGACGGTGGACTTTGGCAAGGAAGCTCAGCGTTGGCGCTCTGTAAAGCAGCTCTTGGCGATGCTTCTGGGCACAGGAACACTTAGTGGAATTGCATATTTTGCACCGTAAAGTCTCGTATTTGATTAATTTCTTCAAATCTGCAAGGAAATAGAGAAAATCATGAGAGAAAGAAGCACAAGGGATGAGGTTAAATTGAAGAAAGGCAACAAACCTCGTATGAACTCCTTCAATTGCTGAGCCGTTATGTTCTTGTAGCCCAACTCGTTCAGGTGGTGCAACACCTCCCGAGCATCCAGGGAAATTGACATTATTTTCGGGAGAAAAACAAGTAAATTTTCCTTAGCAACGACTTTGTTTACAAATTCACTCAGTTATTATCCAGGTATTCAATGGAAATGATAACCGAGATAAACCGACAGCATGACGGATAGTTTTAAATGGCCGCAAGCCGTTAGTGAAATCGGGCTGAGGGGCGAACAACTAGCATTTCTCGTGATTAGATAATTAGGGGTTGAACACAAAATTGGTATATTCTGGAATAAAGTTATTAATCAAGTTCGCCACTGATTAATTTTTGTAATCTCAAGATTATTAAATGATTTTTTCTATAAATACATCACAGTGATTAAGTAATCAATCAAGCACTCACATATACGATAATAAACACCCTATTATTCTTATCAATTTATTTATACAATTTACATAAATGCAACAAGCTTTCGTGCAATATCAAATGCTGGAAATGATCGAGGGAAGCTGGCGAGTAGATTTGGTGGTTAGACGCAATAGATTGTGGCGAGAATCACGTACAGGAAACAGTAAACGATGAAGGACAGCCTGTCGATGGCTGTGGCCAGAACCACCCAGTCCTGCTGGCTCGAGCTCTTGCTCACGGGATGGATCATGTGACGATCATCGGGAGTGTTGTTGTCCTCAAAAGGAGGCTCGCGCAGTTCTTCACTGCGTTGCTGAGTGTTCGGTTGAACCTGGAAGGAGAGGAACTATTGAGTGAATGCACGTCAAATTGTAAGAATCCTTTGGAGGACTCACTTGAAGGAAGTGCAATCCTAGGAGCTTCCCAAAGCGCCCATCGAGGGCAGATTTGATTGCCCACGGCATGGCCAGGGCGTACTTGTTCCGCGACAGACTGATAACCACCACTGCGATCACTGTGGAGAAACCCACGAGGTAGAGACACGAGTTGAGGAAGAAGACCACCGAGGGTGTGTTGAATGTCATGGCGGGCATCAGTGTGTAAAGGTAGAACATGTATAGCCAGATGACCACTGCGACCACACCGTTCAGCAGAATCTTCTCGCCAGCGGCGGGCGGAAGCCAGAATGTGGCCAACGTCAGGAGGACAATCACGGTCACCGGAGTCACGACAATGGCCTTGTGCATGGGCGATTTTCGGGCGATGGTGATGTTGTAGGAAATGTCCACGTACGGTTCGGGACAGCACACGTAGATCTTCTCGTTCCGCTTTAAGTGCGTGTCCACAATGTCCCACTCGTGATTGAGCATGTACATTTCCAGAGTGATCCCCTCGCCATTCCAAATGTCCAGGTTAATCTTGTTGCCATCGTACGTCCAGGAGCCAATCGTCACTGGGCAGGTGTGTTGATCCAGAGGCCAGCTCGTCAGGTCGAAGGCGCAGAAGACTGTGAATTGGTAAGGAGGCACCCACAAAACGTCCCCGTTACTGCTGAGGATCGAGTGAGTATTTCCATAGTGATCAATTGTATTTCCGGCAGCGCTGTTGTAAAGGACAACATCCGGCTGCCAGATTTCATGATCAGCCACATGAATAGTGGTCAAACCGCCGTAGTCCGATTCATTCCAGCGCAGCTTCGGATCGTTCCATTTCTAGAGACAATACAAATCACAAATCAGAAATGTGAAGTAAGCAAACGGAAGGATTCTATCGCTCACAAATTTGATCCATCCATGAATTGTCATTGTAGATTTGACCTCTTGAACATCAATGTGCAAAATAGTGAGGCCAATTTCCACATTTGTTGTGTTATAGTACTCCTCCGGCCTCGCGAATTTATCATAGTTCATGAACAAGTCCCTCTTGAGGTTGTCCGTCCAAGTGGCATTCCAAATTGGTTTAATGCCTGGGTTCAGATAAAAAGTGTACAACAATGTAAGAAAACCGTATTCTTCGCAAGCACTGTCTGAGATCTGCACAGAATATTTTCATCAAATTTCGCTCCATTATATCACATTACAAATCAAAACTGATTAGAACTTCCGGCCGCACAGTAAGTCCCAACTTTGCGACTTCACTCATATTTAGGTTATATGTTTTTTTTACCATCAGAAAATCCCTTTACCTGGCGATGAACTTGACTCCACACTTCCATAGATACTCAATAATCCCACAACTGGCACGAAATTCTGCAGAATATTTCTCATCACTTTCTTATGTCTTCTTCTGCCAAAGTCACAAAACCGATTATGCAACGTCTGGAGAGAGATGAGATGAAATCACACTAACTCGATCGACGCTCGGACAGTTACTGAAAATTTCTTAATCCAACTAAGAGATGCGACCTCAAGGATGGGGCTCTTTATGTGACAATGTACACAAGCTTCCATGATATGGGTTTTAATGCTATTGTGCCACCAAGATGCTATTATTCTTATTGGCATTAACTGTCTCCCTCCCGCACATATTCATAATACGCTTCTCTGGTCCAGAGTGAGAGTTGAGAAAACATATTGACCGACAGAGCAAAAATAGCAACGCTCAATTGACCACTTTGAATCGAAACATCACAAAACAGACCATTTCTGAGAGAGAAATTAGAGGCAATATCATGAAAAAGAGTAGAAGATTCCTCAAAACTTACCTAAAACCGTATTTTTCATTCGCTAAAAGAATTGAATGTAACGTTTGAGGAAGAATAAATCATCAGGATGATCATCTAGACTGGGTCATGTTGTGTAAAGCCGCCAAAAAATTCTGTTTGCCCTCTGAAGACATTGAAAACACACACTCATAAAAATCTATAAATAAATCAAACCGAATCAACATTAATTCTAGCAGAATTTTATATCTAAATTCCGAGAAGCCAGAAGAAGAGACTTCCATGGAAAAAAGCACATCCCTGGAGATAATGTATCAATTAATTGAACATTTGACGGGTAATTTCCAAGCCTATATCCGTCACTATGAATAATTCTGGAATGAGATTGAGCGGCGTCTCTTTAAGCATCGACCAATGCTGAATCACTCTTAACGCGATTATATAAGCTCAAGAGTCCCGGAAGAAATCGCGTTTATTCAATTAGCACGTCGTCCAGCGTGTGGAATAGTTTTTGGTATTCGATGCGATGCGTGGGGCAATGAAAATGTATTTGTTAGTAAATTTAAATAAATTGTACTTTATTCCTTCTTGCATTACACTTTGAGGGATATCAATTGAGATGATGTGTGACACAAGGAATCACTTATTATAACAATGTTACAATTCTTTTTTACACGTTCATACAGTGGGTGTTCATATAGAGCCATCAATAGTTAAATGCCATCTAAAATATAATTAATGTACAGTATTCTGCAATCACATTCAACACGGACAGTTGGGGAGCTGGGGAAGAGTGCAAAGATGCGGGGATGAGTTGGGGTTGGGAGCCGAGATTAAATCTAATTATTGCTAACAAGAATGTAATAAGTGGCAAATTGTCACAGTAATTTGCGCTGTGGCGTGTGTAATTGAATAAAACGGGCGACCAGAGTGACCGGGAGGCTGGTTGCGGGGGACGACAGAGTCTCACTTGCCGTCGGGCATTCAGTGACCCCGTGGAGGGATTAAATGGCCATTAGGCGAGCGGAGAGTGTCGCCGAGGAGGCCAATAAAGCCGGCCGGCAGGATGGGGCCTCAGAAGGAGGACGGCGGGCGGGGGTCGAAGGGCGGCGGGGAGTAGGGCCAGTAGGGTGGCGGCGGGAAGAGATGGGTCGACGGCGTCGGCACGCCGGGCTTCACGCCGCCGGACACCTGCGAGTAGACACTGGGGCCCAGCTCCGCAGCGCCACCGTGCATCCCGTACTTGCCATATCCCGCCGCCGTGGCCGCAGAGATCATCCCCGTGGCGTCCGCGCCCTGCGCCTGGGCCTGGCAGGCCGCCATGAGGCCGTGGAAGTCGAATTTGTACGCATACCGCTTGCCGTGCACCTTCGTCATGATGTTCTTGTCGTAATAGTAACTGCAGAAGAAAAGGTATTCCGCGCGTCAACATGATTCACAGAGCATCACTACTCTTCAGCATCTTTCACACGTGACTCATCGGCAATCAATGCCCAGAGGCCGAACAATTTCTTCTCCAGCACGCTTTATATGCGTAAGTGGCTGGAATTCATCTGGACAAACTACATTCCATGCAAAGTCAGAAAAGGGAAGAAGCGAGAGAGAAGCGCGAATTCGTAAGCGGATCTTCATGAATGAAAGCAGCAGTTGGTTCAGTCAGCAAATACCGTATGATCAATATCTGCCCTATAAGGAAAAGACATTCATCTTCATTGCAATGGCATTCGGCCGACGAAGATGATATTGACTCACTCTTCATTCCAATATTTTTGCAGTGATTAAAGATGACTGTATTTCTGGATATTTGCGCTACAGAAAAAGGGATTTTTTTTGCTATCTCTCTGGAAGGTGAAATACTTTTGTTTATAATATAAATGCTATTCAATTTATTTTTTATTTTGAGAAATACCTAAGCTAAGCTTGAAGTTGTGTCTAAAAAAACCGTTTGGTTTATCAAATTTTCTTTAAGACACATGAATATGTACAGTTTCTCCAAATTAAATACAGCCACCTGAGACTCTGAAAAATATTGATATGCCGTGATGTTTCACGTAGTGCTATAGGTCTAAATTTTTCAATAAATCTACCCTTATGAATTACTAATTACTGTGGCGAGTTTGAAGCCATTAGGCCTAGTTCTTAATTTCTTTATGACACTGAAACAGTACCAAAGCAGTAAACAACGCTCCAAATTCAATAAATCCACGTGAGTAAAATTTGAATTCTTGCTACTTAAGTATGTTTTGGATTATTAATGGGGTTTTAATGAGTCCGAGGTGTCTGTAAGATAATTTTCTTAGAAGAAATCAGAGACTTCAGAGGATTGTGGGGAGATTTTTCTGCTGCACAAGAAAGGATATTTAATCAGAGAATTAAGCAAAAGAACCTCCTGTTTAAGAAATAGAATTTAGAACGTCAACTGTAGCTTAATATTAGTAAATTAGTCACAGAGAGTTGAGATGCTCCAAGATTACCAACAAAACTACTTTAAATCATTCTTGTTAAAAGTTTTCAGAGCAGCGGTGCGAAAAAATCTCTCGAAAAATCACATCACGTTTCTCAGTTACACCATTTTCTGACTGAACCACCCGCGAGCGTGGGGAATTTGTGGTAAACCACCAACGATGAAAAGTGCCAAATACTCACCGCAGAGCCCGACTCAGTTTGTCGTAGTTCATGTTGGGCTTAGCCTTGCGTTCGCCCCAGCGTCGCGCCACCTCGTCCGGGTCTGTGAGCTTGAATTCCCCATTCGTTCCCTCCCATGTTATGCAACCGGAATTCGACGAATCAGCGAGGAGCTCCAGAAGAAACTGCCACAATTGGATCTGGCCGGAGCCCTGCGCCACCAATCTATGCGAGGCAGCGTTCAGCAATTGATATGGATCTGCTCGAGAGAGAAAAGATGGCATTCACTTTTTCGATTCTTCTGTGCAACGTCGCACGCCAAATTGTGTGTCAACATTTCACAGTTTTTTTCGCTGCCTTCGGGAACATTTGAATATTTCAGCTGTTCCACTTGAGACGCTTTTCCGAGAAAAACACGTCACTGAGACGAATAAAGCACATTGTCAAAATATGTAATTTATCGCGGTTGGGTATTTTTTCCCCATCTGCATTACATGTAATGTGCGGAATGATGATTAACCCTCTTATTTGGCGAGAGGAAGTGATTACGGTTTAGTGCGTAATGTTTGGTAATTGGCAAAAAAAACACGAAGCAAATCACTTTAGCATGAATCACTTGAGCGCAATTTGGAAGCCACATGTTTTAGGGAAATTTGGTTCTAAAATGAATCTATCAGCTTGGATTTGTCCTACCATTGTAAATCATTGGCATTCCACTTGTTCGCGAGTGATGATGATGATGCTGAACCCGAACGGCGAATCTCCTTGCCACATTAAGATCTTCCGATAGGCGCCACATAACGCCAACATCTAAGCCGACACTACTCATTTCATAATCTCTCCAACACACACAACACTCCTTAATTCCTTGCGAATCAACTCTCGGAAAATAGTCACACCGAATAACTTCACTCGGAGGGAGAAAAATGCGTCTCGTCGATGGCACAGTCCATCGAGAAGTGACACAATAGCGCGGAAAACTGTGCGATTGGAGTGTGAAAAGCCCAGGACGAAGATTGAGAGCAGAGAGAGGACATAAGGTGTGAGATTCAATGGACCAAGTGAAACAATCCTCTCTCTGTAGCCTCACATGAACACATTTGGTGGTGATATTTATTTAGAAGCATCCCCCTGTCCATAATCCATCCCTGAAGCGACGCCCCGTCGTTACATTTCATTTATTTCCATTTCCCGCCTTTTCTGCACAAACACTGCCGCGCTGGTGCGAGCGAGAGTAAACCAGGAAAACCCGTGTCGAGAGATCAAGGGTGGGAAAATGAGTACCCGGGATTAGTGCATTATTAAAGTCATTATCATATTTACACAATAACTCACATTCCACACACAGATTTCATGATGCTCAACAGCCAGCCAGGAAAAATGTCCTTATCACGATAATACTGCGGACGGACTGATAGAAATGCTGAATTAATTAAGAGCAACAGAAGAGTGATATTTCATTCCCACTTCTTTCCTTCCTTCCTTCCTTCCTCAGATCTAATAACTTTTCCTTCCTGAATCTCCACGGCTCTTTTCTCCTCTTCTTTTGCCACTTTTCACACTTGCCATAGAGCTTTATTTCTTTCCAAAGCTCCTCCTTCGTCAACACCCAACAGAGCCGCATTGGACATTTATTTCGTTCTGTTTTTATAAGATTTCATCGAAGAACTAGTGATTCTAGGGACATCATTATGTACAGTCGGTAAATTATTGAATTTATCGACACAAAATTCGTACAATTTCCTCTTTTTAATACAATTTTAGGAAGGAAATAGGACTGATGTGGACTAATTAGTCCTCAGATTGTTGATTTTAACTATTTTTCCCTTGAAATTGTGTAAAAACTTGATTTAAATGAATTGTCGATAACTTTAAAGCTATATTTGCTATGCTTATTTGTTCTTTAATATTTGATTTTGAAATTTCAGAATTTTCAACTGAATTTCAGACAAACTCTGGTTTATTGGAGGTTTTTATGATTTTCGTGATCAATGAAACTTAGAAGAGTTTTCTTCGCTGCACAGTGGCAGAAAGTTCGGTCCTGACACTCCTCCGGCTCTTCATTTCACAAACTTCCCGCTGTGAGGCACGGAAAAAGGATATTCCCATTTCGATGGCATTTGAAAGTGTTTGGCATTATATGGTAATAATATTGTTATGAGTGTATTGCCACTCTTGCCAGGCATTCAGTGACATGGATCAAGGAGACAAGTCACGAAGTCAAGTGGAGCGCACACGTATTTATTCCAGCAGACATTCCCCTCTGCTCCTCCCGGGTCAATTTTGATTCATTTCGCGAGGGTGCGCCTCGGGGATTTACTCGGACGCCCACAGCAGGATGTCCCACAAATTCCCAACCGCCACCCTATCAATTTCCATATTATTCAATTTGGGAGACAATTCTCCGTGGAAGGTGGATTTCCTCGCCCGGAATGCGCAGGGGTGGCGGGCGATAGGAAGGACATCCTGGGTGGTTCTTCCTCCTAATTAATTTATTGGCCACTCTAGAAGACGTACCGTCGGAATCTCTGGCAATTGCCTTCCTATCCCCAGGAGCTCAGATTAGATAATCCCGCGCCATCAGTTGGGAAATTTATGCCGAAGGAAAGACATACCTTCATTTGAAAGTCAAAGTCAAACTATATAGTTGGTTATCGATAAATTACACTTTCCAAACAACATAAATTACACCGTCGGAAAAGTCACACACACACGCGCGCTCGCTGAAGGCAATTGAAAAGGGTCAAAACAATCTAATGTGGGTGATTTAGGAAATCGACAGCCTCATTGTTCCCACCCTCGGAATCCCATCGAAGGTCAAATGCGAGCCAAATGACCATTTAAGCCCCTTCTCGTATTGATTTAATGAACTGCAATCGCTGATCTATCTCTTCCTCTGCCCGACTCTTGTGGCTCGCCTGATCCCAGACAAAAGGAGAAATTGAGTTGAAACGGAAACGGATTTCTTACACTTTCTCTCTCTCTCTCTTCTTCGCATTCCACCCTCCCGGAATCTCATGATTATGTAATTCGGGTGTGAAACGTCGAGGCGATTTATCAAGATTACCAAACATTGGATGGTGAATCTCCCATTGAGAGGTGCTAAAAGACGAAGCAATTTTGTTATACATTGATTAACAGAATTTAGTGTGTTTCACGTTGGATTCTGTATTCAATTGAACTTGTTACAACATTAAAGAAAGTTGTTTGGAAAAAACAGCCCTCGTCACTTTTCCAATTTAACCGATTTAATCCAATTAATAGTTATTATTTAGATTTCTTGTTGCAGTTTTAAGCGCGGCTCAAAAACAGTGTGACTTTGTATACAAATATATGGGAAGTATTAAGAAGAAGAACGAGTATTAAATTAGCATTATTCGATCAAGCGACGGCTTTTGATATAACTATAAAGACATCGTTTGCATTACTAAAAAGTCTCGCATTTCTAAGAAAATGAAGAGAGTAAAAAACAAAAACAGCAAGTTCACCCACTTGAAGTCTCGCCATTGTGAAAACTTTTCGGGAAAAGTGGCAAAAATTCCGTGGAAATGCTTGGCAAAAGCGCGCTGTTTGCATAGAGAACAATTTGAGTGATCGACTCATAGCGAGGCCTTGGCTGAGTTCAAGTGATTCATACCCTTAACATATGTTCCATGATCGCTCACCTGGATCTTCGTCGCTGAGAAGAGGACTCTGAGATCTTCCTGTTGCGCTGTGGATCAGGTGAGCGATGTGCTTGGCGAGGAGATTTCCTCCGAGCTTCGAGCCTGCGCAGACCCAGAAGTCCGCCCTCGAGAGGCTCACCAGCTCCTGTCCGGTCGTGGGAAATCGTGATGGCTGAGGCGGTGGATCGATCTGGAACTCCCTCGTCGTCCACTCCAGCCAGGATTCAATGTGCTGAGCATTCCACTCGGCGGGATCTTAAAGAAGAGTTAATCCTATATACAGAAGACGCCTTGCCAATGAAGAACCATCAATGCAATTGCTGTACCTCCAGGAACGAGAATGGGATTCCTTGTGGCGTCATCGTCCTGCTCCTTGGATTCACTCACACTTTCTGGACACTCTGTTTCAGTGTCATTTTGCATTGTTCCACAATATTTTGCCACCAATTGATAATCCAGAGGCGTTTGGCGCCATTCTACGCTTTTTCTCCGCGGCACAAGAGTACAAAAGCTTCATAGAAATCACCTCATAACTACCGTGAGAACTCAGAGCGCTTCATCATCGACTTCCGGTGCCCCGGTGGCGAAGGTGAGAGAGATTAGATTTTTGGCTGTGTCGGCTGAAGATCGCGAAGAAACTGAGTGATCAATTGAGACGCGGAAAGCGTTTCAATTCGGCTTCAATATTAGAAAGCCCGTCTTAGGCGCTCCGCGTTCCTGACTCTTCTTGACTCTGGCTTGAGAGGGATATGGAAGGGGTTTTCCCAGTAATTCAGCTCGCATCTCTCTTTCCAACCTTCCTGCTTCGGTCTCTTCGCTCTCTTTCACATCAATATTCCACCACTTCGGCGATCACGGCTGCAAATCGCGATCGCGAATGAATCACCTTGTCGCGGGTTCTGGCGCTGAACAGCTCAAGAGGGCGATTCTGTCTCATCGCGATCGCTGCAGATGAAACATTACAAGAAGTCCACAGATTACTCACAGCTTCCGGATGGAAGAAAGCTCCAAGTGTATCTGGATTAATCACAGTTCGTCTATTGATCAATTTTCTCTGGTTGCTCTTAGCAGAGAGGGATGTTAGTCATTGGAAAAAGCGCGCAAAAACTCACCCATTCTTTTGCCAATTTATCTTTTTGATCCGTGATACGTGAGGTGAATATTTAGTGGTCAATCAATGGATGAAGAAATTGCAAGACACAATGCAGACAGAATTACTTGCGAATAGGAAAAAAAACCAGATGCTCTCAATGAAATCATTTTGAGTAATACATTTCTGGGAAATCTACTCATTCATGCCGTGACTCACATAACCTAGCGCCAAAGATGCCTTACTATTGCCAAATCTTGCACCCAGAGAAGAATTTTCTTGAGAAACTTCACCATCACTCGATAGAGAAACACTTGAACTACACTTTAGACACAGTTATCAGGTAAACGATGTAGATTTGCACTAAAAACCAGCCATGAAAACCGGAGCGAAACGTTGCTCCGTGTCCGCGTTGAAAACTCACAGCATTTTTTATCCAAGAAGCTGTGAATCACGGAATTCGCGCGCAGAATCGGGCAAAAGGCGGAAAATTCAATAGTTAAGTATCTTTATTTTCAAATGATGAGATTCTCTCTAGACAATTTTGGGGACTTTATAGTGATAATGAGCCTTAAAACCTATTACAATGATAGAAGCAAAATCATTTTGTGTGTCTTAAATAAATCACTTGACAATTTTCTGCATTTGGATTTTTCACTTTTCTCACTACGCGAATACTTTTGCAAAATCATTCAAAATTCCTCTCTTCGCAGAGATTCATGAAGACTTTCTCTATAAAACTTTTACCTTTTTACTGGAGAGCATTTCAAATGTGTGCGCTCAGCAAAGGAATTTTTATCCTGAGGAGAATTACTTGGCAGTGACAACACCAACAGCAACTCCAGCCGCGAAGGCACACAGGAAGATGTGAAAATCATTGAATTTGCAGCCATTCTCGTCCCCAATAAAAGTTGTGTACCATTTTCGGGCCTTCTTCTCCTGCTTCTTCAAGAGACCTTCCGCCTGATCGAGCTTGCGATCGAGATATCTCTCAGCCTGCAGAGAAAAGAAATGCCATGTTAGGGAAGATTAAAGAATCCATGTTTGGTGGCCAAGAAAATATTTCATTTCTGGAGAACAAATAAGTGAACAATTGGCGTCCCGAAGGAAATAAACTTTCTGCTTCACCAAAAAATACACCGACAAAGAATAAAGAAAACCTAATTTCTCGAAACAGAAAGTTTATTTCACAATCATTAAATTATTATGCCAAAAAACATAAATTCGAAAAGACATCCTATCTATTGGTTAGAAGCATTAGAACCCAAGTCCAATGAGAAAACCACCGATAAAGCCAATTGCGGCGTATTTCTGGGTTCGGTAGACTTCTGCTGCCTATAATTGAGGACATTCAGGGATGAGACTCTGCGCTGGAGAGAATTGGTCAATGGACACCGAGCGATACTCACCTTGTCCACCCATCTGGGCCCCTCGCCAGTGACTGCTTCCTCCACCTTGTCCGCGATCTTGTCCATCTTGGAGTTCACCTTGCCCCAGTTCACCTTAATGTATCCCTGCTCGTTGGCGATCTGCAGCAGGATTATGCTTCCGCCCACCGCCACAGCCACCAATCTGCCCACGCGCACGGTGACGAAGCCCGTGAGCCTGAAACGAGGGTCATGTGATGAGCACAGAGACGCTAATTGGAGACGCTTCGCGACTTGTCTCACCATCCGGAAGCGGCTCCGAGGGCGATTTGCTTCGTCGCCGAGCCCTTGGAGATTTCGCCGAAGAAACGCTCAATTGCTCCACTGTCCTTCCCAGACATTTTCGTTATGTTGGCCAAGTTCTTGTTGTGTTTGGGATTGTTCATTCGAATGCAGCCTCTGGAATGACAAGAACGAGATAAACTTTCCTTCATCAACCACACCTCAAATCTCCTTCGCTCTGTCTCGAGGTCACAAATAAAGTCCACTGAGTTAATCCTCTAATAAGATTTATAAACAAAAACCCACGATTATGCAATAGAGATGGTTTTTGGTGAATTTATTATGCGCTTCACGACAAAAGTCAGAAAATAATTTTGATAATCTTGCAACTGGACTTTTCTTCCATTATTACACAAAGTCCAGTGTTGCAAAATAAGAAAATGCTATTGCACAATCGAGAGGGATGACTGAGGAAGTGCTCACGGGTATTTTTAATCAAAGAGATATGAGAAATAAAGAAAAATTTACCAAAATATATAGGGAGATATTTCGCTACCTTCCAATTTATTGCGTCTCGCTGTCACTTTGCAGCTGACGGTAAGATTAGGGTCATCTTCGGAAGCTTTTCATACATTTCACAGAAACATTGCGAGCCTCAATTGAAAATGAGAAAGCCTGCAGCATTGAAGTCCTCGCGAAAAACCTATAAAAGTGTTAAAATAATTGGCTGTATAGTAAAAATCAATAATTTTTGATAAAATTCATAGGAGTGTCTGAAAGTTTCAAATGTTTCCAACCCTCTTTGATATCCCGGATAAAACAGGGTGCGTAATAAATTTCTATCCAAAGTTTCATAAATTTGAATTTCACCAATTTCACCTAGAAACGCATCACGACTTAAACTTATCAATTCCACGACTGATAAGAAAACCACAGAATTCTCTTCAGTAGCCGTTCAGCATTTCACAATGCCGGTCGTTTGTGAGCCATTTGCGGAGAAAGAACTAATCAGCAGAGTGAAATATGCAGGAATTGATGAGTTTGTCTACGTGAAAAATCCATCCAAAGACTTCAAAGAAGAATCATACTTTTTGCCAGCACTTTACGCCAATTCCGCCGAGAAGATTTCCAACTTTAGGGTTCGTTCGGATGATGTGTGGGTGGCGACTTTCCCCAAATGCGGGACAACGTGGTCATTAGAGATGATCTGGATGCTCTGCAATGGACTAGACTACGAGACATCCAGAAATGTTGATCAGAATGCAAGATTTCCTTTCCTAGAGTGAGTTGAACATGCGGCAAATCTTGCCAAAAAGCACTCTGATAAGGTTTATCTTTCAGAGTACACAACATTTTATCTAGAGAGCTGAATCTTCCTGACGGTGCGGAGATTCTCGAGAAGACAGAATCGCCGCGATTCATTAAGACTCACTTGCCGGCTCCTTTGCTGCCCAAAGAGATCTGGACCGTCCGCCCTAAACTTGTCTATGTCGCGAGAAATGTAAAAGACGCCGCGATATCATTTTATCATCACTATCGCAACATCTTTCACTACACAGGCAGTCTTGAGGACTTTCTGGAAAATTTTATGAACGATAAAGTCGTTTACGCACCGTATCACAGTCATATTAGTGAATATTGGCAAAGGAGAAATGAGGAAAACATTCTGTTCCTAACTTATGAGGATATGAAGAAAGATCATCCGCGTGTTATTGAAAAAACCGCAAAATTCTTTGGGAAATCGTATACAAAAGAACAAATTCTCGAATTGGCAAATTATCTCGACTTTTCCAATTTCTCCAGTCAGTATAAATTTGCATTTTTTGAGCACATTTCTTTGCTATTAACATAATTTAATTAAAATCTGTCTCTCTAGAAAATTACTCAGTAAACCATGAAGAAGGAGTTGAGAGGATTCAACGGACACTTCAATTGAAGAAGCCTGATGATGACTATCGATTTATTCGGAGAGGTGAAGTTGGATCTCATCGTGATGAAATGCCAAAAGACATGATTGAGAAGTTCAACGAATGGACAGAAAGAAAAATCGAAAAGGCTCAATTAGGACCTGAAATTCGCACTATTTTCAATAGATCGTAATTTTTCCCTCAGTGATTGAACGCATGAATTTACGATTTGGGAATAGTATCGATTTTGTCACACATATTTGGCAAATGTAACAAATAAAAGAAATGCATGGAATTCCTCAGCAAACAAGTTTTATTGTCCTTTTATCCGGATTATAGCGTGTAACTGAATGTCTCCTTCTTCTGACACCTCAAGGAGAAGTTCTTTTTTTCGCCCCCAGATTAAGACAAAATCATTTGGCAGTGACTAAATTGCCGATTTCGTGCATGCAATTTGACTTTATCAACTCAGTCAAATCTAAAACAAACTTCGTTTTTTCTCCCAAATTCCAATTCTATGCATTTGTATAATGAAGGGAAAAAGTTGTAATTCCACTCTTAATAAAAATGAATTGAGAACATTGTTGAGTGGGTCACGATTGGAGTGAGTTTTTCCCGCCCCAGGAGATTGAATTGCATCGTTTCCTTGAACTACAAAGCGAAGGAATTTTCACAAAATCACAAATTTAATGCGGAACAAATCAATAAACATCCCCTTTTCAAAGCCACAATCGGTGGGTAGCGAAAAAAAACCGCCAAGTAGACAAAATGTAAATTTATGTCATCGACATGTGGCAATAAAAGAAAACGCGAGTTTTTTTTTGTGTTGTGCCGCCTTCAAGGATGAGGAAAAATGTGAAAAGGGTTGAATTGCTGAAATGTTTGCACGGGAAATCAGTTGCTGCCGCGAATTCCAACCGTCAATACCTATTTGTTCGGTGCCTCTGCCGAGAGCAAGGATATGACGAAGAGCTTTGAGTCCTGGACGCGAGCATCGAGGCGAAAATCGTCCTTCTGTCACGCTGTCACGTTCGATGTGCGGAATCAGGAAAGTCGGGTGGATTCCAGAGATGGTCTCAAGTCACTGGGTGGCAATGAGGAGCACGAAGTGTACGGAGAGAGACTTCCGGAGCCTATTTTGGGGAAGAATTTCCGCCTTCCACCGCGAGCCAGGCCTCAGCTGAAGCCCTTGATGGACACTTCGCTCTCCTACGTGAGTTGTCTCGGTTGCAAATGATTGAAATCACTGTATTTAATCCTCTTCTCGTCCAGATTCCTGTCTATATTCACCTGCGCATCCACCCAACGGTGGAGATTGAGCGCCCCAAGATGCCCGAATTGCTCCTCAGGGCCAAACATAGGCGCTGCATGAGGGACTTTGTCACCAAATAGCGATCAATCAATGTAACATGTTGTGAGTTATTTAATGTGCACATGCAGAATCAACGTAACACTTCATTCTTCCTCATTTGGATTAACGTACAAGAGCACCATTGCAGAGATACACATACCATTTAGTGGTTCTCAATCATTCCATTCTCGCGAATCGTCATGCAAGCGTCGAACAGCTCACCGGCAATTCGCAGCTCTCTGGAGTCCTTCTGGGACAGGCAATTGAACACTTTCGTGCAAAGCTCTACAAGTCTGTCGAATGATATATCCTCAACATTCTGACGAATCTGTGGCCACGTGTGCTTGATATACTGTGAAAAGAGTTAATAAAATTACAAATTGTTATAGTTAAATTGACTCACAATTAAATTCTCACCAATGAATCCAGATAGTCAGCAAGTTGAGTCCCATAAGTGCCTTGTTTATTGATCGGCAACACTTTGGGGAACAGAATCATGCGTCTTCCGGCGATCTCAAGCAACAATATTCCCAGATCCTGAGTGTCTGTCACATCCTCGAGCAGCTGCTCAGCATAATTGTCCCATCCATGAGCGTACAACTCAACAATCTGATGCTTCTTCAGCTTGTTTCTGTCCACTTGCCACTTGCTGGCCAAGTTCTCCGCCTTCATCACCCACAAAATGTGATCCACAAGGTAAGTTTCTCTCGCGTCCACACGGATGAGATCAATAGAGGCTGTGACAATACGACAGAGGAACTCAAATCGTGTCTCGCGCTGAATGGGATTCGTCGGTGGCAGAGGATCGGACAGTTGTCGTGTGATTTCCGTGAAGAAGGCCTGATTGCACATGGCATCGAAGAGAGTCTGGATGGGTTTGTGGTATTTGATGTTGAAGAAGGCTATCAAGTGCATCACTTCGTTCAGTTCCCGGTGGAGTGCGAGAAGGACAGGATTGCCGGTGTTCTGCTGCAATGCTAGGAGGGTTAGAGGTATGGGTCCCTCCTGCAACAGTTCCTCATACTTCAAATCCACCTTGTCATTCTCCAGACTCTCGGCAAAGTGATCGAGAAATGTCGAGCAGTGCTCGAGGAATTCCGGCACAATCGCATCAGACATGCCAATGTCCTGAAGACAGAGTTTCTCTTTGGGCAGCCTTCCTGCCTTATTCATCAGCTTCTTCGTCGCTTCCAGTGGTATTTTCAAGTGAGCATTCCAAATCATGCAGCACAGTCCATGTTTTATCGCCCAATCTCTCTTCGGGATGCACTTGAGACACTCCAGTCCGGCCACCAGATAATTCAGGGCAACAAGATTCTTACTCCAGAAGCACAAGTACTCCCAAGCCATTTGCCCAAGCAAGACAGACGCTTGCAGGCTGAAGGGGAAGTGCTCTCGAAGAGTGGCCAGGTGAGTTAAAACAGGTTCCTTAGGCTCTGATCTATCCATTGGCTTCTCAGACTTCTCCAACAGATCTTCACACTTCGGCGTTTGTTTGCTGTAGAATGTCTTCTTGGAGCTTTCACCCTTTTCTTCTTCCTCCAGCAGAAGCTTCACATCAATCCCAGAAGCTGTTATCCACTTCGCCACCAACTCAGCAATGATTCCTTTGCCACCGTTGACGATCATCTTAAGGCTGATGTGGGGATTCTCGTACTTCACCAGCGGCAAGACAGCATTCTCACACTTCAGCGGTGCTCTAAGAATGGTGCCCAAGATGGATATGTCATCTAACTTGCCAATAAGCAGTGTCCACTGGCAAGTCTCCTGAGAAACTTGCTCCCAATGATTCTCCTCATCCGAAGGACTGTCTTTGTTCATCTGCAAAGCGATGTTCCGACAGATAATAGCCGCCAGAAGTCCTCTCATCGCATTGGGACTCTCAAGGAGAATTTCCCGGATATTTTGCCACCAAACACAGAGAGAATTGTACTGGTAATTGACTCTATCACCCGCCAGCGCACACAACTGCCTCGTGATACTAGAGAATCTGGTCAGATCTTCAAACAGCTCATCACTACGCGTGTACTTGAAGTCTTTGTGAAGCCAAAAAGCCAGAAGAAGTCTCATGAAGTCATCAGAAACCACCGAACTCTTCTCAGCCACTTCGGCAAAGTGCTTCAAAGTCATTCCTCTGTCCAAGAAGCTTGAGAAAATCGCTTCGCCAGCTTCGTGGAAATTATCCTCTTTCTCAGTGTTAATTGACACTCCATCCGGCGAGGAAACAGAGAAGATCAACAGGAAGTCAATGAAGGAATTCTTTGTCATGTCCTTATCACTGAATTTCACTCTTGGCGTGGACAATTCGCAATTGCTACTGATTGTGGCGAGATCCAAGAGCTTTTGAATTGTATCCAACTCTGAAGCACTGAGAGAAATCTTCTCAGGCTCATCTTTGGCCTCTTCGTCGTCCTGTTCTGTGTCGACACCATCAGGATTGCTCAGATACTCATAAAAGTCCAGCAGTTTCTGATAATTCTGACACATTGTCATCAAATGGTGATTACTGCCCTTCGCTTCCTCCTCTTCGGCTTCGTGAGGCTTCAAGAAAGCCGTGACAGCCAATTGAAGGATGGCAGGTGATAATTTCTTACAGCCGATCATCATATCCAGACACTGCAGCTGAAACTCCACCGTTTGAATGGTGTGGCAAATGGTGGAAATCTCAGTGAGGAACTGATCACTCTTGTCTCTCGATCGCAGTGTCGCTTTCAGCCTCTTCAGCAAATGCAGATCCTTGGCAGTCTTGGAGTTTGCGTCCGTGAGTGCGCAGTGAAAGGGAATGGTGATCTCCTTAAGCGAGTGATCGAGTGGATCCAGGAAAAGACACGTTTGGCTGGTGTATTTGGGTCTGGCGCCAGTTGTGAAGCCCATCAAGCCGTGTGGAGAGTACAGCAATTGGCTGTGCTTCGATGCCACAAATGCCGCCACTTTGGGGCCCTTCTGCAGTGGCCAGATCTCCAGAACTCCTCTCCTGGGTGCCAAGATAACCAGGAAGATTGCTCGACGCGGTTTCACTGGATTCAGAGCTGTACTCTTGGGCACTTTCTCCACCACTTCGATGAAACTGCACTGAGCATCTCGGTAGCCCTTGAAGATCCTCACAGCCAAGCCTCTGCGGCAGTCAATGATCACAATTCTGCCCAGAGCATCGGCCACCGCGGCCAATTGATTTCCCGGCGCCAGCCAAACTGCAGACGCGCTTCGTTGGATATCACAGAGTCCGAAGCGGCAGAACATGGACTCTGCGGGGACGGGAGGGGGCGTCTGACTCTCAGCCACGCTGGGCTGCTTCCCAGTCAGCCATCCAGGGAGGGCGGATTTGATCTTGCTCGCCACGGCGCGCGCCACATCCGCCAACACGGGCTGCACGAAGCCCTCCTTGGCGTAGTGGAAGCCAACGTAGGGCTTCGTTCCAGTGGCCAGAACCAGGGAATTCTGCGCCGGAGTACTTCTGTACTTGGCATAGAAACCACTCTCCAGACTCGTGTTCAGCAGATGATCAAAGGCACATGTCATTTGACTGCCCACGACCACTGAATCGTTTATGGCGGTGGATTTGCCGCCATAGCCCCACTTCCTGTACGGAATGGTCTCCAGAAGCTGATCGGAGGAATTGGTGTGGTTCTTGAAGTGCTGCTGTCGCAGAGTTCGCAGGATCTGGAACAGGTGGACGCCCTGGACGATGCAGACGCACGAAGTGTAGGAAATGTGGATCTCCTCGTTGGATCTCTTCCCGCTCTGCGCCTTGATGGACTGAATGGGTTCCGTGTGGAATTGCTGCGTGTACAACAAAGCGCCAAAATCCAGGTAGAACTGAACAAATCCCGATGACAAACCCACGCAAATCAGTGTCCAGTCAGCTGAACTCTGCGAGGATGTGCTCAACGCCATAACTGGGAGGCAAAGGACAGACGTAACAATGTCATTCGGATCCTCCAGATCGCCTGTCCAGCAAATCGAGAAGGCGTTCTGGCCCAAATCGCTGTCCCATCGCGAGGACAGGAAGATGAGCTTCGCTCCGTGGCCGAACACCATTATCTCGCCGGTGGGAGAGAAGGAGAAGTGCACAGCATTGAGCCAAGATTCCTCTGCAATGTGCAGAACAGTGTGAAAAGCAAGTGGAATTGGGGGAAAACAATGGAAATACCTGAACGGAAGCCCAGCAATTCCTGCACTTGTTCATAGTCAACAATTCTCGCCAGAGGCTTTAAATCACACGACATTCTGATGCCTTGGTCACAATTACACACAATGCATTAGTAAAATAAGGATTAAATAAGAGAATTTTCAAGGAGTTTAAGAATTTCCACGGAAACAGAAAATTATTGTTGACAATATTGACAGTCATCTGTTCACTCGACGCCCTGTAGCAAACTTCCCAATTTGTCTGAAGACTTTCCATTGAAAACAGCACTAAATCTGTTGAATTTACAAAAAAGAAATTGATTAAAAATCAACATTAACATGAAATACCTAAAATTCATTGAATTCTGTATGTATATCCTGATTTTTTTCGATTATTTAATTTCATTGTAGGCAAAACCACAGGAATATGTCGGATTTGTCTGGTGACGCTCGCGGAGGCGCGAAGCGATCGTTGCGCTCGTGGATAAAACAGAAAGTTACTGAGCGCGAACAATTCCCGCCAACAATTGCCATGTGATTCTATATCATTATCAATTTAATGCCTCTATTTGTGGTGTAATCAAATAGTGTAAAGTTCAATACGAACAAATAAGTAATAACACTGAACCTGTATTATTATAAAACAATTCCCTCACTTTTTCATTTCTCAGTATTTGAGTGAGAACTTGGAAAGCGGGAAAAACGGTTTGCGTGTGTGCGACCAGACGGAATCTAGTGTGAGCATAATTGATAAGTGCATGTGATATTCATTTGTGTAGATGGACAATAAAGTGAGAATTGAATTGCGTTCCGCCAGCGGCAAAGCGACAATATTCAGTTCTCGTCTGGATTTAAACAGTTTCACACGATAAAATTCTCGTCTCTCGTGGTCATTTCTCAAGTGCAAGTGTGACATTTTTTTCCTTATCTGATAGTCAATTCGGCAAAGTACTTCGCAGGATATTTGCTGACTCCTTTGCACAATAGATTCTCAGTAATAATGACTGACAATCGAAAGTAAGTACTTTTTTCTAATTGCATCTATCTGGCAAGTCATGAGGAAACTGGGCGAAGGTTATCACGCGAAAGGTCGAAAGGCGTCGCGGAGTTGAAATTTTCGAGGGGGCGATAGAGAATGTGTGCTGTGAAGAGCTTGTATTCTGGCAATTTAGAGGAGAAATGGGCAAATCCGCTGAGTTATTGCATTAGTCATGTTGTCAGGTGTACAGAGTAGAATGTGTGCACCTTAACAGACAACATGCTTATTGCAGCAGAGTCGTCCGAAGACCTCGACCAGCAACTTTTTCAAGGCTCGTCACTTGATCTCCCGGTGATATGTTTCTAATTGTGGGCTTTGGTATTTCCTCGTGCAATTGAACTTGGCTTTTCAATATGCAATGCTTTTCGGGATGAGCGAATATTTTCCTCTCGCGCGCAAATACAATTTAAAATGAAATTGTTCTCCACTCCGGATGGAGAAATAAAATCTCTTTTGGCATGAGATGAGATTTCCTAATGACTTTCTCACTTCTCAGTTCGCGGCCAAGGAGAGAGAGAGAGAGAGAGGTTAATGCATGGCAATATTTTAATGATGTGCAAATGGGATGGGAGTTTAAGAGTTCGCCCAACATAAAAATGCAGTAAAACGCGAGAACTCCGGGACACTTAAAGGCTCCAGCGTGTCTTTCATCCGTCATTTGTGATGGTTCTGACCACTTTTGCTCTTCTTTTGCAGTGCATCACAGAATCCAGCGCTGAGGCTGTACTCCGTGTTCACCTTAATTGCCGACATCATCGGCTTGCTGCTGAAATTTACACTGGAAGTTATTTATTCCTTTATGAAGTTATTTGTCAAGACGGAACTCAAGGATGTGAGCGGAGAGGTGGTTCTGGTGAGTGATTGAATTAGGGGCTCTTTTGTCTTCTCGGCGAGTCTCTAATGAATTTGCGACTGCACAGATTACAGGTGCTGGACATGGAATTGGACGGGAACTCGCCATTCAGTACACAGGTGAGTCACGCCAGTCCCACCGCGAATCCTTGACATTCCTTTCTCTCCGTGTCTCTTGGCAGATCTGGGATGCGAGGTTGTCTGTTTGGACATCAACGAGGCGGGCAATGCCGAAACTGTGGAGATGGCAAATGCTCTGCGACAGGGACGCGCTTATGCCTTCACGTGTGACGTGACGGATCGCGATCAGGTGCTGGCGGTGGCCAACAGAATCCGCGTCCAGGTTGGACATGTGTCGGTGATTGTGAACAATGCCGGTATCATGCCGTCGCGGCCGCTGTGGGAGCAGCAGCATCAGGAGATTCGGAAGGTGTTTGACGTTAATGTGATGGCACACTTCTGGATCTTCGAGGCCTTCTTGCCGCACATGATCGAGAAGAATCGCGGCCACTTGGTGTCAATCTCATCTGTGGTGGGACTCATAGGTGCGGCCAATTTAGTGCCGTACTGTGCCTCCAAGTTCGCAGTTCGCGGAATGATGGAGGCCCTCTTTGAAGAGCTGCGCGAGCACAAAATCCCGGTAAGACTTCTTCATTCACATCAACAGCACAAGACTTGGGGATTTATGAACAATTTCTCAACATTCTCTGCCTAATTCATAGCCAAGGCAGAATTCCACACAGGTGCTTCTAATAGCCCTCTTGTGTTGGGAAGGCGACCCTCAATGCTGCAACTGCCCAAATTACCCACGAAAGAGCTTCAATCACAATATTGGATAAACAAAGTTGTACACTTCTTTATCCTTTTTTACTCCATTGTGTGGCGATCATAAGTTACATTTACTTTATTTCCCCTCGACTGAACACGCTTTTACGAATGCCATTATATTGGGAGCTTCAAAATGCACTTCTCCAATCGGCTTTCTTCTCCTCAAACGGCGCACATTTCTTCACATGAGAGTTTGGCAAAAGCATTTTCGATAACAAATTGAGCAATAACACTGGCACAATGGCGCTGTCTGATGAGTTTAATGTCTCTCTCCTTCTTGCAGATCAAATTGACCATAGTGTATCCCTACATGGTGGACACGGGCCTGTGCAAGAGCCCCAAGATGCGCTTTCCCAAGGCCATGGCTCTGCTGACACCAAAAGCCGCCGCCGCATCGATTATCGAGGCCCACCGACAAGGGCTGCTCGAGGCAACAATACCGCGCTACATCGGCTATCTCAATAGATTCTTCCGCAACTATCCAGTCAACTGTCAGCTTATGGTGAAAGATTTTTTCGACAGCGGAGTGGGCACATCGGATCTACAGTGATTTACTTATTGAAAATGTGCCATCGTCTTCTTCGCCTTCCCTCCAAATAAATGGACACACACAGCTCAACGGCAACACAACAGCAAAAAGGCTCTGGGGTTGTTTCTTTTTCCCATATATATATTCCCAAATTCCACCTCAGCCCATGAGATAAACCTCCAAATGAGCGGAGGAGGGAGAAAAAAATTTCGACAACATGTGAATATGAGAATCCTCGAGAAGATGGATATGAAAAACAGTGATTTGTATTCATCAGAGAAAAATTTTAAATGTCTGCATATTCTTTTAATTGTAATTTGTGCGCTCAACTTAATCTTGATATATAAATATAAGACTTTTCTCTATCTCATTCTCTCCTCGTGTGCCTCTTGAGCGAGTTGGAATCCGCCTAGATTAGGCATAAAAGGCTGTGCTGAGAAATACCAAAATGAGTCATGGAATAATTTGTAGTTAAATTAAATATATTTATCGAAACATGGAGGGCTCTTGAACATCCGAAATTGCGAGAGATTTTTCACGGCGTTTGTGACTTTCATTAAATGGAGAGATTACGAAAATAATTTCTTTTGCACTTAATGTTTAAAAGCGCTCCGTCTTTCTCTCTGTGAAATTTCATTAGAATTCATATAAATTAACCCACTGATCACGATATTTAACCTTTGTCACTGACAATTCTCCCTCAAGAAGTGTGCATAATTGTGTGGATAAAAAGAAGAGAGGAATCTTAATATTCTCTTCATATACAATAACACACGATTTATATCCGTCCAGATTGAAACTACAAAAAATACCCGCCGTCGCCTCTCAACTCTGGCCAACACATGGCGCGCTTGGCTTTGTTTGTTAATGTTATGTTGTTATAATAATTATTAATTACAAGTATTAATACACATAATAGTCATAAATTATTCATGGACCGCACTGAACTCAATCGACAATCCGTGGATTTCTTGGTGAGGTGCCTGATGGATTGTGAAGTGGCGCGAAGTATGTGCATTTTGCGTGTGAATGAGCGAGAGACCCTCTGAATTAGAGTGTCGAGACAAGAGAAATGAGTGGTGTTTGGTTGATTTCTTCAAAATATAATTTATTTGGACTATAGACGCGAAGGAGCAAAAGAAAAAAATATACAATGTATAGGAGATTATTCGAATTACAATATATATTAATTGATATTGGTTGTTAAATCATATACATCAAGGAATTCTTCTCAAAGAGTCGTACTATAATTAATATTAACATCTTATGCACACAAACACACACTGAATCTAGTTGCCTATCTTATGTGGTGCCACGACTACCAGGAGTAGAATTGCTGCATGCCGAAGTTCTTGCCGATCTGCGAGGCGGAGTTGTGGGAAGAGTAGCCGGTGAGGTTCTGCTGGTGCATGAAGGGCGCTTGGTTGTGGTGCAGCGACAGTCCGCTGAAGTTGTGGTACAGCGGACTGCGGGTGCCGGGCACCCCGTGGTGGTCTGTGGGGGACAAGGGGGGCCTGGTGGCGGTGGGGCCAGCGGGATTCCATGGCGAGTACAGGGAATGCTGGCTGAGCTGCGACAGCGACGTTGTGGCTCCCTCAATTGCCACTTCCGATGCCGTTGCGGGTTCGTTGCTGTTGCTATTCCCAGAGTTCGGGCCTATCATCGTCACGAGGCTGTTTGGCGTGGGTGGCAGATTCACCGACGTGGGGAAGTGACTGGCGGCAGTTGGGCTGTTGTTCCCTCCGGCCGTTGACGATGTGCTCGCGGTGGAGCCGTTGAGGGCGTGTGACTCGGACGGGGTGTAGGTCGAGCCGGAGTTGATGCTGGAGCTGTTCACTGACGAAATGGCCAGCGAAGGTGAGGAGTGCAGGGCGTAGCTCGGAGTGGGATTGTGTATTTGATGCAAGTGCGCCGGATGGGTCAAAGCCGAAGACGCTGGTGTGCTTGAACCGTGACCCGGAACAGGATGCAAATGCGAGGAGTAGAAGTCATGCACTGAAAAGAGTCGCAACCAAAATACATAACAATAAATTTTATGCACGAAATGTCGAATTAAGGAATTAATTATTCGATTTGTTTACGCCGTAAAATCCATCCGGAATTCAATGAAATTCGCACATAAAGTGAACTGAAATACGCACAATCATTGATTATGCAATTTCCTCAAATAATCGAAATTCAAATTACCATCTATTCTTCTAATCTCTATGAATTCAATGCCTCACTTCTTTCAAGACATTATACGGAAAGATTAACCATTTTCATGATAATTTCCCGCGTGAGGAGTGATCAATCTTATACTGGTGAATTGATTTGAATATATATTGTAAAACTAACCGTCTGACCTCCTCACGATGCGCTTTATATCGTGCCGAAATCAATTAAACGATTAGAGATCAGAGAATCATCCATATCAATTGAGATTATGTCAACAAGACTGGTATTATACTAGTGAATAAATTAGTGTCATAAATTTTATGGAATTTTAATACTTTGCGAGAATTTATGGTGTCATGTCTGAATGCTGAACTTACTCTGTGAGGCCGTTGAAGCGAAACTGGGCGGTTCTGGCAGGGGTTGTGGCATCAAGGGATAGCTGGGAACTGCCGAATTTGCAGAGTAGGGTAGCGAGCTCGCCATGTTGATTGCCGAATAGGGAGGACCTCCTGATGAGCTCGACGAGATTTGCTTCCTGAGCCGCGCTCGGCGATTGCTGAACCACACTTGGATGCGCGCCTCTGTCAATTTGGTCCTCTGCGCGAGCTCCTCGCGGGTGTAAATGTCCGGATACTGTGTCCTCTCGAACGCCCTCTCCAGCTCATCGAGCTGAATGGCGGTGAAGGTGGTTCTGGAACGTCTCTGCTTCCTCTTGAGAGGAATTCCCGGCTCACTGTCGCAATCCGAGAGCTCTCCATCGGAGGGTTTGAGGGAACCATCGGGACCTGGCGAAGGAAGAGGCATTTTCCTTAATTGATTCGAAATTGGGTTAACACCCAAACATTCATTTGACTCCGTGGTGTTTCAGGGCATCCCATAAAAATGTCATTAATAACCATTACTGCGATGGTGTCGGGAGTTTAGAGTGATTCTAATGACCATCTTCGAGATCATGAGTATGATTTGAGAATCATCCGTGTAATGACAGTGCAGCATTTTGGGGCAATTGCACAAATGAATGGGAGTCTGGGAGCTGTCAATTAGGGTGAACTTACCACTCATGCCCAGGCGCTTGTCATCGTCACCATCGCGGCCGCGGAGGAGTCGCGAGATGGCGGAGATGGACGGCGCCGATGGACGATCACAGATGCCCTCTTTCACGAGGCGATCGCGAATCTCCCAGGAGAAGATGCCGGGATTCTCGCGCTTGTACTCCTCAATTCGCTGCTCCACTTCCGGCGTCGTCACCCGTGGCTTCGATCCGCCAATCACGCCCGGACGAATTGAGCCAGTTTCCTGGGAATAGCACGCAGTCTGAGAATCATTAACATCCTACGAAATGATATCTACACGCGTGATCGAGATTGATGAAGATGAGAGTTTAGAGTGTCTGTTAAATGAATTCCGCCCAAATGGGGCCGGATAGTGGCAAAAGCCCAACTATATCACTTTCAATTTGATGATGATTATCGCCCGGATAATTACAGGTGTGCTCCTCTGCAATTACCACACCAGAGCCTTGTAATTTTCTCACGTGGTAATTTGACGGTGCTTCGCTCCTAATAGGAAAATTACATACTCGAGACCCCATCTCACCTGGTAGCGATTGAGGATCTTGGAGACACAGCCATGGCTGACGCGCAGTTGGCGCGATATTACGCAGGGACGCACGCCGGCGGCGGCCATTTCCACTATTTTCAGCCGGATGTGGTTGGGCAGCGGACGCCCGTTTATGAAGACGCCACCCAGTTGGTTCACACGTCCCTGACCTGTCGACATATCACCTGTGAAAAATTACCAGAAGAATTTTTCTATAAGGATCCCATCGACATGACGTATCTGGGTCGAGCCACAATTAATCATAAAGTCCACTTTCGCGGCGGTCCTTTTAATCTACATCACGTAAATTTCTCATATGTTACACGACTGTTATTAATAGCGAAGGAATAACAATTCCTATTGGGGGCTTTTCTCCTCCTTTTGTGCGATACATGCAAGGACTCAGGTCGAGAGAGAGAAAGACATAATAGGAGTCATATTAATAAAGCTTTTTTGCCGCATAACCACTCATTTATCTCTCAATACAGCATCCTCGGTCTTGTCAGGCTCTCTCTGACCTCAACATGATCCTTTTCACTGCGTCGGCACAGCGGAGAAAAGGCAGTGGGCATGTACACACCATGTCAGATGAAAGACACCCCGGAGCGTTGATTTCGATATTTAATGTACTTCCACAATTGACAAAGATCTTGCAGGTACCGCTGCTGGGGAACACCCAAGGGTGGGATTAGATTGAGTGCCAAATTGGATTATTCTGAGGAATTGCAAACACCCTGGGGGTGGGCAATAAACAAATAAACCTCTCTCTCTTGGCAGGTATAGCCTTGCCCTCAGGGGTGATAATGCCAGGAACTCTCGGCCAGACATTCTGGAGCAGCCGAGAGGCGCTGTAAACTTCATGGGGTCCTCTGAAGCATCAGCAGTGGATCCTTGGGCGAACGGGCATACTGAGTACCGTGAAATTTTCATCATAAATTACCCTCACTGTTCTTTTTTTGTCTACCTCAACTTCTTCCTTCCCACGTAATTTGGAAGAATTTCTGTGCCACACAGTCATTTATTACAAATATTTTCCTGATATTGGACTGAAACACTATTCGATGGATGGATGGTGGCACCAGATGGGCTGCCCCGCAACTGTGCTGCTAATGGTCTAATTTGAGCAATTTGAGGGTGTCGGTGTTCATACCTTGAAATGGATATCCATTGAAACACGGCCGATGCATTGTCCCAAAGTTGTTGGTCACAGTCATATTTAAAGACACATCAATAATATATCAACTCCTTGTGCACTGAAAGTCTTTTTTTTTATCCCACTATGTAAGTCCTAAATAGTCTATTAATCAGTCCACTTGTTGCAAAATCAGTAATAATCCGATATTTGGTGATGGTGTTGATATCCAAAGGCCAAAATGACCGTCGCTACTCAGGCACACTTTGCAATTACTGGACGAAGCACACACTCAACTTGAGGATGCTGCAAGAGATGCGACCGTCCGGGATAAAGGCACTTTGGCAACTGATCCTCACAACTGGGTGCAGCTCCGACGATCTGTTCGGGTGTCCACAGCGACGGAGCGAGAAGGCACAACATCAGAGCGACACGGAGTTCACCAACAAACTGCCTGCGAACGCCCATTCGTCGGATCGTGTAAGCATGAGATTATAGGTTCCGACTCACTGCTCTGGGGCCCGCTTCAACTGGCTGTGCCGCTGAGTCAAGCAGGATCCGCCTTCTGTGGGTTATTTTGCTTATAGTGTTTCCAGAGACTCGTTACTCGATACGCCTCTCGCGATTGTAGACCCACATTCGTGCCTCGCCGCTAAACCCTACCTCGCACACACATTTCTCTCTTCCACGCTTGTCCACCACGAGGAAGTCTATGGAAATGAGCTGAACACCATCAGAGTATGACTCCCAGAGTCCTCACCCAGAATTTCACCTTAATGTTTGTGATACAGCCACTTCTTGTGAGTTCACACGATGATGAATGGTTATCGTTTCACGTAACAAATGCCCCAACAACAAAGAATCTGTGCATGCTCAATAATTTCATTATTCCACTATTTGTTTAACTCATTCAGCAGAGATGGGTAATTGGTCTCAGAGGGTCTCAGCTGAAAAGGAGAGGTGGAAGGTCTAAAAAGATAGCCTCTAATTGAATTCACTGGAAATTGCCCAAGGAAATTGTCTCAATTGAGTGTTTTGCCCTCCATGGCCGGAAAACCTGTAATGAGCACATGAATGAATGCTCACATGTACATATTGATCGCAATATTTGTGAATTCTCTGAGAATCCCATTCATTATTCATCACTTGCCTGCTGAGCATCAAAAATCAGAATTTCATGAGCATCTCTGTCTCATTGATTCCGCCAAAGAACAGTGCAGAGAAATTGCAGTAACCTTGTCTATATCACACGACGCAGGAACCTTGGCTGCTCCTCAGGATGCAAGAAGCGGTGAATGACGACGATGAGCCACTGAGACAGGAGGAAAAATATTTCCAAAATATTTTCCCAAAATTACCCGTATCAGTTGCACATTAGCAAGATTGTCAAGTGGACACCCTCGGTGAGCAGACGCACTGGGAGATCTTGTAAGACTCCTCACAGTTCGGACATGCTCGCCGCATGACCATCAAATTGACAAGATTATAAAGTAATAACGTTTCGAGAAATTCCTCCTTTTTGCTCCTTTTCGCATTGGCTTCTCAAAAACTTTATAGCTTTACGAGCAATATCTCACTGAACAACCATTATAGGAATGGTAAATCAACCTTTTTGTCCTCCTTCTGGGGTTGCATTCTTGTGCTTTCTCCTCCTGGCAAAGTGACCATGATCTCTGGCCCATTGACTGTCTCACAGAGAAGATGGATTTCTCTGGGTGGAGAAAAATTTCTCAAGAAACCCTCCCAAGGAAAAAGAAAGAGACCAAAACTCCTTAATTACAAATATATGACTATGCAGAAAAAAGGGATGAATTTGTCCAGAAGAATCTCAACTCAATTATAACATGCGTTCACGCCTCTGGTCCATTTTGGAGTGTGAATTCGGATGGTCTGGGACAGAGGCAACAGGAGGCAACAAAAGGGGTTAATGGAAAAGTTGCGGTTTGGGCTTTTGACTCCCAAGAACAAGTGGTGTCGTAGTTAATTAAATAACACCACTTTAGTGATCTCTCGAGGTGTATTTTTTCGTCGCTTAACCACATTCATCTTCCCACATCGCTCAGACGTAATTTATCACGACTGCAGGGCATCAAGATGATGGTGGAGCTTCTGGACATTAACTGGGCGGCTGCTCAGTTGGAAGACACAACTGTATCGCCTGTTGCTTCATCTGCTATTGTATCCATCTTTTGGCGTTTCCCAACCAACAATTCAAATTCAACTTACGCTATCAAAAATATTCCTTGCAGGAGGGAAAAAATAATGATAAATTGAAAAATATTCTTGAAAAATACTTTTATCCCTTGTCACATTAATAAGGCAAAATTATTTATAAAATTTAAACTCTTGGTTCTTTAAAGTATCAATCCAGCGAACCATAGAAGCTAAAAGTGCAGATATTTTAGCTAAAGAGTGTTACAAACACAGCAATTCAAAGCATAATGTGGAAGCCTGAAAATCTATGCATTAAAGATGATGCGACGCTATGATCGATAATGCACCCACTGAATGACTAAGATCTCAGCGAAAGAAAGCGAAAAAATTAGCTTCTTTAATCTCAACGTTCAGATCTTATGACATGTTTAGTGAATTTCCTACTGTCTTCTAAAATATCGCGACTGCAAATCATACTTACACTATAATTTTCAACAAGTCACTGCTAAAGCTGATAAAGACGGCCATGCGTGGAAAGCAGAGCAGTGTGCAAAAGATCCCGACAACTGGAGGACACTTCTTGTGGCATCGCGGGAGATCAATTTAAATAGCCTGAAGAATGTTTGCCCACCGCAGTTGATGACACAGAGGATGAGAATCTTCCACGAGGCACCACTTTTTCCTCAGCACGTAATTATTATTATTGTTGGCGTTTTAATGTACAAATCATTGCGGAGTGACTCGCGTGGAGGGTGGGGAGAATAGTGAATATGCCGCGGGTATTGTTATGGTGAGATTTTCGAGATGGAATAGCGAGAGTCGGTATCAGAGGCGGATGATCGTGATCGCGGCTGTGGGGCGTTCGCGCCTTGGCAGAGTGTGGGGCCAGCGACCATAATGACGAGAATATGAATTATCACCTTGCAGTGAAAACGTGGTGTTGTGAATCCAATCGAAGCCGCGCACAGTAGCTGATTGGAAATTAGCCGTGGAGGCATTTTGATTTGATTTTTTCGGTTGTCGATTTTATTATTATTTATAAATGTACACACACACATCGTCGCTCTTTTATCCCACATCGCGCGGCATCAGCAGGTCCATCGCGAGGTGATGCTTGAGGTGTTGATGATCCAGTGTGTGGGCATCATTGATATTGCCAATGCGGCTCTTCATTGTAGACTCTTTTTCAATGCGCCTTTTTTTCAAATTTAGATTGGAATTTCATTCACCGGCTTTAGCGATGAATGTGTATTGAAAATTTCCTCTCGACTCGCACGGGGATTTTTTTGTCTGACCATCGCGAAGAGTGTATGACGCGGTGAAATTCCTCATGGTGTTGTTTTGATAATGATCTTCCGATGTGATTTGACGACGAAATAGATCAGGACTTTTTTCTGGTCCTTTTTCGGGGCTGGAAAATTGATCCGGAGGCCAGAGAGCGGAATTGAGTGTCGGTGGAGCGAAAAGAAACAAGAAGCATCTCTCGATGTAATTTGTTCGCCACCAAAAACATCCATTAATCATTAATTATTTTCCCCAAGAGATAAAATTTGTAAGAAATAAACGGACGAAATTTATATGAGAAAAAATAGCCGACAAACAACAGTCGTATTGTTTAGTTCGGAGGAGATCAAGGTGTTTTGGCTGCACAACCATAATTTAAAGAACGATTGCCCGACAGCCAAGTCGCTCATTTATTTCTCACCTTTTGCAGTGCTCAACAGACGCTGTGACGTCACATCTTCCTGCACAAAAGTGTGTTCTGAAGACCGCCGAAGGACCTTGCGGAAGATGGACGAGTGAAAAAGAGAGATCGGGTGGTTTAAGTCATCATTTGAGGGAGAAGACAGAGAAAAGCGAAAAAAGAGCCAAGGAAGGTAAGAGAAAAAGCATTGTCGGTATATTTTGTTTAATAAAAAATCCCCGTAGTACAAGAAGATGACGGTGTGAGTTGGGAACGAGCATCCGAAGATGGATGCTACTGAAAATTATAATATGTGAGATTGTGGTAAATGACTTTTGCACCTCAAAAGAGCTCATCCTCGTGTTTCACACTCTTCCACACACAGATGGATGGATTGTTCGTCATGTCCCGTGTGCCCAATCCTCAAGTGAGGCGCGAGGATGTCAGAGCTGAAGTGTCTCGAAGGACGCTTCCGCCAGAGCGGCATTTTCCGTTGCTAATGAGCTCCTAAAACCGGATATTTCCGTGCAATTGGCCACGCTGCGTCTTTTCCAATTATCGGAAAATGGCACCCCTGTGCCGTCTCTGGTGCTTGGGAACCGATATTCTTCAGATACCCACCGCCAATAATATATGGGAGAAGTCGATTTGTTTGTCGGAAATTAGTTTCTTTTGACTCTCATTCGGAGCCGAAGCTCATTTCACTGCAAGTGATTGAGCGTGCCCAGCCGGCTGGCTATTTTCGTGGTGATCTGGACCAGGGGTGTGGGTGCGAGTGAGAGGATAGGAACACATTCCAATCGTGTAACATGCATAATCCTCTGTTCGGCGGTGCGCGCGAACATTTTCTTAATAAACTCACCATGGCTCTCGCGCCCTCCGCAGCCCAAAGAAATGCAACCGAGACGACAAGAGAAATGAATGCGACGTCTCCAACCGGTCTGGAATGGTCTCGGCGGGTCTCAATCACCATCATCGTGGCATTCGCGGCTCTTCAACTTCTTCATCATCTCCTTCTTTTCACGCTTTTGCCTCCGCGGCAACAAATATTGTGCGCTTCAGCCAGGCTGTCTCTAAAGGGCCACCGTCACTTTGCTTTCCAATGCATTTCTAACAAATTTTTAAGATGGTCAAAGCTGTACGCGAAAATTCTACTGATACTCTTGACTAATACTCCAGTTAAAATGATTTCTGATTGAAGAAACTGTATGGCAATAAGCACCAAATTATTGGAATATGGCAAC